CCCTAACCCTAACCCTAACCCTAACCCTAACCCTAACCCTAACCCTAACCCTAACCCTAACCCTAACCCTAACCCTAACCCTAACCCTAACCCTACGGGTCGGCACCCAAGCTCTGGACCGCGGAAAAGGAGGCCATGAGGGTCAAGGAGAGCTGCTGTCACAAGAGCACGCACTGCTGCAAGGGGGCACCCCAGCCGGTCGCCTCAACTAAAATCCGGCGCATGATGCTGAGCCGGCCCAGCTTGAGCGGCCTTCGCAGGGACGATGACGTGTGCAAGAAAGAAGAAGAGGAAGAGGAGGACGGCGAGGAGCACAGCTCTGAGACCGCCGTGGCTGCGCCGGCAGCATTAGTGACAGCCGCTCAAGCCGGCGCGGGAACGGTGGGCGCTCTGGCGGCCGGGCTCGGCATCGCAGCGCTTGCGCAAAAGAACAAGACAACCAAGGGCGAGGTCCACGACTCCTCGGGCAAGATGCTCATCGATCTGGTCAACAACGAATTCAAGCCCTTTGTGACCGATCCAAAGAATCACAATGCTGCCCTCAATCTAGTCCTTGGAGCCGCCCAGAGCCCGGCTTACGACGCGCTTCCTGGTTCAGATACCGATGGCAACCCCTACGAGGCTATTCTCGACACCGACGACTACTCCATATCGCCCGTGGAGATTGAAACGAGCAAGAGTGAGTGTGTTCAACCGCAAACGTCAGACTCAAGCTGATTTTGACTGGACACAGCCGCATGTGACTGGATTCGCGAGACGCTGCAGGCCATGCTCACGGCGGCCAACATCAAACAGGACTTTCTACCCGCGTGTCCCAAGCCGTAGCCTGCACGGCGCACCTACTCTTTCTTCCGCCGTGTCACACTTGTGCTAGCCGTCTCTTCATCAAAGCTTTCTGCTGGCCAGAAAGGGAGAAGCTGTTCGATGAGCAAGAAGGTAGTGATCGCTGTCAACACGGAGCGAATCTCTGATTTGTACTTTAGAAGCTGTTCCGATGTAGCGCCGAAATCCGACGTGGCTCCGAATCTTAAATCCGATATTGCTCTGCTCCTGTACGGTGAGCTGATCACCCCGACTCCCGAGTCCCGAATTCCTTTGCTCATCGCCAGCTTGCTTACTCCAACATTGGCGCTCCGACGATGGGGTCTGATGACGGGGAACGGACCCCTCTCGGAAGCAGAGTCTAGCCAAACGTGTATATATAGACCAGTACGCCATGTCTCCTCTATCCCTATCCTCAGCAAAAATGTCGAAGCTGCCTGCCTCTTGTAAAGCCTGGGAATTCCGCGCTCGCGGATCGCCTGACCAGGTCCTCAAGCTGGTTGACCACCACATCCCAGCGCTGGGCACGGACGAGCTCATCGTCAAGGTGGAAGCCGCAGGCCTGAACCCTGTCGACTGGAAGCTGATGAAGATGGTTCCCAAATTCTTCTCCAAGAGCGAGGTGGTAGGCTGTGACTACAGCGGGACGGTCGTCGCATCTTCATCGAGTCGATTCCAGCCTGGCGATCAAGTCTATGGGTACATCGACCCCAGCCTGAGCTCTTCCAAGGGCTGGGGCACCTTGACACAGTACGCAATTGCACCGGCCAGCATGTGCGCCACCCGCCCGCAGCATCTCGACGCCGAGAAGGCAGCTGGCATTGGGCTCGTCGGCCTGATGGCTTTCTCGATGGCCCGCCAGGTCAAGGACGGAGCAGGCCAGAGAGTCTTCGTCAACGGAGGAAGCACCGCCGTCGGACTGAGCCTGATTCCCATGCTCAAGAAGAAAGGAGCCTATGTCATTTCGACCGCGAGCGGGGAGAAGGTGGACGTCGTCAAGCAGATCGGCGCAGACGTCGTCCTGGACTGTGAGTGAAGAGTAAAAGAAGCAGAGAGGAACTGTGGCTGAGCGGCTTTCTCGAACCAGATCGCAAGAAGGACGTCATCACTACGCTCAGGACAGAGTACAGCGGCGATAAGTCCTTCGACGAGATTCTCGACTGCGTGGGCTCCTTTACCATTTACAAGCACTGCGCAGCCTACCTCGTGAGTACACACTACTTTCGCTTCACCCTCTTCCTTGCTAAAGCCTTCTTGGAATAGAAAAAAGGAGGAACATACGGCAACATCGGTGCCGACTTCAGCGGAGGAGTGCTTGCTTACCTCATCCAAACACTCACCATTGTCCTCCGACCAAAAGTTCTTGGTGGCGTACCTCGTCCCTTCAAGAGCCTCTGGATCACATGCGATCAAAAGAACATGGAGTCTCTGGACGCTTATATTCAGAGTGGAGTCGTTCAGCCGATCGTGGACAGCACGTTTCCTTTCCGAGAGACCCTCGCCGCCTTCCGCAGACAGATGACGAATCGTGCCCTGGGAAAAGTGGTCGTTACGATTGACCCCTGAACTCGTCGTAAGCGAGAAGTAGAGGCTGTCGAAGCTCTTCAATTTATTTCCGAACGCTGTTTGTACATGGCGCCCGTCCAAGTGAAAGCTCTCAATGGGTCCTGGTAAGTCACAACATGCAATCTTGTTCATGTAAAGCCTTATTCTGATCATAAACATCCTCAGTCTCGAATGTAGGCCGGCGTTCACCCAGTCCACTCTGCTTGTCTCGTTGAATTAGCTCGCACCGCACGTTCCTCACAGCGACAACATGCTGTTGCCTTACTTCTGCTCTCCATTGATGAAATTCTTGCTGTACAGTGAGACGCACTAAAAAATTGGAAGTATGCTTTGATGAGCCTCTAGCCTTACGATTGAGTTTTCCTTCACGTCAAGCGGTTGCTCACGTCTTCTATGCGGATTTTTTCACGACAGAGGCCGACGGCACCGTGGTAAAGAACGAAGTGGTCAACGAGTGGACAGACAAGACGTATGCCAATATTTTCAAGGACGTCTTTCTCAAAATTCGCCAGCTGCCCAACTATCGTGACTTTCTAGACCACCTGACCCCCGACATGGTCGCAAAGGCAGGGGGCGAGCCGCACGGACTGCTCAAGGACGAGAAGGAATACGATGATTTCGTGCAGAGGGAGCGGCAGAGGCGCGCCCGGGTCCCCATTTGGCAAGGTCTCGTCCACATGGCCGTGGCACAGAAGCCTGCAACGCGAGTGCCCTCTTCAGCTGTTTCGTCGAGTGGAGCACGCTAAGTGCTTTGCCTAATTTGGACAATGTCTCTCTCCACATAAATTAGTTTCGAAATACACCTTGTGAGTAGGTTCGACCGCGTGCTCTGAGTTCTATGTGAAACACCGATAAGCCAGATGTGCGGGCATAAAAGAGCTTCTGCAAATCACCACTCACCTCGCTCAAAAATGCCCCACGTCGCTCCCTGGACACCTAGCAGCGACGGCACCTTTACAAGGCCTCTATTCGGCCTCGATGACTTGCAGATCGCATGGAACGGGTGGGGTGCTTCAGAGCCGATAGCTGCAGCAATAGTCTCCTGTCCCTTACCGGACTTCGACCTCAGGGCGGCCCTGCGCAACGTCGTCCTTGCGCGCCCCGATGTGGCCACGGAGGTTGTCGAGCTCGATAAGAAGCTCCATCTCAAAGTGCGCCCCTTTGTCGACGAAGAGGCCTTGACCCAGTGGCTTGCAAAGGTCTACGAGGTCGTTGATATTGGCAATCAAGAAGCACAAGACGCATTTGAAAAGGCCAGGGTCGGCCTTACGACAGGTGCCGACCAGCTCCTGTCACCCGTTGCAGGCAGGTACGATCACCTCGTGCGGGTCACTCTCCTACATGGATCGAATCAACAGCATGTCGTCATCGTGCGCGCCTGGCACGTCCTAATGGACGGGACAGTCATCTGCGAGTTCATAAACGACATCCTTGCCAACTTGAACAGGCCCCCCGCGGACTTTGAAGAAGCCAAAGTGGAAGTGGCCGATCGCCTCAGCCCCCACGCTCTCGACTGTGTTCCGGGTCTGGCAGCGAGGTACAACACAGCGGAGCCTGATGCCAAGGCATGGCAGACCTACCTGGGTAGCAGCAAGTCCGCAGGCTTCCCAGTGGCATCAAGTCTAGCTGGCCAGCTGGCGCCATGGCCAAAGGATTCAGCCACCTCTCGTTATCATCTGCAGTTTGACGAGCAAGCCACAGCCGACTTTATTGCAGCCGCCAAAGCTCACGAAATCAGCGTATCGACTGCCCTGTCTGCCGCTCAGATCATTGCTTCGCTTCGCATGAGCAGGGCCGAGGTTAGCGGAAAAAGCCCCGTCGAGACAGTCGCACAGCTCAACGTCGCAAGCCTACGGCCATTCATGACGGGTCCCAAGCGCAACACCATGGCTTCTGGTGCCGAAGGAGTCATCACCGCCGCCGACTCCTCGGCATGGGACGCCGCACTTAGAGCGGGCAAGCCTCTGGACGAGGCGGAGAACAATGCTTTCTGGGCCATTGCTCAGCAGGTGGACGCGTCAACTCGTCGAGCAAAAGAGGATCCTTGCGAGACGGCAAGCGCGGCTGCGCACGCGTTTTGGACAAAGTTTAATGCTGCCGCCGACGCAATGGCCAAAGGCAAGATGGCCAATCCACGCACCAAGGGGCTGGGCCTCTCTCAGATGGGGCTCATGGACCAGGAGGGGGGCTTGTTCTCGAGGCAGTACGAGGCAGCGACCCTCGTTGACGTCAACATTAGCGTTCGCAGCGCCGGTCTGATGGTCGGGCCTCACACGTGGACATTCAGAGGAAAGCTCAACCTCCAGTTGACATACATGGCACCCATGTATGAGAGCGAAGCCCCAGCGAAGCTGCAGAAGCTGATGGGGGATGTTGTGGCCAGGATGTCCGGTCACCCCGGTAGCTACAAAGTGCTACATGATGTCAAAATTGCATAATGAATCTACAGTTTAGACAGAGTAGTTCTTCGGTCTTTGCCCTTCTTGACTTCCTCGGCCTCATTACTGATTTCCCGCGCGGCTTTCGCGGAGCTCTCTGCCAGCGTCTGGAGACTTTGGGCCGCCTTACTTTCCAGTCCACGATGGAGGCGTCTCCATTGGTCACCGCTCTCAGAGATTTTGATGGCTCGACCTGTCTTCAGGTCAACGAGGCGATTGATGACGTCGAATGTGGCGACGTGCTGACCACTTGCCAGGCTAAAGGCCTCGTAAACGATGTGCCAGATTTTGTCGTCAACCTTTGCGAAGCGTCCACCCTACAGATGTCGCGTGTGTCAGTTCCCCTTCGACATGTCTTTAATGAACACACCTCACCGTGATGATGGCGTCGGGGAACCCAACAGGAAGGCGGAAGGCCGTGCTAATCTGAATGGGAACCGGCGCGATTTCGTGCGCGCCAGTGACGGCGCTCGCGAACTCTTCGTTGGTGAATTCAGCGATGTATGCGCAAAGCAGGCGGTTGTGCGAGACCTGAAAGAAGGTGGGATAGTGTGCGTTGGCAATATGGCCCATGAAGTCAATGTGGTGCGGCACAACAACCGTCTCGGTAAAGCTGATCGGATCGAGTCCGCGATGCGTCATGGCATCCAAGACCTTCCGCCGCTTATCTCCGAATGTGTCCCCCGTTCGTGCGAGTGGCGATGCGAATGACGTCCGATCTAGAAGCTTCATGGCTGTCTCCGTTTTTCTTTGCAAGATCTAACTTTCGTGATCGTCGTGGTCGAGAGGAAGAGAGAAGGAAGCCAGCTGGGCAAGGTGCAGTTCCATTGCACATCCGAAAACCAAACGCTCGGCTGATGAATAATGATCAGGTTTCAAACCTGATCATTTACGAGACAAAGTCTTCCATGCGGTATTTTTAATTTCTTCGTTTTTCCTTCCCCCACGCTAAGTGTGCATGCATACATGGGACGACCTTATTCTCAGCGGCCCTTACGACGCTAGCAACCGACGACCTCGTGCTCCTCCTTCTCCTCGTTGGGTATCGCTCAATTCGGCAAGCGAGACATTACTCAAGGTGTTCAGCATCCTGATAGCGACTTACGAAGGGAGAAAGGCGCCGTGGGGCCTCCAGCACATGATAAAAGCGAACAAGTGAGCATTCTCGTTCCTCCTTTCCCAAGTCGCACCGTCCCCTCCTTTTTGTCCCACTCTTCATTTTTTTCGCTCACAGAGCTCGATCGACTATGGCGTCCGTTTCTCCAAATCAAGAGCAAGAGCTCCTTTTTGAGAAATACATGGTCGAAGTCGTTGGACTCGTCTTCGCCGGCGCCATCACTTTGGTGAGCACTGTATTGCACAATCCGCAAGGTATATTCTGGCGTCAAGCTCACCTCTTCAAATCAAGATTGTATGGGAGTACTTCCTGAACCTCTTCGCTGAGATCGAAATTCACCGGAAGAGAAACAACAGCATTGCTGTGATACTGCTGCTCATTGTGCGGTGAGTCAAGCTGATATATGCTCGATGTTCCGCTCACATTGTCCCTTTTCGCAAATTCAGCTATTCTACCCTTGCAGCAGTCGGAGCCGCCTTGCCCTATGTATACGGCAATCCGCCTAATTGTGTTGCTGCTGGTTACATAGTCCAAGTGACATTTTGGATCATGAACACCAGCGTGCAGAGCATCTTCTACTTGCGTACCTGCGCGATTTGCAACTGGACAAACAGCGTGCGCATCGGACTTGGAGTAGCTACTTTAGCAACATCCGCCTGCTGGTTCGCTTCAATCTTTACATACGAGGGTCGCAACGACATCCCTGATATCCCGTACGGCGGAAAGTGCTTCCAAGGCCAGGGGGAAAGGTCTTGGAAGGGTGAGTGTGGCGGAGCGTGTTCTACTCGAAAACTCCGTCATTGATGGTTCTCTATTCCACAGCTGTAAGCTACATTTCTTCCTGCGTTTTCGACTTCATCGTCCTCTCAATCACGATTTACAAAGTCTGGAGCACATCGGGAAAGAAATTGGAACACTTATTCCGCCCTCCGACGGAGCAGCGCACTTCTGCACTCTTACTTTGGCAGAGCATCGCATACTTCTTTCCGGTCTTCTGCGCAAATTTTTCCGGTGCCATCATTAGCCTAGCAGCGGCAGACTCAGCTACTCGCTCGGTCTCAATCAGCTACACATTCGCTGTCTCGTCTGTAGCTGCTTCAAGGATGGTTTTCCACATGCGCGACCATCTCGGAAGACAAGGCGACATGAGACCCAAAGCGAATCTAGCAGACAAGATCCAAACAACAAGCCCAATGGTGATGGCATCGCCTCCGAGAAACGCTTCACTTACGAAGGTCGCTGCGACGGCCGGCTGGCTACGAGACCGCGACGTAGAAGCAAGTCAACAATTTTCTGACGAATACTCCCTCCGATATCTCTCTTCGTCCTCGCATTCCTCGCCTAGGTTCTAAGTTCACACATCCACTTCTGAGATCACACTTTGTCCAGAACTAGATTTCAGCCCTTTGTTGCTTATGTGACACCGAATATAACCTTGCCATTCGAAGGATGCTCAACGAGAGCTGATACACAATGGCATCTCGGCAAAGGATAATGTTGATCCAAACACTGATGGACGTCGAACGATGTTGCTGGACCATGTGATGCGCAAGCCCTCATTGCGCTCCACACGACACCGCATGACGATGTGATAGAGTATAATGGTAAGAAGAGCGTTCGCGAATCTATCGCAATCAGTTTTAATGGAGTCTGGAGATTAACAGCATGCGCTCACCTTGACCCGATGCAAGCGTCTCGCCCGATGCCGAAGCTCACGTGTGCCCGGTTTCCCGTCAACCAACGTTGTGGTCTGAACGATGTGGAATCTTCCCCCCAAAGCTGGCTGGAGGTGTTGATGAGATCCCATGATATCCCTAGTATGTCCCCTCTCTTGATTGCAATCGCTGAAACTGAGCGTTCATCAATCGTGTAGGGTTTCGATAGCGGGATCAAGTCATCGGAGAGACACACTCGTTCTGTGTAGGGAATAGCGCTGTGCAATCTCAGTGCTTCCTTGACGACAGCGATTACGAAGGGATGCCGTGTCCAGCTCGCTTCCCCTTCCTGTGCGATGGAGTAAAGTCTGTCCGTAGTTTCGGAGTCTTTTGCGAGCTCATATAGTAAGAAGCTCATTGTCGATGCTTGCAAGAAGGCTGCGAGTCAGCGAAAGTGGAATGAAGCGTGGATGACCGGGGAATGCGGACACATACCAGTTGAGTCGGTTGCTCCCGCAAGCACCAGGACTGCTTCTTTTACTTCTTCGTTGGGGCTTGAGCAGTGAGGTGCTGAGAAGACATCAGCGAACTCCTTTTGCTTGGTCGTAGCCGGCAATTTGGACCTACCAAGTTCATGGATCATATTCTTGTGGTCGTCCGAATCCTGATGCGCCATCCTTATCCTTGATATGGTCTCATGGACAGCACTACGGTGCTTGCCGGTTTTGCCGCAGGCTCTAATGCAAGGGATCGAGACGAACATCTGCGCTGCAGCCAACGGATTCTGCCAAACTTGCCTGCACAAAGAAGAGATCCTGCTGAATGTATCTCGAGGACTTATTGCTTCTTCTCTTCCGTCTGTCCGGAAAAGGCAGCGTAATACTGCCCTCGCTTCGTGGACTCGTCAGTGTGAGCAGCCAATACCTTGTTGCTTACTCACTGACACCTGCCCCGCAAATGTCGAAGACATTTACCAGCGCGTCGTTCTGAATGCTTTTCTCCATATCCTCAACGAGCTAAAGCCATTACTTTTTAGTGGGTATGCTTCAGAAAGGTGGCGGACTGCCGAACTTACCTCTAAAGCTGCTCTGTGCATGTCGCTAGACATTGTTTCCACCGCTTGCTGCGTCATCATGGCAGCTGCTGCCCGCCTCTTGAAGTAATGAGACGCATCTTAACAAAACAGTCAGAGGTGCCTCCAACGAAAAAGATGGGGAGCAGCGAAGACTCACGGTCGTGAAGAATAAACCCATCTCCAAACTGAAAGGTAAGGATGGCCTTTGCCTTGCTCGACTTCGGGTAGTTGAAGCTCTTCTTGCTGAGAACGTAATGAAGAGCCAAAGGGTCTACGGTAATGATGCGTCGTTTCTGTTCCAAGAGGTTTTGCAGATTACAATGAGTCCTTGCTGGATCGCACCTTGTCAGCGACATACCTGTAGAAGCGCTTGGTACGAGAAGGTCGTACCAAGGACCTTGTGTTGCTCGCGAAGCTCCTCCTCTGTTGTTGAATGTCTCCATGATGTTGCGAGCGCCGCGATGAGACTCAGTCTCGGAAGCTGTGGTGTCTGGCGGCGCAACAACAAGTACGCGACAAAGACTACCGCGCTGAGTAAGAGCAAGGGCAGCGATGGCATTGGTGTAGTATCGAAAACGGTATCGGAGAGCTTTCTTTGACAAGCGGTGACATGAGCTTTTATCAAAGAAAGCTGAGCCTCGCACAACGAAATTCTTAAACGCCGAGCAGTACCATTTGTTTCAGAGAAAGGGAAAATTTTTAATATCGCACTGGGACTGTACCGTACTGCTGCACAGAATCCTGTCGGCGGTAGCGGTGCATAATTTTTGCTCTTATACCGCAAGGCTATTCTACACATAAGTATAGCATCGAATCGCGGGACCTGCCGCAGATGCGAGCGGATGGTTTTTGCTGGTGTTCACAAAAGCTGATGAAACGACGTCCATGTAGAGCGGGAGTGCCGTATGTCAACATTTTTAAACAGCACTGCATCTAGGAGTTTGGTGTCCATGCGCGCCAGGGTGGACACAAAGTTAGCTTCTTTGGCCTGGGAAGTAGAAAGTTCAATCACATGGCGACTGACGCTGCGAACTGCGCTGTCGTCGCTTTTGAGCACACACCCGTACCGTATCTCTGGCCAAAATCCTCCTCTGTCCAGCACAGAGCAGCCTAATTCATCTCTGCAAGCTGCATGCGGGCGCCATGCGGTCGGCCCCTCGCACTGTTCCCGCGCGCTGCCGGGAGAGAGCAGTTTGCGCTAGCGGCACCATAAATAGGTTAATTTAAATTCTCAGCTACCCGGGCGAAAGTACTGTACGAATCATGGACTCCGAGATGGATGCGAGCCTGACTGTCTCTCCTCCACCGAACATGACGGCCTCTCCTACGTGGACGAAAGGAAGCACGGGCGTATGGCGAAGGGAGCTTTTTGGCGTGGAGCACTATCTCGCTGGCCTCAGCGTGCTTTGCGATGGGCAGCAGGATCTTGAAGTCTGTGCCGCCTTCACAAGCTCTCTCGCGGCCGCCGAGCTGGAGCAGAGGCTCCCCAAAGCGTGGGAGGCGACCTTGAATCGCTACCCCCACTTTGCTTCTCGCATCGTTCACGAGCCCACTGATGACAGCCCGATCCATTGCGTGCTCGAGTGTCCCGTCGACAATATCAGCGAGAGAGCACAGGAATCGGCGCAGGTGCACCGCTCTTCGTCCGACGCCAAGCAGGCGATCAAGGAGATGCACAAGGAGCTGACATCGAGACGGACCGAAGGAGTCGAAGTAGTGAGCTATGTGTTCAGCCCATCTGCATCCCAACCGAGATGCTGAAGTTCTATCACAGCACCTCGTCAATGCTTCCAACGGGTGCGCGCTATTCCTCTCGGCTGCCCATGCTTATTACGACATCTTTGGAGGTATTTTGGTCCTCAATCAGCTCTTGAAATACCTCGTGGACGAACAATGCCAAGAGCAGCGGCTAGACAATGTTGCCGAAAGACTCACGCCCTCGGTCCCCGATGCGTTGCCTCCCCCTCCGGTCTCGCTAGCGGAGGACGTGCAGAAGTTCATTGGAGAGATGCTCGGACCGCTTCCCCAGCAGATGCCCACAACGCCCATGATTACTCCAGACTTCTCGGATGGAAAAGGCAACGGATCGGCGACGTTCGTTTGTAGGACGCTGGATCGTGAGACGAGCAGCAAGCTCTTGGGCAGTCTCAAGGCTAACGACGTCACCATCACGAGCACGTTCGATGCCGCTCTGCACCTCGTCATCGCCCAGCGCGCGGGTAGGCCCGAAAAGGGTTGGAAGGGCGTGGTGTGCACCAACTTTCCTGGCGTGGTAGGTGCCCATCAGTGCAGGCTCAGACACGTGAACTCACACCACGCAGTCGAGTCTCCGTCCATTTATGAAGCCCGAGGTGAAACATGACTACGCCGGATTGGCCGTGGGTGCCCTTCCTGCCGCCATGGACCTATCGGGCTTGGACGACAAAGGAGCCGAAGACGTGCTCCTCGCCGGCGCAAAGCAGATCAAGGCCGACTACGACCGCATCATGAGCAACCCCTGCACAGCTTACGGACTGGGCACGCTGGTGACGCTCATGAACATCGAAAAGGCCTTGTGAGAGAAGTGGCCCGTGCCGTGCTGAGCAGCTCTTTGACGTGACTCTCCGTGGCAGGCCCCCTCCCCAGCCTGCCTACATCAGCATTCTCTCGTCAGTCGGGAATCTGGACGAAGTCCTAGTTGGCGATGTCAAGGGCAGCGCTCAGCAGAGCATTGTGGTCGATGACTTCTCCGTCAGCCTGCGCATGCACGAGTATTTTGGTCCTGCATTCCACCTCTGGACCTTTAAGGGCCAGATCAAGCTACAGTGTGAGTTGACGATCATGCCAGACGAGCAAGTAGGCTAAACCAGCTTGTGCAGTTGCACACCCTCGCGTCTACGAGTATGTGGCCGGTGATATCCTGGATCGCACCGTCCAGCTGGTCCTGTCTGCGTTCTCCTGAGACACCTTTCTCTTGCGACAAGCCTTCTAGAATATCATCTCTTCCATAAAAGAAGCTCGGTTTTCAGAGCTACTCAGAGGCACTAGAGAAAGAGGAGACTGGAGATTGGCGGTCTACCTTGCTACCTGACCATTCAGGAAGTCAACGAGCAAACAATTGGCCTCTTGTGCTATCGAGCCTGAGCTTCCCTCAAGGACGGCGAAGTGGGTCGCGTCCTTGCTGCCGACGACTTCCATTCTGGCGTTGGGGACACGGCTAACGTAGTCTTCGTAGGCCGCACGTGGACAGATGGTGTCCCCTGCCGGCACGATAAAGAGCGTCGGACATTGGAGACCCATGTGCTCTGCCTCTGCGAGGTGCATAATTAATGAAAATACTAGAGCCTGCCGTCTACCAAATCGTCGAGGTCGCCTCCTCGGCCACGGATCTCAGAGGCGCAGCTGGCCTCGACACTGGCTCTCCCCCCGAGCTCTATCTCGAATACGGGGGTCAGTTTGCTGACGTTCTGTACTCGACCTTGTGAGTGGCCGTGTGCAACAGCTAGCTACCTCCAGACGAGGACTGACGCCTCAGGTGTATAGCATCTGCGTCTGGCGTATCTACTCTCTGGCCAGACCGGCAAAGCACCGCCACATTCATCGGAGTGCTACGCTTCAGTCCCATATCAACAAGATCCTGCGCGTGCTCCTTGCTTCTTTTGTCTGTCCCGCCGCTTCGGCCTTGGCGCTGATCATTGTGGTGAGCGGGTCAAATTACCAGGCCATCTCCAACATGTCGGCCATCAATCCGGGCATCGTCGTTGCAAATGTCCTCGCGAGCACAATCTTGCTCCTCTATCGCCCTAACAAGGACCTGACGGCCGAGCCTGAAAAGATTCAAGGCGCGCAGCTTTCCTTGAACGCCAAACAACAGCTCGACCACGAGACCGAAGAGAGCCTGGAGGCGGGGCAGAAGAGGAGGCTGCCGTCCAGCCCGTGTCCTGTTCGGGCTTTTCCCTTTCGTCGCGTGGCATCCGTTGCGAGCAGCAAATCAACAGGGAAGCTTGCAGACAGGAAGAAACAAGATCTTAACCTGGACGGAGCACCGCAACGGGTGCCGTCGAGGAATGGTGCCACCTCGTCTGGCACCCGCGAGATTCTGCTAACCGACCATGAGGAAGACGACGAGGCAGAGTTCAGGTACGACAATTGCTTGGAAAGTCGGTCAGCTGAAGTCAAAGACGTCTTCTTTCGCCTCGGGCTGAGAGCCACCTCTCTGTCTCGTCGCTGATGGAGCAGGTGAGATCCACGCTGGGCCCTCACAACTTCCTCAGTCTGCCCACATCCTCAGCTATCAACCCACGCATTTGTATGCCTTGCCTTTGCTCTTGCATTGCTCGACGATTGCACTGTCGATAATAATCTATCATCTTGAATAACGCCTCATCTTTTCTCGCTCAGCCCGCAAATGTCTCGTCAAATCCGCGCTGAAGTGGAAGCGATCAGCCCCTGGAACTTCGCACATATGACACACGCTCAGCAACACTTGAAAGGGCCCTGCTCTTCTCATAAGATTGGAAGACTCGGATCGGCAAAGAGATACAGTCAAGAGGCCAGCTTTTGCCCAGTGGTCACGACAACGTCGACGTGCCATAACGGGTCCTCGAGACGGACATTGTGCTCTCTCTGCAAGTGGTCCTCGTACTCTGCCTCGTCCTTGAGCAGGTCCTGAGGCCTTCCACCAGCCTTCTTGACGACCTCGGACGGCAGCTGGTCGAGAAGCTCGTGATAGTTGGGCAATTGGCGAACTTTAAGAAAGTGTGTCTTCAACGCCACGTACGACTTGTGCACCCAGTCGCCGATGACTGTGTTGCTGATTCGAGTGCCATCTGAAGCCGTGGTAAACATCTGGGCGTGGTGGACTGTCTTTGACACGTTGGAGAAGCCAGACTTCATGCTGTAATTGGCGAGGCGTTGTGCAACCCTGGGAGAATTGGTAAGATTTAGGATAGGAGAATGTACACTCGGGTGCTCACATTGGGTCACCTCCTACGCCTCGAGCAACCGCTTGCGCAATGATGACGGGCTCAACGCTCTCACGCTCCGGGCGACAAGACTGCGAGTACCCGAAATCCGTCTCCTCCAGTTGAACATAGCCACCTGACCCTACAAGGTGAGACAGAGACCGGGTTAGCCGGGTCCTAGGCTACCAGTATCGTTTCACCTACGGAGCAGACTAGAGATTGTCGCAAGATAAGATTCCCACTGGCCGTCTTTGATCGGAATAATCATGAGGCGAGAGTGAATCAAGTCAAATGGTCCATGGTCTTTTCCAATTTGGGCCATGGCTTCCGCATCACCCAGGTCCGCTTTGATGAACGTCGTCGACGCTCCGCCGTGCTGGCCCCACTGCTCGCTCTCGGCGACGTCTGATCCGACGACATGGTACTGTCCCTCGTCGGTCTTGAGGGCCTTTAGCTCGGCTAGCGCATCGTGGCACCAGATGCCCGTGCCCGTGCCCACGTCGAGGACCTTGCTGATCTCTCCTCGCCTGGCGGCCGCTTCCACATCGCGAGACAAGAGCTGCCCGCCGAGAATCGTCTTGTAGGCGGCGTGCTGGAGATCGAGCCTTTGAGACTCCTCCGTCGAGTAGCCCAGGATGTACTCGCCCATTCTGCTGTTTCTCTACCGACTTGACTTGAGGTGGTGGTGGGAAGGATTAAACATTCCCTCGGTTGCCCTTCGCGGCTGTTCTCGACCGCATCTTAGTTACTCTTAGCCTCTCATACGAACGAATGAATCCCTGACTGAAACAGTCCAATGCATCAATTTGTGCACTATGTTTTATTGAGAGTGGAGAGGCGTCTCAAAAGGGTAGTCAAAATTTATCCAGAATAACCGTGCGATCGTGCGGACTCATTTTCGCACGTGGCGCTTCGTGGACCAGCGTCGCGTAGAGTTGAGATATTTCTGCACTAGAAACCTTAGAGAGGGCAGACAGAAAAGGCCATGCGCTGATCTGGCGACCGCGAGGTCGGTGCTGACCTCGCGGTCGCTTAACGTAGGGATCAGCCTGCGTACAATCATAAGCTACCTTAACTCCAAAGCTGTCTCACACCCTTCACACATTCCGCAATGGTCAGCCCTTCTCTCCTCGCCGCGGCTACCCTGGCAGCCTCTGCCTCTCCACACTTGCAGCCTCGACAGGCCAGCAGCAACAGCACCTTGCCGCCAGGCACGGCATCCCTCAATGTGTCTCTCGGCGATGCGCGCGGTGACACTGACGAAAAGACACTGGACTGCAATGCGCAACAGTTTCGCTACTATCTCACCGTGCCAAACGTATACGTCAAGGCGAACAATTCATACCTCTGTCGAGTAGTCCAGAGGGCGTACTTTGACAATGCTTACGGAAGATGTGAGTGTCGTGCCGGCCGCCTCTCCACCGCGAATCTCTTTCTCAATCAACCAGCCAGACACCACCATCAACCAGCCTTATCACGAACAGCTATACAACGAGACACAAGCCATCAATCGGACCATGCAAGGTGACAATGCCACCCAATTTGTCTTTCCCCTCTACTTCCCAGGGTACAAGTACCACGGGTGGCCTGACCATGCACCTGGCGAGATGGGTTTGCGAGATGGGTTTCGTTGTTCCAGGCGTGTACGAGATACAAGTGAGTTGACCATCAATTTCTGCCATTATGCGCTCATGTTTGCTCTGCTTGTCTGCAGACCACGCTTCTCAATGACTCTGCCTTTGCGGCGGACAATGCGCCTGTATTCAAGTTGGCCAATTTCACCCCAACCGAGGCCTGCCACCAGCGGCTCAACGCAGACTCGCAGACTGCTGACGGAGCGTCTGCTTCTCTTCTTCGCGCTGCTGGGCCGATCTCTTTGGTGGCCAGCTTGGGAGCGGTTCTGGCGCTCCTCTGTAGCCTCTAGGACCTGGAGGGAACTATCAGAGAGCATCTCCTTTGGAGGAGCACTGGCTCGTTGGCGCTCGATCACACCCAGTCCGGCCGCCTCCAAAAGCTGCCATAGTCAAGGAGCCTCAGATTATGGCATGGCAGCTTCAGCTTCACCGAGGCAGACAAGACTGAGCAGCATGACATCGCAGGAACACTAGATTCATCAGAACGCAGTACGCGTTTCAACAACATTTCAAGATTTAAATCACATGACTTCACTCGACCGAAGCACTGTATGCAGTCGTCTTGAAGACGGCGCTTGAGCCCGTAAAGGGCTCGGTGCCCGCGCCGATCTTCTGGAGCACCTGGCTGCCCGGCAGACCCTGGTGAGCCACCAGATAGCTGAGGAAACTGTAGAGGTCGCCTGAGAAGTTCTTGATCGGGGTGCTTGCAACAAAGGAAAAGACTGTCACGCTGCCATTCGGGCCCTTGTACAGCTTGAACGAGTTGCCGCCCATGGTCACCGTCGCAATGGGCGAGCCCGTGCTAGAGATTGGCCCGGCCCCTCCCAGAGCAGCGAGCCAGACCATGACCTCGTACTGCGCGTCGGCAGAAGCCGAGGTTGAGGTGAAAAGATCATAGGCTACGTCGGCTACGAGGCTGTTGCCGGTGTAACTCCACTTCCACGTCGTAGGAATCTTTGCAATCGAGCTCAGTGGCTTCTTCGTAAAGTCCAGGACGGCGTTGGAATACGACTTCACGTGGCCCTGTCTGTTTTGGTCGGGGTCAGCTGTGAGTCTGGCACTGCTTGAGAAAGTTCGCACCCGCCAGCCCAGGTCCACGACGTGTGCCATGAGAGGGTCGAACCGCTCAGGCCGTCGACACCGAGGCACTGGGAGCCAGACGTAGCGGTACCAGCGCCAAAGAGATTGTTGTAGACCGTGTACTTGCCCGTTGGGTAACTGTCAAACGTGTCGCACTTGTCGGCACGCTTCTCAAGCGGCAACGCAGAGCCAGGAAGTGGCAGTGCCGTTGCGACAAGGGCTGCCGCCAGGAAAAGAGAGGAGATCTGCATCGTATCTTGAGGTGCCTTTTCAGTTCCAAGACCTTACGACGCCTTTTATCCTCCTCGGATTCCCCCACGATGACGGTCAACGTGGGCATATTGGTGGAGTCCGCGTCGATACTTGGACGCTAATGTGACACTTGAGGCTCAAATTTGAGGCTTCTGCAGGGACACACCCCTGCCATCGAAGGAAAAACCGGAGAAATCTCCGAGTTCTTGACAAGCATCCTGCCCACGCCAGCAAGTGCCGCATAGAACAATTCAGGTGAAGCCAGAACAGAAGTAAAGAATTGTAGCGGCTCTAGTGCCAGTCACGCACTCGGCCCTGTACTAGCAGTGTCGCTATTTCTACCACCACATCATATACAATAAAGAGAGCGACTGTAGCACATGCTCCCGCTCTCAGATGGACTTAAAGACGCCAAGGCTGGCCATCGCCTGGCCCTGGTCGGTGACCATGAGGTTGTAGGCGCACGAGCTGCCCAGGTTTGCATTGTCAATCCACGCTGGCTCCCAGTAGAAGATCCCTTGGCCCTGGCTGCCAATGCCGCTGACTTTAGACGCCACCGTCTTCATCCACTGCGTCTGTCCATCGACGGAAATCGGGATCGACTTGGTGTCCGAAGGAAAGGGATAGGCAGGGCTGGGGCAGTACGTGGGCCAGTCGGTCTCGGCCACCATGACCGTCTTGCCGTACTTTTGTGCCATCTTTGACATGGACGAGCTCACGGCGGCCAGCGTCGCGGAAGATCCGTAGAAAGGGTAGTAGGAGATGCCTTGGATGTCAAAGTTTGCGAGCCCGAATCCGCCATTAGAACCAAAGACGGAGTCGTACCAGTTTTCCTGCGTGCTAAAGTCCCATCCATTGTCGAGATGGATCATGATCTCTGGCTTGGGCGAGAGCTTCGAGTCCTTGACGGCCGTGGAAGCCGAGTGAAGAAGAGAGGAGAGGTTCTTTGTGCCTCCTGCCTTGCTGATCTGCCCCGTGGGCCAGAGCATGCCCCCTCTGATTTCGTTTCCAATGCTGACAAGGGCCAAGGGAATGCCATTGGTGGCAAAGGTGTCGAGCACGTCTTTGGTGTAGGAATAGATCTCATCGGTAAGCTGCTGTAGGGTAAAGTCCTTCCACGCTGCAGGAGTGACCTGGTGACCGCCATCGGCCCAGGTGTCGCTGTAGTGAAAGTCGAGGTAGATACCCAGGCCAGCAGCCTTTGCGCGCTTCGCCAGCTTCAAATTGTAGTCCAGGTTGTAGACGCCATCGCTTGGGTTCACCCAGATGCGCTGACGGACAGTGTTGACCCCCGATGCCTTGAGGATGCTCTCAAGCGGCTGAACCTGGCCCGCGGTGTCCTTGTACGTCTTGCCTGCCTTTTCTTCCACGAGGAGGCTCGACCAGTCAACACCCTTGTAGGGCAGAGCCGCGAGCGCCGTGGCGAAAAGGAGGGGGAGCAGGACGAAGAAGTGCATTGGATCGCGAAAGTGAGGGAGGCAAGATACAGGAAAGCGCTTCCTTTTCAAAGCTTTCTGTCAGCTCACGATTGCCATAAAGCAAAGCACACATTCGCAGTGCCCAAGTGCTGTATCCAGTCAAACGACCCCGCGTACATTGAGTAGTCGTCGTTCTCTGTCCCCCGCGCGCATCCGCAAAGAACACTAGTCGTGGAAGCGTGGGGGAGGTGCACAGAAGCACGTCGGATAAAAAGCCTTGCATGCATGCATCCCACGCGTGTGGCCAATCAGGATTGAGCTGAATGACGGCAGTCAGCTGCACAAGGCTGACCGCATAACCTGTCGTCCCTGATGATCGATTTATGGTGTCAAGCAAGCAGTGAATGTCGCAGACAGTGCATTGCAAGGCGGCCATGGAAGGTATCCTATTCCAGTTACACATCCACAAAATGAGAAAAGTACAATGTTCATAGCGGGTAGTATCTGCTTCACTCGAGCACACTGGCAATGTCGATGTAGGACGCCGAGAAGCTCATGCGGGACTGGAAGATGCACGCTGGCTGCCGACCAGGCGACGTACAATGTCCCTCTTCCTGGTTACTTTGCGTGTCTCGATGTTGGTGATCTTTAGCGTCGAGATTACGATGAGCGAAATGACAACAAAGACGGGAACGCCGACGATGTAGATTCTGTCGATCACCGAGGTGAGGGCAGCGAGCATCGAGTCGCGCGTGGGCCCTGAAGGCAGGCCATAGATTGCGCTCGGCTCAATGTGCTCGTAGGCGATCGGATCCACGCCCGCGGGGAGGTGAGCTCGAATGGCGCCCGGAAGCTGAGCGGCCAGGATGGCGCTGGAGACGGAACTGCCCACGCCGCCGCCAAATCGCTGCGCGTAGATGGCAAAAGCAGTCGCCTTGGAAATCAGCCGCTTATCGGTGTTCGCTTGGACCGTGAGCAAGGGTCCTTGGATGATCATGCCCATGCCCAGGCCGAGCAGAATCTGCGACCCGATCTGGAGACCCGTGCCGGTCGTGACGGAGGTCATGTAGCTGATGCCGGCCCCCACAGCACCGAGGAGCGGGAAGAAGGCCATCTGCGGAAAGTAGTGGTGGCTCTTCTTGGCCAGGACGCCTCCGACTATCGAGCAGATGCCGACGGTGATCATGAGCGCGAGCATGTCGACGCCCGACTTGGTGGGCGTGTGTCCCCGCACCGTCTGGTAGTAGTACGGGATCAGGTACATAAACTGGATGATGACCCAGAAGGTGAGGAAGCTCGTCATGACGCAGCCGACGAGGTTGAGATCCTTGAGAAGGGCGGCGGGAAACAGTGAGCGCTCCTCGCCGTTGAATCGGATCCAGCCGTAGAAGGTCAGGGCGATGAGCAGCGAGAAGCAGATTGGGATCCACACCTTGTACGACGACCATCCCGTCTTGGAGGACTCCTGGATCGGGATAATGACCGCGCACATGAGGACCGCCAGCAGGGCCGAGCCGACAATGTCGATCTTCTTGATGCGGTCCAGAAGAGGGGTGATTCTGGTTTTGCTTGAGCCCAGCGGCCTGGTCGTGGGTGAAAGAAGGAAGATAATGAGAAAGGCGACGCCACCAATCGGCAGGTTGATCCAGAATACCCAGCGCCACGAGACCTTTGTGAGTGCGCCGCCAATGAGGGGCCCGGCGATCATGGAGACGGAAAAGAGCGAGCCAAGCATGCCTATGTACACCGCACGCTGCTCCAGAGTCGTAGTCTCGGCGAGAATCTGGACGGCTGCCGACATCATCCCTGCTGCACCTGCTCCAGAGATAGTTCTACCGGCCAAAACAGCACCCATGTTGGGTGCCAGTGCGCTGACGAGGCTGCCGACCTCGAAGAGAAAGACATTGAAGAGGAGGATGTGCTTGCTGGCGAAACTGGCGAGCACCTGTCCCCAAAATAGGGCAAAGGCGCCTTGTCCGATGAGAAACGTCGTCGGCAGCCAAGCAATCATGTTCTCGCCGCCCAGGTCGGTAACGATGTCAACCTGCGCCGTGGCGATCACAGTGTTGTCGAGCGAGATGATAAAGATGCCGAGAAGCAGGCCGATATAGATGGGAATGAAGCGCTTTGCAGACAGAATCTCCGGTGCCTGAATGTCGTCGTCGTCGTCTTCTTCACTTTTCGTCTTTTCAATCACTTCCTCCATCTTGCTCGAATGATCTTCAGACGTCGTAGACGCGAGGGCGGGGTCTTGCGGGTTGGAGGCCAAGTCGGCGACCTGATCGGCTTGGGAGGTCTGCATGTTGGAGGAGGGTTTGTTTTCCGGGGCTTGTTCTTGCTGCTCAAAGGCCATCAGTGTTCCCTTTTAAGCTTTCGCCCTGACTCATCCAGCCCTGATAGCATCCCCTACACTATGCTGAGCTTCTGGGGCGGGAAATTCAGCGTCGTCGCAATTACGACACGTGTAATCGCATTCGCGATTGGAGCTTTCGCATTTGCGATACGTTTCATTTTCGCAGATGCGTCTCACTCTCCGCCCCGCTTCCCCCTTTATAACGCGTTCACATTCGCATTTGCGAGCACGTCGGCGTCGTGTCAGTCAGCATGTCGGCGTCATCGGCCAGCACGTCGCCCGCCTCGTCGACGCGAGAGCCAGTCAAGGCGGTCCGTAACAAGAAGCCGCACTCATGCACCGAATGTCGCCGGCGCAAGAAGCTATGCGACCGCCGTGTGCCAGGGTGCAATCAATGCGTCTCGCGCGGGACTGTGAGCCTGTGTCGGTGGGGCGACGAGCGCGATGCGCAGCCGGCCCGAGCACGCGATGCACAGAGGGCGCTGCACTCGTCGCGACCATCCTCGCACGCCTCCCCTTCGCAGTCCGTGCTGGACAATGAGCAATCTGTGAGCACTTTGCGAGTGCACTGTTCACTCTGGCCTCGCTGACCGCTCTGCAGCTCATGTACGAGCTCAGTCGAGGCGAGATCACCGCCCATCAGGGCGAATTGTCGTCGTTGAGATCCGCGTCGCCACCACAGACATCTCGGGACAATAATGGCCCCGATCGGCATCTGGCATTTGCACACGCCAAAATCCTCGTCGATCTCTTCTTTTCCACAGACATGTTTTCAGGCATGGTCGACGAGCAGCTCGTTTTCGACACCCTGGCCGGGGCTATGGCTGCAGACTCGCCGTATGCAGGCGGCAGACTGGTGGAGCTGCGGGCAGACAAGCCCGACGTCTACGCCTTGATCCTGTACCTGTGCTCATCGGCGCTCTTTCTGATGCCGCAGACGTATGCGATCACGCTGGGTCTCGTCGAGCAGGGCGACGAGGTGATTGAGCTGGTCGGCTTTTTGGACAAGGAGGCGCAACGCGCCTTGTCGTCGATGAAAAAGGCCACGATTGAAATGGTGCAGGCGCGCATGCTGTTCCAGCTCAATCTTGCCCACCGGTGCGTATGTGTACTAGGTGCCTGATGCTGAGCGCTGACCATTGCCCTGCCTTTTGACAGCGTCGATCTTCGAGACCACGTCGAGACAATGGACAGCATCATTCGCACCGCACGGTGCCTCGGCCTAGACCGTCTGGGCACCGTGGAGCAGGACGAGGCAATGTGGCGCGCGATGGATCTGCAGGGCGAGACACCGGGCACGGCCGACTGGCACTCTGCGGCCCTCCCAGCAATGAGGAGCGAGAGGTCCTGGGCGGCCACCACGCTTCTCCGCCGCGATCGCCGCGCGCGCAATCTGGGCCGCTTGCACTGGCTCTTTTTGCGCGGCAAGGACTGGGCCCTCGCGCAGATGCTGGGCTCCTACACGGTGTACAAGGGCTCCTACACGACCGGGCTTCCCCGAGTGTACAAGGAGCCGTCGACGGATAACTTCAGCGAGGTAGGTGCTACGCCTCTGCCCTGGCTCGGATAGCGCTACTGACGTGCCGCTCTGTCCTGTCATTGCAGATGCAGCAGACAATGTATTCGATTGCCGACGTGGGCCTCGAAGCGTTCCGGCGCTTCGCCGACATTTGTGCAGACGCAGAGACCCAAGGACGGACAATCGACTATGGCGCCATCCTCGAGCTTGACAGCGAGATCATGGCTACCCTGGCGTCTCTTCCAGACTGGCTCCAGGTGGACAAGGTGCCGAGGAGCAGAGAGATGGCCAAGGCACGCATGGGCGCCGTCATGGTGGGTGATCTATATGCTTTGCCCTTTTCGACGCATCACATTCTCACACTGCTGCACACCAGGTCTGCTCCACGCTGTGGCATAGACTGTTCATGATTGTGAGTCTGCTCTGTATGCGCTTTCTGAGCTGGCTGACCGATGAATTCGACAGCACCGGCCCTTTTTGCTCTTGAGTCGCACGCAACCCGAGCAGTACGGGCTGTCGTCGTCGCGCTCGTGGGACTACGCCATGATGTGCATCAAGGTCATGCAGGGCAGCGACAACAATCTGATGATGAAGAACATCGGCGTCGTCTTTCGCATGATCCAGGCTGCCCTGGTGCTCATCTCGCATCTGTTTCTCAAGTCTGTCCAGCTGGACATGGGCGAGGTCGTCGAGGTGCACGAGCAGATCCAGTTTGTCGTTACGACAGTCAAGCACATCGAGAGTCTCTGCGACCCGCGCAGCGTCTTTGCCGGCCAGGGCCGCCGCCTCGAGGCCGTCCTGGTCGCGGCCTCCAAGATCAAGAGCGGAGTCACACCTCCACTCAGTCTCTCACTCGACCACGGCCGCTTTGCAGCACAACAGAACCCCTCTTCCCATATGCCATCCGTTGCTCGGTCCTGTCTCGACACGGCGCTGGACGAGCACCTGATGCGACTCTTGTTTGAGTGCGATGCGCCTGTTCTCGACCCCGAACACTCTCAAAACGCGGCTGCACGGGCTGGGAGCGTCTTTGCGTCGGGCGACGTGGTCTGGGACGAGCTGCTGAACCTCGTCGATGGGGCAGCGCCGAGGTAGTCGATATCGAACTGACAGCTGGTATTGCCGGGCTTGGGAGAAGGAGGAGAACGGGAAAAGCAGGGGGGAGGGAGCCATTGCCCGGCTCAAGGCCTGTTGTTTATGAAGCCGGACCAGAGCCGGCTCGGTTTTCCATTCCGTTATCTATCACTCAGGCAACAAGCACGCCCGTGTTTGCGCGTCCGTATTGGATGATAAGATTGCTCCCACGTCGAGATAAGCGTATCTATGACATCGGCTAAACCACACTGGAGAATGAATAGCCCGAATGTCATGGCCATGTTCATCACATAAAGAAGGGGAAGACTTGCTCGGAGGTATTCCCCCCTTCCCAAACCAGAAACCATGTCGATGCCAGTTGTCCTCAGCGGAGAGTATGAAGCGATGCGCCAAGCTGTGTCGGGCTTCGCCCAGCAGCAGCTTGCGGGCGTGGAGAAGCTGATCAGCGGATGCACCACCGATGCCGAGCGATTTCAAAAGACCAAGCCAATCTACGAGGCAGCCACGGGAGCAGGCCTCATCCGCGGCCAGATCAGCAAGCCGCTGGGAGGCGATGCCACGAGCAACTTTTCCGCCGCCATCGTCGTCGAGGAGTTCTACGCCGTCGACCGCACCGCCTCACTGACCATCTTTGGCACTGGCCTGGGACTGACACCCCTCATGATGGCCGGCAATGGGGACCAGCACAAAAAGTACCTCGCTCCCTTTCTCGAGACAAAAGGCGCGCCACTGGCCAGCCTCGTCTATACGGAGCCTACAGGCACGGCAAACTACAGGGACGTCGACGGCCCCGGCATACAGACGACTGCACGCCTCGAGGGCGACGAATGGGTGCTCAATGGCGAAAAGGTGAGCAGTAGTAGCAGCCTTGTCATCGACAACAGCCCGCTTACAGTAATCCCTCGCAGATGTGGGCCACCAACTGTGCCGGCTGGGACTTCAAGGGTGCTGAGCTGCAGTGCGTCCTCTGCAAGGATGTGTCTGTCAGCAAGGGCAGCAACGCTTCCATGCTGCTTCTCGTCAGCCGGGCAGACATCGACGCCAACAAGCCCGGTGCCTTTGTGGTGAAGCGGCATCTCGAGAGCGCAGGGCACAAGGCCACCTCTGGACCTCACGTTGCCTTTAAAGACCTGCGGGTGCCCAAGTCGGCGATCCTGGGAAGCGTGGGCCAGGGCCTTGACATTACCGAAAACGCATTCACCGTCTCGGCTGCCATTGTGGGGGCCATGAGCGTCGGTGTGATGCGAAGAGCCTTTGAGGTCGCACTGGCCTATGCCAAAAAGGAGACACGGGGAGGCGGCGCCAAGCTCATTGAGCACCAGAGCGTCGCCGATCTCCTCATCGGCGTCAAGGCGCGCGTCGAGACGTCGCGGCTGCTCACGTGGAAGGCGCTTTCGCTCATCGACACCGTCGGACTCGAGGCGGCGCGCGAGACGGCCTTTCACGCCAAGGTCTTTTGCTCCGACTCGGCCGTGCAGAGCGTCGTCGACTGCATTTCGGCTGTTGGCGTGAGCGCCTACTCGACCGAGATGCCGCTGGCCTCGCTCCTCAACGACGCAATCTGCCTTCCCATCTTTGATGGCGGCAATGTCGGCGTCCGCAGGAGGCAGATTCAGAAGCTCTTTCTCAGTGAGCAGTACCAGCCGTGGGCCGCCTCTTTTGCGTAGTAGCGCGGTGGTCTGCATTTTGTCACACAAGTTCAATGTTTGACTGTCCCTGAACTCGATGTTCCCGAACCTAATGTGTGACTGTACCTCGAATTCAACGTGTGACTGCTACCCGAGCTCAGTATGTGAGGGTCCCTCAAACTCCATGAATGACGCTGAAGAAAAAGAATTCACAGTCGAAAAGTAGAGCCATTCACACCTCAATCTCCCACACCGCCTCGTCGTCTTTTTCGCAGCGAATGTCGTAGCCGAGCGTACGCATCCGCTCGGCCACGGTCCAGTGCATCTTGGGGTACTTTTCTCGCACGGTGCGGTGGCGGCCAAGGTTGGGCCCCACCTTTTTGATCCACTGGCCCTAGAGGGAGTGAAGACAGCGGGGATGAGCAGCTGCCGATGCTTCTTTGCACGTGCCCAGACTCACCCCTGCAGACTTCTTCCTGTACTTGACCGGCCAGGCTTCGAGGATCCACCAGGGACGGGACTGCTGGAGCTGGTCGTTGATGTCGGCCTGGCAGTCAAAGTGGTCCTCGTAGAACTCGGGAAGGATGTTTGGATCGTTCCAAAAGTTCTTGCTGGTGTTCTTGCTGGTGAATGTGGGCAGCGTGGACACCGTGCTGCCGCTCAGGTCGTCTTCGGCCAGAGGCTCTTCGATGAAGAGGCGGGTCTCGGAGGGCGGCAAAAAGGCATTGCGCAGCGCGGCAGCACCTTTGCAGTCAGTCGAGGCAGCCATGCGACTGCTGTTCCGACGTAATGAACTACGCCGGGCTTCGAGCGGTGGCTGTCTGCCCGATGCAAAGCGATCCAGCGCCGATGGCGGCGGCTCGCAATGGGGTGGACGACGGGGCTGCAGAACCGGCCAGAGGGTTTGGACGTCGAGCCCGTGCTCAGCAAGGACATCCGAGTGGAAGAGCATGCCCGTGTTGCAGGCAAAGGCTTGTCGGAGCATCCACCTGAGCGGGATCCTCGAAAGCATGTGCCGCGTCTCGTTTGGCACCGCGCCTCCGCCCACGTCGGCATGGGCGCCGCAGAACCACACCTCGAGGACATCGGTCTCCTGCAGCCGGGCTTCTTGGCCAAACTCGAGACGGTCGCGCTCGTTGAACTGCGACATGAGCAGCGCCTGCTCGTTTTCCTTTGTCTGTCCGTCGCCGGCAAAGAGGCTCTTGCGCCGTCCGATCGTCGCTGGCCCGCTCTTGTCTTCGCCGGAGCCGCGACGGAGCACGGGTGCCAGGCTCAGTCGTCGCTTCGGAGGTGCGTCGTCGACCTGCTTTACCTTTTGTCCCTCGTCGTCGTCTCCCTTTTCCTCAAAGTTGAGCGCGTTGAGGTTGACGTCTCCCAGGGCTGCGTACTGCGACGATGCTCGAGGCATAGTGATGTGCTCCTCCTTGGTGGACAATCTCCGGGCAAGGGCATCCAGGCCTCGCTGCGTATGAACCCTGTCGAAAAAGTCCTCGTCCTTGTCGGCACGCGAAGGAGCACGGTGATCCAGAACTTCGTCTTCAGGCACGCCATTGGCTGAAAGCATCTGCTTGCAGCCGTCGAGTGCCATTGCGCCGGCGCTCTTGCTCTTGAGCGGCTTCGCCCGTTGGAACCAGTGGTTCACCTTGAACTTGGCCCGTCGTTCGTCCAGGGCGAGCGCATGTCGAAAGTAGCAGACGGCGTCGTTGTTTGTCTTTGCAAAGGGCAGAATTCTAGCACAACAGAAGTCAGCTTTCTTTCTCTAGCGCCCAGGAGGTGACGACTCACCGGGGAATGAAGCCGACACTGGCGACCGTGTCCCAGCAGCCGAGAAAGTAGACGTTGACGTCGATGGAAAAGGTGCGCTTAAAGTCGGCGCTCATCTTCCATCCGTAGGCGCTGTCGTCCTTGTACCATTTGTACGCGAATGTGATCTGGGCCTGGTTGTGGGCCGGCAGGAGACCGACCTTGTGGAGCATGCCGGCCAGTGCGCGGGCAGTGTATGCACCGCGGGAGAAGCCAACGATGCAGATCTTGTCGCCCTCGCGATAGTTTTGCATGAGAAACGAGTAGGCCTCACGGACGTGGTCGCCAAGCGAGGCACCCACAGCCATGTCGAGCGCCGCCGAGAGCCCACTCTGAATCTGCCCGCGGTACGAGTCGGCATACGTGCCCACGCCCGTCTGGTAGTAGGTCAGCTGGGTGGGGTCATCCTTTTTAAGAGCGGCAAAGAACTTGACGACGTTGGAGTTGTCGTTGTCAAACTCGTCGCCGGTCCCGTCGAGGCACACGACAATGGTCCTTGCTGAATGTGAGTGCTGGTGCGCAGCGTCCTTGTACGCTCGCAAGACGGGCGGAAAGTCCTTGGACGACACCTCCTCCATGGTGGTGATGGTGGGCAGACAAAAGCGCTGTCAAAGTCGGCAAGTACAGTACGTCCGTGCGTCGGTGTGCTTGGCTTGCCTGCGCCGCGCCAGGCTTTACACGAGCGAGCAAGCAAGCACGTCTGCCACAAATGCAAGGAGCACTTTCCGGCCAAGCTCCCGTCGTAACAGTATACTTTAGCGTGAACCTTGGGTTTTTTCAGTGAGCCCGACGGATCAAAGCGGAGTCTATACATGCTGTCAGTGCGCATCGCGGTCTGCCAAACGATTCGATGCGCGAGCGAGCCGAGTTTTGGTAGCGCACAAAAGTTTGCGCCGCAGGGTTTAGCCAATCCCGTCCGTGTCTTTGGTTTGCACACGGGCCAACATCAGCGCCATTTTAAGGTTGGGCCAGCGACTCCAACCTCTAGCCTCAAACCTTGTTTGTCTTCATCAACCCAGTCACGATCGTATATATATATGTCAGCCACTGGCGGACTCTCTTCTCGGCAACACCGTCTGTGCGTCACAACAGCGATTCCGTGGCCAAGCTCGCTTGGAAGTGCTCGATGGACGGGATGCACTGGGATGCATGTGAACGAACATCGGGCGCGTTACTACACTTGCTGCCTCTCTTTTATTTTTAGTTGTCCCACTGCTAATTATAATGTGGAGTGGTATATCCCTGTCGGCTGCCGATCATGCGCGGTGCAATTGTCAGCACGGGAGCTTTTCAGTTGCCTGTCCTCCGTCGTCTGAGCCTCGCTTCCCACAATTACACCCCAGCGTGACACTCGAGACGATGCCGAGCAACTTCTCAAAGGTGGGCAGGGCAGCGACGAGCATCGTAAGCACTTCCTGACACGCTTGCCTCCTCTTAGCTTGTAGGCACCATCAAGCGCAAGCCTGCGAGCGCGCCCGATGGCCGCACCGATGACGAGGCACGCGGGACCGAAATGGTCAAGGACACGAGCATCCTCCACGACCTCACCCACCTCCGGGGCAAGGACGCGCTGATGCTCGCCCATGCGCTCAAGGATCTCTCAGCGGGCGAGCCCCTCAACGACCGGGACCTGCTGCTCGAGCACGGCGTCTCGATGCTGCAGAGTCTTCCGTCCAACTCGGGCCTTTCTCATGCGATCAGCAACGGCTTCATCGGGGTGCGTTGCTTGCGTTGCTTGCTTTGCTTGCGTTGCCTGCGTGAAGAGCACACTTGGCAGAATGCTCACCAGACAGAATGAACACTGCAGATGCTGTGGAAGGATCTGCCTCATCGTGAGTGCCTGTTCGAGCAGAACGGAGATAAAGACAGCTGACTCAAGTACACACAGCACCCGGGACGACTGTGGGCCCCCAGGCCATCTATCGCTCGGCCGACGGGAGCGGCAATGTGCCTTGGAACCCGGACATGGGCAAGGCAGGCTCACCCTACTCGCGGACGGTCCCGCCAATGACGCCCAAGAGCCCCTTCCTGCCCGACCCAGAGCTCGTGTTTGACCAGCTGCTGCGACGGAGGTCATTCACCGAGCACCAGTCTGGCCTTAACCGCCTCTTTTTCAGCTTTGCCACGGTGGTCATCCATGTGAGTGTGTGATGAATGATAAACCGTCCACAGCTGCCTTACCCATCGAGGTCCGTCCACAGGAATGCTTCCAATCCGAGCACGGCAGGCCCTGGATCAACCAGACGTCGAGCTACGTCGACTTGTCGACACTCTACGGCAACAATCAGGAAGAGCAGAACCGGGTGCGGACATTTGAAAACGGCCGCATCCACCCAGACACGATTGCGTCTGACCGCATCATGATGGTGGGTCGTCGTGTCAGTAAGCGAGAGGGAAGGACCAGCTCACACAGCCCTGCAGATGCCGCCCGGTGTCGTCGCCGTCCTGATGCTCTTTTCGCGCCACCACAACCACATCGCCGAGCGGCTGTCGAGCATCAACGAGCAGGGCAAGTACAAGCCTTGGGTGGGACTGAGCGACACGGAGCAAAAGTGGCAGGACAACGACATCTTCCAGCTGGCGCGCAACATCAACGTTGCCTTTTTCGCAAAAGTCGTCCTGACCGACTATGTCAGCGCCATCCTCAACACCGTCCGGGCCAACACGGACTGGCATCTCGAGCTGGGCGCCGAGATCAAGGAGCTCGGTGGCAGCCGCCTCGAGCGCGGCACGGGCAACGTCGTCAGCTGCGAGTTCAACGTCCTCTACCACTGGCACGCTGCCCTGAGCGCAGCCGACGAAAAGTGGATGCAGGACACCATCAAGGCAGAGTACCCCGACATTGACCCCGACGACGTCACGGCGCCGCAGTTTATGGCCATGGCCAAGAAGCACAAGGCCACCCTGGACGCCATCCCGCCGAGCCAGTGGACGTTTGGCGGGCTCAAGCGCGGCGACGATGGCCACTTCAACAGCGAGCAGCTCGGCGAGCTGATCAAGAACTGCATCGAGGAGCCTGCGCACGCCTTTGGCGCCCGCGGCACGCCCAGCTGCATGAAGGTCATTGATGTGCTCGGTCAGCTGCAGGCCCGCAACGTGTTCAACGTGTGCACGATGAACGAGTTTCGCAAGTACCTCAACCTCAAGCCGTTTGACTCGTTTGAAGAGTGGAACCCCGACAAGGACGTCGCCGCCGCCGCCGAGAAGCTCTATGGCCACGTGGACCAGCTCGAGCTGTACCCGGGCCTGCTGGCCGAGGAGGCCAAGCCCAACATGCCCGGCAGCGGCGTCATGCCCGGCCACACCATCGGCCGCGGCATCCTCGACGACGCGGTGGCCCTCGTGCGCGGCGACCGGTTCCTCACCTACGACCTCAACTCGTCGACGCTCACCAACTGGGGCCTCTCGCAGCTGGTGCCTGTGCCCGGCGCCTACGGTGGCTTCTTTGCCCACCTCCTCTTCCGCGGCCTGCCCTACGCGTGGGGCCGCGGCTACAGCAGCTACAGCCTGCTGCCGTTCTACACGCCCAAGTCGGTCCGCCACATTCTCTCCAAGAACAAGGTGCTGGACAAGTACGAAACGGACCGGCCGGCGCCCACGCTCAAGCTCCACGGCATCCACTCGTTTAGCGCCTGCAAGGCTGCCTTTCACGACCGCGACACCTTCCGCGTCTTTTACGACCGCAACCTGCAGCCGCTCACGGCGCGCGCCGGCTTCTTTCTCGGCTACGACGACCACGCGCGCCACGACCCCATGAAGAGCACCATGCACGAGGCCTTTTTCGAGCCGGGCTTCGAGGCCCACGTCCGCGACTTTTTCCGCAAGCACACTGCCGCCGCCATCCAGCAGAGCTCGCTCTCGTTTGACCGCGCCAAGGACAAGCGCCGCCACCAGCTCAACGTCGTCCGCGACGTCTTCAACAAGGTCCCCGTCCTCTGGGTCGCCGACAAGTACGCGATCCCGCTCAAGACGGCCACCACACCCCACGGCCTCCTCTCGCCCTTTGAGCTGCATGCGCTCCTCACGGCCCTCTTCATCTACTCGTCCTTTGACATTATCCCCCACGCCGCCTGGGTCCTGCGCCAGGCCGCCGAGCAGTTTGGCCCGCTGATGCGCAAGATCCTGGCCGCGCGCATGGCCATCAACTCGGGCGTGCGCGAAAAGGTGCACGACATCTTTGCCAAGGGCACCGCCTACGAGGTCAGCGAGCAGGCCGACCACCTGTACCACACGCTGATCAAGAAAAAGGTGCCGACGGACAAGGCCGTGGGTGCGCTCCTGGGCACCATGATTCCCATTGCGGGCAACCAGACGCAGCAGGCCGGCTTGCTCCTCGACCTCTTTCTCACCCCTGGCTACGAGTACGCAAAGGACCGCATCGTCGAGCTGGCGGCGCGCGACGACGACGACGCCGACGCCGAGGAGGAGCTCGAAATGTGGGTCTGGGAGGGCATGCGTGTCGCCGGCGTCGTGCCTGGCCTGCCACGCATGGCCGCCCGCGACGTGACGGTGCCCGACGGCGACGGCGGCCGCACCGTCGACATCAAGGAGGGCGAGCAGGTCATCCTGGCCACCAGCAAGGCCCACCTCGACCCGGCCCAGTTCCCCGACCCGCTGCGGCTCGACCCCAAGCGCGACAGGAAGAGCTACATCCTCATGGGCTCTGGCCTGCACCTCTGCTTTGGCGCCCGGCTCGTGGCGCCGAGCATCGTTGCGATGCTGCGCGAGGTGTTCAAGCTCAAGAATGTCCGCCGCGCGCCCGGCATGCCCGGCCGCTTCATCAAGATGCACGAGGATCTGGGCCACGTCCACGATGCCGCGCGCATCCACCTCTACCTCGACACCAACTCGCGCGAGGGCCCCGTGCCGAGCACGCTCATGATCGAGTACGACGAGTGATTCGCAGTTCACTTGGCGTCAGCACCGGACTGTCAATGCAATGCAAAATAGTGTCGACTCCTTGCAATGGCATTGATATACACTACTACTATGCGGTGTCGAAGTGGAGATGCACCAGAGGAATGCGCGTAAAGAGCCCAAAATAAATCTTGCTCTCTGGGACTAGAATTAATTTTGCTTGAGGGGACAAGGTACGAAAAAGAGGCGCAGTCAGCTGGAGCACCTCTGTCTGTTCCTCTGGCTTCTTCAGAACCACCCTCACTCACCTTCTCGACAATGGCTACTTCGTCGTCCTCCTCAAATTCGGAGAAGTACGAGATCATCCTGCGTGCCTACAAGGCTTTTCGGGATCATATGGCTGAAAAGCCGGCCGGCAATTGGGTCGAAGGCTTGACGTACCTCGATTCGGACGTCAAGATCGAGAGACTTGCAGCTTTACATGCTGCATCGACGCCCGACAACAGTTGGGCAGTCATGCTTAAGCTGGCCAAGGGCCAGACAGTCACTGTCGCAGAGCTCAATTCGCTCAGGCACCCCGTCACCTACGTTCAGCAAGGCACGTACCTGGATCTGATCATCAGGGACGGTGTAGTCGTAGGTCGGTACAACGGCTGCGCATATGGAGCCAAGGGTCTTCAAAGGCGCATGGGTGACTATAGGCGCGAGTCCTACTATATGAAGTGGGCCGGCGTCAAGTACGGGCACTATGGACCTCAGGGCTGGGCCTTGGACCACGACGGTGTCGCTCATAACGAGCATATGTTCGTTGTTACGACCGTTTTTGCCGACGACGCCTCCCTTTGCGAAGTGAGTGGTCTTTATAGTCACAAATGTGGCACGGCAAGAAGGAGGTCCGATTGGTGCAGGAATGAATATTCTCAAGGGACACCCGAGGCAAAATTCAGATTGCAGAGAGAAGAAGCAAGCAGACTGACAGCCGTCCTATTCTACAGTACGAGGTCAAGCTAGCAGAGACCGTCAATAATGGCATCACGAACTGCTACAGCAAGGAGCAGTTCAATGCCAAGATGACTATCGCTGTTGGCAATGGAGTCGACTTCTCTTCGGCTGGCTCCGTCGCTCGCCTCAACAACTCGTACGGTCTGGATCAGGACTTTTTTGACCACGACCAGACTATTCGAGGAGGCCAGAATTCGCTTGCCGCGCGGAAAGCGAAGGGACCTGAGTTCGAACGAGAGCATCAGGCTATGGCAGGTCGCGCAAGCGCCTCGTCGTCAATGCAGCGCCACGGCCTCACGAGCATCGAGATGCACAATCGCGACAGGGTGAGTGGATGTTTCCAATTAGCCGGAGATTTGCAGTGCTTTTTCTCTTGGTCTAGCTCTCCTTAGTGGCTGCAGGCAGCACACAATCTTGGCGCGCGTCGCCCATCTGACAGGAGAGGCTTTCAGATTTAATTTCTCTTGTCAAAATTTGCCTCTTCCAATGTCGCGGTGCTGAAAATGTCTTCCTTTCCAAGTCACCCGAGAAGAAGGCGAGCGACGCAGCAGCTTCGTCGAGCTTCAACAAAGCTAGAGCAGTGGCTTCGAACGCTCAGAAGTTCGACGACCTGTTCGGTGACGGCGTGATGGTGCGGCTGTGCAAAACGGCAGCCGCTGGATACCAGATCTCTTGGGGCAACGCGCAGGAGAAGGGTAAGCAGAAGTTCGGCTTCACCTTTCACGCAGACGAGACCAACCCGCCCAGCGCCGGCGAAATGGTCAAAGTTCGCCTCCGCAAGCGTGCAAATGCGGTCTCGACTCTCTCGAAAGAGGGAGTCTATCGCTATTACGATCTCATCATTGTGCACGACGGTACGACCTACTTGCACAGTCCTCTGCGCGTTCGGACCCAACCGACGCCGAAGATCAAGGAGATCATCGACGCGAAGGAGGCTCTCGATCAGTAGAGCTTCCTTTTTTTTCGCATTTCTTATCGACAACTATCGGAAACCTATTCATTCTTAGACTACAAGTACATTCGAATACAAATCACCTGCCTGTGACGTCGGCAATGTCGCGAGGCTCGGTGAAGCGCGTGCGGGCAATGAGGAACCAGTTGGCGAGCGCGAGAAGGACCGAGGCGACGAGGACGACGACGGCGTAGTTCATCTCGGAGCCCATCGTGACGGGGTACACGGCGGGAAAGAGGAAAAAGACGGTGGTGACGGCAATGTAGAGGAGCGCGATGACGTTGACGAGAGGGCCCCAGCGCTGGCCCAGCGGCGTCTGCGCGCAGCCCAGGCGGGAGAACCAGTCGCGGCGGTGGAGGAGCATGAGGGCAATCGAGGGAATGTAGGACATCTGCAGCATGACGACGGACGCGCTCTGGACGGCCGTGATGGCAATGGGCGAGCCAAACATCATCAGCCCAAAGACGGTGAGCCAGCCGAGGTTGAAGGCGACGGCCCACAGCGGTGTCTCGAAGCGCGCCGAGACGCCGCCCAGGTGTGCGGCGAATGGCAGGCAGCCGTCGGTGGCAAACGACTGGACCATGCGCGAGCAGGTGATGACGAGCGCGGGCGTCGTAAAGAGTTGGTTGGCTGGAGGCTCATGATATGTGAGTTCGGTGCGAAAGAGCCAGGGAAGGGAGAGCCCTCACCAAGATAGATGAAATCGATAAAAGTGGTCCCGACCAAGCTGCCCAGGCTCTGCATGATGGCGACGAGGTAGCCACCGCCGAGGCCCTCGACAACAGCCGTGGCATCCGTCGTCCCGGCCAGAAAGGCGATGCAAACGACGAGGGCCGAGGAACCGCCAATGAGGCAGGAAAAGACCATGGCCAGCGGCGCGTTCCGGCGCGGGTTTGCAATCTCGTCGACGATGTGCGCCGCCCCGTCGGCACCCACGAGCGAGTACTGCGTCTGGAGAAGGCCCATGATCCAAGCCACGCCGTCGGGCCAGCCCGTCTGGTTGATGAATGTGGTAAAGATCCAGCGGCCGTCTCTCAAGGTGCCGTGGGCGCCCGAGCAGGCGAGCAGCGTCACTGTCACCGTCACCGCGCCAATGATGGACCACTTCGGGGGAGGGAGAAGAGCCGGTCAGCAGCGAGATCATCAGCGTGGAAAAGGGTGCGAATACACACGAAAAGAGCCGCCGTGTTGAGCGAGTTCATCAGCCGGACGCCAAACGCATTGATCAGCGCTGCATAGACGGACAGGGCCATGTACAGCACAAACTGGAACCAGGGACCCGGCTGGAAGGTGGGGTGGAACAGCTGGATGTTGATCTGGATGGACTGGGCGGTGAGAAAGGGCGCCGTCGACGTCAGCGCGAGCCAGCCAGCCGTGCCCATCCAGCCGCTCATGTAGCTCAGAAAGCGCTGGCTGCGCCGTCCGTCGGCCAGCGAGAAGCACCAGTGGTACCTGTGTCTATGTAAGCGCTACTGTCTTATGTCTCGTGGGTAGAGGAGTACATACTGAGCACCCTTGGTTGGGATCACCTGACACATTTCCGCCAGGCTGCAGGCGATGGCGAGCGCACCCAGGGTGCCCACGACGGTGCCCCACACGACCGACACGGGTCCGCCGGATCCCAGACCAATGTAGATCGAGCCCGAGCTGGCACCCCAGGTGTTGAGAATGGCATAGCTGAGGCCCAGGAGCGCCATCGTCGAAAAGTGCTTGGGCTGCGTGGCCCCATTGTTGAGCTCCTCGAGCGACACCTCTGCCCCCTCTTCCTTTTCGTCCCTCTTTGCCATGGCGTCTTCCTTTGTCGACGACATGATGTGGTGTGGTCTGTCTATTCTGTCTTCTAGTGTGTCCTCTGCTCGTCTCGTATCTGTGCTGGTTGGTCGTGAGGCCCGCCGTCGGTCCATCGCCATGGACGGAGGGTCCTCTTTATCTAGCGTACCACCTCGTTCAGACCAGACCTTCGCGCTATCGCTCGCCTACTCTTGCGCCTGTCGTTTGTTTCTACGCGCGCGTCGCTAGATAAACAGACGCCAGATAAGGGATAAAGTTTTAAACGCTGCTTCTTCACTACTATACAGGCTTGCCTTGCACAAAAGTCTGAGCCACTTTGGCCTTGAGCAGCATCTGCTTGCCCTCGTTCTCGGGCGAGAAGAGATCAATGTCTACGACGTTAAAGTCTGCTGAGCAGCCCGCGGCAAAGGATCCCTGGAGATGCTCCACGTGACATGCACGGGCCGCGCCCTGTGTGGCGGCCGCGACCGCTGCCACAAGAGGCAGTGCAAATTGGGGTGTCGTGCGTGTGTCGAGCTGGGGATCGCGCGCAGATCGGCGCGTCGTGGCAATGTGCAGATTGGGCAGAGGAGGGAAGGGCGCTGTGGGGGCGTCGGTGCCGATGGCAATGGGTGCGCCAGCCTCGAGAAAGTCTCTGTAGGCGAATGCACGGTTGCAGCACCGGTCTGCATGGGGCCCCCCAAGCTGGTTGTACCAGTTGTCCAGCAGCGCAGGGTCGGCGTGCACGGGCTGGACAGACGTGGTGATGCCGAGCGAGCCGAGCTTTTGGACGTCGGCAGCGGTGCTCAGCTCGAGGTGCTCGATGCGGTGCCTGCGTGCGACGATGCGCTCGCGGCCCAGCGACGCCAGCGCCTCGACGGCATTGTGCACCGACAGGTCGCCGATGGCGTGGATAGCACACTGCAGGCCCAGCTCGTCGGCTCTCTGCACGGCAGCCGTGAGGCGGTCGAGGGGCCAGATGGGTTCCGCATTGCTCCCGTCGCGGTAGGGCGCAAGGAGCGAGGCGGTGCACGAGTCAATGACGCCGTCGGAGACGAGCTTGATGCCCACGACTTGCAGGTACTCGCTGCCCTTGCGCCTCTCCTGCAGCTCCTTTGCCCGGTCAATGGCCTTCAGTGACTCGGCGAGGTCCGGCTTGGGCTCGACGTGCCAGTAGGCCCTGACGCGCACCGGCAGTCGGCCCTGCTCCTGCTCCAGCGACGTCAGGATGGCAAATGCGTCTTCCTCCATCAGCAGATCCCCCACGGCCGTGTAGCCCGCGCCCAGGAGGGCCGCAAAGGCGTTTTCGATGGCACGCCGCTTCTCTTCCGTAGTCGTCTGCTTCTGCAGGAAGCCGGCCACCACGTTGAGATGGGCCAGCTCCTGCATCCACCCTGTCGCCCGCCCGTCGGCGTCTCGGACGATCTTGCCGCCGGGCGGGTCGGGCGTCCTACCGTCGGCGTCAATCGCAAGCTCGGCGAGGGCGGCCGAGTTGAGCAGCGACGAGTGGAGGTCGTACGACTCGATGTAAACGGGCTTGTCGAGCGTGTCGAGCGACGCGCGGTCGATTTCGCGTGGCTCCGTCATGCCCTGGATCCAGTTCTTGGCCAGGATCCGCACCGCATCGGGGTGCGTTTGGTTGTGTGCCTCGAGGCGCTGCAGGATGTGCGCCAGCGAGGTGCAGCCGGTCAGATCGACCTTGTCGAGCGACTCGCCGAGCGGGAGCAGGTGGCAGTGGGCGTCGACAAAGGCCGGCAGCGCCAGCCGGCCGCCCAGGTCCACCTCGTGTGCGCCCTGCAGGGGTCCATCGACAATCTTGCCGTCGCGCACCGAAAGGGACGACAGAAAGATGCCGCCCTGTGGGCTATCCACAAAGAAGCGTCCGTTGGTAAAAGTAGTCAAAACCATGTTGGGGCCCAGCACAAACTGGGAATTGAGCCCTCATTTAAACTTTATCGGAGCCGCCAAGAGGCCAATTGACGCGTCGGCCAATGCGACGAGCTAGGCGACGGCTAAGCGCAGTCAGAGAGAAGAGGTACAGTTACAATTGTTACGCGAGGGCAGATAAGGATACAAAGGAGATCTCAGAATGTGTAGCAGATCGTCAGGCCGTGCTCGACGAGGACCTCTCGCCAGTCGACGGCGCGGCCCGTCTCGTCCATGACGCGCCAGATAACCTTGACGGCGTGGACATTGTCGAGGACGGCGCGTCTGAGGAGAGGTCAGTTCATGAATTCCTGGCTTGTCAAAAAGACAACTCACTCGGATCCAAGCGACTCGAGCTGGCTCAGGCACACGGCACGCTGCTCCTCGGTGATGGCGACGGTGCAGGCGAGGAACCAGACCATGCTCATGTCCCACACGTCAATCTGAGGCGCCTGGTCATCGCGCTCCGTCGCCGGCAGCAGCTCCGAGAGGCGGATGATCTGCGAGAGGGCCAGCTGCACCTTGCTCGCCACGGGCCCCAGCCGGTGCACGTCCTGGTACAGCTGGAGGAGCACGGCCTGGCGCCACATTTCGTGGAGCGAAAAGGCGCGGACGCGCGCTGCGACGTCGCACATGTCGCGCGGCAGGTCAATGTCGCTGGTCTGTGGGAGTCGGTTTGGTTTCGTCAGCTTTGATATCCTTCAGCTTTCGAGAGAAGAGGAAACACACCATGATGAGATCCTGGATGCGCTCGCTGCGGGCATCGACGTCGGCCTTGAGCAGGACCCGGCCCTCGTCAATGTCGGCAGCGAGGTCGGAGATGCGCTTGATGCACTCGAGCAAGCCCACCGAGAGCATCGTCACGTAGCAGTAGTCTGCCAGCGGGTTCACGGCGCTGTCGCGGCTGAGCACCGTCGAGCCCGACGCTGGCGCGTGGTCGCGGATGGCCGAGCGCGCGCCCCGGATCGTGGCTGCGTCCATGGCATTGGCAAAGGCCAGCGCCTGGACCATAAAGGAGAGCGTGGTGCCGCACTTGTACGTGTCGTACAGGTAGTCGATGTCCACCTCGACCTCGGTCAGGGCGGCGTGAATATCGGGCGCGAGGGCGAAAGAATCGCGGGCGCCGAGGAGGCACACCGAGGCGTAGCGGATGTTGAGGAGCGTGAGCAGCTTGGTGGCAATGGGCATGCCCGCCTTGGTGCGCTCAAAGCCGTCGTGGGCGAAGCGGAGCCAGGCATGGGCAAAGTGCGATGCGCTCGAGGCCAGGTGCGTCGGCCTTTCTTCTGTCCACGACGAGTGGCACGAGCACCGCTGGCACGAGTCGCCGCCCTTGGTCCTTGCTCTGCTGCCTCCTCCGACTCCTTTGCCGCCGCCGTCGCTGCCACTGCCATGGAGCATGTAGCGCACAAAGCGCGACGGCGGCCGCGCGCACTGCAGCTCCCGCTCAATCACATCGCGGTAGGCCAGGCAGCAGGCGACCATCGACGCCTTGCACGTGTTGTCGGTCCGCGTCACATCCATCAGCCGGTCCATCAGGGGCGCATCGCCCGCAGGCTTGGACGTGTCAAAGATGGCGCAGAGATACGTCTCGTAGATGGGGCTCCAGCGCACCAGCAGCTCGTCGAGGTCGTCGGAGCGCACCGTGCGGTCAATCACCGAGTCCGACCACGGCCGCACGCTCGTCTGGCTCTGCGGCGAGGGCCTGGCGTCGCTCGACTGGCTGGGCGAGGCGCCCGTCGTCGTCATTGTCGCGGCATCAAAGGCGTGTGTCCTCGTGCTGCTGCTGCTTCCACCTCCTCCTCCTCCTCCTCCACTGCTGTTGCCATGGCACTGCTGCATCGTGGGCCCCGTCAGCTCCATGAACTCGTCAAAGAAGCTGTCCAGCCAGGAGTTGCGCCCAAAGATGTCCAGGCTGGGATTCATTGCTGCGCCTGTCGTCGTCGTCGTCGAGGGAGGAGGCGGCCCCACGACGGGCGGCAGGCTCGGCAGCGGTATCGAGGCAATGTCGTCGCGCTGGGTCCGGCTTGGCGCTGGCTCCTCCACCGCCGGCATCAGCGGCGGGCTCGGCGTGGGCACAAGGGCTGCCGACAGCGGCGATGGCGGGTGCGAGGGGCGGCGCAGGGCGGCCGCAGCCGTGCGCGAGGGCAGGCGGCAAATTTGGCCGCGAAGGTTGCAGGCGCTGCAGGCCCACGAGCCATCGGGCCAGCGCTGGAAGTCCTCTGCGCACTTTTTCCGCCTCGTCCGGCACGTCAGACAGCCCTGCTTGGAGCGCTTGTGGTCGATTCTGCGCCGTTTGCCTTGCCCCGAGTCCATCTCGGTCTTCTCGACGAGTCCTCGTCGCTGCGGCGGGCGTGGGCAGGGGGTGTTTGGACGATGGATGGGCAGCGGGTTGCCAATCCAATCCAATCCAATCCAAGCCAATCACCTGGGGCCTTTCTGGGGCCTTTCCTCGGGCCTACTTTGCTCCCCTGAGTCACTCGTCTCCCCACTGTTGTTTAGAATGGCTAGACTATTTTCCTACTCTTATCTAAATTGAATGAGCGAATTTCGTTCTTCCATGAATTTATTGTTGTGTTCCTAGTAGTAAGTCTCATGTGGGACCTTGGGACCTTGGGACCTGACTGGGTGGGGCTAGCTTATCTTGGCCCCGCACTTATCTCTCGAGCGAGCGACTACCCGCGCGCCTGGCGCTTAGGATTAGACGACAAGCGCCCGCACGCTCTACCCCGCGTCCAGATAGAGCTGCGTGACCACCATCGAGATCACGTCGCCCTCAGGCAAGATGCTGCAGGTGCCGACTGCCATCTTCGTCGAGTATATCTCAAAGCTCAGTCTCTGAGCCAGGCTCGACCACGAGTCTTACAAGCCATAATTGGAGCTTGAAGTGCCGAGACGGAAGCCGATACTGACACGGACTGACATTAAGAGCACACAATTGAGTTTGGGAGTAGAATACAGTCACGCCTCGACGCGGCGCGAGTACGAGTCGGCAATCTGCGGCAGGTCCTGCGCCGGGTTCCAGTCAAAGAAGTTGGCCGGCTTGAGCCAGACGGAGAGGTGCTCGACGGGCATGATGGGGAAGCTGGAATCTGGAGTCAGCGCGCGCAGTCACAATCGACGCAGCAAGTCCTACTCACTCCTCGGGCCGGGGCACGTGGGTGATGCCAAAGGTGACCCACACCACCACGTCCTCGTCGTCGGTCTTTTGCCGCTCCTTGACCCACTCGGAGATGCAGTCGTCGGCCGTGTCGCGCTGCTGGGCCACGTACTTGCCCGCGGGCCACAGCTGCGCCTCGTCGTGCCGCGTGACCCAGAGGGCCTTTGTCGCAAACCGGGCCCGCTTGCTCACAATCGAGTCGTGCGCCGTCGCCAGCGTCTCGTAGTCGCGCGTGTGGATGCGGTACGAGACGGGCAGGCCCGAGGCGTAGTGCGTCCGGTTCGCGTTCACAATCGAGTACGTCTGGTGCCGGCTGGGATCCCAGCCGTAGCCGCCTGCGGCCGTGAGGGCGCGCCTGCGCTGCCGGAAGCCGTTGCCGAGGTAGTTGAACGATGTGCCCGTGGCCGCGCCCGTGGGCTCAATCTCGGACTGCACCACCGTGTTCTCGTGGCCGTCAATCATGGGGTCCACACGCAGGGAGAAGATGTGCTGGTGGAGCTGCGCCGTCACCTGGGGCGCCACCTCGACGCCGTACGGGTTCGCCTCGGCCGAACCGGGCGCCTTGAGCGACAGGTTGAGGATGCCCGTGAGCCGGACCTGGAGCTCGACGTTGCCGTCGGTGTAGAAGTTGTAGTTGAAGATGTACTCGTAGTTGGCAATCGTGCACAGCATCTGGATCACCAGCCGCCGATTCCGGGCCGAGTGCACCCGCCCATTGGGCCGGTAGTCGGTGTGCTTGAAGGCCAGGCCGGCGTCCTCCTCGTGGATGCAGATGCACTGCTCGATGGTGATTGGCTGCCCGTCGAGGCCCACAAAGGAGCCGTCGAGGTAGGAGATGGTGCCGAGGCAGTCGCAGCCAATCTTGAGGCTGTTGGCCTGCGTCCCCATGCCGTACTCGCCCACGTCAAAGGCAAACTTGCGCGGGTGGGGGAAGCACGTGTCTGCGTACGGCACCACCATCTCGGCCACCGAGAGGCGGTAGAACAGCGGGCGCACCTCGCCGCCGTCGTTGTAGGTGACCGTCGAGATGACGAGGCCGTCGCGCGGGTGGAAGCCAATGTGAAAGTTCCACTTTTGCCACGAGATCTCATTGCCCCGCAGCGTGTAGCTCACGCCCTCGGGCTGCACCACGTACAGCGGCTTCAGGTCCGTCCTCGGCTTGGCCATGGCCGCATCCTTGGCCATGAGCTCGGGCAGGTAGTCGTAGGACCGCATCGGCGGCGCCATCCGTGCACGCCCGCTCAGCCGCAGACCCTCCTGGGGATCTGGCGTCGGGCCAGCGGGGGGTTGCCCGTCGATGTAGTCGTCGTCTGCGGTCCGGAAGCGGCCAAAGTCAATGGAGAGGACCTCGTTGGTGTTCATGTCGAGCACGACGGAAAAGTCCATTGGGTGTGCATACAGGTTCTCGTGCTCGCTCTTGCGCGCATACACGAGGGCCTGCTGCACGCGCCGCCCAGCCTCGAAGCGGTCGTCGTAGCCAATGGACCAGCCGTCGGCATAGAGATGCTCGGGCTCGATGCCCACCTGCCGGGCCAGCTCGACGACGCGCGGGTCCGACCGGAGCGCATCCTCGGCCTGGCCGACCTCGTCGGGGTGCAGCGAGGGCTGGAGGCCCTCCTTGAGCAGCCTCGCCTCGACGACTTTGCCCGGGGCCACATCGACGATGATTTCGTAGGCACGCCCGGCGATGACATCGACAATCTGGCACTCAGCCCGGCGCCGCGCCAGGAGCCGCTTCGACGCTTCGATGTCGGTGTTGAGGGCTGTCCGGGGCAGCGGCAGCCCCAGTGCAGCCAGCACTGCCTCCTTGGGCGGGTTGACGAGGTAGGAAGAGACGTACTTGAATGCCTTGATGCTTGTTTCCTCGGCCACGTATGCATGCACGATCCGGTGCAGGTCTCTGAGTCTGTTGCCAAAGAGAGTCAGCGTGCGCCTTTGCTGCGGCGAGTGCTACTCACTCTTGCGCGTCAAGTGGATCAAGGGGATGCCAGTGCTGCTGCTGCGGCTTGGTGAGGGCCGCCTGCTTGGTTTTGGCGCAGCAGCCCACCGTTGCGGCGGGCGTGGGCAGAGGGCTAGCAGCAGTGGGCGCCATAATTAATTCTTGGCGTGGAAGGGGAGAATGTCTCTGTTTGGGTCCAGGGGAAGGGGGGGCCGAACGACGAGGGTTCAGGGTTGTTGACCTCGTCTGGTATAAAAGGGCTGCCTGTCCATTCTGTCTACCCCGCTCAGATCTTCCAGGAGCATGGAAGCTTTGAGCGGCGCCTGGCGCTATCTTCTTAGCGACGACGCGTTTGGCGGGGCTATCTAATCGCCCGGCCAAGCGTCACTCGTCGCTTATCGAGGAGAGCCTATCTCTAGCGCCTAGACCCGCAGCGCGCTTCGAACCTTCGGACAAGCGCCACACTGCGAAGCATGTCGGACAACCCCACCCTTATCGACGCTGCCTATCCGCGTCGTACGACGGCGGCATAGAGGCATGCGAAGCGGCTGCGACAAGGCCCACCATCATGCCGTCGACGTCAAAGGACAACGACGTAAAGGACGCCCTGGCTGGGCGCCACCACCAGCAGCAACAGCTCATGGAGACGATTGACTACCACAAGGGCATCGTCACCACCGCCTCGGATGGCTCCCAGCTCGAGCAGGGCCCGCCGCTGCCGGCGCCCAAGGTGCTCAAGCACTTTTCCACCCTCTCCCTCATCGGTGTCAGCCTGTCGATCCTCAACACCTGGAACTGTGCGTTGTTCTCTAGCATGACTCCAGATCCTGACTGACACTTCCTCCACCACAGCGGCCACCGAGGCCATCTACACGTCGCTGCCCGCGGGCGGCAACACGGTGATGCTCTTTGGCACCTTTGTCGGCGGTGCCGGTGCGCTGCTCATCGCCATGTCGCTTGGCGAGGTGTGCCATGTGCTCCCCTTCAGCGGCGGCCAGTGCGTTGCTCGATCCTACTCTGTACCAGCATGACCTTGGCTCACATATCGTACTCCAACACAGATACCACTGGACCTACATCCTGGCCCCACGCCGCGTGCGCCGGCCCCTCTCCCACCTCGTCGGCTGGCTCGGCACCGCAGGCTGGGTCACCCTGACGGCGTCGGCGCCCTACTTTGCCTCGACGCTGACCCTCAACATCATCCCCGCCTTCCACCCGACGTTTGAGCAGCAGCCCTACCACCTCTTTCTCATGTACCTCGCCTTCACCGTCTACGGCACGCTGATCAACATCTTTGGCGTGCGCATCTTTGACGCCATGAACCGGCTCTCGATGTGGAGCTCGGATGCGTCGGCAATCACCATCTTTGTCACGCTCCTCGCCTGCGCGGGCTCCCAGCACCGCCTCCAGCCCGCCAGCTTCGTCTTTGGCTGGCACATCAACCAGACTGGCTGGCCCGACGGCGTTGCCTGGATCCTCGGCCTGCTCCAGACGCAGTATGCCCTGGCGGGCGTCGACGGTGCCGCACACCTCATCAACGAGATCGAGGATGCACACATCAACTGCCCAAAGGCCATGGTCTACTCGTGCGTCCTCGGCGCGCTCCATGCCTTTGTCGTCCTCGTCGCCGTGGCAGCCACAATGACGGACCCGCTGGCCGTCATTGACGCCGGCCCCGCCGCCATCCTCACGGCCTTCATCCAGGGCGTGGGCAACGCAGCGGGGGGCACCGCGCTCTGCGTCCTCGCCCTCAGCACCTTTCTCTTCAACACGCCCGCCCTCATGACGGCCTGCTCGCGCATGGTCCAGTCGCTGGCCGTCGATGGCCAGCTGCCCATGGCCAGCTACCTGGGCCGGACGCACCCCAAGCTCGAGGTGCCCGTCTGGTCGATTGTCTTTACCACGGCCTGGATGGCGGCGCTGGGCCTGCTCATCTTTGGCTCCGACGATGCGCTGAGCGCGATTCTCAGCTCGTCGGTTATTCTTCTTCAGACGTCGTACATTCCCACGATTGCCCTCGTGCTCATGCAGCGGCCCGTGCTGCACTCGCTCAGCCTCTATGGCAAGACGCGCTACAACCTCGGTCCCTGGGCCGGCCGCATCATCAATGCCGGTGCACTGGCCTACATTGCCGTCATCTCGACCTTTCTCTGCTTCCCCACGTCGCTGCCCGTCACCGATGCGGCGAGCTTCAACTACACGATTGCCGTCGTCGCCGGCGTCCTCGTGCTCACGGCAATCAACTGGTATGCCTATGCGCGCACAAACGGCCGCGTCCCCGAAGAGGTCCGTGCCAAGCTTGGCGACGACTTTGAATAGCTCCCTGGCTCTGCATTGCAATGTTGATTCCATTCCTGTCCCACTCTTGCTCTTTGAACTGCCGAGTTCAGTACCCCACTCTTTCTCTAGTGCTGAGTACCCCTCCAAGCCGGGGTCAGGCCGGTGGTTCCCCCCCAGCCAAGGTCGGCAAGCGGCGCGTCTGGCGTCGCTAAGCGTCGCTCAGTTAAGCGCCGCGATAAAGGCGAGATAAGCGCGTCGAGAACCTTGATAAATCTTCTCGAGTCGCACGACCCAGCCTGGACTCAGGCAACCATGCGCGCGCCCATCCTCACCGCAGCAACAGCGGCCGTCTCCCTGCTGACTGGCACACTGGCCACGCTCGATGCCGCGCAGAAGATCTTGGGCCACGACCACAGCAGCCATGACCACATGCGCGACGTCCACGGCGTGTACCGGAACCCGTCGGACGAGTGAGTGGAGTGCTGGGCAAAGGACTGCAAGGACATCGAGCTGACACGCCGGCCCAGCGGCATCAACCCCTTTCCGCTCGTCGAGCCAGACGTGCTGAGCGACGCGAGCATCAACCTCGACACGCCGGCGGGCGACAGCATCTTCTCGGGCCTCGGCACGTTTGCCCACCTGCCCTTTGGCGCCTGCCTCTCGCCGATTGCCGGCCAGCTGCCCGAGGGCAGCGAAGAGGTGGCGCCCGGCGACTCGTTTGACATTGCCGTCGTGGGCATGCCCTTTGACACGGCCGTCAGCTTCCGGCCGGGGGCGCGCTTTGGGCCCAGCGGGATCCGCCACAACAGCAAGCGCATGTCCAAGTTCCGCGGCTACAACGTGCCCCTCGGCGTCAACATCTACGAGAGTGGCCAAAAGATTCTCGACTGCGGCGACATTCCCGTGACTGTGCGTGGGACTGATTTCTGTCTGGTTGTGTGCTTCTAGCTAGCTGACCCGATACGATACTTTGGGTCAGGCCTTTGACAACAACCTGGCCGTCAAGCAGATGCAGCGCGGCTACACGTCGCTCCTCCAGCGGCCCGTCAAGACGCCGGCCAAGGAGGGCAAGAAGCCGCGGTACGCCAAGACGGGCCGGTCGCACCCCAAGCTCATCACCCTCGGCGGCGACCACACGCTGGTGCTGCCCGTGCTCCGCTCCCTCGAGACCGTCTACGGGCCCGTGTCGGTGATCCACTTTGACTCGCACCTCGACTCGTGGGACCCGGGCTTCTACGGCGGCGACGAGGCGTCCAAGGCCTCGACGATCAACCACGGCACTTGTATGTTTCCCCGTCTTTCGTAATAGAGCGAGTGAGCTAAGACGAACTCCCACACAGTCTTTTGGCACGCCGCCAACGAGGGCCTGATCCGCAACGGCAGCTCGACGCATGCAGGCATCCGCACCCGCCTCGCGCATCCCACCGACTACGACACGGACAAGCAGTGCGGCTTCTCGCTCCAGGAGGCCCACGTCATCGACGACATTGGCATCAAGGGCATCGTCAAGAACATCCGCAAGGCCGTCGAGGGCAATCCCGTCTAGTGGGTGGTCTAACGCCCCCTTCTGCTTTGGAGGCACGTGCTTACACTCCAAGACAGCCTCTCCATCGACATTGACGTCCTCGATCCCTCGGCTGCGCCCGCCACGGGCACCCCCGAGACGGGCGGCTGGACCAGCCGCGAGCTGCGCAAGATCCTCCGTGGCCTCGACGGGCTCGACATCATTGGTGAGTGTCCCTCCGTGCTCCTGCTGACCCGCTCCTGCTCTTGATGGGCTGACATTCTAGCAGGCGCCGACGTCGTCGAGGTGGCCCCCGCCTACGACAACCAGGCGGCACTGACGCAGATGGTCGCTGCGGACCTTGTGTGAGTGTTGGTACTCTGCTCTGGAGATGGCTTTGTCTTTCTGACCCACACACGCAGCTTCGAGATCCTGGGTCTCATGGTCAAGCGCGGGCCGCTGTAGGCAAGACAAGGCGAGCTGCAACTCAGACTTATTTCTAAAAAGGGATGAATGATTAGATTTCATGAAATAGTAGAGGATGCTTTGAGAGTAGTGGAAGATTTAGTGAAAGAAGCCTAGCAGTTGTTGTCGTCGCCGCCGCCGCTGATGAAGCGGTACGAGGGCTGCGAGGCGACGCCGTCGTTGAGCTGGATGACGTTGGGGCCCTTTGTGCCGACCTGGTCCGGAGGGAAGACCTGCTTGTTCGACTGGCAGTTGCAGCCGCCCTGGGGCGAGACGATGAGCGAGTACGTCTTGCCCGCAAAGGGGTCCTGGAAGCCGCCGTCGGCGTGGAACTTGACGTACTTGGCGCTGTCGGGGCTGACGCTGAAGCAGCCCGGGTTCGACACCTGGAAGTCGGTCGAGCAGTTGTCGGTGCCCTCGGCGTTGGCGCAGAAGGTGGCCCACACGTTGATGGCGCTCACGGCCTGGGTGCCGGCGAGGGCGGCGATGAGGGCAGCAGCAGCGAACTTCATATTGAAAGTGTGCGAGAGAGTAGCTGGTTGGAGTGGTTGGTTGGAAAGAAGGCTTGGGTTGCTTGTTGAGCTGGATGAGGAGAGGCCTATCCACCCTCCAGACCCCCCTCTTTATATATCTTTGCGGGCCCTGAAGCGAGCCATGGACTGTCTCTGCGTCTCTGCTGTGCGGTCCCTTCTCTGGCGGGGGAGCATCGCTTGATCACTCAAGCATGCACGCATCGCATCAGCGCGCACTCTGCAGCCTCAGCGCCGTTCCTGCGATGGCGTTGATAGTCACTGTACGGACTGGATGCCTTCCACTGTCAGGTCCACGCCCACGTCACGGCGAATTAGCAGAGAGGGTCTCAGGAACGCATGATTGAATCAAGGCCCGATGGGCGTCGTTTCCATTTTGAATCTACCGCCCTCTGGCCAATGTGCGCGTCGGTCGGAATAGAAACGCAGCTGCTCCATAATTCTAAATCTAAATTTGCCGCGTGACGTAGACCTGCTTGGTTTTCTTCTTATTCCCCGCCAGCTGGGGTGGGCGTCGAACCTTGGGCGTGGTTCCTGGAGCAATGCAGGCGCCGCCGGTCGCTGGGTTCCGCCGTCACCGACTCTCTGAGCAGTGAAGAGGGAGCAGCAACCAAGCACAGCCGGCTGCCACCGCCGCCGCATACCTCTTATGCGGTCGCAACCAACGCCATGCAGCTCGCTTAGCAACGTCGCATTGTGCGCCTACGGGCATGCATCATCAGCAAGAGTGCGTCCGCTTCACCTGCCAGAAGAAACCACGTGGCCTCCCAGCTAACATTTTCCGTGCCCCCGAACAGCTCGACAAATTTGTCCTTTTGACGGCTTCGGTTCTCAAAGCAGTCTCCAGAACTGCCGACGAGCTGGCCATATCGCTTGTTCCGAGACCCAGGGACGCTCCAATTTTCTAGATGTCGTGTATTATGAGTCACCGTACTCTGCCAGGGCTGGGCACGTTCTGCGTCTTGACGCATGTTCAGTTGACTGTTGGCATGAGATGTGTTCAGAAGCACCTATTGATAACATACTTAGATATAGTCATCATGACAAGGCCTCGTGTGACATGCTTTAGACATTAAGAAAAGAAGCAATGTCAAGCTGTTCACTGTCCTAGAAGGCAAATGCAGCTCACCTCAGCAAGGACGAGCCGGAGTCTCCCCGGAATCGAGCGTAGTGCAAACAAACTCGACTGTTCGAGCCACGTGCTAGCTAACCCTAACCAAGCCCACGTGAAACGTTTTTCCTGCTCAGACTAAGACCTACAGTGAAGAAAATTCATGGGCTAACGAGCCACAACAGTATTTTCAGTACAGCCATGACCAAAAGTTGAAGAAAAAAAGGAAGGTGCTCATACCAGGGCTCGAACCTGGAACCTTGAACTCTAATCGAATACATACAAGATCCTGTACTGTATTAGATTCACGCGCTGACCGATTGTGCCATACGAGCCCTTGTTATAAGTGTACAATGTTTTATCAACTATATTCCACGCAAAGCTGTCCCCGAAGGTTCCGTGGTGGGACATTTCTAGCACAGCGTCGTAGCGTCGAGCCATGTCCCTCGACATCACTTTCTCTTCTCGACACCCGCAAAAGTTCCGTTGCGGCGACAAGAATCTAGCCTCTTGCACATGGGAGCCACCCAAAACCCGATCACTCCTCTCCTCTCGCGCAAAAGCGCAGTAGTGTGGTGCATGAACTGTTGTCAGAGTTCTCGATTGAAGATCGGAGAAGCTTGCCACGTTGCCGGATTGAGGTTCCGTAGGGCGGAAGCGTGCCGAAGAGCCGACATGTAGTTCAAGCACGCGACATAGTCCAGACCCGTTATCTTTCATATTGCTGCCGCCGGTCGAGGGAGTTCCGCTTCCTAGTGCCTGCATAGAAGTGTTCGTCCCCGCTCGGAAATGAACTCAGCTCACTTTTCTGCGTCTCGCCCTCGCTCGTGCAACTGGCATGGGCTTTTATAGTCCCGGACCCCTGTCTTCACAGCTTCCTCTTGCAATCCATTCTCCTGCCTTGAAACGATGCGTGCAGTCCTCTTGAGCGCCCTGGCCCTCGTTGCAGGCGCCTCTGCCCACATTGGCCGACCGCGCCACGGTTGCACAGAGTCACACCTCCTGGCCAAGCGCCAGGGCGGCACCGTGGCCTCGGAGTCGCAGCTGACGAACCCGACGCAGGAATGCACCGCCTATTCCGTTCCCGGCATCGACGCCAACTTCCTCAAGCTGTTTCCGCAGCCCTGGACGGTCACCCCGGCCGAGATCCTGGCAGGCGACAACGAGGCGCTGCAGTACATGCAGGGGATCAACGCCTCGGGCGTCATTCCAACGTCGATTGGAGTGCGTGGGGCGCAGAACGAGCAGGCATGGGCCGGGGCAGGCCTGGCGGGCACCTACGACATTCCCGGTGATCCCGACTGCTGGTGGACAGACAAGGGCTGCACGACGCCCAAGCACCCAAATCTCATTGCCGACGTCGAGACATGCCCTGAGCCAGAGACGTGGGGCTATTCGGTCGACGATGGCCCCAACTGCACACAGAATGCGCTCTACGACTTTTGGAAGCAGCAGAACCAAAAGGTGTCACTCATGTTCATTGGCTCCAACGTCGTCAACTGGCCGCTCCAGGCCCAGCGCGCCATCACCGACGGCCATCACGTATGCGCCCATGTGAGTGCCTTGTTGGCGTAGGAAGATGACTGCAGCGACTGACTCGACTTCCATTCAGACGTGGTCGCACAAGTACATGACCAGCTTGACGACTGACCAAGCGTTTGCTGAACTGTGGTACACCATCAAGGCCATCAAATACGTCATGGGCATCACGCCCACCTGCTGTGCGTAGAACCGAGCCGAACAAGTCAGAGCCTTTGCCACGCTGACCGTGCCCGTGAGCATCCAGGGCGACCGCCGTACGGCGATGTCGACGACCGGATCCGCGGCATCGCCCAGGGCTTGGGCCTGCGCACCATCATGTGGTCGCACGACACCAACGACTACAACATTCAGCCGTACGGCGCGCAGCCCACGGCATCGATCCAGGCCAACTACCAAAGCATCGAGGCGGTGGGCTCGTCGCCTGCCGCTGCTACGGGCGGCATCATCGTCCTGCAGCACGAGCTTGAGGACGCGGTCATGAGCTTAGCCATCGCAGAATACCCCAACATCAAAAAGAACTTTAAGAGCATCGTCCCTGTCAACACCTGCCTCAACATCACCAAGCCCTACTACGAGGACTACACCTTTCCCGACTTTGAAGACTACGTCGGCGGAAAGATCGACCCGAGCCCCAGCGGACAGAGCAGCATCGCGATTGGTTCGACGAGCTATACCATCACCCCGCTGACCTATGCGGCCTCGTCCTCTGCTGCTGGCTCTGTTGGCACGGCGGCGGCCGCCGGTGGCAGCTCTTCTGCTGCCACGTCGGCCTTTTCTGCCCCGACGGCGCCCGGCGCCACGCCTGTAAACACAGCGGGTGCCGCTGCGGCGACTGTCATCTCGTCGCAGCAGGCTGGCAGCTCGTCCAAGTCGTCGGGCGCCGCCGTAACGCTCGTGCCTGGCCTTTTTGTCTTTGTAGCGGCCCTTGTCGGCGCTGCGCTCTGCTGATATCTTCAATGCCCTTAATAATTAATGTCCCTGCCCTCTTTGTCGACAAGCCTCGAGACTTGAGACTTTGTCATACGTCACAGAGGCTGATGCTGTGCCCGCGCCTCGTATCTCTACGGACAAGCGCCCCGGGCCAGCCTGCAAATAATATCTGCGATTCATTTGGCAGTGACGTTTGAAGTTGTGCTCGGGGCTACAAGCACACTGCCGAGCGATTAAAAAGGAGGCAGCAGTAAACAGACGAGAGTAGTCCGGTATATCCACGCTTCTCGCTCATATCTGCAGACAGGCAATCTGGCACAGCGATGGGCAGTTCACGGGGGCCTTACTCGATGAAGAGATGTGGTGCAAGAATTCAGGCACGTTCAGCAGAATCACCGAGCTAAGGCCGATACCCTCTCAGCCAGAGAGGGTGCCAGAAATCGGTGACACGCAGCAGGCCCATAAAAGAAGAGTCTTTGAAGTGGCCCCCCTTTCTCCCTCCCCATCTTCCACAGCGATGCAGGCCCATCGATCCTTCTTTCTCATCTTTCTTCTGCCGGCGCTCGTCGTCTTCGCCTTGAGGTCTGTCCGTCCTCCTATATGAGAAGACGGTGACTGACCTTGAGCATACAGTCAAGACTCTCTGCGCGGTGGCCTAGTCGACCCTGGAGGCCTGACTTCTCGGCTTAGCAATGGTGCGCACCAGCCCAAAACGGATTCGCATGCGGGGGAAAGGCATTGCAAACGTGCCAATACCCACCATTCAAGCGATGGAGCCAGCCGGGACGCAGAATGCTCGAGCGATGATACATCAGAAGGAATCCGAGTCCAGCCGGTCGTCATGGTCGACCTAATCAGGTGCCTCTCCAGCAGATCCTTTGTGGCGCTAGTGGGTACCGAAAGCGAGGCGCGTCAGTCTCTCACTCTCCTCAACGACAATAGCGAAGTCGGAGCACTGGGGCAACACTACCTCGAGGCCAAGCAGCAGCTTCTCGAGATCTTCAATAGGGGAAGGTGGACTCGGGACGGACAGAGCGAAGACAACCAGGCTAGCCTCGCGCGCATCCCAAATCAGGAATTAATCACAGTGAAGCTGTCGCAATGGTGCAGTGGTGAAGCGATCGCGACGGCAATCAGCAAGGTTGCGACCGAAAGTGAAGCCACAATTCTGATGGAACGACTGTCTGACATCGTCAGAGGGGGCAATTTGGAACACTATGAAGTAACGACTCTCACGAACATCAAGTCTAGTCTGACAGAACGCATGAAAGCGTGGCAAAGTCCGAATCCATTTAGGCGCCGCTTAGTGTACAGCTCCAGCAAGGGGAACGACCGTCCACCACCTGACATGAATGCTGCGAATCGAGCGCAGTCTCTCCACAACTCCGCCACCGAGGTGCTTAGAGAGAGCAAGAAGAAGCATCTGTCAAGAAGTGAGGTGGAGGCAGACGTGTGGAAGTTGGGAGACGTTTCTCGCAAAGCGCTGGGACATGGGCCACTCCAAAAGCTAGACAGTGTCTCCGACTCTGAGACCGGTGCATCTGAGTCGGGGACCTGGGCATCTGAGTCGGGGACCAGGACATCCGACTCGGAGACCAAGACCAACGCATCTGATTCAGACATCGCGACCCTCGCAAGGGGTGTATGTCCCGAGTGCGCTAGGAGTGTATGCCCCGAGTGCGCTAGCTCTGAGTTCGAAGACAGCGCTCGACTGGTGCTGGCTCGGGAGACCCTTGGACGCGTGATCTCCGACAAGCGTCTGGGAATCGACAAGCGCCTGGGAATCGACAAGCGAAAGGGAGTCGACAAGCCAAAGGGAGTCGACAATCAAAAGGGAATCGACTCAGAGACCAGGACATCCGACTCAGAGACCAAGACCAACGCATCTGATTCAGACATCGAGACTCTCGCAAGGAGTGTATGCCCCGAGTGCGCTAAGTCTGAGCTCAAAGACAGCGCTCGACTCGTGCTGGCTCGGGAGACCATTGGACGCGCGATCGCCGACAAGCGATTGAGAGTCGACAAAGAAAAGGGAGTCGACAAGCAAAAGGAAATCGACATGCAAGAGGGAATTTCTCCCTGGGGAGCCCATCTGTACGAGCAATGCCGATCCGTACTGGACAAATACGTTGCCCAGTATCCTAAAATGGTGAGAAGTGAGCTCAGGTCGCTCCCGGACCCTTGCAACGTTTCTAGCGGCCTCGATTGTCTTAAGCCCGGAGAAAAGCCCAGGGTCCCCCCGCCAACTAACAGCATATCCAGTCGACCGCGCTCTCCGCGCGAGGGCAAGAGGCCTGTTGAGCCTCGCGGACGTGGTAGGCCTTCCAAACGTAAGGCGAGAGAGGCGATGCCAGGAGAGAAGCCGTAGACGTAGATTAGCAATGTCCTTCATCAAAATGTAGCGTGCAAAGATCCAATCAGTCTAAATAAGAGCCCATCGATGACTGAACAGTGCTAGAAATACAAGTGTGAACGAGGAAACAACTACCCTTCCAGAGCCCTGACGATGACGCAGGAGGAGCCAGCGGCGATGGCGCCCACAAAGAGCGTCGAAAGCGCCGAGGCTAGCTGGCCGCGCCACCCGCCGGTGCCTCCCACGAGCTTCTCCTTGACGGCACCAAACACGAGGAGGACCAGGGCGGTGACAAGGACAGAGCAGGCAAGACCGTGCCTGACTGTGCTAAAGAAGACATAGGGCAGGAGAGGAATGAGTCCGCCGACGAGGTAGCTGAGTCCAATGACGAGTCCAGACTGCCAAACACGCCGCCTCTCTTGCTCCGACGCCTTGTCATCGAGGCCCTCCTCCATCTTGAGCAAGAAGAAGCCCAGAGACTCGCGGTCGTCGTCGAGATCCTTTGCCAGGTCCTTTGCAACGCGCGGCGAGACGGAAAAGGGGCCGAGCACCGTCCCGATGGCCTGTTGTGCTGCTCGGGGCGTCATCTGCATCGCTCGCTGCAACACGCGCTTCCGTGTCGCCGAGACGTGCTGCATCTCTGCGTGGGAGCCCAGGGCGCCTCCAATGCCCATCGAGATTGCACCCGATGCCTGTTGTCGCAGTCAGCTCAGCGTTTTTCTGCCCCCTTTGCTCTGAAAATCACTCACCAGCTCCGCGAAGCCTGCAACGACAATGAGCCTTGGGTTGCCCGTGCCAGAGAGGCCGGCCGTGAGGGCAAAGGGCACGGTGAGGCCATCGCTGAGCCCAATGATGGCATCGCGAATGACATCCGAGCTGACCCAGCCCCGTTGCTCAACCTCGTCCTCGCACTGCTGAAGATGTTGCTGCTCCTCTTTCTCAAAGTCCATCTTTGTGTGAGAGAGACGATGGGGTGAAGAGAGAAGCTCCCGCCATGGCCCACTTTCTAGCCTGTGGCTTCTAGACCAGAGCGAGCTAGCATCGGCTTCCTCTCCGTCTTTAGGTTTGCCTCTTTGGGAAAGTTCGCAATCAGGCCGAGCTCATTGGCCCCGGCTCCATTGTATTGGACCGACGAGGGCACGTTCCAGGGACGATGCAGCACAGAGACGCGCTAGACGGACTTTGGAATTTCAAAAAAAAAAAAAAGAGAAGCTAGGCACAGTAGGCTAGGAACACGTTGAGCTTTAATTAAAGCCAGTCTTCCCGGCGGAGATCTGAGCGCGCAGGTCAGTGGGAAGAAGGAGGCAGCATTCAGGGAAGGACGAGCTCCTGGAAGTGCTCCTCGAAGGTCTGGCTCGTGTAGGGGTTGGCGGGGTTGTTGATGCACGTTCCGTCGTCCTTCTGGAGCAGGTTCAGCGTGGGCTTGACATGCGCTGGCCGGCCGCCCGCGCCGATGGTGCCCACGTTGGGTGGCGCGTTGAACTGGTGCCACTTTTTGCTCTGCAGCGGTCCGCACGCAGCACCGACACCGTTGAGGTAGGGCTGGGCCTGGCCCGCGGGGAAGGGCGTGTTCTTGAAGCCCGTCTCGCGGGCGACCCAGTCAAACACATTGTTCATGATTGGCTCGGTGTCGTTTCGGCCCAGCGAGGCGAGGCGCCAGTTGGCCTGGACGGTGCTGATGGTCGAGTAGTGCGAGTAGAACGTGGTGTCGTTGGTACCGCGCAGCTGCTTGGGCACGCCGTTGCCGAGGAGGAGCGTGTAGACAATGTTTTCCTTTGTGTAGTCTTCGTTTTCGTCAAACGTCAGCACGATGAGCGTCCGGTCGGTGTTGAAGTTCTTGTTGGCGAGCAGGGGCACAAGCCAGTACTGCAAAAACTCGGCACCGTAATTGATTCCAGTGTCGTGGGCATCGTTAATCATATTGGGGGTCACAAAGGACCATTGGGGGAGTCTTCCAGCATTCAGATCAGCCGCAAAATCGTTGAAGTTGCGATTGCGTTGCGCCTTGGATTTGTTGACGTAGGGCGCGTTGGCGCGCGGGAACGTGCACGGATTATGTTTGCGCATGTAATATTGGTACGTGAAATTCGGATCCACGTAGCTCTTCTGCGTGTAGCTCAGGTCTTGGAAGCCGTCGGTAGGCATGTTTTCCTGGTAGCAAGCCCAGGAGATCAGGTTGAGGTCCATGACGTCAAACAGGCTCGTCACGTTGGAGGGCACCCAGTAGTAGGCATCGTCGCCCATGCCAAACGTGCTGCCGTAGACAGATGCCATGTAGTTGGGCTCCGAGGGGTGGCCGACAGCGTGGTAGTTTGTCAGCAGCAGGCCCTGGGGCTCAAGGTTGCGGATGATGTCCTGAGCACGGGCGTCGGCAAAGTTGGTGTTCTCCATCCAGATCTGGATGATGCGGTCGAACGAGCGGCCAGGGACGGTGAACGAGGGCGGCAGAGTGCCATTGTTTGCGCCGGCATAGTTGGGCGAAGGCTTGTCGGGGCCGGGGCCAGGCGCGATAAAGGGCTGGCTGGTGATGCGGCGCTTGTCGAGGGGCGACGCCGCGGCCAGCAGGGGCAGCGAGGCGAGGGAGAGGAGCGAGAGGAGCTGCATCTTCACGCAGAGGAGTGTCAGGTAGGGAGAGAGGGGGGAGGGGGAGAAAGAGAGGCGGGTAGGGGAGTAGAGAGGTAGGGAGAGTAGAGGAAAGGTGAGGTACGAGCCAAGGCCGCCGTTCTCGGCGGCACTTAAGTATTAGCCTGCGGGAGAGGATTCCGTCGGCCAGCCACGAAAGAGGCCAGGAAAAGCCGCTGGTGAAATCAGGCACATGCGATTGGCTGGTCTTGGTCGGACATGGCAGCACGTTCCCTTGTGCAGCTCGCTCCCACCCGCCAGAGTGACTGGGGGAGAAGAAAGACCCGCCGCACGCACGGAAGCCATCGAACGCGCTAGCTGAGCCTTAATTTGATTTTCCGCGTCCCTGAGCCTTTTTTTCCCTCTCTCTCTGGCTTGGCTCGTCTGCTCTAGCGCAGAGGCGGATTCGACCGAGGGGCTCGACCGAGGGGCAACGTGCTGTGATGGTGGATCTGGACTCTCCCACGAGACCACGGACCCTTTTCTTCTCACGAACCACCACGAGGATGGCCAGAGCGACGATGCTGGCGCTGCTACTGCTGCTGCTCGTCTCCTCGTCGCTGGTCACCGTGCTGGGCCTGCCAAGCAAGCATGTCGAGGCCGACTATGTGCTGTCGCCCAACTGGGACCTCCATGCTGCTCCGCAGGTGCGCCACTACGACTGGCTGCTCACCGAGTCGTACCGGGCGCCCGGCGGCAAGCCACGCCGGATGCTCGTCGTCAATGGCATGGCGCCGGGCCCGCTCATCGAGGCCAACCTGGGCGATGTCGTCGAGGTGCGCGTAACAAACGAAATGGCCGACGTGACGGCCATTCACTGGCACGGCCAGCCCCAGCGCGGCTCCAACGAGATGGACGGCTCCTTTGGCATCACCGACTGCGGCATTGCCCCTGGCACCTCCTTTACCTATCGATGGACGGTCCAGACGACGGGCACCTATTGGTGGCATGCCCACGCCGCCATGCAGTACAGCGAGGGCCTGCACGGGCCCATGATCTTACACGACCGCGACGAGGGCGAGCAGCGGGCGCAGTACGACACGGACCGAGTGCTGGTAGCCAGCGACCTGTACGACGAGCCGCTGAAGCACTACCTGCACACCTACGAGACCAGGGAGGGCTTCAACGGCGACATGGGCGTCGAGCCAGTGCCCGACTGCGGCCTCATCAACGGGCGCGGCCTCTGCAAGGGCGTCGCGCCAACGCTGGCTGCCCGAGCAGTCATGCCGCTGCAGGGCCGTCGACGCCACCGCTTCCGGCTCATCAATGCGGGCGCCCTCGCCTCGATTCGCTTCCACCTCGAGGGCCACCGTATGACCGTCATCGAGGCTGACGGCACCCTTGTCGAGCCAAGGCAGGTGGATGCCGTCGATGTCATGGTCGGCCAGCGCTACAGCGTCGTCGTCGAGCTGGACCAAGCACCAGGGCGGTGTGAGTGATGGACTTGGGAGCAGATTGTGACCTCTTTCGCTGACATCCAAACGGCATCCAGACAAGTTCCACGCCGACCTGCTCGACGACATGTTTGGCATGGAGAATCCAAACCTGCAGCGGGACCAGCACATTCTTCTCGAGTACCGCGGCGGTGGGTCACACGTCCAAGAACTAACGGGCAAGGTGGTGCAGACACTGGACCAATCCGATCTGCGCCCGCTCCGGGCCATCGACCCACCACCCTCGACGGAGCAGGACAAGCTCAACATCCACTTTGCCCTCACCGTCTCGGGCCGCTACCGTGCCTTTCTCAACGGCAGCAGCTGGGAGAATGCCGGCTGGAACGGCCGCTCGACGCTGGCCGACATGGTCGACTCGATGCGCCACGGAAAGCAGTTCCAGCCCGAGGAGTTCGTCATTGAAAAGCCCCGGGGCGGGGTGCTGGACCTCATCATCAACAACGTCGACGAGTCGGACCACCCGCTGCACCTCCACGGCCACGACGCCTTTCTGCTCGGCTCGGGCGAGGGCATGTTCCGGCACGGCGAGTCGATGGACCTCAGCAAGCCGTTTGTGAACCCCATGAGGCGCGACGTGTTCCTCGTCCCCACCTACGGCTGGGCCGTCGTGCGCGTCGTGCTCGACAACCCAGGCATCTGGGCGCTGCACTGCCACGTGGTGAGTTTCAAGTCACGATCACACCCCAACTTGCCATTTCTGACACTGATCATCGACACCCAAACAGACGTGGCACATGGCCATTGGCTTCATGACGCAGCTCAGCGTCCTCGCAGACGATGTCGTGGCGCGCAGCGAGATCCACACGGACCACTGCTCGCCCATCCGGCTGCATCTGCCCCCGCCACCCTAGCAGCACTGTACTACAAGCATACCCATGTACTATACTATTACAATTACAATCAATTCGCTCGATCTTCTAGCTGACAGCTGCTGTCACCGATGCCTTGTACACGATGAGCTGCATGTGCATGCACACGAGGACGAGGACGACGAGCGAGGCGTCTACGCCGGCCGCAACGTGGATATTGTAGGGTTGCTTTGCTGCCGCGTGTCTTCATTCAGTCTCGCTTGCTTGCCTCGGCAGCTGCATAGAACAAAAGCCGACTCACCGGTCCACCACCACATGTCCGCCTTACTCCGTGTGATGCGTGCGATGACGGTTCCGTCGGGCTTGACGATCTGTGACTCTTTCTTTGTCTGCGTAGATGGTCCTCGTGTGAGCTGGGGAGCTCATCGTCGCAGGGTCTACTACGACTCACCACACCCGTCTTGAGCGTGAGCGTTTGCTCCTTTCCCTCGTCAAAGGAACGGTAGGTGACATCGAGGTCAAACGAGAGCTTATAGCCGCCCTCGGCGTGGAAAAGAACATCGGCCTGTTCCTCGGCCTTTGTCTTTGGCTTGGAGCCCTGGGTGGCCTTGTACTTGTTTCGCAGCGCCGCGCGCTTCTGCCATATGCGATACAGCAGCGCCCCGTCGGCGGCCTTGACCTCGGCGACGTTGCCGAGAAAGGCGAGTTTGCCAACGACGGCAAACATGGGCCGACCGGTGCCGGCCTCGGCGAGGGTCAGGTCGAGGCCCGAGCATGTCATCACCTTGGCCGTGACCTCGACGTCGAGCGGCTCGGTGTGCTGTGTGTAGAAGCGCCGGATGCCCAGCGGGGCGGCAGGTGCGGGTGGCGTCGAGGTCATCGTTTGGGTTTGGTCAGGAACAGGCTGTCTCTCTCTATTTATACCTTTTCATAAATCAGGCTAGCGCGTCGCACGACGACGCCCAATTCCGACAGTCGGAATTTTGGACGACGCGTGGTGGAGGCGCGCGCCATGACGTGAGGGCTAAAAGATCAGAAGCTGCGCCCACCGGGCCTCGCGCTGCACGTCATCCCACGTCTGCTGGCTCGGGCCGCGGGACCGGCGCTTCCAGATGGCCTCGACGAGGTCGATGCCCGTGGCAATGGCGCCGCAGTCGCCAAAGCAGGCCCAGTTGTGCAGCGTCGAGCGGCAGGCGGCCTGCTCGTCGGCGTCGACGAGCGCCGAGACGGCCTGGAGGTAGGACCAGAGGAGGGCGCCGTCGGGCGCACGCTCCTGCCACGCGCCGCGCTCGGCCTGGCGCCGCTGGCGGCCGCCCTCGTCGTGGGCCCAGCGGCGGGTGAGGAAGCCGACGACCTTTTGCGCCTCGCTGCGGCCCTCGAAGCCAAAGACGCGGCAAAAGTAGACGACGACGCCGGCCTGGAGCGCCTCAAAGATGCGGTACCGATTTTCGGCCATGGCGAAGCTGTCCTCGGTGATGCTCCGGGGCCGGCAGGACTTGATCTGGTTCTCGATGCTCCGCGCGGCCGTCTTGTCGTCGTCGTCGCCGCTGCCGCTGCCTCTTCGAGCTGCGCGCGTGATCCTCGCCACGGCCTCGAGCAGGTCGAGGGGCCAGCTGCAGACGCACTGGGTCAGCGCCATGCAGCCCTCGGCCGGGTCCGAGTCCCAGCGCCGGGCGGCGGCAAAGAGGGGCGCGGCGTCGAGCGGGGCCGAGCCGGGGCCCATGGTCCGCGACAGCGTGTCCCACCACAGCAGCAGCCGGACCAGGAAGCGAAACGGCGAGTCGGGGCCCTGGTCGACGGGTAACGGTGATGGCGACGAGGATGAGGAAGACGATGATGACGACGACGACGAAGACGCCGACGAGGCAAGCACGTCGAGGACCTCGCGCATGGCACGTGCAATGCAGCCGTTGGTGTGCTGGCCGACGCCGCTGTCAAACTGCTCGACGTGGCCGACGAGGAGCGCACCCGCAAGCAGCTCGAGCGTCTGGAGCGCCGTGCGCGCAGGGAGCGCACTGAGCCGCTGCCACGTGGCCAGTGAGCGCGACAGGTAGGCGTATGCCGCCGGCCGCCGGTTCGTGGGCCCCGAGAGCGAGAGGGAGACGAGGCCGACGGCGGTGACGAGGTCGAGGACGAGGGTGCTGTCGATGCACAGCTCGCCAAACACCTTGCGCCACAGGCTCGCCTCGGCGGGGATCAGGTGGAAGATCTGGACGACAAAGTTGAAGACTTTTATGCGCGCGCGTGAGCGATCATTAGTTGGAAGGCGCATGTAGTCTAGACTCACACCGGGACACGGCCTCGAGCTGGACTTCTGACGTGCACAGGCTGCGCAGGCGCTGCTGCAGGTTCGTCGCCGGCAGCACGTGGCCTGAACCTTCACCGCTGCCACTGCCGCTGCTGCTGCCGCCGCCGCCGCCGCCGGGGCCGCTCTTTCGTGACACGGGCGCCTGCTCCATCATGACGGCCGACATCCAGTCGAGGAGCTGCCGCGAGGCGTCGTCGTCGTCGGACGGCATCGGCGTCATGAGCGAGGCAACGATGCTGTCAAATGTCGCGTCACCCGGCGCAAGGTACAGCATGGGTTGCGGCTGCCCTGGCTGCGTCGGTGCGCTAAGCGGCGTGCTCGGCACGCTCAGCGGCGCCTCGCTGCTCCACTGTGGTGAATGGCTCGTCCGTGATCCCTCCGACGGTGCCTGAGGGGCCATTAACTCGGCGATCTTGGGCCTTGGCGGGCCCGAAAAGCCCAGGCACTGGCGCTCCTCGGCCTCGCATCGATCGCAGACGGGCCGGCGCTCGTCGCACTTGACCTGCCCAACCAGTCAGTGAATCCACGCTGCCACGTATGGGTACACACACACACACACCTTGCGCTGACGACAGGTCAGACACCCGTTCTTGCTCCGCACGAACCGCTTGCGCCGCTTCGCCGAGTGCTCCATCCAGTCAGACGGGTGCCTGTCAGACGTGTGCCTGTCAGACGTGTGCCGGTGGTGGTCAGAAATAATCTAGGCGACGATGCGACGCATCTCGACCTTTTTGACTTTTTCCTCTCTCTGTCCAAATTTATCATTTTTGGGCTGCAGGCTTTTTCGGCTTTGCGCGAGGGCATATTCGCGACTTTCTCCGCTCATTTTGACGCGGGGGGTCTCTGCCCTCTTGTAGAGTGGTGCCTTTGGCCAACTCTACTCAGCTGCAGGCGGTCGCCAGGTCATCAGCGTGAGGTGCGGCCTTTCATCACCTTGTGTGCCTGGAACACGTCCTGAAGCATGCGCACTTGGGGTTAATCCGCCAAGGGGCGGCGGAGCTTTCTGCTCTAGCCATATGAATAGATTGCCGAGATGGAGGGTCCAAATGTGCAAGGCTGCTGAGATAGGCGACCTCGGTGTGAAGTGTTGCCTATGGACCCGTCTTTAGACCACGACATCCTGACAGCCACATCCACCGCCGTCATGATGCCAGCATTTCGCTTCAAGGTAAGATTGCTCCTTGTGAGTGGACGAGGAGCGCAGCGCTGACCTGTGACCAAGAACCTCTCCGCGCTGTTGGCCCTCTTCATCTCTAACGGACTTGCGGTGGGAGCGCCCATCCTGGATGGCAGAGCGAAAACGTGAGTGAGGGGCACGTCATGCGGGACAGCAAGACTCAGACATGGGTCCACGTCGGTGGTCCAGCACCGAAAGCCTCGCCCAGGGCAAGCTAGGATGGTCGACTCCGGTCAAGGTCACAGTCCTGTACGACCAAGGCAGGACGGCTCGTGAGTGTGCGGTCGTCTATCTCTAGCGCATCACGGGATGATCTCAATTTCCCGCGCCCCACTACAGTCAGCTATTGCAAGGCCCACAGCTACCTCCCTACGTCGTGGTGGTACACCGTCGATGACTATGGCTCGGCCACGGTGATGCCCGACCTGACCGACGCGCAAGGCAAATTTGTCTTCTTCCAGGTGCGTTGCTCAGCCTCGTTGCTCCGTCTGCAGCTCACCGCTCCAGTCATAGGTGTGCAAGAGCATGAAAGGAAAAATTCAATAATTGCTCGGATAGGGAATTGTCTTTCCCCACCGTAGATTCGTACCAGCTGATCTCAAACCACAATGACGCTTCAATTGAGACGATGACATACCCTCTCTCCCTCACCTCCGATGCATCCAGTATTGTCGGCGCCTGAGTCCTGGTTGGTTAGTTAGACAAAAATGCGCGCGGGGGAAAAGTGGAGGACCTGCCCCTCTTACCCAACGCTGAAGCTCGTAAAAGCGATAGACTCCCTTTTTCGAGAGAGTCGCGACCTCTTGTCCACGCTTTCCGGAGGCGAACTTCGACCAGCTTTGGCCGGCATTGGGCTTCTCGAACGTCGTTGCTGAGAGCGTCACTAACAGAGGAGCTGCCATGAATTCGGATTGGTTGGAGAATCATTGCCTTCGAGCTTCTTTACATTGCTGTAGGCTCTTTCGAAGCTGCTGCATCGGTCGCCTTCTTCTCGGGTGACTTGGAAAGGAAGACATTTTCAGCACCGCGACATTGGAAGAGGCAAATTTTGACTAGAGAAATTAAATCTAAAAGCCTCTCCTGTCAGATGGGCGACGCGCGCCAAGATTGTGTGCTGCCTGCAGCCACTAAGGAGAGCTAGACCAAGAGAAAAAGCACTGCAAATCTCCGGCTAAAGGAAACATTCACTCACCCTGTCGTGATTGTGCGTCAACACTGCAAGTCCGTTCAGATGGCTCACCACATACAAATTAGCTCTATAATCAAAGCTGATCTTAAACAATAGTGGCAAGCGACAACCAATCGAGAGGAAGTCAAAGGCCAATAACGACTGCTACTTGAATTTGGACGGCTTAATTGTGTTAAGAGCTCATCGTGTGGAGCGTCGTGGCCGGCAAGCTTGACCTCGTACTGTAGAAAAAGGACGGCTGTCAGTCTGCTTGCTTCTTCTCTCTGCAATCTGAATTTTGCCTCGCGTGTCCCTTGAGAATATTTATTCATTCCTGCATCAATCGGCCCTCCTTCTTGCCGTGCCACATTTGTGACTATAAAGATCACTCACCTCGCAAAGAGAGGCGTCGTTGATGCGCGCTTCTTATAGGATCTTTTCAAAACGCTCGAACCTGAAACATCAAAGAGCGTCCAGCCGCTGGGCCTGACTACTTTTAATAGTGACATGGGCGACACATGACGGACATGACCGACAATAATGACCCTTGGCTCCATAGGCGCAGCCGTTGTATTGACCTACAACCACACCGTTCCTAATAATTAGATCCAGGTACGCGCCTTGCTTATCGTAGGTGGAGGGGGTGCCAGAGCGAAACGAGCTCTGCGAAAGTGACTGTCTGGCCCTTGGCCAGCTTAAGCATGACAACTGTTCAAATGACATCGGGCGTCGGGGGGCAATATCAGTACAGCTGCCTTCTGCCACCATCTGTGATGTGCTCTTGTACTAAAATGTAGGGCAGACGTAGGAAATAGAGTCCTCTATTCGAGCAGGAGGACGACGACGAGGTAGCCATTGACGAGAAGGTGAGTGGAGAGGTGGTCCTGAAGAAGCAAGAGGAACGGACAGAGGTGCTCCAGCTGACTTCGCCTCTTTTTCGTCTTTGCGCACGGCTTGGTTCAATTTGCCACGCGTCGAAAAAAAGGAACAGCCTGCTCGCCCTTGTTGGCCCTCTTCATCTATGTGTACGGCAAGCGGCTTCGAGGCAGGGCTCAGTCCAGCTACTAAATTTCAGAGACGATAAATTACAGATCAGAAATGGTAGCGGCCACCGTCTCATCGAGCGAGGTGGGGGGCTTGCCATAGTAGCGCTTGAGCAGATCCTTAAAGGCCTGATTGGGGACACGGATGTCGGTCTTGGGCTTAGAATCCTGGTAGTCGGGGAGTGGCAGGTGGGGCTTGGCCTTTTGGATCGCGCGGGCAAGCTCCTCGATGGACCAGAGCTCCGTCATGGCATATATACGCTGGTCCTTGATCTCGTCGGCCACGAGGGCAGCGACATGGGCACGGGCCACATCACGCACATCATTGTAGAAGCCCGGCGGGTTGAGGAACTGGTAGAGGGCCGTGTGGGGACCATAGGTGCCCTGCGCAAATTCGCGAAGCCAGCCGTAGGTCGTATAGAGCGGTGTCTTGTCCGGATTGGTCGGCACGCCAGTCACCCAGTCGGGGAGGACAGTGTTGAAAGCAAAGACCTTGTCCTTGGCAAAGGCCCAGGCGGCCTGCTCACCCTTGACCTTGCTCGCCATGTCTGCAAGAGATCCTCAGTTCACCCATACGACTCTTGTGAAGCAGCAGCAAGACTCACACACCGCAGGCGCCTTGAAGGGATCGTCGTCTTTCAAGCTGTAGACGAGCTTGACGATGTCGTCTTGGTACGTTTGCTCGCCTGCAATAATCGGCTGCTGGCCCGTTTTGCTGAAAGCGGCCACACTGGATGAGGTCAGGACCACTGACTTGACACTTTCGTTCTTGGCTGCCGCTTCCAAGAGACCATTGTTGAAGCTCACGACGGCTTCGATGACTGCATCGGGGTCCGTCGACATGGAAGCATCCGTGGCCGTGTGCACGATGCCCGAGACGCCTTGGACCGCTGCATCGAGTGCACCGGGAGCCGAGGGCTCGGCCACCTCGACGATCTCAAACGTGCCGGAGCCGTACTGCGACTCGAGTTGTTGCTTGAGGGACTGCGCGCGTCCGGCGTTACGCGTCACGGCGCGCACCTTGAACCCGGCCAGGAGGAGCTCGGTGGCGACATTGGACCCGACGAAGCCCGTGGCGCCCGTGACGAGAACGGTTGATCCCTGGGGAAACCTTGGCTTGGGAAAGGAGGGGCTCGCCATGGTAGATGCTCTTTACCAGATCGTCGGCCATCGCGCGCATGCTTGAGATATAGGCATGCGCGGCGTTAAGCGACGTCGGATCTAGCCGCTCCTCCACCAAGAAGAAAACGCGATCTTCCTAGTCGGGACGAGATGCTTTTGCGCTTCTCGCTCGAGGGCTTATCCTCGGGTTTTACAGCTTCGAGGTCGGTGCTTGCTCCGGTTGTCATCGCTTCATGGCGTGCTTCTGATAACCACTCGTGCCAGAGAGCAGTGCCTGCTACTGGGCCCGCTGGGACTCATTCAATCTCGCGAGGGCAGATGCTCATGCTTAAAGGCTGACCTAAGCTAGTCCTTTTCTGCTCTCTGGACACTCGTTCGACCTCTGGCATCTTGGCTAGAGAAGAGCCCTCAAGCAGCCGGCACAGTCATCTGATTGCTCGCGTGGTGCAGTCGGAAGCTCGTGGATCTGATACAAGGAGAAGAGTCCAAGGTCGCAGGTTCGAGCCCTGCCGTGAGCAGCAGCAGTCTCTGCTTTTTTGGCCAGCTTTTGCCTGCGCAAACAAGGTTCATTGTGCATGCAGAGTCGTGGTGAGTGCAACCGAGGCGCTGCGAAGAAGTTCTGTGCGAGGAGGAAGTGGACGCGGCGTCAGAAATTTTTAGCCGCTTACATAATCGATTGCAACGCCATCCCCACGGGTCTGCCCCGGGTCTGCCCCGCAACGATATGTATCCTCTGCTGCTCGATTCTGCTCCCTCTGACCGGCAGCTGATCGGTAGGTTTACCTCTATGAACCACCGCGATGGTGCCCCGGCGCAAGCCACCGTGGCCGGCAGCAAGTCGGTTCCTGGCGCGTATATGCCCGATTCCCGCGTCTGCGCTAGCTTCTCCCCAGCATTCAGGGCAGGTGTCATGCGGGTCCCGATTGTGGGTGTGTTTATAAAGGAGGGGATCTAGCAGGGCAGATTGGGAGCTCCAGCAGGCACCATGAGCGGCGAAAAGGAAAGCAGAGGTGCAGCAGCCGGCTTCTATACGTGCCACGAACAGCCCGAGGAGAGGGCCTTGACCGTTAAAGGGACGATTCCCAGCTACGTCGACGGCGTCCTCTATCGCACGGGCCCCGGCCGCTTCGAGGTAGACAAGCGGGCCATCTCGCACTGGTGTGAGTTATTTCACTTTCGCAAAAGGCAAAGCAAAAGGCAAAGCAAAGCAGGCAAAGCTGACGGCGATGTCGCAGTCGACGGAAAGGGCCTCAACCACCGCTTTTCTATTTCGGCCAAGGACCAGACGGTCAAGTACCGCTCGCGCGAGTCGTGTGCAGTTCAGATTGAAAAGGAACGCAAGCTTGGGCGCTCGTCGGCGGTGACGTTTGCGCAGCCGCCGGACCCGTGCCAGCGCCTCTTTTCAAAATTCTTTGTCGCCTTCAAGACGGCCCTCGAGACGGGCAGCAAGCGGGAGCCGAGCGACGTCAACGTCAATGTCGTCCTCAACACCGGCAGCAAGAGTCTTACAGCCCAGACCGACGCCAATCTGCTCCAACGCCTGGATCCGGTCACGCTGGAGCCGCTAGAGGCAACAACGTACGCGTCGATGCTGCCCGAGCTCAACGGGCCCCTCTCGGCGGCCCACGGAGCGACGATGGATGGCACGACGTACAATTACGTGCTGGCGCTGGGTCCCCGGCCAAAGTACACGCTGTTCCACTTTGCGTCGGACGATGCGAGGGGCGCCCGCGTCCTTGCGACGATAACCGATGCGCCGCCGGCCTACCTCCACTCGCTCGCGGCGACGGCCAAGCACGTGGTGCTGACCATCTGGCAGGCCGACTACAAGCATTACGGGCTCGACATTCTGTGGCAGGGCAACTGCCTCGACGGGCTGGGCAAGTGGGACCCGAAGCGGCGAACGCTGCACTACGTCTTTGACCGCGCCACGGGCCAGCGGGTGGCGCGCGTGCAGTCCGACGCCTTTTTCGCCTTCCACCACATCAACGCCTTTGACGACGACGAGGGCAGCAGCATCGTGCTCGACTTGGCCACGTATGCCGACACCGAGGTGCTGAACACGCTGCGTGTGGCCAATATGCGCGCGTTTGACGCAGCGACGGCGCCCGAGCCGCGCTACACGCGCGTGCGCCTGCCTCTCAAGGGTGGTCATATTAACGAGGCCACAGTAAGCGTGACGGCCATCAACATCGAGCTGCCGTGCGTGCACCCGGCGCATCAGTGGCGCGCAGCGCGGTACGCCTATGGGGTCCACCGCACCGATGCACCCGCGTCGCGCACCATGTTTGTCGACGCAATCGTCCGGCTCGACATGGAGACGCGCGAGACGCGCGTGTGGCGCCAGGAAGGGCAGGTGCCCGGCGAGCCCATCTTTGTGCCGGGACCGAGCGGGCGCGAAGACGACGGCGCGCTCCTCACCGTCGTGCTCGACGTGGCGTCGCAGTCAAGCCGGCTCGTCATTCTCGATGCCGCGTCGCTCGAGCCCGTCGCGAGCGCCGACCTGGCCACCGTGTTCCCCAATGGCTTCCACGGCGTGTTCCAGTCGTGATCTTCCTCCCTTCTTCTGTCCTTGTATCTCCTTGTATCTTCTTCTCTCATCTTCTTATTTCAGCATCTTCTCTCAGCACATTCACTTAGGTTTTCCCGTCTTGACTCCTCTCCTTGTCCCTTGAACACCCCCTCTCAGTCTCTCAGCTCAGTCCAAACGAAAATGACGAATCTATGAGAATACAATGGAGCGCGTGCAAAGTCTATTCATGTACAGGGTGTGGGTTCGGGTTCACGTTCAGAGGTTCGGGGGTTCGAGTCATGGTCAGTTGGCGCGTCGCTCGGCCAGGGCGGGCCGCGGGGCTAGGTGGCCGTTGTCGTCGGCGGAGGAGCTCGCGGCGAGGTCGTCGGCGCGGAGCTTGAGCCACTTGGACGACGAGAGGGACGAGGACGAGGACGAGAAGGTGGGCGAGGCTAGGGGGCCAAGTCGTCTGGGCGTCGTCATCGTCGAGGAAGCCACGGCTGGCTTCGAAGACACGCGGCTGCGCTTGCGGGCAGGGCTGCCATCGCCGCCCTGCGGTGGGCCGTCATCGTCATCGTCGTCGTCGTCGTCATCACCAAGACTGAGGCCGTCGTCGTCGTCGTCGGCGCGGCGGTACATGGACGGACGGACGACGCTGTCGGGCCACTGGAGCGACGAGGCGCCGAGCGAGTGGCCGAGCAGCGGCTGGAGCTTGGCAAAGGGCGTGGCGTTGATCGAGGCGAGGCCAGAGCGGTGTGGGGCCAGGCCGAGGCTCTGCGTCAGGTTCGGGTGGGCGGGCGAGGAAAAGAGGGCGGGCAGGCCCTCGTTATCGCCGCCGCCGCTGCTTTCGCCACTGTCGCCGTTGTTGTTGCTGCCGTCGTCGCTCGAGGGATCGCCACCGGCACCGGCACCGGCACGGCTGACCTGGTGGCGCTCGCTGCTCTCCTTGCGCCGCGGCGTGGGCTGGCGGGCCTTGATGGGGGTGAAGCCGAGCATGCGCTCCATGTGGTCCTCGGTCGGCGTCTCGACCTTGGCGCGCTGGGGCCTGCTCCTTGCGCCGCCAAAGGCACGGTTGAGCGCGAGCGGCGAGGCGTCGGTGCTTGTCCCGCCGCCGCCACCGCCAAAGAGCGGGGTGCGCATGAGCGGGGGCAGGCGCCTGGCCGTGGGGCTGCCGCGCTTGTTGCTTCGCACGGGCGAGTGCGCGGCCAGGCCGGCACGCACAGGCGAGGCAGTCGTAGTCGCCGCTGCCGAGGCAGCAGCAGCAGCAGCAGCGGCAGCACGCGGCGAGACGCGGTGCCGGTCGAGGGAAAAGGGATTGTGCTTGGCATTCGACGGGCTGCTCTCGGCGTGCGTCGATGTCGGCGGCGACAGCAGCGGCTGGCTGTGCTTGCCCCTCTGTTGCTGCTGGTGCTGCCCAGACACGTGCTGGCGGGGCGTCGAGGAAAAGAAGCCGTCGAGGGAGAAGCGCAGCGAGTCGCCGCTGCCGCTGCCGCTTCCCATCGACGGCGGCGTGGGATACAGCTGGCTGAAGCGGTTGACGGGCGTCTTGTGCTGCGACGGATGCTGCGACTGCTGTGTATGCGCCTGCTGCGCCTGCTGTTGCTGCGACTGCTGCTGCTTGTCGTACACGGCGCGCGTCTCGTCCTTGATCTTGATGAAGCGCGACGAGGCCACGCCCTGGTTGCCGTCGAGCTGGGCGAGGGCCTGGCGCGGCGATGCGATGTTGGCCATCATGGCCACGGCGTCGTGTGGCCGGCCAAAGTCGCGCGCCGCTGCGAGGGAGCTCTCGGCCGATGGCCATGCCGAGCGCGGGCCTGCGACGGCGGCGGCGCTGGCGAGGGGCATCGTGGGGAAGCCGCCGGCCTCGAAGAACGCAGGCATCATTGGCTGTGTCTGTGTCTGTGGCTGCTGTTGTTGATGCTGTTGCTGTGCCTGTTGCTGCGACTGTTGTTGTTGTGACTGCTGTGGTGGCAGCAGCTGCGGTGCCTGAGCATGAGCATGAGCCTGCGCCACCGAGTGCGACGAGGCCCGCGCACGACGGCTGCTCTGCGAGGGCGCTGCTGGCCGGACGGCACTCTGACCACCACCCTCGTCGTCGTCGTCGTCCGTCGTCGGTGCAGTAAGGCCCTTTTCGGCAAGGCGCTTCTTGCGCGCCCACCGCCGCTTGCTCTCGAGCATGCGCTGCCGCCGCTCCTCGGCATTCTTGGGCCGATTCATGTCGCCGTCCCACCGGGTCCGCCGCGGCTGCTGGCTGAGCGGGATGGCGTGCTTGTCCTGGAGGTGCCGCCGCCAGATGCTGCGCGCGTGCTTGCCCGTGTACCGCTTCTCGCAGTAGGGGCACTGGAAGCAGCTCCCTGCGCCGGCGGCTGCTGCTGCTCCTCCTCCTTGCTGGCTGCTGCTGCTGCTGCTGCCGCGGTGTGCTGCTCCGTCCGGCCTGCCGCCTCCTTCCTCATCGTCGTCCTCGTCGTCTTCCTCCTCGTCCTCGTCCCCCTCCTCGTCCTCGTACCCTGCCATGCCGGCGTCGACGTGCGCGGGCAGCTGGGCAAACGGCATGGCGACGGCGTCGTTGCTACCATTGCCCATGTGCTGGTGGCCGCTGCCACTGCCCGATGCAAAGGCCATGGAGGCAAAGTTGGCAAAGGCAGCCGACGGCGCGTGGTAGAAGCTCGCGCCGACGCCGCCGCCGTCGCCGCCGCCGTTGCTCGGGAACGCGTCCATGAGGCTGGACTGGTGCTGCTGCTGGTGCTGCTGGTGCTGATGCTGCTGGTGAGGAAGCTGCTGGTGCTGCTGCGGATCAAACGACGACATGGGGAGACAGCGCGACGTGTGTTGTTCAGGTCGTCATCGTCAGTGTCGCTCTCTGTATGTCTGTGTGTCTGTCTGTCGCGCGCACGCGCCTGGCCGTCCGTCCAAGGAACCCGTCCCAAAGGCCCTGCTATGTCAATTTCCCTTTCGTCCTCTCCTCCCCGTGGCGGGCGCGACCAGACGCGCAACTTCACGTGGGATTTTTCCAACTTGTCGACCCACGTGGCTCCTGTCGCGCTTGCGCCTCTCTCTCTCCATTGTTCGCGCTCATTGTTGCACCGTGGCCTGCACTGTGCACTGCTGCATTGTAATGTATTCCTCTTTGTCGTTGTCATACAATCACGCTCTGTCAAAAGATCACTCTCGAAGGACCACTCTCAAAGGATCACTTTCAGGAGATTGCACTTTCAAGGGGTGGCACACTCAAAGAATCACACTCTCAGAGAACGCGCTCTCCAAGAAGACACTCCCACGATGAGGCCGACGCTGCGCCTTGCGTTCGTCCTGCTGCTTGCACACACGGCCACGCTCTCCGCCCGCGGTCTCGCAGAAGACGACGGCGTAGGCCCGCCATACGACGTGAGCCGGTCCTCTTCTTACTTCCAATACAGTATCCTAACTAACATTGATTGACTGTGCGCTCGAGCAGTCGCAAGGCAGGGGCTGCTGCACGGGCGGGCAGCACGATCCGAGCAAGTGCTGGAACGTCGATGGCTCCACGGCGCCCCTCGTCGCGCAGGACGGCGCCGGCCCCATCTTCTGTCCCGGCCAGACACGGCGGCGCTGAAGCACACACAAAGGCAGCGCGATCAGTGTCAAGGTCACTCAGACGTCATGTTCTCCCTGCCGCCCATGCATTCGATTGAATGTACACACGTATGAAATGAGGGGGATAAGCCTGGAGAGAGGGGGCCAGGGAAACGGCCTGGACTGTGTGAGACCGCTAGTATGTGAGAAGCCGGAGATCGTGTGTGGGAGGTGGCCCGAGGATGTGTGTATGTGGACTGAATACGAGGGCGAGCCCAAAGAAGAAGTCGACCGCCGTCCAGCCAATGAAGCTGGCCTGTCGGCGGACCATGTACGAGAGAGGGAAGAGAGAAAGAACTGAGAGGGAAAAAAAGAAAAGGAAGAAAGAAGAAGAGAGAAAGGGGGGCCCAATCGACGGGCCAATTTTGGGTGTGGCGCATTCATGCAGCGACGGCCTTTGCCTGGGCGGCATAGGACTTGCTGCCATCAGGCCGCTTGTGGTGGTGCTGTTGCTGCTGCTGATGGTGATGGTGGTGGTTCTTGCTCTTGACGACCTGGAAGTCGTCGTCGGCCGCAGCCTCGGCGCTGCTCTTGGCCGTCGCCTGCTGCTGGCCCTGGCCCTGCGTCTGTGTCTGGTTCTGTGCCTGGTTCTGTGCCTGGTTCTGGTTCTGGTTCTGTGCCTTTTTCGCGTGCGCCTTGGCTGGGCCGCCGTTGGCCTTTGGCTGCTTGGTGGCCTTGCCCTCGTGCTTCGACGACGATGACGGCGCTGCAGCGTCGGCCGGCTTGTCCTTGTTCTCTGCGGCCGCCGCGTCCTTGTCTTCGGCCGAGACAGGCGACGCAGCAGCGGCAGCATTAGCAGCGGCAGGCGACGGTGCTGGTGCCGGCTTGGCTGGGGCGGGGGCCGAGAGGATGGCCGAGAAGTTGACCTTGGCACCGGTGGCAGACGCCGACTCGGAGGCGGCGAGCGAGGGCGAGGCTGGCGTCGAGGCGCTGGCCGTCGCAGCAGCAGGGGCGACGTGGCCGTTGGGCAGCGCAGGAAAGTCGCTGACGGTGGGCACACGCTGCGACGCCTTCTTGGCAGCGGCGGCCTGCTGCTGCTGCGCCTTGGCCGCCTGGGTGCTCGTCTTGGACGGCGCCGACCTCACGGGTCCGTTGGATGCCTTTGCACCCGCGCCTGCATTTGAGCTTGCACCTGCGCCTGCCGAGCCAGCGGCCGAACCAGGCCCCGAGGCCGTCTTAGATGGCGCCGTGGGCGGTGTCTCGGACCGCTCTGGCGTCGCCGCAGTGGCAGTAGCCGCCGCCGCTGACGACGACGACGACTCGTGGCGCTTGGCTGCTGCCTGGGGGCCCGTCGGTGCCGAGGCCGGAGGGGTGTTGTTGTTGCTGCTGCTGCTGCTGTCACTGGCTATGTTGTCGGTCGTGTTGCGCTTGCTGGCAGCAGCACTCTGCGACGAGGAGATGGGCCGCGAGGCAGCAATCGCCGCGGCGTTGCCGTCAAACTTGCCCTCAAATTGTTGTTGTTGTTGCTGCTGCTGCTGCTGCTGCTGCTGCTGCTGCTGTTGCTGCTGCGCCTGCGCCTGCTGTGTCGCGGCCGCATACGCCTGCCGCTGCTGCGCCTGCAGCGGCCGTGCATCGGTGCCGTCGGGGAGGATGTGGGGGAAGAGGCACTCGTCGTTGCGCCGGCATCGGCCAACGGCAAAGAAGGTGCAGGGGGGCCGCTCGCCGCCGCGCTCCTTGGCATAGCTGCCCCGTGGCTGGCCGCTGCTGAAGCCGCCGCGGCGGGGCTTGCCTCCTGCGCCGCCCTGCCCCCGGCTCGACGACGGTGGCTGCTGCTGCTGGTGTGTGGCTGCTGCGGCCTGCTGTGCCTGCTGTGCCTGCTGCTGCTGCTGCTGCTGCTGGCCTGGCTGCGCAGCCATGGGCACCACAGGCGCATACATTTCCGACGGCTGGAACGGCACGGCGTGGTGGTGGAGGAAGGAGTTGAACGACTGGCGCCGGTGCAGCGGCCGGCCCTGGGCATCGACGGCCGGCGCAGGCGAGGCCACCGCCGAAGACGACGACGACGACGAGGCCACAGCGTTGTCTTCTGTCTTGTGCTTCACCTCCTGCTCCTTGTCTGCGTGCTCCCTGTCTCCCTGTTCCCGGTCTGCATGCGCCTTGTCTCCCTGCTCCTGGTTCTCCTCTCCCTGCTCCACCGTCGTAGCTGCCTGCTGCTCGGACTGCCCCGGCTGCCCCGGCTGCACCTCGAGGAGCACGCTGCCGTCCTGGTGCGGCGGCGTCGACACGGCCATCTCCTCGTGTGCGCCCCGCTGCGGCGGCTGGTGGGGCACAAACGGCTGAGCAAAGTGCATCTGCTGGTGGTGCAGGTGCTGCTGTTGTTGCTGTTGTTGTTGCTGCTGCTGCTGTGCGTGGTGGGGTGGGCCGTGGTGCTGGGGGTGGTGGGGGTGGTGGGGCGCCATGGGCGGCGCAAAGTGCACCGGCATCGGCGGCACGGGGCCCATTGGCGGCGGCGGCGGGGGAGGGCCCGCCATGGGGTAGAATTGCGGCGCATAGCCATAGTGGTGGCCCGGCGGCGGCGGCTGCTGGTAGAGCATGGGCCCTGCTGGCAGCGGGTGCGCAAAGATGCACTTGTCCCCGTAGCTGCAGTTGGGAAAGTAGCGGCAAGGGATCATGCGGGCCACCTCGGGCGGCGGCAGGTTCGCCTGCGAGTCCTTGCGCCCGTGCGGCCCTTCTTGCTGTGGCCGGCGCTCAAAGAACGACGGTGTGGCCGACTCGCCTCCCTGCTGCTGCTGCTCCGGAACAGCGACGGGGGCGCCTTCGTCTGCTGTTGTTGGCAGGTCAGCAAAAATGCCATCTTCCTCCTCCTCTTTGGGAAACCCACCTCGCGGCGAAACGTCGTCTCTCATCTCCGAGGCCATCGTCAGGATTCGTCGAGGCGAGTCTTCTGTGGGGGAAAAGAAGGGGAGAGAGAGGGAGGGTGATAACGGTCGAGAAGGAAAGAAGGGACCGTCGACCGACAGACAAGCGGCGCTCTTTTCCCTTTTTCGCTCTTTTCTTCGCTCTTTTTTTTTCTTTTCTTTCCTTGCCCTCTGTCTCTCTCTTCAGACTCACTCTTTCTCGGGCGCGCGGCTTTGCTTTCTTCTCAAAAAATAAAAACAGGGAAAGAAAGTACCGGGGTGCTTGCTTATGTAACGCGTCTCGTGACTTTCGAGACCTCCACGGCGAGGGCCAAAGCGCTTTCGAAAGGCCGCGTAGTGCCCATGCCCATCCCGACAGACCAGAGTCAGCACAGAGACAGTCGTGATGGTGAGTTGGTTTGAAGAGAGAGAGGGGGGCCGAAGCATAACTGACCCCGCCCACAGCTCGTGCGAGTACGCTCCAAGGACGGCATCTTTCGGTTCCCGCTCGAGCCGACCGACGATGCGGCCAAGCTCGTTGACAAGGTGGGCCGAGGTAGTCAGTGCATAGCAACGACAGCTCACACGATGATTTCAAACAGGTACTCGAGAGCACCAGCAATGCCGACCCGGCGACACTGACGCTGTCGAACCAGCCGCGGGGCGGCGAGATGGACGCAAACGGGCTCAGGGGCAACACCCTCGCGGACCTCGGCATCTCGTGGGTGCCACTGCCGCCGAAGAGTACCTCAGCTGACTGGCTGCTGCAACCTCCACAGACACGGACACCTCCTCTATGCCGCATACAAGGAGCTGCCCTCGGCTGCCTCGACGTCGGCAAGCGCCGCCCCAACACCCCCACCACAGAGCACACCTGCCGTGGCGTCGCGGCCGGAGCCAACAGCCAAGGCAAAGGCAAAGGCGCGCATTCAGGTCGACGAGGACGCCGTCGACAAGTACTGGGACGGTCGCGATGGCAAAATTCCCCGGCCGCGGGATGCCAAGTTCTGCCGACACGGCGACAAGGCCATGTGTGACTACTGCATGCCCCTCGAGGTGGGTCTGACTACCTTTGCTCAGCTATACATGCTAGGTGCTCATGTGTTATGACAGCCATACGACACAAACTACCACGCCGAGCACAGCATCAAGCACCTCTCCTTCCACGCCCACCTCCGCAAGCTCGACACATCGGCCAACTACCTGCCGCTGCAGGAGGAGGACTATACGGTCAAGGTGCCCTGCCCCTCGGGCCAGCATCCACCGTGGCCTGCAGGCATCTGCACGAAGTGCCAGCCATCGGCCATCACGCTCCAGCGCCAGCCGTACCGCATGGTCGACCACGTCGAGTTTGCCCACCCGAGTCTGATCGAGGACCTGCTCTCGTTCTGGCGCGCCACGGGCACCCAGCGCTTTGGCTTTCTACTCGGCCGCTACGAGCCATACGACAAGGTGCCGATGGGCATCAAGGCCGTCGTCGACGCCATCTCGGAGCCGCCGCAGGAAGGGGACGCCGACGGCCTCACCCTCGGCGTGCCCTGGCAGGACTCGAGCCGGATCGAGCGCCTGGCCCGCTACTGCGGCATGGCCGTCATCGGCATGATCTACACCGACCTGAGCCCGCAGGATCCCACGTTCACCGACCCCGAGGCAGCAGGAAAGGTGCTCTGCAAGCGCCACCAGCACAGCTTCTTTCTCTCGGGTTGCGAGGTCCTCTTTGCGGCCGCACTGCAGCGCGCCAACCCATCGCCAAGCCGGCACAGCCCGACGGGCCGCTTCAACAGCAAGTTTGTCACCTGCGTCCTCACGGGCACCGACGAGGGCGCCATCGACGTGAGCGCCTACCAGATCAGCGAGCAGGGCATGGCCATGACGCAGGCCGACATGATCGAGGCCAGCGTCAGCCCCAGCACGATCCGCGTCCGGCCCAGCGAGGGCAGCCGGTACGTGCCCGAAGTCTTTTACCGGTACAAGAACGAGTACAAGATCGAGGTCAAGGAGAGTGCCAAGCCCACGTTTCCCGTCGAGTACCTCCTCGTCACGGCCACCAATGGTTTTCCCAACGTGCCCTCGCCCCGCTTCCTCTCGACGCGCTTTCCCACCGAGAACCGGCCGGGGTTGCACGACCAGAGCCTCGAACGGGCCCTGTCGGCGATTGCCAACCTCGAGGGCGAGAAGCTGGTGGGCACGCTCAGCGACTGGCACCTCGTCTGCTTCCTCGACACGTGCGGCTACCTCGACGACGGCGACATCCAGGCCCTGTGCAAGGTCGCCGTCTCGCACGACGCCGGCGTCGACCTCGCCAGCCTCGAGGCCCGGACGGGCTGGCAGACGCTGGCGGCCATTGCGCGCGAGCATGCACCCCAGCAGCCGCGTGCATCCTCCCCGGGCGGAGCAACGACGATGGCCGAGATGATGGGCGGTGGTGGCAGCTCCTCTGCCTCTTCGACGATGGGCACGGGCGCCTATGCGGGCAAGGGCGGCGACAAGAGCAGCGCGTCTCAGTCTCAATCTCAGTCTCAGTCTCAGTCCCAGTCTCAGTCCCAGTCTCAGTCCCAGTCTCCGTCTCGGTCTCAATCTCGATCTCAGTCTCAGTCACAGACACAGCCGCGCGGCACATCCGCCAGCGATCCTATTCTCTACACGGGCTCCGACGACGAGGAGCAAGACGACTACGAGGAAGAGGACGAAGAGGAGGAAGAGGACGACGACATGTTTGAAGATGCCGGCGCAGACTCGCCCGCTCCCTCGCACGATGTCTCGGGCGCGGCATCGCCCCTAGCCCCTGCCCCTGCCCCTGCCCCTGCTGCCAGCGCGACCAAGACGTGTCCGCACTGCACCTTCGACAACGCCGCTGGGGCGACGGACTGCGACGTGTGCGGCCTGCCCCTGTAGAATAAGAAATAGCCTGACTAGACGCGCGCCCAATAAAACCCACGTGTTTTTTCCTTTTCCACTCCACTCAGGGGCTCCCTTTTGGACTTTCTTACCTGGCCTGGCTTGGCTCTCTTGCTCTTGCCTTGTTTGTTATAGCAACGACGACGACGACGACGAACCTTCTCACGACTTGAACCTGACTTGACTTGACGACTCTTACGACACGATACCTCTCCGCTTGACGGCATACCCTAGCACCAGTCAACCAGAACCAGAATCGGACGAGTAGACTGAGGATGTGGTATGTGTCTGGCGGCGCGTCACTCACGGCGCCGATGTTTTGCTCACTTTTTGCCGCTTGTGTACGGGCAGGTGCGACAACTGCCTGCTCAGTGAGTGGCCTCCTCTCCTCCTCGCAATCTCCTGGCACGATGCTGACGATTTATGCCGACACAGTCTTTCCGCTTCGTAAGCGAATCATTGCCAATCTTCTCTCTCAAACACGACTGACCAGAGCCTTCCTCTCGCAGGGCACGGCGCCATTGCCTGGGACGTCTTCATTGCCCTCTACAGCCTTGCCGGGTCCATCTTCCTCTTCCGATATGGCCAGTACTTTTTCTTTGACTTTCCCGAGTGGGTGCTGTCCCTGTCTTGTTTCGATCCCACACTAACAATGACTTCCGAGCAGATGGCAGATCTACGGCGGCATTGGCATGGCCGTCATGTCAATCTGCGTCATCAACATCATCGGCCTGAGCAACTCGACGTACATGTGGATGCGCGTCTGCTTCTTCATCTGGCCCATCCTGCTCATCACGACGGCCGTGCGCGCGGGCGTGATGATGTTCCAGCTCGACCGCAAGCAGGGCAACATCATCTGGGAGTGCAACAACGGCGGCCAGCTCTGGGGCGAGTCGGCCGGCGACGGCTACGGCAACGGCACCTCGATGCCCTCGGGCGTCTGCTCGGCCGGCTTCCACAGCCTGTACATTGCCTTTGTCTTTTCCCTCGTCATCGACTTTGGCTGCCAGCTCTACGCCTACTTTCTCTGCTGGCGCTTCATGAAGCGCATCGAGCACTACTACGCCCTCGCACAGAGCGACAAAGGTTATTATTAGACTCCTTTCTTCTTCTTTCTTCTCTAGCCCTTGCTATTCTTTCATCTTTCTTTCCAGCGATAGGGATAGCACCATAGACATACTGACACCTCGATGCATTCTGCTCAGGGTTATACCGCATCTGATCCGCCCTTGCTCCTCGTCGCTTCCTCATCTTCATCGTCATCTTCATCAGTCACACGCAGCTTAGCTAGTCCAAAACACACACACACACTCTAGCTCTTCGATTTCTTTGCAGCTCACTCAGTCGATCCGCCCTTCTCCGACCCGACCCGACCTCGATCCTGACCCTCGAAGCCGAAGCAATGGACGCGCGCACGCACAAGATGGACGACGGAGCCTCCCTGGACACTTTTCATCGCACTTGTACTCTCTTCTATTCCTTCCCCCCTTTTTCCCTGGGACTCTCTTGTAACGACAAAGACGATGACGGCTCTAGTTGAAAAAAAGACTCTTTGCATATCCAGCAAGCACGGGTGCTGTTGCCGTCGTCAGTGCTTGATCACTGCGCACACGAGGAGAGAGAGAGGACACACACCGAGGTTGAGCGTCAGGGCGATGAGGCCGAAGCGGGTCAGCGTACGGCGCGCCTCAAGGTTCATCTGTGCGGCCTGCGCAGGGCTCGGTCCGGGTGCGCCGCCAGCTGTCAGAACTTTGCGTCAGGTTTGGAACTAGGAATATTGGCTGGGACAGGCTTTGCTCACCGTACATGATTGAGAAGCTGCGATGGGAGCTGTCAGAGATACACGGTGGTTGTTGGGTGGAGAAGCAGCTTCGCCTCCACTACTGCTCTAGAACTAGCTCGTCAGACTTTGTTTTCCTTTTTTCAAACTCTGGAAAAAAGCAGCGATCAGACACGCCCGAGTCATGGCCGACGAGAATGGGCGCGGGCGAGGGGACGGCGAGGGGGCCAGAGACAAGGGCAAGGGCAAGGGCAAGAGCAAGGACACGGACACGGACACGGGCAAGGGCCGACAGGCGGGCGGCGGGCTGCTCTCGAGCGTCGCGTCGGCGGGCGCTGGCGGCATGCCGGGCGAGCTTGCGCGGATGCTGGCCTCGCAGGGCAAGGCTTCCTCAGTGGGGTCAGGAGCAGGAGCAGCAGGGGCATCAGGAGGCATGGCGGGGGCATACATTGACGATGCGAGGGCTGCCGCGGCGGGGGCCATTTCCTCGCGCTCGTCGGCATCCACGACGGGCTTCCGGTCCGCGCAAGAGGCTTCCTCGGGCGCGAGTGCGAGTGCGAGTGCAGGCGCGGGTGAGCGGTCGTACGCGGGCTTTGCTGCGCCGCCGGCCATGGCGACGGCGGGGAGCGCGTTCCTTGGGCAGGCCGACGCCCACGTGGGGCCCTACTCGTCGGCGTCGGACCTCGATGTGCACCTCCACGACTACGTCCGGCGCTCCTCGCAGCAGCAGCAGCAGCAGTGGGACGATCACGGGAACGAGGCCGAGCTCGAGGGCGCCTGGCGCGATGCAAGGCAGCCGCAGCAGCAGCGACGGCAGGGCTTTGACCCCATGACAATGCTTGACGTCGAGAGCGAGGACCAGCACGAGTTTGCGCAAGACGACTTTATCGCTGCGCTCGAGCGCGAGGAGCGAGAGCTGCCGCCACAGGCACTGACACCGCTGCAGCAGTTGGGCCAGGGAGGACAACAGCAACAACGACAAGCTGGTGCAGAGGTAGGGACGACGACAGAAGCCCTCGGCAGCGTGCTTCCCGCCGGCGTGCCCCTCGTCGACCGCTGGACGGCCGACGGGCAGGGCATCACGCGGGAGCAGTACGAGATGCATCGCCGGCTCCATCTTGCCCAGCGTGGGGCTCTTTCCACCGGGACACAAGGCCAAAGCAACGACAGCATAGACGAGGAGGCACAGCGGCGGGCAGACGAGGCCGTCAAGCCGCCCGACGACGACGAGGTGGCGCAGACGGGCGTGTATGCACCCACCGTCGAGCTCGCCTTCTCGGCCATCTGGGACGGCGAGGCAGAGGGCCAGCGCGCCCTCGAGCGTCTCCGTGCCGCCTCGGTCGAGGAGGCCCATGCGCGCCAGCAAGAGGCGCGCTCGTCGTCGTCTACATCACAGCCGTCATCATCGCACTTGCAGCGCGAAAAGGCCAGACGGCTCGCGGCGCGGCTGCGCGCATGGGTCGCACGCGGTTCGTACGTCGACGACGTCTACGGCCTCCCGCCCGAGCTGGACAAGACACTGCGCGACGCCGAAGGGCCCGAAGAAGGAATAGAAGAGGAGGAAGACGAGGGGGCCAAGGAGAAGCGCGCCAAGGCCATCCGCAGGCTCGAGGCGCTCCAGCAGCACCTCGTCGGCGCCGCAGAGGGCGCCACGGGCACGCCGCGCGTAAGCCTCGACGACGTCGAGCGCTTTCTGCGCGAGCGGCGGTGATTTGCATTCAATGTAGCAGTAGAAGAGACTCATCCCATAGACCTTGCGATCGTGTCGCGGCGGCTGAAAATGCCGCGACCGGCGGGAAGGGTAAATGCAACGACGCTAAGAGAGAACGCGGTTCCTAGATGAGCGCTGCATGACTCGATGGCTGTCTTTCTTCTCTGTTCTCCACGACGGCTGATCCTCCAACATGACGCAGCAGACACTCACGCCGCAGACCGCAGCCAGGCTGGTGCTGCCGGCCGGCTACACGCTCAGCCTCGACCCGCCGACGCCCGCCGAGCACAGGCGGCTGCGCATCATTGCGGGCCTCTCGCCGCCGCCAGAGGACGAGGACATCTGCGCAGCGGCCCTGCGCAGCTCGACACTCTGCGTCGTCGTGCGCGAGGCAGCCACGCAGCAGGCCATCGCCATGGGCCGCATGGTCGGCGACGGCCAGCTGAGCCTGCTCATCGTCGACATGGCCGTCGACCCAGCGCACCAGCGCAAGGGCTTGGGCGGCGTCGTGCTCCAGACGCTCCTCGACTGGAAGCAGCAGCACTGCCCCCACGCCTACCTCTGCCTGCTGGCGGACCCGCCGGGGATGAAGCTGTACGCGCGCCACGGCTTTGAGCCCAGCATCGAGCAGGGCATGACGCACTTTTCCGGCTTTGTGGGCGACAGTCGCCGGCGCAAGGCCGCGGCGGCAGAAGCAGCGGCAGCAGAAGCAGCGGCAGCAGAAGCAGCAGCAGCAGCCCAAGCCTGAGCAACAGACAATGAATGCAATTCTCTCTCTCTCTCTCTATGTAAATTGGGTGGGATATCGCGCCGGACTGGCTCAGCTGACGAGGATGAAGAGGAGGAAAAAGACAATGAGGACCTGTTTGAATGCACACACAGTCAGTCTCCCGGAGACTACGTTGGCAGGAGGAGAGAGGAAAACGCACCCCAAAGATCTTGAGCATCAGCCAGCGGTTGCTGCTGACGCTCGCATAGTACTTGAGCAGCTCGCGCTGGGCGCCGCTGACGTTGTCCGAGACGTCGTGGACGTCGTCGTCGATGCGCTGCACCGTCTCGCGCTGCTCGGCGACCATGTGGGCCAGCTGGCTGAAGATCTGGCCGAGCTCGGAAATGGTGCTCTCAATCGACTCGATGGCGCTCGACCGCTGCTGCACGTACGCCTGGTCGCCCCCACCCTCCATCATCTGCATCTGCATGTACTGGTCCGACGTCTGCGGCTGGTTGCCCATGTCGAGGGCGAGAAACTCGCCGCCCTTGTCCTTGCCGTTGCTGTAGCTGCTCTGGTCCAGCGCGGCCTGGTTGGCCCCGCCGGCCTGCGCAGGCGCCGCTCGATGGGCGGCCGCAGCAGCAGCAGCAGCATTTCGGCTTGGGTTGTACAGCGGCGAGTCTGAGCGAGGAGGGGCAGCGCGCGAACGCAAGACTAGACGCAATCAGTCAGCTGCTCAAATCGGCATCGAGACACCGGCGAGCAAAAGCCAGTCCACCCACCTGAGTTCTCGCCCGGCACGGCCTGGCCTGCAGTACCGCTGTAGGCAAACTGCTCGGTGCGGTCGCGCGAAGCCTTCATGTTCTGTGGGTAGCCCGAGTCAGCTCAGCTTCCACTCTTCAGGACGGGAGGCGGGGACTAACCTGCGTTCGAATCTCAAGAATGTCCTGGAACGACGTCGTGGCACCCGCCAGCTTCGTCTGGAGCAGCGTCACGACGTTGCCCCGGTGCTCCTCGGCCTTGTCCTGCGGCGCCTTTCCCTTGGGCCCGCCCCCACCCCGCTTGGCGGCCTGGAGCTTGTTAAACGCCTGCAGGTCCGACAGCTGCCGGTTGATGGCCGCAATGTCGTGCTTGATGATGTATGTCAGCTCCGAGATCTCCACGGGCCGGTCGTCAAACATCGTCTTTCTCCGTGCGACTGTGCAAAGAGAACAGCAGTCAGTAGATGTGAGAAAAGAAAGGAACTGTCCGGCCTTGGCAACGCACGCTGTGCAAGCCTGCCGAGCTTGGCTGTCGTGTCGCTGATGTCCTTGCCAATCGCCTGTGCGCGTTTCGCAAACTCGCCCTTGGGCGACGAGGCAGCTGCGCTTCCATTTTGCTGCTGCTGATGATGATGATGCTGCTGCTGGCTCGGTGTCCCTGCTCGGGAAGCGGCCAGCGACGACGACGACGAGGGCCCTCCGCTGGCGAGAAGCCGCTCCCGCGGCGAGATGGTGCTCTGCCCCACAAAGTCGGGCCGGTTCGAGTCGACGAGCGTGTGGAACTCAGAGGTCCGGTCCTTGACCGAGAGCGCAGTCTGGTAGTACGCCATGCCTCCCCTGCGACGTCCACCGAGAGCGTGGGCCGGGATATACTTACCTGCGCTGGTGGCGCGCGCGCGCGCCCCCGATGTCTATTTTTGCCTGCCACGCGAGCGCGACTTTGTGCTTCCTGCCGTCTAAATCTTCCATTTTTTTCTTCCTTCTCGTCTCATTCGAAAGCATGTCGTCGTCGATTGCCTCGTCTTCCAGGGCCACCATGGCCGCCTCGTCGATTGCCTCGTCCTCGAGGGTCAAGCTGGCCTCCTCGTCCCTCGTTCGATCGACACAGCAGCGAAGAACATACGCTTCAAGATCAGCAGCAGAGGCAGTGTGAGTGATCCTGCAGCAGCTCTCGCGCACCTGTAGCTAACCCTGTCATTCCACAGGACCGTCTCTCTGACTTTTCTCAACAAGACGGTCCGCTTCACGCTGCCCGAGCTTCCCACCCCCTTCTCATCACCACCGTCGCCCCCTTCGCCCCAGCTTGCGCTGGCCGGCGACGATGTCTACGGGAGCGAGTCGGCCCCGGCAGCACCCGCGACGTCGCTGCTCGAGGACCTCTGGGACGGCGTGCTGCGCGCGGTGCCCAAGTCGAAAGTGAGCCACTCGCGAAAGGCGATGCGCTCGGCCAACAAGGGCCTCAAGGACCGCACTGGTGAGTCGTAGTCACCCTCCCCTCAAGTAAGGAAAGAAAGGAAAAGGAAGCTCACTCAAACCAACCCAGACCTCGTCCACTGCGCCTCGTGCGGCCGGCCAAAGCTGGCACACCACATCTGCGCAGTCTGCTACGGCGAAGTCAGTCGGATCCAAAAGGCCGTGACAAAGGCACAACGGCAACAGCAGGCCGGTGGTGGTGGCGGGAATAGCAGTACCTCGGGTTGATGATGGAGAGAGAATATGATTGCAAAATTACAAAAAGAGACCAAAAACTAATGGATGGGAAAGTTGCTACACTGAAATGGTCTTGAAGAGGTGGAAGCCGTCTGCGCTCGTCGTCATGAGCATGCCGCTGATCTGGGGGTGCCAGTGGACCTCCTTGATCTCGCTGGCGCCGTGGTGGCAGAAGAGGAGCTGGTGCGGCACCTCGCGCCCGCCGGGCCCTTGGTAGGCCTGCATCTCGCCCTGCTCCTCGTCGTCCTGCTCCACCGACAGGTCCCAGAGCGTGACCTGGTCGTCGCGGCCCGCAGCAGCAAAGACGCTGTCCTCGGTGGGGTGCCACTCGACGGACGAGATGGGCGCCGTGTGCCAGGCAAACGAGGCGACGGGCGTGGGCCGCGCAGAGGAGGAAGGCTTAAAGTTGCGCAGGTCCCACACGTTGAGGCCGCCCTCATCGCCGCCAGAGACGAGGAGGTAGTCTGTGTTCTTGTTCCAGGAGATCACATTGACGTCCTGCTCGTGGGCATCGGCGACGGAGATGACGCTGCGCCGGTTCTTGACGCGCACGTCCCACACGCGCACGGACCGGTCGGCGCTGCACGAGGCAAACACCGTCGTCTCCTTTGGCGACCACTGCAGGTCCTCGACCGACGACGTGTGGCTGGTGAATGGCGTGGCGTGGGTGGTGAAGCCCGACTGGCTCGAGGTGGTGAGGAAGATCTTGGAGTGCAGGTCGCCGGTGAGCAGCCGCAGCGACGAGGCCTTGCCCGAGCCACCGTCGCCGCCCGAGCCGGCCCAGTCCATGGCGTAGCCCTCGATGGTGTGGTTCTTGACCGTGTGCATGGGTCGGATGCCCTTGCGGTCGTACGATGTCCCTGGCCGGTCGAGCGCATTGAAGAGCGGTCGCACGTCCCAGATGTCGACCTGGCCCAGCTCGGACCATGTGGCGACGGGGTAGGGGTCCAGCGACGGCTCGAGCGAAGAGACCGGCGGGGCAACCGGCGCAGCCCGCACCCGGTTGATGCCGCCGAGGTGGGGGATCGACTTGTACTCGAGGATCGCATCGTCGTCCAGCCCATCGTCGTCTTCGTCTTCGTCGTCATCGTCGTCCTCCTCGGCTGCATAAAATTCAATCAGCTTGCTGTCCTCTCAAGAAGAACAAGAATGAAAGTTGCCTCAGAGGTGTAAAAATAAGGTAGCGAGATGTTTTCGGCATCGGAGCAGAAGCCCCATACAGCCAAATGCCTCAAGCATCATGGGCGGGCGAGCGTCAGGGAAGAGAAACTCACCACCGTCTTTCTGCGTCTTGTGCATCGAGCTGGCCTTCATCACCATCAGCTCGTTGTTCTTGGCCGTGTCGGCCTGGGTGCCGGCGACAAAGTAGGCCGTCTGCGGGTACTTTTGCCGCTCGGCCGCCGAGCCAAGCTGGTCGCGGAGCACGTCAAATGAGAGGCAGGGCCATGTGACGTTGAGCCGGTGCAGCATCTCGTACGCCGACTGATCCGGCTCCAGCTGCTGCCCCTCCTGCAATGGTGCGCCGACGCCGGGTATATACGCTTGCGTGTCGTCGACCTCGGGTTCGTCCTCGTCGTCGGACGGCCGTTGGATCTCGCCATCGATCTTGACGCCTGCAGTCTCACGCTCTTGTTAGCATGCATAGAGTTGTATCAGACCGAAAGCACTACCCACCGTCAATCTCCATGTCGCCGTTGTCGCTGGCGTTGTCGATCACCTCGCCGTTCTCTGCATCGTCTTCAAACTCGTCCTCAAAGTCATCCTCAAACTGGCCCATCCCCTCGTCGCCATCCTCGTCTTTTCTTCTCGGCGCCGTCGGCTTCTGTGACGAGGGCCCCGCGGCGGCCGCTCTGGCCTTGCCGCCGCTGGCCCCGTTGCCCACGGGCGAAGACGGCCTCTTTGACATGGTTGGTCTTTCTTCTTCTTCTTAGCCGACCTCTTCTCAATAAAGGAGAAAAATTTGGGTCCTTCCTGACTTTTTTTTTTGGCTGGCACGTGTTAAACACGCCCACGTGGGAAAATTTAAGCTTCCATCGGGACGCCGTCGTCAGCACGGACTCCACCTACCCAGAAGAGGCGGATTTGTCAGACCCTTCCTGACTTCATTTCATGTAGGGTAGTCCTGACGTGCCCGCAAGGGTCTCGTTGTGCGAAACATCGGGGAATAGAGCTGACCTCATTGTGCTATCCTGCTCCATCGCTTTGGGAGTTTGTGGGATTGCTCAGTGAGAAATATATAACGTAGAAGGTCTTGCCACCGTAAAACCTCTTTCTCACCTCACACCGCAACCCACACACGCTGAAGGTCTCTTACCACCGCAAGCACACCTCCTCACACCTCGTAGGAACGCTTTATCATGTCTCCCGCACAACACCTCCCCACGCAGGATTTCGCCGCCGATTCCTGGGGCAAATCAGGCGTATACGCAAACGCTAATGGCGCCGTCGTCGCTCATCCCTACGAGAGCCAGCGGGTGGGCGAGAATGGTCCGCTCCTCTTGCAGGACACCCATCTCGTAGAGGTCCTCAGTCACTTCGATCGGGAGCGTATTCCTGAGCGAGTCGTCCATGCCAAGGGCGGCGGCGCTCACGGTCACTTCAAGCTCACTCACCCGATCCCTGAGTTGACGTCGGCAAAGATCTTTTCCACGCCGGGCACCTCCTGTCCCGCCACGGTGCGATTCTCGACCGTGGGCGGAGAGAGCGGCAGCCCCGACCAGGCCCGCGACCCTCGCGGCTTCTCCATCAAGTTCCGGACCGAGGAGGGCAACATGGTGAGCTAAGACCACCATTGCACCACCATTTACTTTCTCTTGCTAATTTATTATTTTGCAGGACTGGGTCTTTAACAACACACCCGTCTTCTTCATCCGCGACCCGGCAAAGTTCCCCACCTTCATCCACACGCAGAAGCGCAACCCGCAGACGCACGCCACCCATGCCGACGACTCGACCGACTTCTGGAACTACATGAGCCAGAATCCCGAGTCAGTGCACCAGTTCATGTACCTCTTTGGTCCTCGCGGTATTCCCCAGGACTGGAGGCACATGCAGGGCTACTCTGGCCACACGTTCAAGTTTGTCGCGGCCAACGGAAGCTGGAATTACGTGCAGATTCACGTCCTTTCGCAGCAGGGTGTCAAGAACATGCACCCAGACGACGCCGCCAAGGCTTCGCCCGACTGCCACCAGCTGGACCTGTTCAACAGCATCGAAAAGGGCGAGTACCCCAAGTGGGACGTCAAGTACCAGATTGCCTCGCAGCAGGAGGCCGACGCTGCCGGGCTCGACGTCTTTGACCTCACCAGGACGTGGGACCGTAAAAAGTTCCCGCTCCAGCCGCTGGGCGAGCTGGAGCTGAACCAGAATGTGGCAAACTACTTTGCCGAGATTGAGCAGGTGGCCTTTGCGCCCTCGACGCTCATTCCGGGCATCGAGCCCTCGGCCGATCCTGTGCTGCAGAGCCGACTGTTCTCCTACCACGACACGCACCGCCACCGCGTCGGCGTCAATTACCAGCAATTGCCGGTCAATGCGCCGCAGGTGCCCTACCCCATCTACAATTTCCAGAGGGATGGACAAATGGCGTTTGTCAACCAGGGTACACGGCCGACCCACTTGTCGAGCATCCAGCCGCCGACGCTCAAGCCCCGTCCCTACGACCTCGGAAAGACGGCCGGCTACGTCGACGGCCACGCCATCTCGTTCCTCTCGGGTGTCACGATGCGCGACTTTGAGCAGCCGCGCGAGCTCTTCCGCCGGGTGTTCTCCGAGGAGGACCGCAAGTTGACGATTGAGCAGATCAGCGGGCACATGACGACATCGCGTGACCCCAAGAGCATCGCCCAGGCCGTCAACATCTGGTGGCTCGTCGACAACGACATGGGCAACGCCATTGCCAAGAATCTCAAGCTCGAGGCAGGGTCGTGGCAGAAGCCGCTCGCAGAGCTCAGCTTCATTGGATCGCACAACTTTGCTGCCAACAAGGAGGCGCTGCAGATGTTTGAAGACTACAAGTCGGTGCAGCAAAAGGCGGCTGAGAAGGCTGGCGACTTTACCACGACGGCAAAGGAGGCCGTCGCCCACGGCGTTCAGGCGGTGGCCAACGCCGTCAATGGTGCGGCCAATGGCCATGCCAACGGTCACTAGCTCATTACATTGTAGCACTTTCTTTCCAAATGACATACACTATGCTCTGATAGTCCTGCTCTTGTAGTCCTGCTCTTGTTCTCTGTGACTGCCTGGTACCGCTCTCCTTCTACCCTATGACTGCGTTGCTCGCGTTGCTCTTCTCGCACATCGGTAGACCACTGTGCACACCGCAAGCACCGAGCACACTTTAGGTCACAGGCAGGTCAAGCAGTGCCGAGCTGCCGACGTCTTGCGGAATAATCTCTGTCCCGACGATGAGCACGAAATCCTCCACCGTGATCGGGTGGTTAGGAGAATTTACCACGTGCTTTCGACAGCGCTGCAGCGCGCGCGCGCGCCCTTGAATCTCTTAGGTCCGCTTTGCCAGAGAGCAGTGGGAGTCCCCGTTTTGGGTTCCAGGCACAACGATCGCCTAGCTTGGCCTCCCCGCGCCCCCTGCCCATCGTTCGCTCGCTTTCTTAACCACCGCCGCCACCCACTAACACCACCGACAGCTGATCGCTGCCGCGTACACAACAGGAGGGGAAATAGAGGGCGGCCGCGCAGACTACAGCCCGGACAGGGAGCCCGCCACACTCGTCTTCTTGTGGCACGGCACGGCACGGCCCCAAGGGGTGGAGTTGGAACACCGCCACAAGCGACTATCACGTCGACGGACCTCGCCCTCGCCCTCGCCCTCGCCCTCGCCGCCGCCTGACCGGGTCATCAACCACCCACGCCTTGCTCTGCCGTCCTCTTGGCCGGACGCCCGCTCGTGAGGAGAGAGAGACAGCCACACAATGGCCAACATGATGAACCGCATCTGGTCTGGGCCCGCCGACCAGGTGAGTAAAGGTATTGCTGCTGCTACTTTAAAACAAGCTGACACTATCTGTGGTGCCAGGAAACACCAAAAGCGTCGCTGTCGTCTGCCAAGTCCGAGGAGCGCAACCCGTTCGATGCACTAACGCCGGCACCAGCACCAGCGCCGGCCCCGACGCCGGCCGCGGCCAGTGGCGCACCCAACGACCGGCTGGCTCCCTCGTCGATGGCGCACCAGCGGGGCGACAGCGGGGGCAGCCTCAAGACGATGCTGCAGCAGCAGCCGGGCGACGGCCTCCGGACGCCCGGCGGCGTCACGAGCCATGCGAGCGTGCCCACGACGAGTGTGTCGACGACTGGTGAGCAGAGCAGGGCAGGCCTGGATCGCAGGGCAACGCAGAGACTGACATCAACGCATACATAGCCCCGGACTTCACCATGAAGCTGCCGCCGGCCAAGGCCAAGCCAGAGACGAGCAGCGCAGGCAGCGCGACGGCCACAAGGAACACGTCGGCACCCAGGGGCCGCCTCACCGTCAAGCTCGTCGGTGGCCGCAACCTGGGCGCCCACGTGGGCCAGCCCTACGCCGTGGTGTCGTTTGAGCAGAACGAGTTCATCGCACGCAAGCCGCTGGCCAAGGGGGCCCGGTCATCTGCCTCCGCCTCCTCGTCGCACGACGGCGCGCAGGACAACCCCGTGTGGGACCACGAGGCCGCCTTTGATGTTGTCTACCCGGACAAGCCCGTCTTTGTCAGCGTCTACGACCGCGACGCCGCCGAAGAGGGCTTCCTGGGCATGCGCCTCATCCGACCACGCATGGTCCACGGCGTGTCGACCGACCAGTGGTACCCGCTCGTCGCCCGCGACGACGCCGAGGAGGACGACCAGCAGGGCCGGGGCGAGATCCGGGTGCAGCTGCGCTACGAGCGCCTCACATCCAAGAAGCACCTCACCCCTGCCGACTTTGACTTTCTCAGCCTCATTGGCCGGGGCACCTTTGGGCGTGTGTTCCAGGTGCGCAAGCGCGACACGAAGCGCATCTATGCCATGAAGGTCCTCTCGAAGCGCGAGATTGCGCTCAAGAAGGAGGTCACACACACGATGGGCGAGCGCAAGATTCTCGAAAAGTCCCTCGATTGCCCCTTTCTCGTCGGGCTCAAGTTCAGCTTTCAGTCGGCCCAGGAGCTCTACTTTGTCACCGACTACAAGTCGGGCGGCGAGCTCTTCTGGCACCTCCAGCGCGAGGGCCGCTTCACCGAGGAGCGCGCCCGCTTCTACATTGCCGAGCTCGTCCTCGCCCTCGAGCACCTGCACAAGTACGACATCGTCTACCGGGACCTCAAGCCAGAGAACATCCTGCTGGATGCCACGGGCCACGTGGCCCTCTGCGACTTTGGCCTCAGCAAGCCCGACCTGGGCGCTGGCCAGCTGACCAACACCTTTTGCGGCACCACCGAGTACCTGGCGCCCGAGGTGCTCCTCGACGAGAGCGGGTACAGCAAGCTCGTCGACTTTTGGAGCCTGGGCGTGCTCCTGTTTGAAATGTGCTGTGGCTGGAGCCCCTTTTACGCCGAGGACACGCAGCAGATGTACCGCAACATTTGCTTTGGCAAGATCAAGTTCCCACGCGGCGCCATTGGCGACGACGGCAAGCAGTTTGTCAAGGGTCTTCTCAACCGCAACCCCAAGCACCGCCTGGGTGCCGTCAACGACGCGGCGGACCTGCGCAACCATGCCTTTTTCAAGGACATTGACTTTGAGGCCCTGTCGCGCAAGCAGCTCACGCCGCCCTTTAAGCCCTCGGTCGAGTCGGACGAGAGCGTGGCCAACTTTGACCCCGAGTTCACCGAGACGGACCTGAAGCAGATGGCTTTCATTCCCGGCTTTGACGGCGACGCCAATGCGAGCAAGGCGGCCATCCACAACGGCGCCATTCTCAACAACAACGGCAGCGGCGGCGATGGCCCGCACGGCGTGGCCATTGGCAAAGACGGCGCCAAGGATGCAGGTGTAGGCCCAAAAGCTGTCGCCGGTGTCGCTGGCGGGAAAAGTGGAGACGGTGGCGACGACGACGACGACGACGACAACCCGCTCTCGAGGAGCGTGCAGGACAAGTTCAGAGGGTTCAGCTACAGCGGCACGTACGACGGCAGCGTCGCCGGCAGCTTCGGCGGGCGCCGTGGCTCGGGCGGCTTTGGCCTGGCGGGCGCGAGCCTGGGCATGAGCAAGATGCAGATGGACGACGACGACGATGACGATGGCAATGACGACGGCGGGCCGAGGCGGGCGAGCCATGCGCAGCACAACGGCGGCGATGCAAAGATGAGCGAGGCAGAAGAAGAGGCCGCGGGCAGGCCGGTATCTGACGTAGACATGGACCCTTGATGACGACCGTATCCTCCTCCCCTCCCCCTAATCTCTTTCCTCTTCCTGGAGCCTGCCCCTTTCTTATGTCTTGTCTCTCTTGTCTCTCCTGTCTCAACCTGATGTACTTGTGTGGAGCTTGAATCCGTCAGTTTCCAGTTCTTTACTTGGAAAGAGACGCGTCCGTTCTGAAAAGTAAAAGAAAAAAGTGCAAGAGGAGTGCAGATCTTCTCGCAGGCGACTGGGCGCACAGAAGCTCGCAAGAACAGAGGCACATCTGCCCCTCTAGCATGACGGGGGCCAGAGGCGTGGCGCTGTCGAGCTGCGCGCGGCTGGGGAGAGGAGCTGCGGTGACAGGGACAGCCACGGCGACGGCCACGGCGACAGTCACGCGGCAGGCGGCGACGCTGTCGACGACGGCGCCTCTGATGGGCCAGGCGCGCGCAAGGCCCTCGCGCTTCTCGCACTTCTTCTTTGGCCGCCAGGGCCATGCGCCCCGCCCGGACAGCCTCGCCGGGGACGGGGCGGGGATGCAGCAGGAAGCAGAGGCCGAGCGATGGACTGCAAACGAGGCAGCAGCAGCAGCGCCCGCCCCTGCCGTCCTGGCGTTCCAGCGCGCCGTCGATGCCGGCGACGTCGCGGCTGTCCATCGCACCTATCCGCCACTCCGGGCGCACCTCGAGTCGGCGGCGCCGCGCAGCGCTCCCGAGCACATCAGGCACGACATCCGCACCGCCGTGCGCATGCTCCTCTCGACGAAGCGCGCAGGCAAGCGACGGGCCAGCACCGCCGCCGCCGACGACTACCACGGCGACGGCGACGGGGACAGGGACCACCTGGACGAGGGCGCGGCCGAGGATGCGCGGCTGGCACTGCGCATGTTCGAGGACATGCCCCGTCTGCTCGGCCACACCTACGGCCCGCTCGACTGCCACTACGCCGTGCGGGCGCTGGCGGCGCAGGTGCCGCGGCTGTCCCGGCACCCGTCGCCTCTCTCGTCGCCGTCGTCTTCTTCCTCGTCACCTTCTTCCACGTCGCCTTCTTCCACGTCACCTTCTTCCTCGTCGCCTTCTTCCTCGTCGCCTTCTTCCTCGTCGCCTTCTTCTTCGTCGCCTTCGTGGCCATCGCCGTCAGAAGGGCCTCCAAGAGCAACAAGTGATGGCGCCGTGGCGCCGCGCGAGGTGCTGCACTACCTCGTCGAGCTCCGGCGCCGCTTTCCTGTCTTCCAGACCCGGTCTGCCGACTGGGCCCTCGTGCTCGATGCCTTTCGCAGGCGCCGGGATGCGTGGGGCGCGCGTCTGGCGTGGCGCATGCAGCGCAGGACCGCCACCCCGCCCGAGGCCCTGGCCCGCGACCTGTACATGGCTGTCCTCCTCGGTGCGGGCCAGGTGCGCCGCGCGCTGCGCCTCGCCGACGAGACGGCCTTCCTGGCCCAGCTCGCAGCGCAGCGCACCGACAGCCTCGCCTTCTTTCTCAACGGCATCGCCCGCATCCCCGGCGGCGCACACCGTCCCGAGGCAGCGCGTGTCGCCGACGAGGCCCATCGCAGGCTCCTCATCGACAGCGACGGCGGTGACATCCACGCCGAGGCAAGCATCCCGGCGCAGCGCAGCCTGTGGCACGCCCTCCTCATCTACAAGTCACTGGCCGACGGCGCCGATGCGGCCCTCGAGCTGGCACAGAGGGCCATCGCCAACGGCAAGCTCCGTCCCACGGCCGAGACGTATGCGCTCCTGCTCCAGGCGCCCGGCCTGCTCGCCTCCGTCGAGACTGACGACGACGCCGCCGCCGTGCTGAGCCGGCTCTCGTCGCTCCTGGGCGTGGCGGCAGACAAGCGCGCGTACGCCATTGCCATGCGCGCGCTCCTCGGCCAGTCGCCCTCGCTTTTGAACCACAGCTCGTCATCGTCGTCGTCGTCGTCGTCGTCGTCGTCGTCGTCATCGCCGCCGCTGCAGCCAAGCCCACCCACGCCCGGCCAGATCCGCGAGGCCGACGACCTCTACCAGCGCGCCCTCCGCGCCATCGACGGCCCGCCCGACAACGCCCTCGTCCACCCGCTCCTGCTCGCCTACACATCCAGCTACCTGCCCTCGCTGTCCCGCGCCCTCCAGCTCTACGACGCCGTGCCGGACCCAGACCTGGGCCTGTACAATGCCCTGCTGTCGGCCTGCGCACAGGCGCGCGACATGGCCAGCGCAAAGGCTCTCCTCGCCCGCGGTGGCCGGCGCCAGCGGCCGTTTGAGCGCCTCGACGCCAAGAGCCGCCTCGCCCAGCTCATCCTCCTCCTCAAGGCCAGCCAGTCGTACGACGAGGCCTTTGATGTGTACGAGGCTGCGCTGCGTGCCGTCGTGCCCCGGGAGCAGCACCATGACATGGACGAGGGTGGTAGGAGCATCAGCAGCAGCAGCGACGCATTCGGGGGCCCCGCGGGATGGCTCGTCATCCTCGACACCTTTTCCAAGCTCCGCCTGGCCTCGGCCCGCAAGCCGCCGGCCGAGATGGTCATGTCCATCGTCGACGACATGCGCCACTCGGGCGTCGAGCTGGGCGCAAAGGCCTACACGACGCTCCTCGACTACTTTGCCAAGGCCGCCACGTCGCTCCTCCAGCGTGGCACCGTTCCCCATGGTGAGCCAGCCTCCTCCTCCGACGAGCAGCAGCAGCTGCACGACGAGCTCGAGTCGCTGCGCCGCTCCATTATCGCCATCCACGCCATCCTCCAGCGCTCGACGTGGATCCAGCCCGACATGCCGCTCCTCACGGCCCTGATGGACGCATACAACCGCGTCGGCCTCTTTGACCGCGGCCTCGACATCTGGAACCGCCTCGTGCTGGCGCACGCTGCCATTGGCCAGAGCACCCTCGCTGTGCTGATGGACCTGTGCGGCCGCGCCGCCGCCGGCGCGCGCAACAGCGCCGGCCGCTTTCGCTACGAGGGCACCGGCCGGCGTGCCTGGAAGAGCGGTCGGGCCATGCTGGCAGACGGCGCGGCGCCCAACAAGAGCGCCTGGGACGCCTACGTCGAGTTCCTCTGCCGCGTCGGCCGCCTCGACGAGGCAACCGACGTCGTGCTGGGCGACATGGCCCACGCGGGCGCCAGGCCCGACGCCAAGACGATCGGCATGCTCCTCCGCTTTGGCGCAGAGGCCAAGACGCAGAGGCGGCACGACGCAGCCGCACGGCTCGCAGCGACAAACGAGCAAGGGCCCTGGCACCGCACGCGCGACATCGTCAGGAGAAGGTGCCACACGGGCTCAGACGAGGACAGGCTCTGGTGGAGCCAGATCTGGGAGAGTGTCAAGCGCATTGGCGAGTAAGTCTATGTGAATGGTAATTTCTCTTGGTCTGTCAATCTGCTTGCATGTACAGGAGGGGGGTGCTTGTGATGAGAGGGCCTTTTTGGGAGGGGAGACTTGTGTCCCAGGAGGTGATCCTGCTAGTGAAGGAAGGCGTGCTCCTCAGAGAGGGGACGTTTAGTGAAGGGAGATGTGTGTCCCAGGAAGAAGTCCTTCTAGTGAAGAGAGACGAGCGTCTCAAAGGGATAGCCGTTGGAGTGGGGCGGGCGGGGAGGCGGACCGTCCTCCTCCGTTGGAGCCACCGCGGCAACCTCTGCGGGAGTCTCTGCGGGCGCCTCTGCGGCAGGTCCCTTCTGCTGGGGCTGCGGTGGATTGTGGCTGAGGTAGGCGGCCATGCGCTCGACCTCGCAGGGGCCCATGCCCCCACATCGCTCGTCGAGCTCCTTCCACCGGCCTGCGACAAAGGCGTGGAGGGCCTCTTGGTGCTGTGCGCCGGCCCTGGTGCTGATCCAGTCGAACATTTCCTCGTGCGTTGTGCTCCTGTCGTTACCGTTGCTGCCACTGTCTTCATCGTCGTCGTTGCACTTGACGTCGGCGTCGGCGTCGGCATCAGCGTGACACGGACCCCGATCGAGGCGCTTCATGGCGCTGAACAGGTGCTCGAGGCGGACGTCTCGCCGGATCTGGTCCAGCTCAACCTTGCGCTGGGCCGCGCGCTGCTTGACCTCTTGGGCCGACAGCACGTCCTCGCTGTCCTCGCTGTCACTGTCCTCTTCGTCTCCGGGTCCGTTGTCGTCGGTGTAGAAGGGCGTCGAGGTGCACGATGCCTCGCACTCTTCCAGTGGCTCACCGACTGCGTCTGTCAGGCTGCGGGGAGGAGGCGCACACAGAGACATGGACTCGGCAACCAGACCGAGACAGTCGCTCTCGCCAGTGCTGGGCCAGTCAAAGGAAGGTGCAGCCCAGGACGCAGCCTCGAGGTGGCCAAACAGGTCGGTGTAGCGAAACTGGGCTAGAAAGGCCTCTGCTCTGGCCGCCTCGTCGTCGTTGTCTTGCTGCTGCTGCTGCTGCGGCTCCCTCGGGAGCGTGTCCTGATGCGACACGGGCGCCTGGCTGCACGAGCCAGACATCGTCAGCGTCACGGGCATGATGACACCGCTCATCGCCAGGGCCATTTCCCACGGTGAGGCGGCGGCGCCGTGGTGCTGCGCCGAGGCGGTCCGCGCCCTCTTTTTGCGCTTGGTCGAGTCGTCGTTCTGGTGCTGCTGCTGCCTCTGTTTTGTAGCTGGCTGGGGCGCTGCCTTTGCGACGTCTTCTGCGCCGTCGACGACGACGTCGTCGTCTGGGCCTGCGAGTGCCTGGCTGCAGTCGGCGACCCACTGGAGGTGGTGGACCCAGTACTTTTTGCTGCTGCCCACGCGAACGTGGGGCACCTGCCGCAGGAGCTCGCTGGCGCCCTTGCGCTTGAGCCGGAAGCGCCGCTGGGCCTCCTTTGTACTCAGCAGCTCGTACTTGTCCGACCGGGCGCAGCGCGAGCAGAGGTAGGCACGGCCTGCGTCGTTGGCCTGCAGCGCCGGGTGGCGGCTCAGGATGCGCAGCTTGCCCTCGTCGTTGTGGCTGCTGCCCTCGGCGACTGACAGGGCGCTTGCCAACGTCCAGCCGCACTCGAAGCACCTCTCGTCTTTATTGGCCGTCGAGAGGGCAGCAGTGGCATCGAGCATGCTCTGCCACGGCCAGTCGCCCTTCTTCGTCGGTGGTGCTGCCTCGTGCTGCTGCTGCTGCTGCTGCTGCTGAACCACCTCTCCAACCGTTGCCCTGGCCCATGACGGCGTCGTCGGTGTCGATGGCTCCATGCTCGCTGCTGTGCTCGTCTATTTCGACAGAAGGTGAGCGGTGCTCGTCCGACTCAGCATTTATTGCACTCACGGGACTGTCATCCAAGCGCCACGAAAAGGAGGCCAGCGTCGAGGCCGACGATGCCGACGCCGACGCGGGCGTTTGCTGGTTCGTGGGCAGCGAAAAACCATCCTCGACCGTCGTGGCCTGGAGCGCAAACAGAGCCTCGTTCTGCGTCGTCGACAACGAGGCTATCCAGCTGTCCCAGGCTCCCCCGTCCATGACAAACGACTGCTGCTGCGGCTGCGACTGCTGTGGTGCGTCGCCGTCGTCTGCGAAAAAGGGGCGCGAGGTGAGCCTGGCCGTCCTGGAGCAGCCACCGTCAATCGTCGCTGCTGGCCCACTGCCCTGTGGCGTGGCAGTGGTGTTGGTAGTGATGTGGTGCAGCCCGACACGGTCCTCGCACGCGCTCCAGCTCACCGTGCCGCCCTGGCCATAGGCGCATCCATACGTGTTAGCTACCTCCTCCTCGACGCCACCACCACCACCATCGTCGCCATCATCGCTGTCTTTGTCGTTGTCCTGGCCTGCCACCGTGCCCATCCCGGCCTGCATCGCGTCAAACGAGGCAGACGACGAGAGGAAAAAAAGATCGGCGCTCGAGACGCCCGCCCCTCGCTGGCCGTCAGCGGCGGCGACAAGCATGTCCTCGACGAGCATCATTTGTGTCTCTGCTGCTACTGCTTCTGTTGCTGCTGCTGCTGCTGCTGCTGCTTGGGGGAAAGAGACAGGAAAAGGAGAGAAAAAGTGGGCGAACCCTCCCGGCGGCTGTTCGCGGCCGCGGCGACGGACGGCCGTGCAAAAACCAGAAAACAAAAGAGAGAGTGGAAGGGGGCGTCGGTGCAGAGGAGGAGTTCGGGTGCCTGTCGCGGTGACGATGACGACGGCGAGCAGGCACAGCAATGGGGCGAGAGGGAGGCCAAGGGGAAAAGACGGAGGCGAGAAAGAGAGAGAGAGAGAGGGAAGGGCGGCGCACGGGCCGGGGCGGCGCTGCACGCTGCTGCACTCTGTCTCTGTCTCTGTCTCTCTGCCTCTGTGCGTGTGCCGGCCGTTGTTTGGCGACGGCAGCGGAGAGTCAGTCGGGCCAGGCAAAAGAGGGAGCAAAAATGAAAACAGCGATGGACAGGAAAGGACTGGGATTGAAAACAGCAGAGAGCGCGGACCTAGTGGCCAAAGAGGCGAAAGATGATGTACAGCAGCGAGCCCGAGGCACGGATGGCGGCCAGCACAGCGGTGCTCCAGAAGAGCGCCTGCAGGTACGGGTTCGTCGTCAGGCCGAGATCGACCTTTGTATAGTGGTTCCACCAACTGCTGGTGAAAAAGATGACGAGAAAGGCATTGGAGCCGAGCCAGGCGAGCAAGAAATTGGTGCGGAAGTTCTGCTTGTGGTCCGACTCCTTGACGGCCTTGCTCCGCTTCTGCTTGACTTCCTTCTTGGGCTGCGCCAGGTCCATCTGCGCGTGCTGCCACAGCTCCTCGGCGTCGGCGGCCGACGTGGGCACCTTGGCCTCCACCACCGTCTCGCCGTCCTTGCCCTTTTGCGCCTTGGCGTGGCCCAGGTCCGTCGCAGCCCCATTGTCGCCCTTGGTGCCCCAGCTGACATCGTGCAGGTTGGCAAGCGAGTAGATGGAGAGAATGGTAATGTAGGTGGGCATGAGGAAGAGGTACTGGACGATGCAGGTGAGCATGTGCCAGGGGTCCAGCATCCAGATCGAGGCGAGGAGCCAGAGAACGTAGGTGGAGACGATGGAGATGACAATGGAGCGGATGCCCGAGTGGCCGAGGATGAGCTTGAGGACGTGCGACGAGGTCCAGCCGCCGGGCGTGAGGAGGTGGGCCTGGTCGAGCTGGAGGTAGATGGTCCAGCCGGTGCAGTAGAGAAGGAGGGAAAAGAGGGTGCCAAAGGCGATGATGCAGACGGTGTACATGGCATTGAAGCCCTGTGGCCGGCTACCAAGGCTGGCAACGACGACGATGACGACGAGGGCCACAAAGACGTTCTGGCAGACCTCAAACACGGCGGCGCCCTGGCCACCAAACGGATCCTTGGCTGCGTTCGACGTGGCGCTCTGCATGAGAAAGTACATGGAGAGGAAAAAGTTGGCGAGCGAGGTCCAGGTAAAGATGATCTGGACGAGGTTGTAGATCATCTGGAGCTGGAGCACGAGCTTGCGCAGGAAGCCCTGGCCCGAGGACCAGATGCGGTACCAGTGGAAGACGGCATAGATGCTGGCAAAGAGGGAGCCGTTGAGCCAGCGCCGGCGCTGGCTGATGAGCTCGGCGACGCGGTCCGGCACGTCCGTCGTCGCCCGGGCAGCCTTGACGTACTTGAGGAGCCACGCCTCGCCCGTCTTGGTGACGAGCTCGAAGCAGAGGATGCGGTCCTCGGCGAGGTAGAGGTTGTTGATAAACGAGCCGCCTGCGAGGGTGCCGTTGTGCAGGGCCTCGCCCTTGAAGTAGGCCTCCAGGGGCCGGCCCTTGAGTGCCTGCCAGCGGTAGGCGGAAAAGGCGCCGGGAAGGACGCCAATGAAGCCAAAGACGGACTCGAGGGGCTTGTCGAGGATGTTGGACATCTTGTACTCAAAGTTCTGCGAGGCCACAAGCGGGTTGATGAGCCGCCAGCCGCCAGTGCCGACATCGACGGCAATCTCGCCACAGGCACCGCCGATCTTGGCGTGCTTGTCAAACTGCTTCCAGAGGTGGTAGATGGAGCGGCCAGTGGGCCGGGTGCCGACATCGAGGAGCACGGTGACGTTGGGGTCGAGCTGGCGGCAAAAGGCGTTGAAGAACCAGCGGTGGGAGTTGATCTTCTTTTCGTTTTTCTCCTTGAGGCAAAAGACGAGCTGGACAGGGCACTTTGCCACCTCGACGGAGCCATCGGGCCCAACGACGACCTGCGTCGTGAGCTCAAAGACGTGGGCCGTGACCTCCTTGTCGAGGACGTGGTCCTTCATGGCGCCCTCCTGGAAGATGCCGTAGCAGCTGAGCATCTTGAGCATGCGCTCGTTTGCCTTTTTGCGTCCGTCGCCAATGATAAAGACGACGACCTTCTTCCAGGCATCGGCGCCCCACGTCTTTGAACGCGTGCGCGAGGCGAGGTAGGCGACATTCTTCATGACGGCGCCCAGCGTGTTGAACAGCAGCTGCTCGTCCTCGTTGTACGACGTCATGACAATCGCCAATTCCGTCTTGCGGCCCATGACCCAGGGTCGCAGCGTGAAGCGGTCGGCGACCCAGTTGTTGGGGTCGCACGTGGCGGCCGTGTAGCGCATCGTGGTGAACTCCTCGCCCTGGTGGCCGCGGCAGAGGGAGCCGGGGATGGGCACGTCGAGGACGAGGTTGCCGTTGGTGAGGGCGACGCGCTTGACGGTGCGCTTGCGCATCAGCCGGCCCTTGATCTCGTTGTACGACTCGCCATAGCCGCCGATGCGCGCAGCCGCTGCGTTGGGCTGCGCTCGTGCGATGAGAGTGCCCGGCGCGGCAAACGAGACAAAACCGCCGGGGTAGCCTGCGTCGCCTCCCATTCCTGGTCCTCCTGGCCCACCCGGTCCGTAGCCTTGTCCGTATCCTTGTCCGTACCCTTGTTGCTGCTGTTCGTAGCCGGGACCGTATCCCCCCTGGCCGTAGCCTTGGCCATAGCCCGGTGCTGCAAAGCCAGGCTGCTCCTTGTATGCGCCGCCAGGTCCCATCTCGATGCTCTCGTGGCCCGCCTGGGAGCCGTGAGCGAGCATGACGTGGCTGCCGTTGGCTGTCGATGCCGTTGCGGCGCCGTGTGGCATCTGGTAGGGTCCAGCCCCGCCGCCGCCGGGTGGGCCGTTGTAGGGCCTGGTGTAGAAGCCGTCCATGTGGCCTTGCTGTGAGGGTGTCTGCGACTGTCCGTCGTCCCACGCCTTTTCGTAGCGCGAATAGATCGACTCGTCGTCGTAGCCCTGTCCTGCTGCCGACGACGACGACGGAGTTCCAACGCGTCCGTCGTTCATAAACGGCGCCGCGGGAGGTGCGTAGGGGTAATTTCGCGAGATGCTGTTCGTGTGCGTGTCTCCCCTTTGTCAGTCCTCAAGAGTCCAAAATTGGGAAGCGCGCCGGCGGCCGTCGCCGCCTTTTTGTCCTTGACTCACCTCTCGCCCGTGCGGTGTCGCAGGCCCTGCTGAGACGAGGCCGTCGGAGCGGAGTAGGCGCTCGCACCCTCATTGTTGTAGCTGCTCTCGTGTAAGGACGGCGGCGGCGGCTGGCCATAGAAGTCCTGCGTCATGGCCACGCCTCCTGCCGCGTGAGGGTTCCCAAAGTACTCGTCGTGCGGTGGCAGGGATGGCGACTGTGATTGCGCGTGCGGGTTGTTGAAGATGGCCGGTCCCGCGCCCCTGCCCCGTGCGCGCGGTGAGGCAACATGCTGCGATGGTTGCCTAGATAGAAAGGGGTCAGACTCGCTCACTAGGGCACGACACGCAACTCACCTCGTCGGCCGGACAGGCGTGTCGTGAAAGTAGGGCTCAGACGACATCCTCACATAGGGCGCCGTAGTGGTAAAAGTAGCGAGCGTGTGTGGATCTCAGGATATCTAATGGGGAAGGGGAAGGGGAAGGGGGGGTGGATAGTGCCAATCAATGGGAGTGAGTAAGTGGTCGCCTGCCTGCCTGGTCTGAGCTTATCCTCGGCCGGCCTCTTTTCTTTCCTTTTTTTCAATTTGAAAATTGGCTTTGGCAGGGACTTTCCTTTTCTGTTCGCCTGCCACAGAGAGAGAGCCCTGCGACGCGCTTCTCGACGCGGGACAAGCAAATATTGATTCAAAGAAAAGTCTTTCCGAGAGGCACTAAGCTACAGGCTGCGCCGACAAGAGAGAGGCGCGTTGGATCTGCATGGCCTGAGAGAAGAAGATGGCCATGTGTCAGCCCGCAGAGTCGCTAAATGGCGGAAAAAGGGTTCAACTCACAAGTAGGGGCAGGTAAGAGCGAGAGTGGGGAACGCCCATCGAGGCGAGCCAGAGCCGCGAGTTTGGGCCACCGTCCTCCTGGAGATCAATCGGCCTGAAGATCCCTGTGAATTCGCCCTCTTCGTTCACAGGAAATGAGTGAAGGATCTGGTCGTTGTCTGCCATGTGAGATCCATCCGCACGGCGAAGAAAGCGGTGGACATTTGGCCCACCAAGCTCGTAGCCAATCGAAAAGATGACGGCGTCCGCTTCTATCTCGTCGCCGTTGGACATCACGACGTGGTTGTCGCGCAGCTCGCGGACAGTGACACCACTTCGGTAGTCGAGATTGCCGTGGACGACGTGGTAGGCGAGTCCCTTGAAGACGGGGTCCTTCAGGCCTGGGTCGAAGAGGTGGGTGCCACCATGCTTTCTGGCCTCGGCCGAGAAGCCACCGTCGTTCTCGCCGAACCAGACAGGCACGCCCTTTGCACGCAGGGCGTCATGCAGGTCCTTGTCGACGACCTTGTCCATGAACTCAACTCGCTTGGGCTCAAGTCCAAGCATGTACTTGTACGGCGTGGCGCGAAAAGTAACGTCGCAGTCAGGGAGCGCCCTGCCTGTGCCCTCGGGATAGATCTTGCTCATGAGCATCGAGATAAAGTCGTAGGACTGCACCAGTTGAGGTTTTCGCGCCATGACCGTCACCGAGGCCCCGTTGTTTGTCAGGTACGAGGCTATATCGGCACCCGACGAGGCGTGACCCACGACGACGAAGCGCTTGCCCTCGACGTCGAGAGGCGCATCGTCGAGGTCGTAGAGCTGTGGCTGCATCGCTTTCGCAAACGTTTCGGTGTTGAGAATGTGGCCCTTGAACGGGTGCGCAGATGACTGGACAAAGTGGGGCATCCGAGGCTTGAGGGTGTTGAGAGGGCCGACGCAGAAGGCGACGTGGGCCGCATTCATAGTCGTGGCACGCCCGTCCTTGCTGCCCTCGAGATGCAGGCGCCAGCTGCCCTGGTCCGGCATCCACAGGGCGCCACCCTCGATGAGACGGGTGTTGGTGCGGACGACGATGCCAAACGAGTCCTTGTACTCCTCGAGCTTCCTGGCAAACGTCTCCTTTGTGACCCACTCCTCCATGTCGCCCTTTGCAAATTCGTGGTTGAGCAGCGAGTGGCACCAGCGTGGGCCATGGAAGTGAAGCCCGGGGTAGCGCGCAGCCCAGATCCAGCCGACTGAGGGCGCCGCCTCGATGACGAGGTTGGTGATCTTGCGCTCCGTCAGGGCCACCGCAAGCGTCAGGCCAGAGTGGCCTCCGCCGACTTGAAGTTTTTACCGTCAGCTTGCATGTAAGGTCCCTGCGCGCAAGCCTCTCAAGAACCCACCGATGACCACTTCTGGCTTCGTCTCGCACAGCGCCACCCATTCGCGCCTCTCCTGCTCGGAAGCCTCGGCCAAGACAAAGGGACAGTCAAGAGCGAGCTTGCCCGACATGGCGTGAGGGTCCCACGTGGTGAAGAACGTCTTTGCGCGCCAGAACCCCGCGCCCTCGACCTGCTGGAGGCGGACGATGGCGAGGACGGTGCCGCAGCTCAGCTCGCCCTCGCGGCCGACCAGGAAGCGAAAGTGGGCCGTCACCTCGGGCGTCGTCGTAAAGGGCGCATCGGCCATGGCGGGCGCAGGCAGTGAGAGGCCGAGCTTCGATGCGAAGCGATGGCTGGGCGCCGATGACGTCCCGCTACCAGCTGCAAAGACATGGGGCGCATTGCCTGGGCCCATTGACACCTCGAGCGAGTCACCATGGGGCACGGCGGCCATCATGCGCGGCTGACCGTCGACAGTGTCGTCTCGCAGGTAGCTGCGGATACGCTCCACACCCTCCAGGCAGCGATAGTCCCAGTCAAAGACGAGGTGCTCGCGCCAGCCGGCATCGTCAAGGAACACGTCTGTGACATCACTGTCCTTCCAGATCGCCACAAAGCGGCTGAACCAATCGGTGACAATGTCAAGTGGCTTGTCGACCGTCATGGTGACCGTGACGATCTCAAGGCATGCCTGCTCTCAGGCTTGTCTTTTGTACGGTGGCACACTGCGACTGCATGACCACCGGCATCCAAGGAGGTGCTTGGGCGCATGATGGGAAAGCGGGCTAAGGCCAGAGAGAAAGAAGGCTTTGCACGCATGAGCTCTGGGTCTCATCAACCCGATTTGGGACAGGGGCGCGTGCACGGTGCATTAAATTTGGGTCAGCTATCAAGCTAGTCAGAAAGGTCCGATGCCGACGGCACCGACTTGAAAAAGGCGACGAGCTTTGCGACAAAGTCCGCTGGGTTCTCCTCAGCCAGGTAGTGGCCGCTTCCCTCGACGAGAGCCGTCTTCGGGGAGGTGTAGAACTCGGCACCCATGGCCGCGGCCTCGCTCGCGTGAGAGCTTAGGGCACCCGAGATGAGGAGCGAGGGCACGGTGCAGCTACCTTGCGCCTGTCTGACCTCGATGTTGCGCCGAGCGTCGGCCTCGAAGGCGCGGTAGGTGTCCATGCCCGCCCTCATGGCACCTGGTCTCGAGTATGCCTCGACGTAGTGCCTGATCGTGTCTGGTGAGAGGTTCTCCGTCCGCACCGTCAGCCTGTCAAAGAACTGCTGCATGTATAAACCCTCACGGCCCGCGACGAGAGCCTCGGGAAGGCCGTCAGGGACGCAGTGGAAGAGGAAGTGGAATTTGGCGACAGAGAAGCGGCAGGCTTCGTAGTGCGACGAGCCAGGCAATGGACACTCGCCCCACGCAATCGACGCGGTCGCCTGCGGGAAGCTCGTCGCAAACGCGTGTGCTACCATGCCGCCAAGATCGTGCCCAACGACATGGATAGGCAGGGGGACGTGCAGGTGCTGGACGAGCTTGAAGAGGTCTTCGGCCATCGTCGCCTTGTCGTAGCCACCGCGAGGGCGGGAACTTTTGCCTGCTCCGCGGTAGTCTGGCGCCAGGACGTGGAAGCCGTGCGAGGCGAGCGGTGCCATCACGTGTCGATACTGGTGGCTCGTCTGGGGAAAGCCATGGATGAGAAGGACGACTGGTTTGTCCTTGCGGGCATTGTCGCTGGCAACGGCCTCGACGTAGTGCAGTCGTAACGGGCCTTCGTCATCACCTACATCGATCCAGGCATTCCGGTGGTGAATGCTGCACATCTTTCTCAGTCTTTTGTCGAAGACAGCTGCGAATCTATTTCGCCCCCCTTATATCATGCTAACCCACCGCCAGAGCCATAAGGATCACCGTCAGTCGGACGGACCATCGGAGCACGGACAACCGATGGTGACGGAGCGCTTGGTCATCCGGTGACGGACCGGCCTCCCCAGGACGTCCGACGACGAATTTATCGTCTGATTGTAAAAGCGCTCCGAAAAATCCTCTCTTTATTTTGAAATGCATGCTTCGGCTGCTGGCGCGGAATGGGTCCAAACAAAAGGAAGGGTGCACGCTGCACGCGGGCGGGCCCCCCTCCTTCCCTGACCTTGTGCCGAGCTCGAAATTAAATTCGAGAGATAGATAGATGTAGGTAGGCTAAGGCTGCTTTCTAAAGTTTTCCAAAACGGCAAGCGCATACGCGCGCGCGGTCAAGAGGACCCGGGCGCAAGGTAGGCAGGCACAGCACGAGAGCAGAAGAAACAGAAAAAAGGGGGAAAAAAAGGGAGCCCAAAAATAAAGAGAGAGAAGCAGCAAGCAAGCCAGATTCGCTTGGCTTGGAATCGTTCGTTGTCATCGCCAAGCAAGCAAGCGGCCAGTTCACTCTTGTTCTCCATCAGTCCACCCTTCCACTTCCGGCGCCTCTCTTTCCCCTCCTCCCCCTTCCGGTCCCGCCACCATGTCGTACGGACGACCTCAGGACCCGTACATTCATTCGAACGCGTCGCAGTACGACGACCGCTACCAGCCTGGGGCCTACCGCGACGAGGCGGCAGACTACTACACGCAGCCACAGGGCTCTCACGGAGGGTACGGCCACTCGCCTGGCGCGAGCGAAGCCTACAAGGACTACGCCTCTTCGCACTACAACCTCCACGACGCTGGCACGGGAGCCGCGGGCGCTGCAGCACCCATGTCTGCTCCCAACTATGGTGAGTCGTAATGCACAGGTGACAAACAACATGAGCTAGCCATGCTGACTCGGCTACCATTCGACCAACAGCCCAACAGTCGGCGCAAAAGTACTCGTACGCTCCGCCCAAGAAGGGTGTGAGCAAGTGGGTCAAGATTGGTATCCCCGTCGCCATCATTGTCATTGCCGGTGCCGTGCTGGGTGGCTACTTTGGCTCCAAGGCCAGCAAGGACTCTGCCAGCAAGGGCACGAGCGCCATGACAGGCTCTACCAGCGGTGACAAGACGCCGACGGTCTCCAACTCGATTCTCACCGCAGCCTCGGAGGCGGCCAAGCGCGGCGGTGGCGATGACCTTGTCTTCCAGGGCACCGACCTATACGGCAACCCATCGTTCAAGAACAATGCCGTTACGGCTGCACCTGCCGCCTCGGGCAAGCAGATCGGCAACTGTGCCGCTGACACCTTCTCTGGCTCGACATCGAATCTGCGCGACCACCCGAGGATTATGACCACGCAGGGCCAGTGGGACTGCCTTGCCGACAAGATTGCAAACGACGCCTACCTGACTGTGTGGAACGCCACCATCTTTGACAATGCTACGGCCTTCTATAAACTCGACCCCACTGCCTACGCCATCGACGGCGGTCTCAGCGGCTCGGGTATTCTCGACCCTGCGCGCGAGGTGCAGCTGCGCATGAAGACGTTTGGCTACGCATACCGCATGACCAAGGACACAAAGTGGCGCGACCGCGCCTGGACCGAGCTCCAGACCGCCGCCGGCAACAACACCCAAGTGGTCTGGGGAGGCCAGCCCAACCAGCGCACCGACCGGATTTGGAACCCGACGCACTTCCTCGACACTGCCGAGCTCACTGCCGCCTTTGCCATTGGCTACGACTGGTTCTACGATGCCTGGACCGACGACCAGCGATCCAAGATTCGCGCCTCGATCATCACCCAGGGTCTCGTCCCTGGCATGAACGCATACTCGAGCTCTGACGACGGCAAGGACTACCAGTGGTGGCAGCAGACCAACGGAAACTGGAACTGCGTCTGCAACTCCGGTCTCCTCCTCGGCGCGCTGGCCATTGCCACCGAGGACACCACCGGCTTTGCCCAAAATATCATCACCAACGTCATCCCCAACATGAAGGGTAATTGCATGCAGGGCGTCTACGACGACGGCACCTGGTCCGAGACGGCAAACTACTGGTACTTTGGCACCAATGCCGCCGCACGCGCCGTCTCGGCCCTCACCACCGCCACGGGCTCGGACCAGGGTCTGATGGCGGCCAACACCAACTTTGCAAAGACGGCCCTCTTCCACATGTACATCTCGGGCAACGCCGGCATGTTCTTCTACGGCGACCACGGCCCCAACAAGTACTCGACCAATGCCAACGGCATGTTCCTCTGGAGCAGCCTCGCCAAGGAGCCCACCTATGCCCTCTTCCAGCGTGACCGGGCGGATGCCGCCGACCCGCTGAGCATGTTCTGGTACGACACGACGAACAAGGGCGCCTTCTGGAACGGACTTCCGCTTGACAACTTCTTCAACAACACCCTGGGTTCGTGGGCCTCCATGCGCTCCTCGTGGACCGACTTCACGGGCACGTACGTCGCCATCAAGAGCTCCAACGCCACGGGACATCAGACCCACGGCGACCTCGATGCGGGTGATTTTGTCATTGACGCACTCGGCACGCGCTGGGCCGGCGAGTTCGGCAGCGCAAACTACCTCTCGACCGACTACTTTGCCTCAGAGGCCAACAATGCCCTGCGCTGGCAGTACTACCGCAAGGGCACCCAGGGCCAGAACACGCTCGTGATCAACAATGCCAACCAGAACGCCGACTGCCACCCGATCAACAACTTTGAGACGACTAGTCCCAAGCAGTCGGCCGACATCAACTACGCTCCCGGCACCAACGATGTCGCCTACTTCACCACTGACATGTCGGACGCATACAACCTCTCCTCGGGCACCGTCCAGCGCGGCATTCGCTTCCTCAATGGACGCCGCCAGGTCCTCGTTCAGGACGAGATTGGCGCCAACAGCGGCATCAACACGATTGAGTGGCGCGTCCACACCAACGCCACTGTCACTGTCTCGGCTGACGGCAAGTCGGCCACGCTGACCCTTAGCCAGGTCACGGACCCCAACGCGTGGGGCGGCAACGAGGTCATCGGTCCTCAGCCCCTCGTGGCCAAGTTCTCCCAGCAGACGATGAAGATCAAGATGCTGCAGCCTACCGACGCCAACGTCAAGTTCACGACGGAGAAGCCCGACAACCGCATCTACGGAAGCGACCCCAACCAAGCTTCGGGTGAGCAGGGCGACCAGCCCAACCCGGACGTGACGGCCATCAGCATCAAGCTCGACGGCGGCAGCGCTCAGCAGATCCAGGTCGTCTGGCAGCCCCAGTGGTCCGACATGCAGACGGCCGACTCGGCCGACCCCAAGAGCGTCGCCCTGGCCTCGTGGAGCCTCACCTCGCACAACTAGTTCTCCAATTCTCCTTTTCCTGCTCGGACAATTTCCTGTTTTGTGCTTTCTTGACATTGTGTTTCTCAAATCACTCACTCACTCTCGCTGTCTCATTCATTGTTCTGACTACTACTACTACCTCTCTTTAGACCAGAACTGAGTTCTTTGCCTTGCCTTTGCCTGTGCCCATTTTGTGATGCTCACGTGGCGCGTCAGGTCTGATTTTAGAGACTGATGCGCGATGAGGTTGAGGTCGACTGTTGAACGCCAGAGTCGACGTGTTTCAAGAGGCGGAGACGAGTCGGCCCACCATCTCTTACCAAGTGGGACCTCGAGCCCGGCAGCCGCGAGTGCCGTCGCTGCAGCAGCACAGGAGCACGCCTTCGATTGTACGCTGGGCCTCTGCGCTGGCGGACCGCGTTCCCGTAGCGCCCGCCATGGTCGTCTCGGTGGAGCCCGACGACGAGGGCGACGTCGTGGGCCAGGGCAGCATCGTCGATGCCAGCGGCCTGCCCACGACGACGTCGTCGGACAACCCCTACGGCGACAGTGTGCCGCTAAATCAGCCAACACGAACCCACTACCACCTCTCGCGGCGCGAGATCCTCAAGGGCGTGGCCAACCGCTTTGTCCACTCGACGGCCTACCTCTACTTTTACGCCGGCATGGCCCTGGCCAGCCTCATGACTGTTGTGCTCAGCCTCTGGCAGGACTGCCCCGGCACGCTCTTTTACAGTCTCGAGCTCGTCGTCAATGCGCTCCTCATTGCCGAGGTCGGCATCCGCGGGTATGCCTTTGGCAAGGTGCGTCTTCCCTCTCACACACGCACGCCTTTTCTATCTTTCGCTGCTATTCTCTCAATGCTGACATGCGACTCTCTTCCCCTTCTGCAGCAATTCTGGAAGTCGACATTCAACATCGTCGATCTCTGCCTCGTGCTGCTGTGCGCCCTCACGCTCGCCATTCTCTTTTTCTCACACGACTGCACGCCGATATCAGCAGGCCCAGGGGATGACGAGGAGACAGAGCAGAAGCGGCAGGGCCGGTCCGAGGAGCTTCTCGACTCATTCCTGCTCATTGTCAGAAACGGCATCCAGCTCGTGCGCCTGCTCGCCGTGGTGCGGCGGAGCGGGAGCAACGTGACGCGGCGCGTGGCCAACATCGACCTCGACGCTGCCCGGCGCTTCAGCCTGGACATTGATCTCGACGATGAGGGCGCGCTGGCGCGGCAGCGCATGGCCGATGGCGGCGAGCGGCGCGGCCTATTTGATGTAGAGGAGGATGACGAGGAGCTGTGAAATGGGCATGATGATTCCGCTGCGCTCAGATCGTCGGCGCTGGGATGATGGTTCAGCCGCGAGGTAAGCCCAGCCCAGCCCAGCCCAGAAGCAGCTAGCGCGGCGCTGTCCAGCCCTTTGCTCTTGGTCCACTGGGGCCAGTGACAGGGCGGACTGTCTGCGCGCCGCTTTCACCCGCCTGCCGGCGACCCTTTAATTTGGTTTGGTCCCGTAGCTTGTCCTTGTCTGCTTTGATTGAAACTGTTCCTGGGCCAAAGCCTATCCCGTCGCTGCCGTATCAAATTGACGCTCTGGAGATCGAGCTCCTGACAAACAAACAGCGCTCACCACAGTACGCTATCTGTGTTCGATTCGGTGCAGCAACCCAGCCGCGGTCTGACGCGCACTCGAGCAGCAACGCAAGCACCCTCTTTTTTGCATTTTTATTTCCCTTTTTTCTTCGTTCGCGTCGCTAGCAGTACGTCGCTGGCTGCTGGTCCCGGCTTTGTTTTTTGGGAAACGTGTCAAGGTCCAAATTGATAGAGGGAAAGCAAGAGAAAAATAATTGCCCGACGGGCTGCTAGAGAGCTAGTGCAGATGCGATGATAGATGCGCTGCACGGCAGAGACATCAGGGCCCTTCATCTCTCCCGTCCTCCCACCCTAGTCTGGCCTTCGTTATTTCCGGGCTTCCCTTTCCTTATTTTTTTTTCCCTCCTGACAAACAGCGGGCTCGGTGCATTTTCTCCTTCGTCACCATCGTGCACCCCTTTTCTCCTTCTTCATCCGCTCTTGATTCACTTTTCTTCTTTCCTCTCTCTCTCTCTTCTCGTCTTTCTTCTCGGGCGACGGCGACGACGGACAAACTAGCACAGGCACGAAGAAGCAAGCGAAAGACGCGCTTTTCGCCTCCTTGCCTTTTTTTATTTTTTATTTTCGGATCTCACCGGTCGCCTCTTGGACCGCTCCGTTGCGCCGCCGCCGCCGCTCTCTCCATCTTTCGTCTTCCCCTCTCCTCTCTCTCTTCCCGGATCAGGCTATCCGGAACGGCGAGGGCGAGACAGGACAGAGCGCACGGCTTGGCCCCTTTTCACTTCACTTCTCCACTTCTTCCCTTCTCCTTCTTCAGCAGACAGGGCGAACGGGCCTCGTCGCATATCCGCTTAATTGAGAAAGGTACAGGGACGTGCTCTTGCGTCCTTTTGTCTTCTGGGAAATCACAAAGTCGCATCGATCGGCGACGACTGCTTCAAGTTCGTGACGGCTTCGTTTGGATCCCCCCTTTTCTCCTTCCCGTGTAGCATATTCTTCTCCCTATAAAGGGGAGAGAGACCGAAGCAAAGACCGACGACCAGACATGCCATCGACGATAGACTACCACCGCCGGCCAAGGAGCAGGGCCGCGTCGTCGAAGCACGGGCCCGGGGGTTACTACGACGGGCCATCAGCCGCGCGGCTGCCGTCGGTGACGCGCAAGAGGAGCACGAGCAACCCAGAGGACCTGCACGCAAAGCAGCCCATGTCGTCGACGGCCGCCCTGCCGCGCGTGTCGACGATGCAGCAGCCGCCGATGCCGCAGCAGCAGCAGCAGCAGCAACCGTCGCCGATGTTCTCAAGGAGCACATTCGAGGGCGCGCGCACCTATCCTGCCCCCTCGTCCTCGCGCTACTTTCTCACCGTCATTCCCCCGCTAGAGTGAGTGCTTGTCGTCGTCGCCACGCAAACCTACCCCTGCTGACTTGTGCATACAACAGGCTGCCCCTCGATCCACCGCATCCGCGCAGCACGGCGGCCTCGGCGGGGAGCAGCAGCCACGTCCGGCGCGGCACCCTCGTGCCCCTGTACCCGACGCTGGGTGGGCAGCTGTATGCGATTGCGCGCGAGTACGGCCTGCCGTCGATTGGCGGCCTCGCCATCTACCTCTGCGACGACGGCGAGGGCAACCTGGGCCCGCGCATCGGCGACTCGGCCTGGTCGGCGCTCTGGGCGCGCCACTTTGACGACGAGTGGGCGGCCTCGCCGGACCTGGCGATGATGACGCACGAGCGCGAGGCCAGCTCGGCCTCGTCCAGCGGCGACTGGCGCCCTGCCACGACGACGACGACAAATACGAGGGCCAGCCAGGCAGCGACGGCGACGACGAGCAACCGGGCCTCACCCATGCCCTATGCCAATGGCGGCGGTGTCACGCCCTCGCCGCGCTACTCACGCGCCCACCAGTCGCATTCACACTCGCAGGCGCATCCATACTCAAACTCGCAGCCACAGTCAAGAATGGGCGCAGCCACGGCAACGCCCTCGTCGTCGCTCCTCTTTGGCTCACGGCTGCCCATCGTCGGCCGCGTCGAGTGGACCGTGGACCGGAACCGTGCACCCTGGTGGAATGCCTGGGTCGCCGAGGCAGAGGCCAGCGGCACCACCTCGACGCCCTCCTCGGCTGCTGCGCACACGCCCAGTGCCGCCGCTGCTGCCGCTGCTATGGCCGATCGAAGCGGCACGTCGATGGCGAGCGGCTTTGGCGGCGCATACATGCCGGCCTCTGGCTTCTCCTCGGCAGGCGGCCTGGCCAAGCGCAGTAGGTCGCACCGGAGAAGGAGCCTGCACCTGCGTGGGGGCAGCGCCATGTCCAGGCACACGCGCAGCCGCTCCGATGATGATGGCGACGATGATGAGGATGATGAGGAGGAAGGGGAAGAGGACGGTGGCGACGAGATGACATCGGGGTCTCCTCTGGCCAGACGGGCTGAGCCGAGCGACGCGTATTCGCGCAGCGAGAGCCACCCGTCGCCGGTGCAGACGATGACGAGGTCCTCGTACGGCACTGGCTCGCCCTTGGAGCCTGTGCGTGCCCTCGATCGCGGCTTTGTGGCTGCGCCGGCGCCGGTGGCCCATGCCGGGCCTGCTGAGCCAGAGCGTGGCGATCAAATCGGGGACGAGGACGAGGGCGAGGGCGAGGGCGAGAATGTAGACGACGACGAGGGCGAGATTGGAGACGACTCCAACGAGCAGATCGGGGCATCGAGCAGCGTCGACGAGGATGCCGACGAGGAACAGAAGGACGGGGCAGCAGCAGCCGCCGCCGGCTACATGGCCCTCGACGACGAGGCGACTGCCGACACGCAGCTGACGAGCCTCGACGGCGGCCTGCTGCCATCCTCGCACCAGCAGCAGCAGCAGCAGCAGCAGCACGGCCTGCTCGACGTCTCGCGCCCCACCACGATGGCCCACAGCGCCGACGCCGACGGCGGCAGCACCGCCGGCTTTGGCAGCTACAACGGCTACTCGGCCCTGCTCGACGTCGACGACGAAAAGGAGACGACGAGCCGGGGCGGCGCTGCCTCGCACCGCTCCCTCGTGGCAGACGGCGACGCTGGCCACCTGCCCTCGTTTGAGATGATGCCCGAGAGCGACGAGGGCATGTGGATGGACCTGCAGCGCCACAGCGGCAGCGGCGGCCAACATCAGCTGCGCCTCTCGGCCCAGAGTCTGAGTGACCACGCGCGCACGCCGAGGGGACGCGAGGCTGGGCCACACTCACACCCACACCAGCCGTTGTCTGTCGCTGCTGCCCTGCCCCGCTCATCGTCCGTCGAGGAGTGGATCACCAAGACGGGCCGCCACTCTGGCCTGCAAGGTGGTGATGCAGTCGACGGCAACGACGAGGATGACGACGACGAAGACGGGCTCCTGCCTCCCCAAGACGACGTCGGCGAGGTCATGGGGCTGTGGGCCCAGTCCGACGCCGTCTTTCCCCCGCAGCACCGTCTCAGCCGCGACATGCTCAGGGACACGCAGGCGTCAGCGAGGAACAGCGGCGAGAAGCAGCTCGGCGCCGCCAGTGGCAGCCGACCACACTCGACATCGCGGTCGCCCTCGCCCAATGCGCCGCTGGTGCCGCCGCCCAACGAGGCGCTCCCTGCGCTGCCGCAGCCGCGATCCCATGCGGCACTCGCTGCTGGAGCCACTACCGCGGCCTCTGCGTCGCTGCTGAGCCCCATTGCGCTCGACTCGTCGCCGAGCGCATTTAGTGGCCCCTCGGCCAATCTGGTCGGCCTGACGATGGCAACGATGGCCAGCAAGCGGCGCCATCTCGTCGGTGAAGAAGACGACCAAGAAGAAGAAGAAGAGCAGCAAGAAGAGGAGGAGGAGGAGGGAGGCCTAGACGAGCGAGACATGAGCAGCAGCAGCGTCGACAGCAACGCCATCATTGGCCTCGGCACGACGCTGCCGCCTTCGTCGCACACCCACTCCCACCCGCAGTCGTCGCCACGGCTCGAGCTGCCGAGTGCGTCGGGCGACGAGCAGAGCAGGAGGAGCTCCATGACGGAGCAGAGCGACACACTCCTCGACATGGAGCGCGCCGTCGCCCTCCTTTCGCCTGGCCAATCGCCTGCGCTGCTCCAGCACGACGTGGCGACGACGCCGACGCCGTCGACGGTGGCGGCGCCTGCTGCTGCTGCTGCTGCGACGAGCTTCTCCTCGTCGCGGGACAGCTTTGCAAAGGCCAAGTCGCTCTCGACGTCGGTCACGCCCTCGCCCCGCTGGCTCAAGGCTAGCTCGGCCTCGGCGCTGAGCGTGATGCCGCGCAGTGCATCGGCCCTCGTCGCTGCATCTGCGTCGGCCGCTGCTGTCCCGCGGCCTCCGCTCCATCGTGGGGGCTCACAGACACCCCCGGCCAGGCTGACTGAGGAGGGAGCACAGGGCGAGCCGCCGTCGCTGGGCAAGTCGTCTTCGTCGCCCCGACCGGCCTCGAGCCCAGCAGCGACGAGCGGTGGCGGTCTGCAGACGAAGAAGCGCATCGTCAGCCAGGAGTCGCGTGACGGTGCGAGAGACGAGCAGGAGCAGGAGCAGGTGCCGGAGCAGGGCGAGGCCTATCCCGTGCTCAACCGACAGTCGCCCTCGGCTGCCTCGGACGGATCGCGCTACGACGAGGACGACGAGAGACGCGATGTCGCCTCGGAGGGACAGCCCTCTCGAGCAGCTGAGAGTGAAGATGAAGACGAGGAGGGAGGCGAGAAGATGTGGAGGAACAACAGCCACCTGCAGCTCCTCGGCACCCAGGGGTGGAGCGAGACGACGGGCGACCAGAGCCGGAGCCTCAACACGCCCATGGATGAGGCAGGCGAGATGCCGCCGTGGCGCCAGCCGACGCCGGTCACGACGGCGGAGCCGGTGGCGGCAGACCACGAGAGCACGCCGACGCAGGTGCAGGGCGCCTTTGAGAACTACAGGAATGAGGACGCAGCTACTGCCTTGCCTTCGACGCCGCTCTACCACGAGGCGAGCGTGGGGCCAGAGTATGTCACCGTAGGCGTGCAGGCGGACCAGTCGCCCTTGGGAGACGACGAGGGAGACTACGACGACGACGACGATGACGACGATGGCGATGGCGATGGTGGCAGAGAAAGAGGCAATGGGAGCGACGATGGCCATGCGTACCAGCACGGCCGCGACGACTCGCTCTTCTCGCTCGTGTCCATGGGTGCCGCTTCCGAGACGATGGACCACTCCGAGTCGGCGCCGGACATTGACGGTGCCAAGCCTCTCCAGACGCCGGTTCGAGCACTGGTACCAGCACAAGCGCAGGCGCAGGCAGAGGTAGATTCACAAACAGAGGCAGAGGCAGAGGCAGAAGCAGAGGCAGAAATCAAGGCAGAGGCACAGTCAAAAGCACAGTCAAAAGCACAGGCAGAGGCAGAGGCACCGGGCTTGCAGGAGTATCATCGAAGGGTCATGCCGCACGAGGAGGACCACCTGGAGCAGAGGCCCTCGATTGAGCGCCTCATCCGCGGCAACTCGTTTGCCGAATCGTGCGAGTCGTCAGCCTCCTCGTCCAAGGGGCCCAGCCCCGCCATGGCCCACTTTGAGTTTCCCAAGAGAACAAAGGTCGGCTCGCCCCAGCAGCTGCAGCAGCAACTGCAGCTCACGCCCGCCGCGATCATGCATACCACCCCAAGGGGAGACAGAAGAGATGACGACGACGACTCTGACGATGACGACGTGTGGAGCCAGGAGGGCAGCCACGATGATGGCGCCCCGCGGGCCTTCTCCGAGGTCGAGGGCGCACGCACTCCGACGTTCCTTTATGACCAGCACCTGGGAGAAGCTGGCAGGGCCGCCGCCCACGACGGCCACTCGTCGTATATCTCGTCTTCATCGACCATCGGCAGAAATGCTACGGGCGGCATGGACGACTTGGACCGGAGGGTGGACCAGATGCTCAGCAGTGTCGGTTCCCGTTACCCCGATGATGTCCCGCTGCCTTCCTCTTCGTTGCCCATGTCGCTGGCGGCCGCGACCTCGGCTTCGGCACCTGCAACGACGGCCTACGCACCCTTTCTGGAGCAGATGAACCTCCAACGGCAGCAGCAGCAGCAGCAGCGGTATGACGACGTTCCTCCGCTCGCTGCTGCGCTCGTCAGTCCACCGTTTGCGGCATCAGCCAACGGCAAAATGGCCAGCAATGGCAGGCGGCCGTCATCGCTGTCGTCCTCGGCAGCAGCCGAAGCGGGCGCGGCACGGCGAGCCTCTGCCTCATCGCTTGCATCGGGTGTCCCGCTCCGCACCAAGGCCTCGTCACCTTCCCGGCCGATCCACTTTGACCCTCCACCGGCCGTCCTTGCTCGCAGCGGCGGCGGCGGCGGTCCTGCCAGTCCTGCCAAGACGAAGCCGGTGGTCTCACCACTCGTGCTGGCCAACCAGTCGCCCCGGCAGCGCTTCGGCGCCCTGCCGCCGAGCCCCAGGCAGTTCCCGCCCCACATTTTCAGCCAGCACTCGCCCACCTTCCCGCCCCCTCCGCCACTGGCTGCGTCGACAAACGGCTTTGGCGCCGGGTCTCCGTACCAGTCGCCGACGCTCAGCCCATCGATGGGGCCCTACCTGCCAGCGCAGAGAACCCAGACCACCCAGCCACAGCACACACCGTGAACCGAGATCCTACCCAACCCGACCTGGTCCAACCTCTTTTTATGTAAATCTACTACGACAAGAAGCATATGACTCCCTCTGCAACCCTTGATGGGCTGCTCTCTCTCTCTCTCTCTCTTTCTCACCACATAAGACAAAACCTGTGCAAGCAAGCAATTCTCTCCTCTCTTGTAGATATACAGCATGAAACCAACCCACTTTCTCTCCAGAAATCGCAAAGACGCCGAGCTGAAAATAGGGACAGGATGGAAAGCGCTGAAGCGAGCGTCTGTAGGATTGGTTGTCTGTGTGTACAAAAAAGAAGGTGTTGGTTGTTCACTAAGGCTACATAAGGGTTTTACACGGCGCTGGGAGGATGAAAGAATGAGTGAAGGTGGTCCAGAGTGAGTGGAAAAGAGAGGGAAATCAAGCGGCAAGACCGGCAGGCAAGGGGTGGTGCAGGCCCATCTCTTCGAGGCGTCGCTTCATGGCGCGGAAGCGTGCGAGGTCCTCGTCGGAGTCCTCGTCCTCGTCTTCGGCTTCTTCGGCTTCCTCTTGGCCTGAGAGGGCTGTAGGCGACGCCTCGCGCAGCGTCTCGAGCGTCTTTGCTCCTCCCGCCATGGACAGCGAAAGCGACGTGCGCGAGGGGTGGTGGCCGCGAGCGATGCCGCCTCCGACGCCAACGCCGCCGCCGCGCGGGTCGGGCCCGACGAGGAAGCTGGGCGAGCTGTCGGTGGGTAGGACGCCCTGGAGGGTGGCGTGGGACGACGAGGGCGAGGCGAGGCCGCTGCTGTGCGCGATGGAGCTTCTCGCCGGCGCGTGGCCGCTGCCAGACTCAAAGAAGAGGAGCGAGGACATGGTGCCGGCCGAGAGCGACGTCGAGTAGGTCGGGGAAGCCGGCGAGACGGGGACGGGGCTCCGAAAGGACGAGCGCATGGGGCTGGGCGAGGTGAGCTGGTCAAACGATGGCTTGCGGCGGTAGGCCATCTTGCTCCCTGTCGGTGCCGTCGCCGTCGTGGGCGACGATGCAGAGGGTGACGAAGTGGCGAATGGCGCAGAGATCCCTGGCGAAGCGGAGGCCGTCGAAGAGGCGGCGGCCACGGATGCGACGAGGCTCAGCGGGCGGAGCTTGCTGCTGCTTGGCCCAGTCTGGCTGCGCAGGGTGGGCAGTGCTGCAGCAGGCGGAGGGACGACGGTGTGGCTCGACGAGGCCGAAAAGGCCTCCGACGGCAGCTTCCTCGGCACGCCCTCGGAGGCGGCAGCGGCGGCGGCGGCGGCGGCGGCGGCGGCATTCTTGACGGCATCGACGGGCGTGTAGGGTGGCGTTGGTGGGACGTCAGTAGAAGCCAGAATAGCGGCCTTGCTACCGTTGGCCAGCTGGCTATCGACGTGCAGATTCGGCGAGGGCGCCTTGCGCGTGGGTGTCGCCAGCTCGAGCGCGTTTGCCTGGCCTTGGCCGGTCGAGAAGCGCGGACTGTGGCTGATGAAGCTTCCGCTCGGCTTGGTGTCGGCTGTTCTCGCAGCAGGGGGAGCGGCGACGACGAGCATCTTTGCCTTGTTGGCCTGCACGCTCTGGAGCAGTCGGGCGCGCTGGTGGATCGCCTCTTCGTAGCCTTCGCCCATGGCCTCTGTGCCACCGGTGAGGCAGCTGCTCAGCGTATCGCATGTGTCCGACCGTGGGCTCTCCTCCACGGCCCTTCCCGCCTCGTACCGGGCCAGCATCCACGGGCTCGGGCCGGCGCTCGAGCCTCGGTCAAAGCCATTCGATGCGTAGTCGACGATGGAGACCCGCCTCCTGACGGGTCCGCTTGCGATGCTGATCCGTGCGGTGCTGCTCCTCTTTGTCTGCACCGAGGGCCGGCGCTCTGGCCGGCGCTCTGGCTGGCGCTCTGCCTGGTCATCTGTGACGACTTCCTGGCCCTCAGACATGCCAAGACCAAGGCCGACGGGGAGAGGAGGCGGGCGGACCAGGTCGAGATCATCACCCGTGGCCGTGGTGTCGACGATCCACTGTTCCGTCGCCGAGGCGGCATAGGTCGACGGGGTCGAGGGCGTCGAGGAGGGCACCCTTGTCCTCGACAGGCGCGCGCGCAGGCTGCTCGCAAAGCCCTTGGGAGCCGGGCCTGGCTGCGCCGAGACGCTGGCCTGTGTCGGTGTGAGGTCGCCGCCGCCGTTGTTGCTGTTATTGGTCAGTGTGGGCGTGGGTGTTCTGGAGCTGCTTGAGGCAGCTGCCGCTGCCGCCGCGGCACCTGCGGCTCCAAAGAGGAGCTGAGCAAGAATCGGGCTGCTGTTGCGATCCCGGCCCATGTCGGGGTACAGGATGCGATGAAAGGGCGAGGCAAACGCATGCCCCAGCGTGGGTGCGCCTGCCGGACTAGAAGCGTGTGGCTGGCCGTCGTCGTCGGAAAAGTCTTGAATCTGGATCTGGTGCTCCATCGGCTGCTGTTGCACAGGCTGCTGTTGCTGCTGGTGCTGCAATTGTTGTTGTCGTTGTTGCTGCTGTTGCTGCTGTTGCTGCTGTTGCTGCTGTTGCTGCTGCTGTTGCTGCTGCTGCTGCTGCTGCTGCTGCTTCGGCAGGCGCGCAGAGGTGCTCGACTGCGACGAGTGGATGCTCGTGGCCGCCGTTGAGGGCGCCTCGGACTCGTCTTCGCTCCCGCTTGCTACCTCGGCCGGCTTCCTGCGGAGGATGGTCGAGTCTGCCGCCGAATCGTCGGCCCACATCGCACCGTCAAACAGGCTTGCGACGAGTGCCGAGCGGTTGCTGCTGCTCATCGAGAGGCCCAGGCTCAGCGGCCGGTAGTCGCTGCTGCCACTGCCACTCTTCTTGTCTTCCTGCAGCCTGGGGGGAGGCGAGGATGACTTGGCCATCGACGTCTCTGCGGCGCTCTGGTAGAAGCTGCTGCTGGCCTCGCTCTGGCTTTGGCTCTGGCTTTGGCTTCTTGCCGTCGTCATCGTATCGTTGCCTGCTGCCTCTGAACGGTCCTGTGACGGTCTGCCTGGGTCCAGCGACGGCCTCCGTCGATCCTCCTGCGACGTCCTCTCATGCTGCTGCTGCTGTTGTTGCTGCTGGAAGGTGGACGCAAGCCACATGGATCTGCCAATGGCAAAGTCGACGTCGTCCTCGATGTGGTCGTGCGACAGCGATGAGCTCCGGTCGAGGTCCAGGGCGAGATCGAGTACGGGCGTATACGAGGCTAGGTCGTCGGTGCGCGGCGTGGTGCTGTCCGTCTGGCTGGTGGACTGGTGCGGCGAATTGGGCTGCCAGGTCGGCGCAGGCTTGCGCACCGACGTCCGCTTGGTCTTGCCTGGCTGGGCGGCACCCGCGCTGGCTACCGGCAGCTGGGGCAGCTCGCCCAGGTTGTGGAGCAGCGCAGAGGGCACGGCTGAGCGACGCGTGGATGCGCGTCCACTGCGCCGTTTCTGCTGCCTCTCCCTCCGATATGCGTGCGGCACCGAGGGGACAGGAGGTGCTGACGGTGGCGGTGCGGCAATCTCTTGTACGCCGACGAGGTGGGGCGCGGCCAACGAGGGTGCCGAGAAGGACGACGAGGACCGCACCGTGCCGCCCGAGCTCGAGCCTGGCAGTGCACCCGATGAAGCGTTTGACGACGATGACGTTGAGGGGTGGTTACGATGCGCGACTGCCGTCTTGCCGTGGTATCGCGACTCGATGGGCTCAATCTCTGCCTCGATGTCGACGTCCTGCCTCAACCCTTGGCCCTGCCCTTGTCTCTGTCTCTGCGCCTCGCCGACGATCTTGGCCTCCTCGACGAGCGATTGGATCGGCCGCCGGTCTCGCGGACGGAGCTGCTCCCTCTGTCTCCGCCGTCTGGCCGTGTAGACAAAGTAGGACGCGGCGGCGGCGACGCATACAACGAGGGCGCCGATGCCCACCGCGGCCAGGGCGACCGAGAGCGACGAAGGTGCGCTGCTCATCGAAGCCGCTTGACGTGAAACGAATGTGTCTTTTCCTCTTCTTCTTCTTCTTCGTCTTAAAAGGAGCGTGTGTCTGTCTTGCCTTTTTCGTAGGGTAGAATGAGCGTGAGTAGGGTGAGTTCAACAAGAGAATCAGCAGGGAAGGGGGAAGGGGGAAGGGACGAGATGGAGATGGTGGTGAAGAGATGCAAATTTCCTCAAACGGCACGGCTGCGCCCAGCGGCACCTTCTGCCGGCCTGTACTACGTGCTACTACTACTCTGTGCTTGGCTCATGGAAGCCAAGCCGATGCAAACAGCGGCAGGATAGAATAACGGGGATCGGTGGACAGAACTGTCAGGGAGACCAACAGCTTGGAATGAAGGACGCCTCCTTGCCTTGGAATTCCTCACGTGGCTTTTATTTTATTTTAGAGCTCGTCTTCCACCACGCGACCTGGCAGGTGATTTCCTTCGATCAGACCCAATTAATCAATCAGTCAGAGTCAGTCACCAGCCGGGGAACATCGGCTTTCAAAGAAAGAAAGAGAGCTAGAAGAAGCTTGCTCCTAACTGAACCCCACCAACACTTGTTGCCACGTAAGGAAATGCTTGCCCTCTGCAGCAGCACGACGACCCGCACGCTCGCGCGCACCTCGCCTGCGCTCCTGTGCCGCGCGGGCAGCACCTGGGCGCACGTCCAGTCGGGACCGCCAGACCCGATCCTGGGCGTCACCGAGGCCTTTAAGCGCGACCAGGACCCGCGCAAGATCAACCTGGGCGTGGGCGCATACCGCGACGAGAACGGCAAGCCGTACGTGCTGCCGTCGGTGCGCAAGGCCGAGGAGCTCATCCTCTCCCAAAAGGGCGACAAGGAGTACCTGCCCATCACTGGTCTGGCCGACTTTACCAAGAACGCAGCCAAGCTGGCGTACGGCGCCGACAGCAAGCCGCTGCTCGAGGACCGCATCGCCATCACGCAGTCCATCTCGGGCACCGGTGCGCTGCGCATCGGCGGCGCCTTTCTCCAGCGCCACTACCCGCACTCCAAGACCATCTACCTGCCGACGCCGAGCTGGGGCAACCACACGCCCACGTTCCGCGACAGCGGCCTCGAGGTCAAGCAGTACCGCTACTACAACAAGGACACCGTCGGCCTCGACCTCGAGGGCCTGCTCGCCGACCTGCGTGCGGCACCGAACCAGTCGATCATCCTCCTCCACGCCTGCGCCCACAACCCCACGGGCGTGGACCCGACGCATGAGCAGTGGAAGCAGATTGCCGATGTGATGCGCGAAAAGGACCACTTTCCCTTCTTCGACATGGCCTACCAGGGCTTTGCCAGCGGCGACACGGACCGTGACGCCTATGCGGTGCGCTACTTTGTCGAGCAGGGCTTCCAAATTGCCCTGTCGCAGAGCTTTGCCAAGGTGGGTGTCTCTTCTTTTCTTCCCTTTCCTCCTTGAGTCTTCCTCTCCCTGGCCTAAGAGGCACCACCCTATCTCCTCACTGGATGGGCGTACTATCTCCTCATTGGAGAAGAGGCACGCCCCACTGGAGAAGAGAGGTCATACTGAAAAGCAATACCGGCTGACATTGATTTACCCCACCAGAACATGGGCCTGTACGGCGAGCGCGTGGGCGCATTCAGCCTCGTCACGGCCGACGCCGACGAAAAGGCGCGCGTCGACTCGCAGATCAAGATCCTCGTGCGGCCCCTGTACTCGAACCCGCCGGTGCACGGCGCACGCATCGCCGGCAGCATCCTCGCCGACGCCGCCCTCAACAAGCAGTGGCTTGGCGAGGTCAAGGGCATGGCAGACCGCATCAACGGGATGCGCACCCAGCTCCGCGGCCTCCTCGTCGACGACCTCGGCAGCAAGCAGAACTGGGACCACATCACCAACCAGATTGGCATGTTTGCCTTCCTGGGCATCAACCCGGGCCAGGTCGACAAGCTCATCAGCGAGCACCACGTCTACCTCACAAAGGACGGCCGCATCAGCGTCGCCGGCATCACGCCCCACAACGTCAAGCACCTCGCCCAGTCGCTCCACAGCGTCACGTCGTCGTAGTAGCAGGCTTGTGTGTGTAGATAGAGGGGCAGATGCCATTCAGATGCTGAAATAGAGTACAGACAAAGAGCCAAGATAGAGAGAGAGACTGAGAAATGAACGCGTGCAGAAGAGAATAGAAGACTACTCTTCCTTCTTGTCCTTCTTTTTCTTCTTTTTCGGCGTCTCTTCCTCGCCGTCTGCGCCTGCTGAGCCGCCAGCCGCGGCCGCGGCCGCCGCTGCTGCTTTCTTTTCCTTCTTTTCCTTCTTTCGCTTCTTGCGCTCCTCCTCTGTCTCGCCAGCGGGTGCCACCGAGTCGTCGCCCACTTCGTCTGCCTTTCGCTTCGTCGATGTGGTGGTGGTAGTCGTCACAGCCGCTGGCTTGGCATTGGGGTCGACGGCAATGGCCGTCTGCGTCTGGCTCGAGTAGTCGATGTAGTCGTCCTTCCAGTTCTGGGGCGTGACGCCGTCGATGGTGCGGCCGTGCTTGTCGAGCTTGCCGTCCTTGACCATCTTTTTCTTCTCGAGCGCCTTGGGGCCCAGGCCCCAGCGGCGCGGGTACGTGTCGCGCTCCATGATGCACCGCTTGACTTTCGCCACGACGCCGTGGTCGGCCGTGGCCAGGTCGGCGGTGCTCATCTGGGCATAGGCCAGTGCGATGGCCTCGCCCTTTGTCGTCATGAGCACCACCTCCTCGCCGACCTCGATGGCCTGCTCGTAGCGGAGCAGACCGGGGATCATGAGCTTGGCGCCGTAGCAGACGGCATTCACGGCCGAGTCCTTGACGACGACGCGCTTGTAGCCAATCAGGAGCGACTCGAGGGGCCGGATGACGCGGCGGAGGTACGACTCGTCGCGCTGGTTGTCGTAGAGCCACTGGGCGTCGAGGACGTCGTGCATCGTCACAATGTCGTCGTTTTCGCCCAGCGCACCACTCCGCACCCGGCGCAGCTCCTGCATGTGCCCGCCGACGCCGAGGAGCAGGCCGAGGTGAACGCAGAGGGTCCGGATGTAGGTGCCGGCCTCGCACGAGACCCAAAAGACGGCCAGGTGGCGGTCGTTGTCAAACTCGAGCAGCTTCGTCTCGTAGATGGTGCGGATGCGCAGCTGGCGCTTGACGGCCGAGATGAGCGGCGGCCGCTGGAAGAGGGCGCCCGTGAGCGTCTCGAGCACGCGGGGCAGCTTCTTGGCGTCGACCAGCTTGTCGTGGAGCCGGAGCACGGCGACGTACTCCTTTCCTGCGCCCTGCTGCGACTTGACGAGACGCGTGGCACGGTCGACGCACACAATCAGGCAGCCCGTCACCTTGGGGTCGAGGGTGCCCGAGTGGCCAGTCTTGTCGACACGGAGGATGCGCCGGATCCAGGCGACAACCTCGTGCGACGACGGATTCGACGGCTTGTCCAGGTTGATGACGCCCGAGCGCACGTAGCTGTGCAGGTCCCGCTTGAGCGGCGAGCACCCGTGCGGGATCGGGGTAAAGTGCGACGACCGCACGAGGAGCTTGTCCTGTGTTTCCACGGACTCGACGTCAGCTCTCGACGGACAGCAGATTACCTCCTAGTTTCAACACCCAACTCACATAGTTCTTGAGCAGCAGCGGCCACTGGTCCGTGTTCAGCTTCGCCCCCGTGCTGTCGGGCTTGATCATGAAATCGCCGCTGACCTGTGCCTCCATCGTGCCTTGTCTCTGTGTCTCCTACAAGGGGCGTAGGCTGCAATGTTCCAAAAGCGAGGAAGAAAAAATTCCAAAAAAGAGAGGGCGGCAGGCGCGCGGGCAGAGCTTCGCGGTCACGTGTCACTTTCAGCCACGCGGAAATTTCAGTAATTTCAGTCGCATCATCTGCCAGAGGGGCCGGGGTCTTCTGTGTGTAGCAGCAATCGTCGCTGCACGACGACGACAATGTCGGCGCTCAGCTTCCTGTCCAAGAAGTCATGGCACTCGGGCCTGCAGAAGAACCAGGAGCGCGTGTGGAACGCAGAGCGTGCGGCGCTCGAGGAGCGGCGCAAGCTCGACGAGCTGCGCAAGGAGCGCGACCGCGAGCGCGAGATCCAGGAGCTGCAGCGCATGCAGGAGCAGGCCGGCGGTGGCAAGAAGCACCAGGAGAAGGTCGACTGGATGTACGCGACGCCCGCCAGCGGCAGCGGTCCTAATCCGTCGGAGCTCGAGGACTACCTGCTGGGCAAGAAGCGCGTCGACAAGCTGCTCAAGCAGCAGGACCAGCAGGCGCAGGACATTGCCAACAGGGACGTCGGCCCGAGCGCAGGCGGACCCTCGGCGGCGGCGAGCGCGATCCGCAACGACAAGGACGTGAGCGACAAGATCAGGCTCGACCCCATGTTCAGCATCAAGCAGCAGGAGCTGGCCGCCTACCAGGCCCTGCTCAAGGACCCAGCCCGGCTGCGAGCCATGAGGGCCGCCGCTGGGCTGCCGGAAAAGGAGCGCAGCCGGAGCGAGTCCAAGGAGGAGCGGCGGCGGCGCAAGGAGGAGAAGCGCAGCAGGAGGGAGCACCGCGACCGCCGGGGCAGAGACAGGTCGCCGCTGTCGCCGCCCTCGAGGAGGAGGGAGGAGCGCTCGCCGAGAGACTATTCGCCGCGCAGGCGCGACGAGTCGCCGCGAAGGAGAAGGGACGAGTATTCTTCCAGGAGACGGGATGACTATTCGCCGCCTGCAAGGAGGAGAGACGACCACTCGCCGCCGCCGAGGAGAAGAGACGACTATTCGCCGCCGCCTCGCAGGCGGGAGGAACGCTCGCCACCGCCGCCTTCAAGGAGAAGGGACGACTACTCGCCACCTTCAAGGAGGAGGGATGACTACTCTCCAGCTACAAGGAGAAGGGATGAGCAGCCACCAGCGCCCAGGAGGCGAAACGACTACTCCCCGCCGACTCGACACCGCGAAGTCGACCGCCGTGCCCCGCCCCGCTCTCCTCCCCGTGCTCGCCAGGGCTCTTCTTCTGCCGCCGCCGCCGCCGCTGCTGCACCCACCGTCGACGCGGAAGCCGAGCGCGCCGCCAAGCTGGCGCGCATGCAGTCGGACGCCACGTCGCTCTCTGCGTCGCGCGCCGCGCAGCTCAGCAGCCTCGCCGAGACGGAAGCGGCGGAGCTGGCGCGCGAGGAGGCGCTCCGGGCCAAGCTCCTCGCCCAGCGCGCCAAGGGCCTCAGCCAGGGCCAGGGACGCTTCATCGAGGAGCAGCAAAAGATGCTCTACGGCGCCAGTGGCGCAGGCGCCGAGCAGCGGCTCGAGGACCGCCTCAAGGGCGGCGCCCGCGAGGGGCTCCAGAGGTTCACAAAGGACGACTGAGTCTGTATTTCTTCCAATCAATCACAATTAATACCAGCCATCTCATTACTTTCCATCTGACTGGGCACGGCGACACTCATTGTGTCTCAGGAATCGATAATTGAACATCACAGGTTGCTGCAGTATGAGTGAGAGTTAGAGAGAGTTGTACAAGAAGTTTTTTCAAAAGCCAAACAGGCTCTTGGGCCTGACGATGCCACTGCCGCTGCCACTGCCGCGAGCCGCATCGGCATGGTGGTCGGCGGCGGCGCCACCCTCGGCGACGCCGACCTTTCGAGCATGGTCCCAGTCCGGGATGGGCACCTTGCCCATCCACTCGCTCACAATCTCCGATGTCGTCGGTGTCGCATCTGCGTCTTCGCCATCGCCACCGCCGTCGCCACCGTCGTCGTGGCGGACACCGTCGACGAGGCCGCCGACCGCGTGCGAGAGGCCCTGCGCGCTGGCGGACGCATGCATGGGCACGAGCAGGCCCGCAGCCTCGGCCGAGCCGGCAGGCCGCACGAGCGTCGTGGTGCCTGCGCGATCGGGGGCGCTAAAGGCGAGGATGGGCCAGTGCGGGTGGAAGGCGAGGCAGCCCGAGGCGGGCGAAAAGGGCGACGGGCTCGGGTTGATGGCGTCCAGCGGCGCGCCGAGGCTGGCGTCAAAGACCGACGACGAGGCGGCGGCGGCGGCGGCGGCGGCACTGCTGCTGCTACCACCTGCCGCTGCTGCTGTCTGCGCTGAGCCCGGCTGGTGCGGCTGCGACGAAGGGTGGGAGTGCAGCGGTGAGGCCGCGTAGATCGACGGTGGGTAGAAGAGCGTCTGAGCAGCCTGGGATGCCGTGGCCGGGGAAAAGTGGCGGACAATGCCCCTGGAGCCAAAGCGGGTGCCAAAGCTGTCGTTAGTGGCGTCGTCGTCCTCAAACGCATTCAGACGGGCCATGCCAACGAGCATGGGCCCCAGTCCGGGCGTCGAGGCGCCCTTGGCCGTTGCACCACCGCCGGGGCGGGGCCGCGACGAGACGGCAAAGAGGGGCGCAGCCTCGTGCACGGCCATGCTGCCGACCTTGGCCCCGCGGAGCAGGCCCGTGGCCACGTTGGTGGCGCGGATCGAGCTGCGGGCGCGAATGTCCCACAGGCGGACCTCGCCGTCGACGCTGCACGAGACGAGCTCGCGGTTGCCCCGGCGCTGCAGCTGCACCCGGTTTACCCACGTCTGGTGCTCCTCCCAGAGGCGGACGAGCGTCGACTCGGGCGGGTTGCGCATGTCGTACACGCCCACGGTGCCGTCGCCAAAGCCGGCGACAAAGATGTGGCCGACGTCGACCTCGCTCGACAGGCTCGTCACGCAGCTCGATGCCCGCGTAGGGATGTCGCACAGGCACAGCTCCCGGTGGGCATCCCACACGCGCAGCACGCGCGAGTCGCCACCAGCGAGCAGGCGGCCCGTGACCTGCTGCCAGTCGACGACGAGGCCCGAGGGCCGCTTGCTGCGGACGAGGTCCGGCAGGGCGCGCAGGCTGCTGACGAGCTCCGGCCCGCCTGAAGAACCATCAAAGTGCGAGTATATGCGCACATCACCGTCGGCCGAGCCCACGAGGAGCATCGCATCGACGTCCTCATTGACAAAGGCCAGGCTGGTGATGTTGGTCCCCGGTGGGTTGCCGTTCTGGAAGCGCGAGAGGAGCCGGTGGCGCTCCCAGTCCCACACGGCGACGGTGTCCTGCTCGCTGGCGGTGACGATCCAGCTCTCAAACTGGTGCATGAGCATCGCCGAGGGTGGCGCACCGACCTGCATCGTGGCCACATGCTCTGTCCATTCCTCTCTCCGCTTTGATGATGTCCCTCCTCCTCCTCCTCCTCCTCCTCGCGACGACGACAGGCGGACGACCTGCTCGGAGGCATCGCAGACAAGGCGCTCGTTGCGCTCGCGCCGCCACGTCTGGACGTTGTACTTGACGCTCCCCGGCTCGTCGTCCTCGGCCTGCTTCATCTGCGGCTCCGTGTAGTACTCGCTGCACCACGCAAACAGCCTGCTCTTGAGCGGCAGCGTCTCCCTCAGCGCCGGTCCCTGCCCTTGTCCCTGCGTCTGCCCCTGTCCTTGCCCTTGCCCTTGTGCTCCCTGCTGCTGCGACTGCTGCGGCTGCGGAGAGGGCGCCTTGGACACCGACGGACTCGGGAACGGCGTGTTGCCCGCGCTCGTCGACGGCGTCAGGTCCTTGAGCGCAGACACGCCCTCGGCCGACACGGCGGGCCGCTGGCGGAACCGGGCGAGGTCAGCGGCGACAATGGCACAGAGGGCATCGGCGACCTTGGCGTCGTCCTGCTGCCGCGTCGGCTCGTCATCTTGCCGGCGAGTCGCCCCTGCTGCTGCTGCTGCTGCTGCTGCTTCTGTCTCTGCTGTCGTTGTCGCCGCTGCTGCTGCTGCGGCACCCTCGCGCCGGGTCGGCGTGGTGTGGCCATTGGCCTTGCTGCTCGCCGCTGCGCGCCGCTTCTCCTGGAGTCGAGCAATCTGCGCGAGCGACTCGGCGCTCATCGAGCGCTGGCTCATGGCGCCGGCAGCATTGGCATCCGCCGCGGCGTCTTCCGCAGGCGACGCTGGCGCATGGGGCGACGAGGCAGAACTGGTGCCACCAGCAGCAGCAGCAGCCGCAGCGGCGGCAGTATAGGGCGAGATGTAGCGCGCAGAATTGAACCTCGGCGCGGGTATCCTGGCGGCCTGGGGCATCAGTGGCGGGCTGTCCGTCGCCCGGTCTGCCATGCCATCCGTCGCTGTCGGAGAGCCAGTGGGCGACGAGGGCCGCGAGTAGCCGAGCGTGGCGATGGCCTTCACCGTCTGCGCCAGCGACGGTGTCCTGCGCTGCTGCTCTCGCTGGTGGGCCGGGTGCTGGTGCTGGTGCTGATGTTGCTGGTGCTGGTGATGCGACGAGTGCAAGTGCGAGTGCGAGTGCGAGTGCGACTGTGCGAGACCGGGGCTCCTGGGCGTGCCGTTGGCATGGGGCGCGGCCTCATCGGAGCCATTGGCGATGCCCCCAGCGCCGACGCCGACGCTGAGCCGGGAGCGGGGCGTGTAGGGAAAGTAGCCCTCGGCAAAGGGCAGCGTGCTCGTCGGCGTCACGACGCGGTTCGTCGCATCGACGAGCCGGCTGCTCACGTCGGCCGCCCCGCTGGCCTCGTACACGCCTGTCTCGAGGAGGAGGGCGGTGATGTAGTCGACGACAGTGCAGGCCATGCTCGCCACCTCGGGGTGCGAGTCGGCGGCGAGGTCGAGGAGCGAGACAAAGATGGTGGTAAAGGCAGGGATGTTGGCAATGTCGACCTCGTCGATGCCCTCCTGGAGCGCAAGCTTGCTCAGGATCCGCTTCAGCAGCGCCTCCTGCCCCGCCGCCTCGTCTTCGGGCGCTGCCTGGGCGCGGTGCTGCTCGCGGTCATAGTACAAAAAGGCCGCCAAGACAAAGAAGCCCTGGTACTCGCGCACGACGGGGCTCAGGGCAATGACGAGCTCCTTGCGGACCATGGGCGAGCAGTCGCCGTTTGTGGCGAGCATCGTGACGGCAATGCCAACCTCGAGGCTCCGCTGCTTGCTCTCGTCGAGGCCCGTGAGGGAGCCGGTGCCGAGGCAGTGGGGCCGTGTCTGGACGTGGCGCGAGGTGATTGGGTTCGTCGGCAGCGAGGGCTTGGCGTCGCTGGCATCGTACGACGAGCCGCTAGCCCCCAAAAGGATGCCGAGTGCATACAGAACAGCCGACCGGACCTCGGGGGCGACATCGCTGAGCATGACACACAGCTTGCCGTGCGCATCCTTGGCCACCGCCTTGGCCTTTCCGTCGCTCGAGTCGTCCCACAGCTGGGCCAGACACAGGGCGCTCCACTGGCGCAGGAGAAAGTCGTCGTCGTCGAGGTGCTCGAGGCACGAGTCCATGGCGTCGGTCTGGAGGCAGGCCTGCTGTCCGGCGAGAAAGTCCTGGGAGAAGACGGAGATGATGAATGCGCACATGGCCCGGTGCTCCGAGACGTTGGGTGCCGTAAAGGGGCTGCTGCCGGCTCCCCCATCGACGGCACCCAGGCCCGCGCCGGCCTGTTGCTGCTGTTGCTGGCTCGACTGTGCTTGTTGCTGCTGCTGCTGATTTGACTGCTGCTGCTGAAAGGGACTGAGGACGCCGGCAAAGTAGACGAAGCCGTTGTCGCGCAGCAGGTCGTTCTGGCAGCTCCGGTCGACGGCCAGGATGCGGGCCCAGATGTAGATGAGCACGGGCTTGAGGTCGGCTGCGGGGCTCTGGAGCAGCTTGAGCACATAGGGAAAGATGCCGATGCTCAGCGCCAGATTCACCGCCCAGGGCCCCAGGTCAAGGAAGCGGCTGAGGAGGATGAGGGCACGGAGGCGGTGGACCTGCGACAGGAGCACCTGCAGCACGATGGGCAGCTGGTCCGGGGGATCGCGCACCGGCTCGGCGTCGCTGCTGCCATCATCCACAGGGCCCCTTCTGCGGCGGCTGACGCCCCCCTGGGCAAGCCAGACCTCGAATGCCTTGAGCTGCTCGCTGAAAAACGTGCTGTGGCGGTACTCGAACGAGGCCAGGTGCGGCTCGAGGGGCGGCCCGCCGTTCTGCTGGAGCAGCTGCTGGGCGTGCTCCTTGGCCAGCAGCGTCGGCAGCTGCGACAGGCACTGGTCCACGGCCAGGTCCCAGCTGTCCCAGAGCGGGTGCGTGTGCGTCGGCGGCAGCTTCGGGTGGCTCATGGGCGTGCAGTGGTAGAAGCGCATGATGCGCTCGGCCAGGAGAAAGTTGCGCAGCAGCGCGGCCACCATGAGGTCGTCGCGGAACAGGCGCCGGAAGATGGTCCGCGGGAGCACCGTCCAGGCAATCGTGTCGGTGATGGCGGTGAAGATCCAGTTGAGCTCGCCGAGGGGCGTGCGCCGGTCCTGGAGCCGGCCGGGGATGTTCATGACCATCTCGACGTTGAGCGACGACGGCAGCGGGTTCTGGAGCACGAACCAGCGGAGCGAGATCTCGATGGGCGAGGTGAGGCAGCAGGTGAAGAGGTCCGCCGGCAGGTCCGGGTTCATCGGCAGCACCTCGTCGGGCGCACAGGCGGCGAGGTGGATGGACTCGCGGAGCGCAAAGTGCGGTTCTTCTGCGTTTCTCGTTGCTCCTGCTCCTGTTGCTCCTGTTGCTCCTGTTCCTGATGCTGATGCTGATGCTGATGCTGATGCTGATGAGGAAGCAGCAGCAGACGAAGAAGAAGAGGCGGCCAGTTCCTCGGCGCCGTTCTTGCGCTCGTTGAGCCTCTTGAAGTTGACGACGATGTTGCCTGCTGCACTGGCGTCCCAGACAAAGATGCACGGGCTGCCGAGCCAGGCCTGCAGGTCGTAGAGGGTGACGGGAATGTACTGGGTGTATGCCTTGTTGAAGACCCAGATCTCGCCGCCGGGCGTGGGCTTGGGCACGCCGTAGCCGTTGTAGTAGAAGAGCACGCGCTCGTCCTTGGCGCCACGGCGCAGGGCGGTCGAGAAGCGCTTCGTGTCCTCGACGATGGGGTCGAGGTACTGCTTGTAGCGTGTCTTCATGCTCAGCGTCTCAAATTGTGCCTGTAGGTTCTTGCCAATCGCCGGCAGCGCCTTGGCTACCTCGATCGACGTGGGGTCCATCCAGCAGATGAGCTTCGAGCAGGGCGTCGTCTTGCTCACGTCCGGCGGGTCCACGCCGATGTTGAGGCAGAGGACGAGGGCAGCCGAGACGGTGCGGAGGCGCTCGCGCATGCGCCAGTCCGGCAGGTCCCGCTCGTTGCGCGGCTTGGGGTTGCCGCCCGTCAGGTGCCGCTTGTGGTTCCAGTGCGTCATGTACGGGCTCTGCGGGAGGGATGCAGTCAGCCATGTATGCGCTGAGATAGATGCTCAGCGACAGACTCACCTCGAGCAGCGGCCAGTCCTCGAGGTCGGGCTGAAGCAGCAACCCATGCCTTCTTCCACTCGACGTCGACAGCTCGTCGTCGTCGTCGTCGTCGTCGTCGTCCTCCTCCTCATCCTCATCGTCGATGATGTCCCCCTCGCCCCCATCCAGCGCAGCTCCACTCTGATAAATCCTACCAATCTCCTGCCGCACGCCCTCGTCTTCTTCTTCCTCTTCCTCTTCATCCTCCTCCTCTTCGTCGTCGTCCTCTGCCCCGTACCGCCCCTGCCGTCCGCGTCCGCCGACGTAGAAGCGGCGGCCGCCATGCTCGCGCGACGACGACGACTGGCGCTGCTGCATCGCCGCCACGTCGTGCAAGTCGCGCGACGCCGAAGCCGCCGCTGACGCCGACGCCGACGACGCCGACACCTGCGCCATCACAGCCACACGCTAGTCCGTCGGTTCTCTGAGTCCCAATCCCACGCAAAGACCAAGTCGTCGAACCCGACGGCGGTCTTGCTTTAGAGAGGGAGAGAAAGTAGCGATTTTAATTTTTCGGGCAGAGAGAGCGCGCGCGCAGGCGTCTCAGAAGACTCCGACGTTGGCCAAAGCGAGAGCCGTGCCCCCGATTCGGCCGACGCGTCTAAGTCCACCGTCTAAAGTGTCGCTTGCTTGCTCACACGCACGGATTGGCTCTGAATAAGTATTATTAACGGTGAATCTGATGGTGATAGCTACATGAAGTGAAACAGCGGGACAGTGTGTGCGTGTGTGTGTGAGTGGAAGAAGGTGTGCGTGTTGAGCAAGGGAGCCCGGGGTATATGCTAGGGGACGACAAAGACAATCACGGCCGATCGAGGCGCTCGAGCCGGATGGCATCGGCGCCGCCGACCTGGAGCCTTACGCTGGCCGGTATTCTGGCGTCGCCGCGGTAGAAGCCCTTGACGACGCCCTTTCTGCCCTGGATGCGGTGGAAGCCGCGCGACTCGTACAAGCCCAGCGCCGACTCGTTGGACGGGTGCACCTCGAGAAAGGTGCGCATGGGCGCGTCGTCGTGCTGGCGTCGGCCATCGTCGGCGCCAGTGCCCGTCTTACGAGGGCCGGCCGTGCGTCGCTTGCATTCCTCGAGGAGGTGGTCGAGCAGCCGGGCGCCCAAGCCTTGGCCGCGCTCCATGGGGTTGACCGAGAGCGTGATGATGTGTGCCTCGCGCGTCACCTTGGACTGCTCGTGAGTCGACGACTCGATGCCCGGCCACGCGCTCCCTGCACCCGTCGAAAAGATGTCGTCGTCGTGCGACCGCGCCACGACCTTGATCCTGGCCGAGGCAACACCGAGGATCGCCTCGGTGTCCCTGGGCAGGCCGTTGGGTGGGGGTGCCGCCATGACCCTGACGGCCCTGGGAGGGGCGACGTCGTGGGTGGGGCCGGCGAGGACGCTCTTGAAGAAGGCGGCCGACCGGCTCGACCTGCCGCCACTCGGCCGGCGGAGGCTCTTGCCATGCTGACTCTTGCTGGCGGCCTCGTGCATCGCCTGGATCTCCGACTCGCGCGGCGGCGATGTCATCTCCGTGTCTGTCGTCGGCTCAACCTCGGGGTCTCCCTCGACATCGGCACGGTCTGCGCCGTGGACGACGAGCATGCGCTTGCCAAAGGCCTCCCGGGGCGATTTTCGGCCAGCCGCGTGCAGAAGGGCCTGGCGCCTCTTGGACTCGAAGAGACTGTCCTCATCGTCGTCGTCGTCATCGTCGTCGTCGTCATCGCTCAGGACGGCCTCATCGTCGATGCTGTTGGACGACGACGAGTTGGGTCCGGCGCCAAAGGAGCGCGGCGCCGTCGCCTCGGGCACGTGGTTGTCCCTCGTCGTCGCATTGCCGTAGGGGAGGAGCATCGCCCTGGGCCCGGCCTCGCCGCGGTGGTCGAGCATCGTGGGCCCGGCAGCGACGAGAAAGGGCGACTTGGCTGGGGGCATGTCCAGCGAGGGCGGTGGGCATCCAGGCGAAAAGGCCGTCGGCATATGCCCTGGCTCCGGCAGCGGCTTGGCCACGGCGACGAGGCAGACGTGGTGCTCGTCGACAAGGAGCCGGAGAAGGAAGCCGGCAGACGTCGTGTAGGACTCCGTGTCGACCTGGAAGCGGGCGCGGAGAGAAAGAGAGAGAGAGACGAAGTTTAGTGTGATGATGGAGATGGAAAGCGAAGGGAACAAAGCCAGGAACGGGAGTCAACGAGCCAGGGGCGTATTGCAGGGTGTCGCAAGGGCGGTGTGCAGGAGGCCACAACCAAGGAACTCGTCTTGGACTGGATTCTGTGGGAGAAGCAGGGTGTCCGTGACTGGGCGAGACGCAGGCAGAAGACAGTGGCATCCTCCCATCGCCTCGTACTTGACACAGCAGCAGCAACAGCAGAAGCCACGCATACAGCACCAACAAACAAGACCAGACCAAGCCCAGCACGGCAAGGAGGCACTCACCTTGTCGCCGTCGCCGTGGTAGCAGTGCAGCTCGCGGACCTGCTCGAGGTCGGGCCTGCGCAGGGTGCGAATCTCGACGCGCGAGTCGAGTGCCGCTGCCTTTGCGTCGGGGTCGATGGCCTGCTCCGTCACCGTCACGGCGGGTAGCGCGGCGCGCGCGTCTGTGCCACCGCTGACCGCGTCCACGGCGTCGACGGTGGGATCGAGGAGCGTCGTCGTCGTCTGGCCGTCGTCGGGGGTGAGGACCATCATGGGGCTGGGCGGCGTCGCAGGCCGCGTCGTCGCCGACTCCTCGCGCTCGTCGTCGGCGTCGTCGGCATCGTCCGACTCGTCCTCGTAGTCCTCCCACGCCCACCGCTTCATGCGCTCGCCGCCGACATCGAGGTTGCGCTTGAGGCCCTCGAGCCGGCTGGCGAGGTAGACTGCGTCGGGCGCATAGCTCATCACCGTGCGGTCGCCGAGGGCCTCCATCTCCTGCTCGACTGCATGCGCCGTCTTGCCCTTCCACTGGATGCCTGCGTAGTGGATGCCCTGGCCGTCGTCGTCGTCGTCGTCGTCGTCGCTGGCCTCCTCCTTCTCCTGCTTCACATTCTGCTCCTGTTTCTTGATACTCGTCGCTGTTGCTTCTCTCTCGGCCACACTGTCCCCCTCGACGAGCACCTGCTTGCTTGGCCCTGATGATGGTGCAACACTGGGCGCCATGGCCGGCGGCGCTGGCTTGCCGTAGCGCGGCATCGGCGCAAAGCTCGCCCTCACATCGAATGGCGGCGGCGACTCCTGGGCCGAGGACCGGTTCGAGCGCGGGCTCGAGGGCGCGGGCGACGCAGGCGTGGCCAGCTGCGACGAGTCGCCGACCCTGAAGCGGGCATTGGTGCGCGGCAGCAGGCGCTGCGGTGCGGCCGACTCGGCTGGCCTCGGCCGCGCATGGTTGTACCCGCCGCTGCCGCTCATGACTGTGTCGTTGCTTCCTCGCCGGCTGCTGCTGTTCGAGTGTTGTTGCTGTTGCTGGAAAGAAGCAGCGTAGGAGGAGGCTGGGCCAGCCACAGGCTCGTCGCCCGTCGTCGGCGCCATCGACAGCCAGCCGCCGCCGGGCAGTCTCGACTTGGCCGCGAGCGACATGGCTTGGCGTCTAGGCGTGGCGTGGCGTGGCGTGGTGTCTGGGCCGTCTCTAGGGGTGGATTGCGTGCAGGGAGCCGACTCGCCAGCAGAGGGCGAGAGGGAGAGAGAGCAAGAGATGGAGCGCAGCCTATCTCTGTGCCATCGCTACAACGGCGTGTCGAGCTGCTTTGCTTCCTTGGCCTGCCTCGCCTGTCCACCTGCCTTGGCTTGCCCTGCGCTCCGCTAACCTCGATGGTCAAGTGGCCTGAGTTGGATCGATTCGATACGAGTCCTGCCACCGGCGGGCCAGCTGGTCTGAATAGGCGTGGAGGGCGCTGGGCTAATGCCTGCCCGTCTGAGCGCAATCTAAAATCTGAGCCTGAGCCTGCGCCTCCTGCGCCTGAGCCTGCCGTCTGAGCCCGCTTCTGGGTCTGAGCCTGCCGTCTGAGCCGGGTTGGCGTGGCCTGGAGATGGCAGACTGAGCGGCGCGCCTGACAGGCTAGGCTGGCGACTGGAACCCGGTCCGGATCCGGCTGAACCCCGGCGCGACTGTCCCCTCGACGACGGCGGGCTTCTATTCGCGGGATGTGCTGGCCTCTTTGCGCGGACGTCTCTGTGTGTGTCCGACTCAGAAGAGGGAGCTAGTGGGGAAGAGAGAGAGAGTACGTGGTGGGAAGGAGGAGCGGAGAGGGAGACAGCGGTATCTCAAATCTGCCTTCCACAGTACTACAGCACCTCCTGTCCTCGCTGAATGTGCTCGGTCCACAAGATTGCCGACGCGCGCACGCCGAAAGCGAATGCAACACATACACGCCCTGGGTCATAGGGTGCATTACAGGATAATTTCTATTTCCCAACCCTGTTTTTTTCTTGTGGCCCTATTTCTCGATTCGATTCGAACTTGGCCGGCCAGGCTGGGGCCTGCGCGTGACAAATTGCGCGCTTCTGCTTTGTGCTCCACTTTGCAAAAGAGATCATGCACACGGACTCACGCGCGCGTGATCCGGGGTGCGCGAGATAGATAGGCAATACGCACCCGGGTGGCCTCGGGATCGCTCTACCACTCCTTCCTGCTCTCCGGTAGTGTCCGGCAGTTTTATCTTTCCCACGATGGCCTCAGCAAGCGTGCGTTTTCTGTCGGTCCATCAATGACCGATAAATGGAATGAGAGAGGGGATCTGTTGTGACCCCAGTGACACGTGATTGACTGCACACGGACCAAGTTTTATTTTTTTGGTTCTTCTTCGCTCTTTTTTTTGGATGGAGGGGGCAAGGCATCGATTTCTTCGCGCGCGCCTGGAAGGGATTATTCAAGGGACGGAGTAGTAGAGTAGTGTCGCAGTTGACGAGGACGGAAGCAAGGAGTAGAAATACGTTTGGCTGGCAGAGAGATAGATGACGGACCAGGAGGCCGCTGCGGCGCCCGTCCACGACGCGCCGTCGCCTGCTGCAGAGGACGGGCCGAGCTCGAACAAGCGGCCTCGCCTCTCGCCGCCGCCTCCAGGAGCAGAGACGGGAGCAGAAGCAGAGACGGAAGCACAAGCAGAGACAGGAGCCGAAGCAGAGGCAGGAGCAGGAGAGGAAACGAAGAAACAGCAACAGGCACAAGCAGAACCAAGAAAGATGCAGACGGCGTCCGAAGCCGACGTGGGCATCCTCGCCTACGTCGACGAGACGCTGGTCCCGATCAAGGGCGGCGTCATCAAGCAGAGGTGTGTCCGGTCTCCTTTCTGTACATCACTTGTTGCAAAGCTGATCGTGAGAGTGGACTGACACAAGGTTCTCCGACTTCCACGTCAACGAGGTGGCGCCCGGCGGGAGCGTGTGCCACATCACGTCGCTGCTGCCGCCCGCCGCTGCCGATGGCGGCGCCGGGCTGCGCGAGCACATCGAGGCGCTCCAGGCCGAGGCGGCCGACACGACGGGCGACCTCGTGCAGCAGCGCCGGCAGCGCGAGGCGGCAGCGCGGGCAGAGCGGGAGGCGGCGGCGCAGCGGGAGCGGGAGCGCGTCTTTAGCTGGGATGTCGCGCCCGACGACGAGGTAAAGCTTGTCGAGTGGATCGGCGCCGAGGCCGTCGAGCAGCTCAAGAAGCTCTGGCTCGAGGGGCCCGACGGGTACAAGAAGGACGAGGTGGGGGAGGCAGAGGCAAAAGAGGACGAAACGAAGCCAGAGCAGGACGCGAGGGACAGCGACGACCGTGGTGGGCGAGGCGGTCGCGGTGGCCGCGGTGGCCGAGGTGGCCGAGGTGGCCGTGGTGGCGGAAGGGGCGGGCGCGCCGGTGCTGCTGCGCGAGACCCGCGCGTGGTGACCACAAAGCCCATCCTCGTCAAGGAGGTGCGCTCCGAGGCGCACCAGCTCATCCGCCGCGTGTTTGAGAACCGGCTGATGTCCGACACAACGGAGCTTGCCCTTGCGCCGAGCGAGGTCAAGAGCAAGCCAGAAGGTGCTGCTGCCGACGACGACGACGAGCGCGCAAACGGCAAGCCGCAGGTGCAGAGCATCATCCGCATACGCTGGTCCTCGTCCTCTTCTTCGTCTGGCGCACGAGACCAGCGCCGGTTCGACACGCGCCGCGGCGCACCGGGCGAGGCCAAGCCCGAGCCGCCGCCCTACATCCACTTTCTGCTCCAAAAGACGAACCGGGACAGCCAGGATGCGCTCAACATCCTCGCGCGCGCCTTGGGACTCGGCAGGGGACCGGGTCAGAGCCAGGGAAAGATGGTCAAGGAGCTCAGCATCGCCGGCACAAAGGACAAGCGCGCGACGACGGTGCAGCGCGTCGCACTCCGCCGTGGCCGGCGCACCGTCGACGACGTCTGGAAGCTCATCAACGGCGTGGGCAAGTCTGCGTCTGATGGTGGCGGTGGACGAGGCGGCGGTGGTGGTGGTGGACGAGGTGGCCGTGGCGGCAATCGATTCGGACAGCAGCGCGAACGTGGCCTGCTCGAGGCCATCACCACGCGCGGTGACCGCGGCCTGCGCATCGGCCACCTCTCCTACCAGCCCGAGTCGCTGCACCTGGGCCAGCACGAGGGCAACGAATTCCTCATCACGCTCCGCAACGTCAAGGTCGAGCGCGAGGCCGACGTCGCCCGCGCGATTGACGTGCTCAAGACCAAGGGGTTCATCAACTACTTTGGCATGCAGCGCTTCGGCACCTCGTCGGTCTCGACGCACACCGTCGGCATCTCGCTCCTCCAGTCCGACTTCCGCCTCGCCGTCGCGCGCATCATGTCCCCTCGCCCCGGCGACACGCCATACATGACGGAAGCCCGCGAGCACTACCAGGCCGGCCGCATCGCAAAGGCACTCGACATGATGCCGCTCGGCAACGTGCCCGAGCGCTGCATCCTCCAGCGCATGAAGACCGACGCCGTCACGGGGCCCGACGACGCCAGGGCCGACTGGCGCGCCATCTTCAGCACCATCCCACGCAACCTCCGCACCATGTATGTGCATGCATACCAGTCCTACATCTGGAACCGCATCGTGACGGAGCGCGTGCGGCGCTTTGGGGTCGCTGCGCCCGTCGTGGGCGATGTCGTCCTCGTGGGAGAAGAAGGGGGCGAGCAGGGAGGCGACGACGATGCAGAGGGAGAGGATGATAACGACGACGACGAGGGTCCAGCAGAAGAGCAGCAGGGAGGAGACGGCGAGGATGGGAAACACGCCGTGGACAGCAAGCCGCGGGCCAAGCCGCCGCCGCCAGCGCTGCCCAAGGTCAAGCTGCTGGCGACGCAGGCCGACGCAGACCAGTACACGATCCACGACGTCGTCATGCCCTTACCCGGCTACGACGTCACGTTCCCCGCCGACTCGTGGCTCGGCCAGATGTATGCGTCGATGCTTGCTGAAGACGGCCTCGTGCCCGCGATGGTCGGCCACTCCAACGTGCCCGAGCTGCAGCTCAAAGGCGCCTACCGCAAGCTCCTCCATCTCCCGCGCAACATCGAGTACCGCCTGCTGCGCTACACCGACACCGAGGTCGCGCTGGCGCAGACGGACGAGGAGAAGATCCTCGGCATCGAGCAGCCCCTCGCCGAGCCGTTCGGCCAGGAAAAGAAGGCGTCCGACGAGGGCAGCAAAGACGATGACGACGACGAAAAGAAAGACAGCTTCATCGCGCTCCAGCTCCGCTTCACGCTCGGCACGGCGGCATATGCGACGATGGCGCTGCGCGAGGTGCTCAAGCAGGACACGAGCGTGCAGGTGCAAAAGGACCTCACCGAGCGCGGCGAGGACCGCGCCTTTCGTGGCAGCGGCAGTCGCGGTGGTACCCGTGGCGGCTTCGGAGGTGGTGGAAGAAACCAAGAGGGCGCGGCGCTCAGCTGGAGGGCACGGCAGGCTGTAAATGAGGTGCAGGCGGGCAAGGGAAAGGCGATGCGCAGCTGGGGGCCTGCCAAGGCTGAAGGCGACACCGCATCCAGCGAGGCGAAGCAGGCTAGCCAGGATGCAGAGATGGCTAACGCTGAGTAGGAGGGGGGCATGAGAGAGCAGGCACAGGCACAAGTGGATCAGCAGAGGGATGGCAAGGCAGAAGTAGACAGGCAGAAGGAGTCTAGCAGAAGAAGAGCAATCATGTATTACAGAGAAAAGCACACCGATCATGTGAATGTCAAGAGGCCCGTCCGAGCATCGGCCCGGTCGCGGTAGCCGACGATCCAGTGTGTTGCGTCCATTGCGCGCTTGCCGGCCGTCTGCAGCTGGGAGACGCAGAGGTGCGTGTCGTCAGCACAGCCCACCTCGAGGTGGCCGCCGCTGCGCGAGAGGCGTGCCTGGCCCGGAGCGAGGGGCGGCGCAGCGCCTGCTTCTGCGCCTGTTTCTGCCGTGCCGACGTGGACAGACCGGAGCAGGACACGGACATCGCGTGCCGCACCACTTCTGCCGGGTTCCAGCGTCGCCGAGAGTGGGAAAAGATAGGAAAAGGCACGGTGGCGCGCCTCGATGTCGTGCGCCGTCCAGCGGTCCCAGCGCACCTCTGCATGCTCGCGCCGCACCTTGGGTGCCCGGCTCGCGGGGCCCAGCTCCGACTGGGGCGTGGCGGCCGACGCGCGTGCCTCGAGGTTTGAGAGCACGTCGAGGAGCAGCCTGACAGCGATCGGCTCGAGCCGGTCGAGGAGCGTCTCGTACGTCGGCGCTTTCCTGCTGTCCACGCGAGCCAGGTCCACGTCCACTTCCTCGTCCAGACCCACGTCGAGGGCGTGGCGCGCAAAGACGCGGCCCGTGTCGATGGCGGCCTCGAGGCCCTGGATGCTGACGCCTGTGCGTGCGAGGCGCCGCGCGATGGCCCACTGCACCGGTGCGGCGCCGCGCAGCTGTGGAAGCAGCGACGGGTGGACGTTGAGGCGCGCGCCAGGCGCATACAAACCCAGGATCGCGGGCGGGATGACGTGCCCAAACGAGGCCGTCAGCAGGACGTTGCTGTTGGTGCCTGGTGAAGCGGGGACAGCAGGAGCAGGGGGGAACAGGCCCGGCGGTGGCTCCCATTCGGACATGGGCACGTCGCGCGGCAGGGCGTTGTGCGCCAGGCCGCTGTCCTCGGCCAGACGCCGCAGCGGCACCTCGGCGATGCGCTTGCGCGACGCCCACGTGTTGGGCGCATCGGACGGCGTGAGCACCTTGATTGATCGGCAGAGGTCTAGAGCTTGAGGATTAGCGAGTGCTAAGGAGAAAGAGGCAAGGGACATACCTGGCCGACCGAGGAGCCCAGAGAGGACCGCACAGGCAAACCGATCCGTGCCGCAAAAGACAATGTCATACTTGCCCTTGCCGCCCCCGCCGACGACAGAGGCCTGGCTGGACAGACGCCGCCGCTGGCCGGTCCGAAAGAGCAGAGGAGAGACTCGAAGCATCATCGCTCCTCCATCATCGTTGGTCGTGGCTTGCTTAGAACGAGAAGAAAAAGGCCAAGCTTTTAGTCTAAATTTTCCCGTCCTCCACTCTGCAAAGGCGCTTCCCACGCGAAGCAGGCAGCCATCGTCTTCTCATTGCTCGACGTGCTTTGTGGGCATGTCTAATTCATACAGTCATGCGAGAAGGGAAGTTGTGCGAGAAGAGAAGATGTATAGAGAGAGCAGAGCCTGTTGACGGAACCACAGCTTTACCTCGAGCGAGCACCACGTTTCTCATTGATGCACACAGCCACCGGCACCTGCCGCGACTGTGCGTGCGTGCTCTTGATCTCCGCAAGAGCACGCGGACAACAACTACGTCAGCGCTGACCACCAAACGGAAGTCTGCATCCTTGATGCGGATGCGGTTGAGCAGCAGACTGAGTGGGGAAAAGGGAACGAGCTGCCAAGCTTCTTTGGTCCACAAGATGAAATTCGGACGTTTTCCTCCGCCACGAAAAAAGAGGCAGCCAGACAGGACGCGTTCGAATTAGACTAATCTGCCAAGCCAAAAATAGCCAAGCCACCGTCAGATCAAGAACCCTCTGCAACGTGTGTCATGTAGATCCTTTATCCCCTGCACTGGGGGCCGTCGAGGAACTGATCGGGTGCGGCCCTGACTCTGACAATCAGGCATGTGGGGTCCCTTTCCCTGCATACGTCGGTGATCCGTGGGCTCCTGTTTGAGCGTCCCTCTACCCCTTTGCTCTTTTCCCTTGGCGCCCTGCTGCTTGGCGGTCTTAGAGATGATCTTGAAGGCACACCTTACGCCTTGGCGGCGAGCAAACGCCGTCTAAGCCCTTCTCTCTTCTCTCTTTCTCATCTCCGGGTGACTGTTCCCTTCGTCTGGCTCGCAATTGTAGACGGAATCGTATGTTTTTGGATGACCAACCAGAAGCTCTAGAGGGTTGAGCACGATGACAAGGTGGCTTTTCACTTCTTCTTCTTCGCTCGGCGGTTGACTTCCGCCCGAAGGCTGCTTGGCGGCAGTATTTCCGCGTCGTCATGATGATGCGACCGTTTGGAGCTGAGAAAAAGCAGAGGTATAAGTAGTGGCCCTTTTCTCGTTGTCGAAAGGAGAACATCAACCAAATCCTCACCTTCTTCTACATCTCACACTCAGATGAAGACTGCCATCGCCCTTGCCCTCCTCGCCGGCGCTGCCTCTGCGGCGCCTGCCGTCGACTCGGAAGAGCTTCTCTCCGTGCGCAGCAACAAGCTCAACTACTGCGGCCGCCCGTCGTACTTCACCTCTGCCTTCCACACGCGCGCCGTCAACACGACCGTCGTCGATGCGCAGAGCAACCCCGTCGCCGGCGAGGCGGGCGCCTTTGGCCAGTACGCGCTTGAAGTCAACTCGGACAAGGACGTCATCTGCTGGGATATTACCCTTGTCGGCGTCACGGGCGAGTACAGCTCGCCGGCGCGCACGGCCACGCACATCCACCAAGCCCCCAAGGGCAAGGCTGGCCCGCCCAGGATCGCATTCCCCAACCCAGAGTTTGTCGAGAAGAATGCTGCTGGCCAGGAGGTGCGCAAGTCGTCGGGCTGCGCCAAGGCGCCCTTTGTCACGGGCATCAAGGTCGCCGGCACCGAGACGGACACGGGCTCGGCCAGCGGCTTCACCCTGAAGCAGATCGAGGCGGACCCTAGCGCCTTCTTTGCCGACACGCACACAGCCAAGTTCACGGCCGGCGCCGTCCGTGGCCAGCTGCTGGCGTCGGAGCGCACCGTCAAGGCGCCGCGCCACTTTACCTCGGTCGTGCGCACCACGGCCACGCCGGACCAGGTCATCAGCAACGCTGGAGTGGCGACCCCCGGCGAGCCTGGCGCAAAGGCCAGCTACGAGCTCAAGATCAACTCCAACGAGGACATTCTCTGCTACGACATTGTCACCTCGGGCGTCACGGGCGCCTACTCGAGCCCGGCAAAGACGGCCACGCACACCCACGAGGCCGCCGTGGGCAAGGCGGGCCCCCCCAGGATCGCATTCAAGAACCCAGCCAAGGTGTCCAAGTGGTCCGTCCAGCACATCATCCACAAGCTCAAGAACGGCAACAAGGAGCTTCGGCGGAGCAAGGCCTGCGTCAAGGGCCCCTTCACCACTGGCCTCAACGACGCCACGACGGGCATCGACACGGGCTCGGCAAGCGGCTTCAGCCTCAAGAAGCTCGAGGCCAACCCATCGGCGTTCTTTGCCGACACGCACACGGTCAAGTACACCAACGGCGCCGTTCGTGGCCAGCTCAAGTGAGCTCCGACCATTTCTTCTCACACAATGTAGGCATTAGTCTCGGAAATCTTTTTGCTATTACTCCCCATGCCTCTGCAATTCGGACAATTCGCTTTTCTGCTTTTCAACAGCCGTATTTTTTGATGAGCTGCTGGCGTGGGGGGCCAAGGCGGGGGACGCTGGTGACGAAATGGGTATCGCGGAATCTTTGAGCCTGAGAAAGGGCTCATGCGCGAAGGAGATGCCCGTGCCTGTCGGAGAAGAATGGCTAGCTCGCCGGCTAACTGTGCGCCGCTCTCCGCCTCGGACTGTGACCCTCTTTCTGCATTTTTTTTGGCTGCCAGCAGTGATGAGGCTGCGCAGCAGACGAGGCAAACGCGGCCTGAAGACGCCAGCTGATATCGAAAGGATCGGAAGGAGGGAAAAGGGCGACGGGGGGGGTGCCTCCCCACGCTCCGTCTTCGTCTTATAATGAAGTTCCCTCCTACGTGCCGCACTACCACCGACTCGCCCTCATAGTGGCCCAAAATGAAAGAGGTAGAGGTCGACCGTGCAATGAGCATCGAGAGGCGCGACCGCACAGATGCCGTGCCGTATCTGCAGAGCAACTATCGCGAGAGCTGCCTGGCCGGCACCGAGCTCGGCCTGAGTCTGAGCATCGGCGTCGCCTTTTTGCTCCTCTCGACCCGCGCGCAGCGCCGACACATCGCCCTCTTCCTCGTCAACTGCCTCTCGATCGTGTGCGTCGTGACGAATTCGCTTATTCGCATGCGCTACAGTGGAGTCAAGATCGAAGACCGCCTCGGCGGCGGTGTCGGTGTAGAAGTCGCGCAGCTGTCCGTGTGAGGACCTCTCCTTTCCTCTCCATAAAGACGATTTCATAACCAGCCTGACTTTTGCCCCTGTTGCAGCGCCTACGACTTCTTCTCCATCTTCACGCCCCTTGTCGCAGACTCGACGCTGGCGTTCAAGCTTGCCATCCTCTTTCCACCGTGGTACGGCTGGAAGCGGACGGTGGTGCTCGGCATCTTTGCCACGCTGTGCTTTGCCCGCCTCGTCGCCGCAGCCTGCATCGTCTGGCAGGGCATGGTCTACTACGTCGCGCCCACTCGCAGGGGCCTGGCCTTTTGGCAGCTCGATGCGAGCTTTCAGCCCTTTATCATGCTTGTCAATGCTCCGATCCAGCTGGCGACGTGCGCCTTTGCTTCGTCGCTCCTCTTCCACCGCGCCCACGCCTTTGCGCGCGCTGTCACGCGCAGGGAGCCCAAACGCCAGCTGCGCTTCTTTATTGAGTCGACGACCATGACATTTTTGCCGCCCGTTTTATGCCAGATCATCATCCTCGTCGCCCTTGGCGCCAAAGAGGAGCAGCTGGCACTGCTGCGCGCCGCCATGTGGGCCGAGGACCTCAACATGATTCTCTCCCTCATCTTTTCCATCCTCGCTACGTCCTGGTCCACCATCCGCTCTCCGCTGCCGACACACGATGCAGCCGACGCATCGACCTCGCACGAGCAGCCCTCTTCTGCCTCCTCAGGAGCCCAACAGCGCAAGGAGCCAGCCTCCGCATCGCCCGTGATGCAAGACTCGATCCTCGGCACCGTCCTCACGCGCGCGGGCATGGTGGGCGCTCCTGCTGGCCAGGACGAGAGCGTAATGGAAGTCATGGTCACCCTTCCTTCTCGCGCAAATGACGATGTGGCTGCTGGTGACGTCGAGTACGCACGGAAATCCGGCACCAAGCTTTCCTCCCCTCAACAAGGCCGTTGGCTTCGACCGGTGTGAAAGATCTTCTTACCCCTTCCTTTTCCTTTCTCTCTCTTAGAGTGTATCACTGTACTGTACAGGCTTCACATTGGGGGTCACTTTTCTTTTCGGTATCTGCCACTCATATCGGGTCACGGAACTATCGCTAGCGATAGAAAGAGACACCCGAAGCTGAAGATGAATGTTTATGACGACGTTGCTCGATTGAACCAACGGGTTTCGGGGCACTTTGGGCCTCCTCAAGACGAAGCGTCTTATAGGATCCGAAGTATTTCTCTTGAGTAAAGTAGGTTAGAGCCTCCTTGAGCAGCTCTTTCCTGGGGAGATCTTCATAGACCACGGCCTTGATTGGGACGGCAATTTCTTGCCTGGGTTCTCCGTGATCGGCTCTACTTCCGTGGCCACCGCTAGAGGAAGAGGCTGAAGCTTCGCTCTCTTCTTCGGGCACAAAAGGCTGCGGTTCGTACTTTTCCGAGAAGAGAGCAGCAGCGAACATGGGTTCGGCAAATTCAACCTCGTCTTCCTTTGGTTTCTTGTGCCCGAGCTTGAGCGCAATTCCATCCAAACGATTCGAGAGCATTTTTAAATACTTGCGCTGGTGCACCTCCAGTGAGATGTTTAGTTTTTTTTTAAGCATGTCTTTTGCTCCCGGGACCCATTCTTCGAGCTTCTCTTTCACCTTCTTATTGTGACCATTCAGACCTTCACGGACAATGTCGCGGACCAGATCGACAAGGCGCACGTTCTCGTTTGGCTCGAATTTACGTAAATTTTCCTGCAAATCTTTGGGCAGAAACATTAATTCTGCGTATATGCCATGGAGCAGCTTGCTGACACGAAGCAATGTGTTGGCCACGAAAGGATCCTTTGACGCATCCTTTGACGCCCTGTCGAGGTGCTGATTAGGCAGCCTAAAGTCGAGCTTGTCCAGCGCGACGGAAGTTTCGGCTGGCGAGAGCGACTTCGTGCCAATGACAACGATGTTCCTGGCGTGCTTGTAAATTTTTTCGAGTTCATTGTGAAGCGGGAGCCCAACATTGCCGAAAATCTCCGTGTCGCGGCCATGCTGTATGAAGACGCGATTGATAATGCCATCAAGTTCAAGGATTTGATCATTCAACCATTGGTGGTCTTTCAGGCTTGTGGGCACCACCTGGTGAATGTCGTAGGTAGCACCTGCGACGAACTTCATCTCATTGAGGCTGGCCTTGTTTGGCCGTTGGGCTATTCCGAGGAAGGAGTTTTCGTACCATTCGCCCAGGTCACCCGGATCAAGAGGGCGGCCACCGTACGTGATGACCGCTGGTTCGGTCTTAGGCGACCTTTGCTTGCCAACGGCTTGATTCCAGTGATGGAAATGCCCGACGGCAGCATCAACGTGGTAAATACCGCTCAAAATGATGTGAACATGAGTGTAGCCGCCCCTATGCATCAAAATTTCCAGCGCAGCCAGATTACCGAGGTCGATCTTGTTGAAAGTAATCAGATGACGTTCATTGTTGCCGGCGACCTGCGCCACAACAAAGAAAAGACAAGCGGTGAGAAGATGAAGGGATAGCATCTTGTGGATGGAATGAAGAAGGGATAGGGATTCCTGCGCTCTGTCCCTTCTTTGGCCTCCTTTTATAGCCTGTTGTCTTGTGCCAGCAAACGTCCTCCGTCCTATGTTCCCTTCTGGGGGGCTTCATATCATAGGCTCGCGGGCGCCAGCTCGTCAACACCCCTTGCTTTTTTTTGCCCCATTGAGACACGACCGAAGTGTGACCGACAGCCTCGCGCTCGAGTAACACTCGCTCTGTGCCTCGGGTTGTCTGACGCCCTCCCTTCCTGTCTTACAAGTTCCTTTCCTGACGGGCAGCGAGGACATACAGACGCGACAAGAGTGAGGGAACTGTCACCTGGACGGACTAGGGGCTCACAGAATGTATTCTGCAACAAGGAGAAAAGGGAAAGTACATGAAAGAGGGCCTGTTCTGTAGGGCAGGCGTCGCCCTGCGACGCCTGGCTTATCTCTGCAATTCGTCCTGTAGGGCGTGCTTGAGGGCGCGCTTGAACGCCTTCTGCAGTCGTGCGTGGACGCCCCGTTCCTGCTGCGTTGCGCAGCAGGCAATGGCGTGCTTGCGGACGTCCGCTACGGCGAATAATTCTGGAGAGCAGGGCCTAGTAAACAAAGGCGAGGGAAACAAACACGAGCGAGGTAAATAAACAATGACGACGAAAAGAGGAAGCACACACGGCCCCGGGGCTCCCACGACGCCCCAGGACCCTGACAGTTTGCTTCCTTCTCGCGCAAATGACAATGTGGCTGGTGGTGAGGGCGAATACACCCGGAAAATTCGACACCAAATTGTGCTCCCCGCACCAGGGCCGCTGGTTTCGACCGATGTGATAGATGACTTTCGTTTTCTCCCTCCCCTCTCTCTTTCTCTCTTGGGGCGAGTGTCACTGCTCACACTTTCACATGAGGGCTCTCTCTCGTATTCGGTACTTGTCACTTTGTCAGGTCAGGGCACCATCGCAAGTAAGAAGAAGAGGGATACGAATCTGTAATTAACTGAGAAGATCGGAGAAAGGAGTCGCAAATGACGACGCTGGGTTGAACCAGCGCTCTTTGGGTAGCTATCTTGCCTGTATACTCAAGACGACGAGGAAGACGACAAACAAGAACCCAGTTCGGTCTTCTTGGGCAAGTCTCTGAATGCATCATTGAGGAGCTTTTCCCTGGGGAGATTTTCATAGGTCCTGACCTTGCTGTCGCCAGCGACTTCCCCGGCTCTTGCGTGATCGACTCCGCGGCCGCGGCGAGAGGAAGACGACGCCTCACCTTGTCCTATGGGCACAAATGGCTGAGATTTGTACTCGTCCGTGAAGAGAACGACGGTGAACATGGCATCAGCAAATTCAGCCTCGCCTTCTTTTGGTGAACTGTATTCGAGCTTGAGTTGGATCCCATTCAGACGGTGCAAATACGTATCAAGTTGCGCGCGCTCATCTTCACTTGCATCGATCATTTGCTCCTTGATTTTCTCGATTGCTTGCGAGACCCAAATTTCGAGACTTCCGTACACATCCATGTTGCTGCGATTCAGGCCTGATCGGACAAGCTTCCGGACCGGCTCAACGATGGATCCGGATCTATCTGGCGTCACCTCGCGTAAGTCTTCTGGCAGAAACTCCAATGCTGGGTTTTCGTCGTCGCGATTGAGCATCTTGTTAACACGAATCAGCGTATTGGCTGCAAAAGGATCTTTTGATGCCACTCGGATATGCTCGGAAGGCAGCCTAAAGTTGAGTTTGCTCAGCGAGACGGAGATTTCGGCCGGTGTGATCGAGGTTGTGCCGATGGCAACGATTCTCTCGGCGGTGGTGTAAATCTTTCCGAGCCTGAGGGGAACGCTCTTTGAAAGAGCATGTCTGCCGGGAATCTGTGTGTTGCGGCCGTGCTGTACAAACACGCGGCCAATCTTGCCGCCCCTTTGAAGTATGCGGTCGTTCAACGTTTCGTGGTCGCTCATATCTGTGGATACCACCTGGTGTATATCGTAAATAATATCTTTCTTAGGCTCCAGATCATCGAGGCTTTTCTTGTCTGGCTCTCGGGGTGTTCCTAGAAAGGAACTTTCGTACCATTCGCCCGCGTACTCCTCAGGAAGAGGACGACCGCCGTATGTCGTGAAGGCTGTTGAGGAATCAGGCGACCTCTGGTGGCCAAATGCGTCATTCCAGTTATCGAAATGGCCGACTGCCTTGTTGACGTGGCGAATACCATTCAGAATGATGTGAGCATGAGTGTAGCCGCCCCTGTGCATCAAAATTTTCAGCGCAGCCAGATTACCGAGGTTGATCTTGTTGAAAGTGATCAGATGACGTTCATTGTTGCCAGCGACCTGCGCCACAACAAAGAAAAGACAAGCGGTGAGAAGGTGAAGGGGTAGCATCTTAGGAGGGAATGAAGGAGGAGGAGGGGATAGGGTCTCTTCTCTCTGTCCCATTTTTTGGCCTCTTTTTATAGCCCATGAACTTGTGCCAGCGACCACCCTCCCTCCTCCTGTGGGGCCTCATACGATAAGCTCGCAGGCGCCAGCTAGTCATCAACCCTTACGTGTCTCTCCAATGAGACATGACCGAAGTGTGACCGACAGCCTCGCGCTCGCGTAAAACTCGCTTCGTATCTCGGATGGTCTGACGCCCTCCGTTCCTGCCTTACATGCTTCGTGCCTCGGGTTGTCTGACGCCATCCGCTCCTGTCTTACAAGCTCTGTTCCTTGTCTTACGTGCTCCGTTCCTGACGGGCAGCGAGAACGTACAGACGCGACAAAGATGGCGTCAGCAACACGCAGAGGTGCATGATAACAACAATGCACATAGGCGAAAGCGCCGGTTGCGGCGTCACCATCGCCGGCTCGGTCTCAATCACAGTAGGTCTGACTCGTTGGGTTCCTGACTGACAGGCACCGACGACAGACAGACGTGGCTGGCGACTGCTCCTGCCACGCACAAAGGCGAAATCGCCGGTGTCAACAGCACATTGGTGGAAAAAAGGGATTCAGCAAAGAAGAGAGGCGAATACGCCGGCCTCAACAGCACACAAAGGCGACGACAGCACACAAAGGCGACAACAGCACACAAAGGCGGCAAGCAATAAACAGGAGATATACGAGTCTGTAGATGATTTAAACGACTGGAGAATTGAGTCGCAAAAGACGCCGCTGGGTTGAACCAACGCTTTTAGGGTTTATTCTTTCTTGGCTCCTCTCAATTAGGATATGGCGACGTATGATCTCCCGGAAATGCCCATGTATAAGATCCCAGTTTGTCATTCTCGGGAAAGTGTTTAAGAACTTCATCGAGCAGCTCTTGCCTGGGGAGATTTTTATAGGTCATGGCCTCAGTGCCAGCAACTTTTTGCTTTTGCCCTAATTCTGCGTTGCAGACTCTGCTTCCGCGGCAACCGCTAGAGGAAGAGGATGAAGCTTCGCCCTGTTCTTGGCGCGGAAATGGCTGCGGTTTGTACTTGTTCGAGAAGAGAACAACGGTTAACATGGGATCGGCAAATGCAACCTCGCCTTCCCTTGGTTGCCCGTTTTTGAGCTTGAGCACGATCGCATCCAAACGTTGCAAGAGCGTTCCAAGATACGCGCGCTGATAATCATCCTGTGATTTCTTCATTTCGTTCTTAACCGTCTTCCTTGCTTCGGGGACCCAGCTATTGAGACTCGCCTTCAAGTTCACATCGCGGCCATTCAGACCTTCACGGACAAGTCTGCGGACCGCCTCAACAAAGGATGTGTTCTCATCTCGCTCCACCTTACGTAAATTTTCCGGCAGAAACTCTAATTCTGCCTTCTCGCCATTGAGCACATTGTTGACACGAATCAATGTGTTGGCTGCAAAAGGATCCTTTGATGCCTTGTAGAGGTGCTCATAAGGTAGCCTATAGTTGAGTTCGCTCAGCGAGACGGAAATTTCGGCCGGTTCGATCGAGTTTGTGCAAACGATAAGAATGCGCCTGGCGGTGCGGTAGATCCTTTCAAGTTCGATGTGAAAGCTGCGCGAAAGCCCGAGATTGTCGTAGATCTGCGTGTTGGGGCCATGCTGTACGAAGACACGACCAATATAGGCATCCTTTGCAATGATCTGATCATATATCCATTGGTGGTCTCTCGGGCTTGTGGAGACCACCTGGTGAATATCGTAGATAACACCTCGAAGGAACTTCATCTCATAGAGGCTTTTCTTGCCTGGCTCTCGGGGTGTTCCTAGAAAGGAGCTTTCGTACCATTCGCCCGGGTGATCATCAGGTAGAGAGCGACCTTTGTACGTAGTGAAGGCTGGCGAGGTATCAGGCGACCTCTGCCGGCCAAATGCGTCAATCCAGTGATCGAAATGGCCGACTGCCTTGTTGAAGTGGCGAATACCATTCAGAATGATGTGAGCATGAGTGTAGCCGCCCCTGCGCATCAGAATTTCCAGCGCAGCCAGATTACCGATGCTGACCTTGTTAATAAAGATCAGATGACGTTCATCGCCGGCGACCTGCGCCACAAGAAAGAAAAGACAAGCGGTGAGAAAGTGAAGGGGTAGCATCTTAGGAGGGGATGAAGGGGGGATAGGGTCTCTGCTCTCTGTCCGATCTATCGGCCCATCTTTATAGCCCATTGTCTTGTGCCAGCGACCACCTACCCTCCTGTGGGGCTTCATCCGATAGCTCGTAGGCGGCAGCTTGTCAACACCCCTTGCTTTTTCTTGCCCCATTGAGACACGACCGAAGTGGAACCGACAGCGTCGCGCTCGAGTAATACTCGCTCCGTGCCTCGACTTTTCTGACGCCTTCTCTTCCTGTCTAACGTGCCCCGTTCTTGACGTGAAGCAAGAACAGACAGACGCGATAGCGACGGCGCTAGTATTACTCAGAGGTGTATGTTATAAACAATGCACAAAGGCGAAGGCGCCAGGGGTGGCGTCAATCTCGCGCCCCTCACTCTCCACCGCACGCGGTTCGACTCGTTGTAGTCCTGTGAGGCACTGACGACCGACAGGCGCACTGGCGACTGATTCTGCAAAGCACAAAGGCGAAGCCGCCAATGACAGCAACACAGAGGTAGGAAAAAGGGCGTCAGCGACTCGAAAAGGCGAGTACGCCGGCGACAACAGCGCACAAAGGCGGCGACAACAGCGCACAAAGGCGGCGACAACAGCGCACAAAGGTGGCGTCAACAACAACAACAACAACAACAACAACAGCAGCAGCAGCAGCAGCCACAATACTTTCGGAGTCAGAAAAGACATTCAATACATTGGCCCCCTTTTCGTCTTTAGACAATTTCTAGACATGAACATCTTGGGTGTTGAAATACTTCGAGAGATAATCAAGGAGAAACATGGAGAAGGCTGAGCTAAGAGCTGGTAAGAGAAGGTGCGACGAAGACAGAACCAATGCCACTCTGCTTCTTATCTTGTTAGACGCTCGCTCAGTTCAAATGCGGAGGCGGAGGAGGCTGTAGGTCATCCTTCTCGGGAAAGTATGTGAGGGCCATGCTGATGAGCTCGTCTCGAGGGAGGTCGAGATAAGTCCTCACGGCCTTCGAAGGAGAGCTGGCCTCCTGCTTGGAGCGTTCGGGATTGGTGCTGCTGCTGTGGCCGCCACTGTGGGAAGATGTGCTGGCTTCATCGACTCGGTGGGGAGCATCTACGAGCTCGTACTTGTCGGACAAACGAGCTGTGGTGAACAAGGCATCGGCAAATTCTACCTCAAGATCCGTGTTTGGTCGCTTTGTGGTGAGCTTTAGCAGGACCTCATCCAAGCGATCCACTTGTTTTTCGATGCGAAGACGTTTCTGATCATCCGAGGTTCCCTTTATGATGCGCGAGCCTTTCTCTTGGGCGTCTTTGACCCAATCTATGAGGTGTTCGCAAAACGGCTCGTCGAGGCCTCTCACAGCATTTGACACCCAGTTGCGGATCAAAATAAAGTTTTTGTCCTCTCGGTCGCGTAAAAGTTGGCGATGTCGATCGGTGGGAATGAAGTTGGGATGGAGGGGATTTTCTTTTAGGATCGCACTGACCTTGACGAGCGTATTGGCGACAAACGGATCCTTTGTCGCAAGTGTGAGGTGAGCAGGTGGGAGTCTGCCTTTGAGGAGCTTGTACGGAACAGAGATCTCGGGGATATCGAGCGACTTATTGCTCATGAACACGACACCATCCTCTGAATCCCCATAGATCCCGTTGAGCAACTCTGGTAAGTTTTCCGCTTGGACATAGTCACCCTCAATTTGCGAGTCGTGACCTTTCTGCACGTAAACGGAGCCAACTCTTCCCCCTCCCGCATAAATCTTGTCCCTTAGAGCTTGATGCTGTTCCGGTCTTGTGGGCGCCACCTGATGTATGTCGTAGACGACGCCTTCCTTGATCTGTATCTCCTCGAGACCTTTGCAATCAAAGTCTCGAGCAGCGCCCAGAAACCCAGATTCGTACCATTCACCGTCTTCAGGAGGGTCACGGCCGCCGTACGTCGTGAAGGGTAAAGATTTATGTCCAAGCTCATTGAAGAAATGATAGAAGTGACCGGCAGCGCCACGAACGTCGTTGACGCCATTGAAGACGACGTGAGCGCGAGCATACTTGTTTGTCTGCTTCATCATGATGTCGAGAGCGGCCAGGTTCCCAATATTGACCTTGTTGAAGTTGATCAGATGCCTCTCGGGAGCATTACCGTGCGGCTGACTGACGACCTGCGCACAGAACAGGGGCACAAAGGCGAAGAGAAGTTTGAGAAGCATTTTGTGGGTGAGGATTGGCTCGAACCTCTGAGACAGCCCTCCTTCCTTTCTTATGTATTTTTTCCCCTCGTGTGCGGTGCCAATTTCAACTTGCAACTGTCAACTTTCAGCCTACCCTTCAGTACTCTGGCACCGAGCTCAGACCGACAGCTTCGTAAATAAAAATTGTTACTCCTGACAGCAAGTCGCTTGACGCGACGCCCTGTAATAAGGTGATGACCACAACAAGGGGCTGCACGCCAGTGACGCCATCGACACGAAAGAAGGGCTAGACGAGGGTGACAATGTGAGTGAGCTGGCAGTTGAGCGAACAAGGATTATCAGGAGCTATTCTGCGACAACGAAAAGAAGAGGGAAAGTACAGGTAAAAGAGCTGCTGAAGTAGGGCAGGCGTCGCAGAGCGACACCTGCGTCATCTCAGTAAATTCGCTTGAGAACCTGCTTGAGAGCGCGCTGAAGACTGCGGCGTTGTGCAGCAGGCTGTATTGCGTGCTCGCGGACGTCTAGTATACCGCTGGACGTCCGGCAAATAGGTTCGAATAACAAAGTCTGGTAAACAGCGTGCGTGCGATAAACAGGCGCGCGAAAACAGGGAGAGCGCTTATCAAACAGGGCCACGGGGCGTTGGACGCCTCAGACCCTGACAGACAACAACGAAGTCAACAAGAATAAACAGAACAAGATCAACAGCAGCGACAGGAGCAGCAGCAGCAGAAGCGATACTCTCGGAGTCAGAAAAGACATTCTTTTCATCAGTACTCTTTATCTTTTGGCAGGGTTCAGGTATGGACATTTTGGACGTTGAGCTATTTCGCGCACAGAGATGATCAAGAAGAAATGTAGAGAAGGCCAAACTAGGAGCTATAGAGAACCAATGGGACGCAGACAGGACCCATGCCTTTCTGCTTCTCGTCTTATTAGACGCTTAATGCAAACGTGAAGATGAAGGCTTTGAGCGCACCTTCTTGGGAAAGTATTTGAGGGCCGTCTCGAGGAGTACTTCATGAGGGAGGTGACGATAAGTGCTCACGATCTTCGTTGGATAGGCAGGCTTCTGCTTAGATCTTTGGGATTTTGTGCTGCTGCTGTGTCTAGATGAACTGGCGTCATCATTTTCGTACCAAACAGGTCGGCGTTTGTACCCGTCCGACAAAAGGGCAGTGGTGAACAAGGCATCGGCAAATTCTACCTCATAACTCATGGTTGGTTCCCCCTTGAGCTTGGACATGATCTTATTTAGGCGGTTGACTTGTGTTGTGACGCGAAGACGTTTCTCCTCATCCGTGCTCTCCACTATGAGGAGCGTCCCTTTCTCTTTGGCGTTCTGAACCCAGGATGAAAGGTGGTGCCGAAGACCCTTTTGAAAACCTGCCACGGCATCTTGGACAAGATCGCAAAACATGTCAAGCCTTGCTTTCGCCGAAAGTCGATTGAAAAAATATGGCGGAATTAAGAGGGGGAGAACGAGGTCTTTTTCCAAGATTCTTTTGACCTCGAAGAGCGTGTTGGCAATGAATGGATCCTTTTGCGCAAAGTCGAGGTGAGCAGATGGGAATCTGTCCTTAAGAAGCTCACGCGGAACATAGGTCTCGCCTGTATCGAGCGACTGATAGCTCGTGAAGATGACGCCTTCCTCTGTTTCCCGGTAAATGTCGTTGAGCAGCTTTGGTAATTCCTCCGCTTGGACACGATTACCCTCTATCTGCGAATTGTGGTCTTGCTGCACGTAAACGGAGCCAATTTTTCCCTTTCCCTTGCAAATTGTCTCCCACAGAGCTTTATGCTGTTCCGGTCTTGTGGGCGCCACCTGATGTATGTCGTTGACGATGCCTTCGTTTATCTGAAATCTCTCAAGGCCCTCAAAATCAGGGGCTCGAGCTTGGCCCAAGAATTCAGATTCGTACCATTCACCCTCTTCAGGAGGGTCACGGCCGCCGTACGTCGTGAATAATGAACGATCACGCCGAAACTTGTTGTTCCAATTCTCAAAGTGACCGGCAGCACGATGGGAGTCCTTGACGCCGTTAAAGACGACGTGAGCGTGAGCATACTTACCCGGCTGCCTCATCATGATGTCGAGAGCGGCCAAATTGCCAAGACTAACTTTGTTGAAGTTGATGAGATGCCTCGTGGGAAGGTCAGGGTGCGGCTGGCTGACGACCTGCGCACAGAACAGGGGCACAAAGGCGAAGAGAAACTTGAGAAGCATCTTGGATGAGGGTTGACTCGATCGACTAAACCAGCTCTCTTCCTCTTTCTTATGTAGTTCTCTCCCTCGTGTGCAGTGCCAGTCTCAACTTGCAAATGTCAGCTTCTAGCCTGTCGTTCGGTACTCTGACACCGAGCTTTGACCGACGGCTTCGAAAGATTGTTACTCCTGACAGCAAGTCGCTTGACGCGACGCCCTGCAACAGGCTGGTGGCCACAACAAGGGGCGTCAGTGACGCATCGAAACTAAAGAAAGGCTAGACGAGGTCGAATATGTGAGTGAGCTGGCAGCTGGAGAAATTAGAGGGGCTACTAGTCGGTACTCTGCGACGAAGAGAAGAGAAAATACATGTGGAAGAGTTGCTCATGTAGGGTGCACTGCGACGCCTGCGTTTTCCTGGATATCCGCTTGAGGAACTGCTTGAGAGCGCGCTGGTGTTTTGCGTGCTCGCGGACGTCTGGTGAACTGCTGGACGTTCGGCGAAGAGGGCTGAACAACAGAGTCTGGTAAACAGCGTACGTGTGATAAACAGGCGCGAGAAAAAAAAAACAGGGAGAGAGACGATTAGACAGGGCTACGAGGCGTTGGATGCCTCGGACCCTAACAGACAACGACGAAGTCAACAAGATAACCAGAACAAGGTCAACACCAACGACAGCAGCAGCAGCATTGACAACAATACCCCTTTCTCTCCCTTTCTCTCACTCTATGACTCTGAGACGTATTTCACGCGTGCGCCGTACTGTACAGTACACTGTATCAGTCATTCTTATCAAGTCTCGACACCACAACGTTTGCACTAATGAAGCACGGGCGAATCAGCTGAATTTTGAAAGGAGAAGTAAAAACCGCCAGCATTCTCCCTCTTCCCCGCTCGGGACGGAGGAGGCGGTAAATTAAGACTGCTTCGAGAAGTATTCCAGTGCCATAGCGAGGAGCTCGTCCCTAGGGAGGTGGGAAAAGGTTTTGACCATTGACGAGGGGGCAGCTTCCTGCTTGCCGCGATTGCCGTGGTGGCTGCTGTCGTCACCAGAGGAGGTAGCTTCCTGCTTGCCGCGAATGCCGTGGAGGCTGCTGTCGCCACCACTGGAGGAAGACGGGCCTTCGTACGACCAAGACTGCTGCTCAAATTGGTCGGACAGGAGTGCAGCCGCGAAAAGTGGATCCGCAAACTCCACCTCGCCTTCAGGGATCGGATCCCGATCGAATTTGAGCTTGACCTGTTCCAGGCGCTGCAACAGCTGCTTGTGCTTGATCTGCTCCTGGTCGTCTTCTTTTGAAGTGCTTAAAATCTCCTCAGCTCGGATTATCCAGGCTTGGATGTGCTCGTGCACTTCTGTGTCGTAGCCTTTCAGACCCTCCTGGACCACTCCGAGTACAGAGTCAACACTGTCTTTCTTGTCATCCGTTTTCATTCGATTGAGATAGCGTTGGGGCAGGAATCTGAGCTCCTTGTAATCTCTGTTGACAATCTTGTCGACCTGAAGCAGCGTGGCGGCGACAAACGGATCGTCTGTAGCTGCTTCAAGCTGAGCGGCTGGCAGTTTGCCGTCAAGGGAACTAAACGGGACGAAAGTCTCGCGATCTTCAAACGAGCTAGGGTCCATCACGACGATTATAGTGCTGGGTTCGTAGATGCTCTCGAGCGACTTGAGATACTTGTCCACTTTTGCAGGGTCATCAATCCCAGGTTGGATGTAGTTGCTTTGCACGTATACAAAGCCGACGCTGCCATGATACGTAAATATATGGTTACTGAGGGCTCTGTGGTCGTCCAGACTAATGGGCGCGGTCTGATAAACATCATAAAGAACGCCAGTGTCCACCTTCATGCTATCGAGGCGAGGCAATTGCGGCGATTGTGCTTTCCCAACAAAGCTCTTCTCGTACCATTCGCTGGATGGACGACCGTTATTGCGGTGGCCATACGTACTGATTTTCAACATGGGTTCGAACCCTTTCTTGCGGCCAAAGCTCTCGTGCCAGGCGTAAAAATTACCGGCCGCACCTTCAACATCGTGGACGCCTTTGAAGGCGACATGTGCACGATTGTACCGAGTCGATGCAAAGACCATCATGTCGAGCGCCGCCAGATTCCCCAGACTGGCCTGGTTAAAGTTGATCAGCTCTCTGTTGAAGTTCCCAGCTTTGCCCCCGCCTTTGCTGCCGCCTTTGCTTCCAGCTTTGCTCCCGGCTTTGTTTCGAGACTTCGCAGCCTGGACACCAAGCAAGGCAAGAAGAATGAGCAGCAGATAGAAGAGACGCATCGAATGAATGGATAGATGGGGGGTAAAAGGCTTCTCGCTTGCTTTCTAGATCAAATCTCGCCCTTTTTGTACTCAACCGTCTTGCTGCCACGCCTCACGAGGCACGCCGCCATCAGAAGACAGAGTAGCGGTCGTCGGCGCCCCTGAGCCCGCGCGGGACGGCGACACGGCTGTTTACGCGGCTCATCCGAGTCTCAGTAAGTCATTTTTTTCATAGACCGGGGCGTCAACAACGGCGTCGACGAGAAGGGAAGCAACAACAACAGAAGAGCACACAAAGACAGCCATGGCCCTTTTCAATTCTCCGCTGTCGCTCCAGCGACAGGAGTGGCTCCTCTCGGTCCTGAGTTCGATCCAGGCCAATTCTGTGAGCAGCAGTAGCAGCAGCATCGAGATCAGGCGAGTCGATGATGCTGACTGCAAAACTTCCCTCCAGATCCTTGAGATAGGCTGCGCAGAGGCGCCTCTGACGCTATGCATTGCCACTGTGCCTCCTGCCCCATTCGTGCCAAGCCCCGACTGGCTGAACGACATCCTCCGTATGCGATTCCCTGATTCGTCGGGCGCATATACCGGGCCGTCGCAGGTGGCGCCTGCAGACATCATCGCGCTGGATCTCGACGAAGCAGTGCTCAGGTGGCCCATTAGGCTGCTCGAGCAACAGGGGCCAGAGGAGGAGCCGCGCTTCAGGGCGATGCGCGTGCGCATCCTCCAGGGAAGTCTCGCGCAGTTCGACAGCAGACTGCGAGGCCTCGACGCCATCGTGGCAGCCGAGGTGTGAGGCTCGCTCCAGACTCATCCTATCCAATGTGCACACTCTGATGCCCCTCTTTTCAGCATCGAGCACCTCGACGAAGCAACACTGGAGGCGTTCGGTCGCGTCGTCCTGGGTAGATACCGTCCCAATAAGCTGCTCGTGACGACGCCCAACTACGCATTCAACTGCAATTTCCCCGGTGCCGATACACGACAGGGCTTTTACAAGGATGTCACGGGTAGGACTGACCGCTGGTTCCGCCACGATGACCATCGCTTCGAGTGCGTTGTGACAGTCCCGGACATGTATTGTAATATTTGCCATAAGCGCTTACGGCGATGCCCCGCAGGTTCACGCCGAGCGAATTCAGTGCGTGGTGCGATGCGCTGGCTGCGAGGGAGGGATACGATGTCGAAGTGGGCGGCATAGGCATCTGTACCTGGAAGCAGCAACGAGAGCACAAGAGCGGAAGTCTGGAGGAAGAAGACGCAAAGTATGCCAGCCAGACCGCCCTCTTTACCATGCGCCATCCGGACGAGGAGCCCATTGACGAGGGAGAGGGCAAGATTCATACCCTCAAGACGCTGTTTGATCGAACGCTGGCATGCACAAGCGACCCCGAGCCGGCTCTCGCGCCCAGGATCCGCCAGCTGACTGTCATGGTCATGGAGCATGCCCAGGTGTCGGGAGTCCGATCCATATGCTCCTCAGTAAAAGTCGCTGCTGACTGCTGGACTGTGTGGATGGATCGAGCAGTGAGGCTCTCGTGTGCAGGACGCCTCGACGTGTGGTTCGAGGCGCTAGACGTGCTGCAGCGTGACGGTGAAGCAGACAGGCACGGCGCAGCTATGCAATTCGGGCTTATTCAGAGAGGCGCCTCGCTCCTTCTCTGCATCATCTCCGCCGAACATCCCCCGGCCGGCATGATGCAAAAGGAAAAAGAAGAGATTTGCTCGACGAAGCGTCCGAGGAGCCCAGCCTACACATCATGGTCCTGATTCCTTGCCAAATTTCCTTCTTCCTCCCTTTCCCCCCCTCCTCCACTGGACAAAGAAGAATCTGTTGACAGCTAAAAGCGCGACGAAAGAATTAGAAAAGTAGGAACCAGGTCTCGCGCAAAAAGTGAATCTATCCCTTCTTCCATCACTTTTGCGCGCCTCTCTCATTCTCTCTCACTTAAAGAAAGGACCAGGGAGACGGAGCAAGCAGCATGGCGGCGCCCATGCCGCCCACGGGCACGATTGGGGCTGCGGCGAGCGATGCTGAGCGGCGGCGCACGCTGCCCGAGCCCGTCGTCTCCTTTGACCTGCCCGTCGTCGCTCGCCCGTTGCCGGATGCTCGCCCATTACCGTCAGGGACTGGGGCAGGAGCAGGGGCGCAAAGGGACGGAGTCGCCGTCGCCAGTGTTAAGAGAGCATCCGACGAGCTGGACCTCGAGGCGAGCCTGACGCTCGTCCAGTCGCTGCGCCAGAGCCGGCTGACGCACCTGACGGCGCTCCTCCCCTTTCTCTCGACTCGGCACCGCACCGCGACGCGGTACCATGCGCCGCCGCGGGGCTACCCCTTGCCGGCCGACCTGGATCCGACAAAGGCAACGCACAGCCAGACGCACCTGGCGCGCTGCGACGTCGCTATTGGGCCCCTCATCTTTCCTCGGACGCGCTTCGGCGAGGCTTCGTCGGCGACGGCGCCTCTCCCTGCTCCCCCTCAAGCCCTTCATCCCCATCCTTCTCAACATCCTTCCCATCCTCCTCCTCTCCCGGCGACATCTCACTTGGCAACGCCGGCGGCGACGGGCACGGCTCGGCCTGTGGGTCCTTCATCGGCTGCTCGTCCCACGGCTCCCTCCTCGTCCGTGGGGCCTCCCACGTCAGCCGCTGCAGCACCATCAGGGCCCGCAGCAGCAGCAGCAGCAGGGTCGGGATCAGGGGCAGGAGCAGCATCAGGAGCAGGGACAGGGACAGGGACAGGGACGGGAGCAGGACCAGGGGCAGGTACCACAGCCTCAGGCGGAGCACCAGCGCCAGCACCAGCGCCACGCATCGATGCGGACCTGGTGCAGGAGGTGAGCCGGCGCGCACAGTCGGACCCACCGCTGCAGCGGCTGCTGCACATTGCTGCGAATGGCCGGGCGTCCAACGAGGAGCTGAGGCAGCTTGCGGGCGTCATTGCGAGGATCGGCGACGAGATGAAGGCTGCGGCCGGAGCAACGGGATCAGCGGCAGGGGCGCCTGCGCCTGCGCCTGCTGCTGGGCCAGCGACGGCGACGGGACAGAGCGCCACCGTGACTGGGCCTCCTCTTTCACAGCAGGCAAAGGGGCAAGCGAAGGGGCCAGCGTCGGCGTCGGCATCGGCGTCGACTTCGACAACGACATCGCCAGTCAAGGCAGGCACGGCGGCAGGAACACCGGGAAAGGGAAGGGGAAGGCCAAAGGATCAAGCAAATGCAAAGGGCGCCAAGCCCCCGTCGGGCGCAGGGAAGGGTGTCAAAGCTGCCCCTGACGGTGCAGCAGCAGCACTGACGGGTACGAATGCGACGACGCCGGCAACTGCGTCCGATGCAGTAAATGCGCCGCATGCACAAGGCTCGGCCACAGCAGCGAGTGCTCCACCACCAGCTGCTGCTTCGAGCTCCAGCAGCAGCAACAGCAATAACAGCGGCGTGCCGGCTTCCTGCCCCATTATCACCGTCGAGTTCCGCGAGAACCCAAGTGCGCGCTTCATCCTGCCCCTCTGGCGACCAGCGACGATTATCGAGCGCCGTCTCTCGCCGCAGAGCAACAAGCGAAAGATGATCAAGGTCACCATGTGGCTTCCCGCCATTGGCTCGAGCGCCGCGCGAGCAGCCAACGCCATTGCGCGAGGAGGCGCAGCGGGCGACGACGAGGACGACGAGGTGCCCGCGCCTGCTCCCGGCCACCAGCGCGACGCGCCAAAGGGCGCAGAGAGGTATCCCGTCACTTGGACCATCACGCCGTGTGCCGACGAGGACGACAACGAGGGCGAGGGAGAGCGCAAGGAGAAGGAGATACCCGAGTCGCTCTGGGACGCCTTTGGCAGGGTCGATACCGGCAGCCTTGCCGAGGAGGACAATGCACTCCTCGATGCTTTCTTAGAAAAGGTGGGTGATACCTTTATTGACTACCGCTCCCTCACTCACTAACACAAGGTCACCCACAGTACCGACAGGCAGCGCCCATGTTCAAGACGACACCCAAGCTGCACGTCGCAACCCCGTCCAAGGACCTCCAAGACCACCTGACAGACCGCTTTGTCCCGCGCCTCCACAGCCTGTCCAACCGGCCCGTCGTCCGACTCAAGAAGGGCGACGATGCGGCGGGCCACGCACACGCTCCACCCCCGCCCGCGCAGTTTGTGCCTGTCTCGCATTCGTCGTCATCGTCGCTCTTCTCGTCGAATGGCAACAACAAGCGCGCGCACGACGACTCAGTCGAGGCGCACGTCAGACAGGCAGGCGATGAGTCGCCCGCGGCGGCCAAGCCCAAGCGCAAGCGGCACGTCGCGACGCACAACCCCGACGGCACACTCAAGCTCTGCCAGGCCTGCGGCACCAATACCACGCCCATGTGGCGACGTGGGCCCGCGGGCAAGAGCACGCTGTGCAATGCATGCGGCGCCAAGTGGAAAGTTGGCCGCCTTGTGGTGAGTCAAAGCGCGTCTCTCAGAGATGTGATCAGGAAAGGCAAAAGCAGGCTGACGTGCGGTTCTGCATCAGGTCCCGGATCACCCGCCGACCGCTTCGACTCCAGCTCTGGCTTCTGCTTCAGCCCCGGCCTCCAATGCTGCCTCAACGGCGGAGCTAAAACCGACGACTGAAAAGCAAGCGACGACGCCAGAGAAAGACACGTCGCAGGCAGATTCGAGCAGAGCAGACTAGAAGAGCAGAAGTGAAATAAGATGTATTTGTTCCCTGGTTGTTGTATCATGATCACAAAGAGAGAGAGAGAGAGAAAGAAGATTACCGCCTCGGGATGCCCATGCCCCTTCCTCTGGGTCTCATGGCCCTCTGCGCTGCGCCTGGCGGCGCTTTCGGTCCCGGCTGGCCCTGCTCCGAGGGCCGGTTCCTGATGGTCTCGTCGACGCTGAGGATCAGGCAGGCGGCCTCTGCAGCGCTCGAGATGGCATTGACCTTGACGAGGGCAGGCTCCCAGACAAACTTTTCCATGTTGTCGGCGACGCCCTCGGACTCGATGTCGACGCCGTCCCAGGTGTGGCCCTGGGCGTGGCGCATGCGGAGCTTGTTGAGCACGTCTGTCGCCTCGAAGCCGGCGTTGTCGGCCAGCTGTCGGGGAATGACCTCGAGCGACTTGGCAAAGGCGCCAATGATGAGCTGCTGCTTGCCGTGCACGGTCCGCGAGTAGTCGCGCAGGTATTTCGACACCTCCATCTGTAAAATAAACGCTGTGAGCAAGAAGAGCTTAGAGTCACTGGAAAATGAAGACGCACCTCGGTTGCACCGCCGCCAGCAACAACCTCGTTGTTCTTGATGGCCCGCTTGACAATCATGACTGCGTCGTGCAGGCTCCGCTCCACCTCTGCGATGAACTGCTCCGCCCCGCCGCGCAGAATCATCGTCGCCGTCTTTGCCTTGGGGCAGCCCTCGAAGATGTTGAAGCGCTCGCCGCCAATCTGCACCTCGTCGAAGCGGGCGCACGTGCCGAGGTGCCGGTCCTCGATGTCGGAGCAGGTGCTCTGGACCGAGCCACCGACGGCCTCGACGACACGCCGCAGGTCGTCAGCAGCGACGCGGCCTGCACAGAAGATGTCGCGGTCGGCAAAGTACTGCGTGGCCAAGTCGCCGATGGGCAGCTTGCTCAGCACGACCTTGGCACCCGTCTTGACAATCGCCTCGAGCTTTGCATAGATGATCTGCCACTCGGCGTCCACAATGGCCTGGTATTCAGACACGTCGTTGATCCTGACCTCTGCGTTGTCCTTTTCCGCCTTGAGCTCCAGCTCGACATTGAGGCAGACAATCTTGGGGTCCTTGAACGTCTTTGGCTGCTGCTCAAAGCCGGCGTAGGCAAACGTCTTCTTGAATGCGACACCCTTGATCAGCAGGCTGTCCTGCATCGCGCCACCGGGCACCTTCTTGACGCCAATCAGGCTCTCGTCCAGGTCGTCCTGGTCCAGCGCGCTGACGGCATCGACGACCATGTTGGCAAAGAAGGGCCGCTGGCTCACGATCAACTTCGAGTTCATCGATGTGCCTGCACACTTCATCAGCAGATCCCGGAACGCGACTGGGTCGCTCTTGTCGATCTTGACGGCCATTTCCTTGATTCTCTCGACGGCCTTAGAATCCATTCCACAGGTCAGCACACACCAAAAACTTGCAGCACGACATGACAGGACCCACCAGCTGCGCCGCCTTCCTGTATCCCTTGATGATGATGTGTGGGCTGACGCCGTCCTCGATGAAGCTCTTTGTCTCCTTGAGCATCTCGCCTGCCAGCACCACGACCGACGTCGTCCCGTCGCCCACCTCTGCGTCCTGTGCCCTCGCAATGTCCACGAGCGTCTTGGCAGCCGGGTGCACAATCTCGAGCAGCTTCAGAATCGTCGCTCCGTCGTTGGAGATGGTGGCCTGGCCCCGCTCGTTGACCATGAGCTTGTCCATGCCGCGTGGGCCCAGCGTAGTCGCGACGCACGCCACGACCGAGGCGCAGGCGCCAATGTTGGACAGCAGCTGGCCAGTGCCCTGCGACGTGTCGGTGCCCTCGCGCAGCACAATGACGGGCGGCTGCATCATGCCGCCCAAGCGGCTTCCTGCCATTGCCATTGCTGCAGAAAGTTGAGAAATTGGCGATCGACTAGGTGTTGGAGTGATGGAAGACTGGGCTGCAGAGACTAGAAGAAGCTCGTCTTATGTAAGCAGATGCTGCACGTGTCGATTGCAACACGTGGCTCTTCAGCTTGAACAAGAGGAGGCGACTTCAGAGCTTTCCTCGCTGAAACTGGAGCCATGCGAGCAGCTTGAAGCCCTTCTTGGACCTCAGACAGCAGACTAGAAAGTCTTTGGGCAGTGTGTGGCCAACGTCAGTGCATGAGAGAGCGCCAACACGTGCCCACGATGACGTCTGGCTAACGACGCCCGAGTGCCAAGCTGTATTAAGACTCTATTCAGGGCGAAAATTTGGATAGCGCAAAGCTCAGAAGCTTAAAATTTGTTGCTCTTCAGAGGTGCAGGCGGTGCAGTTGTTAGTCAAGAGGCTGCACAGGGCAAGGTGCCTGTACTCCGGCTCCGACCTCCCCGCTAGTGGTGACCTTGTCGAAAGCGGTGCTAGCCGTTCCTGTCGGAAGCACTGGCCATCTATTGCATCGGAACAAGAGGCCGTTGTGGGTTCCGACCCTTCTACCACCATCAACCTTTCCCCCCCGCACGCCAAACAGACCAGCACACGAGACAAAGATGGAAAGGATTGGAATCTTGCCCCGCTTCACGCAGCACGATCATGAGATCGCCATGCGCTTGCGCGAGCACAAAGTCTCTTGGAGTGGCGATGACTTTACTGTGAAGGACGCCGTGACGCAGGGCCCTCTGTTCCGCATTGACGGCGCCGCCTTCTCGCTGCGCGGGTCCAAGTCAGTCAAGGACGTGGAGGGCAAGGCGCTGTTCACCGTCAGGGGCAAATTCCTAAACATCCCGCCCAAGTACGAAGCAATTGACCCAGCTAGTGGGCAGGTGCTGCTGGAGGTGTCGTCGCCGCTTGTCAGTTTCTCCTCCAAGCTCAAGGCCAGGTTCAGAAATGTGGCGGGTAGCGGCAATGAGATGGAGCTCCAATTAAGGGGTGATTTTGTGCGTCGCCCGCTCTATCCATCCTTCTCTCCCATTTGCTGTGGAGACTGACTTCTTGTGTCTTCCCAGCTCGCACGTAAAGCCGACATTACCACCGCGGACGGGCGCGTCGTCGCCAAGATTGAGAGGACTGCTCGGCTTGGTGCGGCCAACCTCCTCTGTGAGTGTTTCTCTTCATTTCAAAGCAGTAATTAGGATTGACCCGGAGCTTCTTCCCTTGTTAGTCGACAAACAGACGTACGTCGTCACGGTGCAGGTGAGTCAGCGCAAATGCTCTACCCCAGAGAGAGAAAGCCAACACATCCAAACAGCCGTTCGTCGACATCTCGCTCATTGTTGCGCTGTGTGTCTGCCTCGACGAGCGCTACAAAGACCAAAACAAATGATGAAGACGGACAGTCGGCCGGCGGACCGGCCAGGCGTCAGTGCTTATGCTCAGACTCAAATTACCCAGTCCATTATCCTCCTCCTGAAAATGCTTCGACTCACGGACCGCGGAAATGAGTGTCCCCGCCGCCGCCCCGTCCTCTTATTCTGTGGGTTCTCTATTTTGCACATGACAAGTCCGCTCTATTCTGTCTTTGTATTTCTGTCTCTCCCCTTCTCTCTCTCACATCTCCTCCAATCGAACCTTACACTCTTTTTGACTCCCCCCATCCCTGCTCCAGCGACTCAATCCACATGCGACGCCTTCTCTTTTTTCTTCTGCTGCTTGGAGCCGCGTCCTTCGTACAAGCCAGCTCTCTAGCACGGCAAACCAGACACAAGAGGACAGACGAGGATCGACGGCGAGCAGCATCGCTCGTTGCGCGTCGAAGTGACTTGAGCTTCGAAGAGAAGCTCAGTCAGCTCGATGAACAGCTAAAGTCAGGCGACCTCGACATTGACGGGCACGATGCAATCAGGGCCCAATTCTCCGACGAATTCAAGCATCAGGCCGACACACTCTTTTCCGTCGACAAGGCCAAGGTGGCGCTGCTTGCGGGCAGCAAGGACCTTGGCTTTCACGATGCACACCACACGACCGCCCACAAGCCGGGATATACCCTGTCACAGGGCCAGCTCCAGCACACGCCGACACCCGAGTCGAACTACACGGCAGGGCAACAGGCCTGCACCAACCCAGAGAGGCTCGTGGCGTGGTCGAATGTCGAGCCAGAGGACAAGCGCGCATTCATCGAAGCCGTCAAGCGCCTGACGGTGATCCCTAGCAAGCTCGGCGGCAAGGGGAGTCTCTACGACGACTTTACAGGCACTCATGTCTTTCTTTCCTATTCTCGTGCGTGTCCTTGACTGCTCAACAAGCTGGAGCAGGTCTTTGCTGACTAAATAATCCGTGCGCAGTCCATGGTACCTGCCTCTTCCTTCCAGGCCATCGTGCACTGGTGGTGGCCTTCTACCGCGCCATCCGCCAGGAGTGCGGCTACAAGGGCCCCATGGTCTTTTGGGACATCTGGACGAATGCCAATGCGTCCGATCCCAAGAGCTTCACCCATCACCCGATCTTTGACGACAAGCTGGGCTTTGGCGGCACCGGTGACAGCAAAGACAGCTATCGAATCAAAAACGGGCCCTTTGCTGGCTGTGAGTCTTCCCACTAGACGGAGCGAGTTTGAAAATTTGACAATACAACACCCCTTCCAGTGATGGTCAACTACACCAGAGACGAAATGCATCCGGGCAAGGTCAAGTACGACCCACACGTCATCACTAGGCGCTTTGCGCTGTATTCCAAGGAGAAGACACCGCACAGCTTCTTCTTGTCGACCGATGCGCTCAAGTGGGTCCTCCAGGCGCCAAATTACTACGACTTTGAGCAGCGCTTGCAGAGTCAGTAGAGAAGTCTGCCTTACCCTGTGCTTCTTTGTTGACCGACCCGAGGCTCCTGAACACAGTGCGCATACACGGGTCGGCGCACCATGCCGTCGGCGGCCAATTCAACTTCCTCGAATCGGTCAATGGTGAGTGCCATCGCCTTGGCATCGTACGAAGTTTCTATGTGCTCACTCGAGATAGACGCCGCCATGTTCTGGTCCCTCCACGGCTTCATCGAGTGCATGTGGCAGAAGCGCCAGCACATGGCCGGCGGCCGCTTCAAGCACGACTTTGAGGTGAGCTGTGCCAGCCATAACAAGAAAGTCTTTGAATTAAAGCTGATGGAGATACAGGGCTGGGTGCTGCCGCACAGAAAGGGCCCACGGTGCACCAAGGACACGCCCATTACGACCCTCGGTCTCTACCTCGAGGATGGGCCGCTGGGCGAGTACTTTGACACGACAAAGGCAGGTCTGTGCTTCGAGTGCGACCACTTTGACTTCCTGGACTTCTGAGTGTGAAGAGCGCCTCTTTTCTCTTTCTTTGCAATACCATTACCACATTCGTTTGGCGTCGTTATGCTTTCTCTCGGTGCTGGATCTCGGAGTGGAGCTGACGCTAGGGCATCTCGCGTGAGCGAGCCTAAACTGACCTAAAGACGCGCTTGCTGGGAGTTGAATTTGGGTGTCACCCGACCATCAATCGCATCTTCTCGGCTGCCCAACCTGGTGCGTCTACTCTTCGCTTCGAGCCTGCGCCCTGCTATCATGACGGCCCTGCACCCCAGCACCCTGACTTCGCTGGTCCCGGGCGCCACGGCCCGCGGCTCGGCTTCGTCGTCGTCGACATCGGCCAATGCGCCGCCCGAGCTGGCCGTCCAGTTCCTCAAGTACTCCAACGCCTCGCCGACGCCGTTCCATGCCGTCCAGACGTCGTCGTCGATGCTCGAGTCGGCCGGCTTTGTGCGTCTCAAGGAGTCGGACCTGTGGGATGGGCAGCTGGAGCGCGGCGGGCGCTACTTTTTCACACGCAACCAATCGGCCCTCGTTGCCTTCGCCGTCGGCGCCAAGTTCCAGCCGGGCGAGGGCGGCGTGCACATCGTGGGCGGCCACACCGACAGCCCCAACTTCCACCTGAAGCCCAAGTCGAGCAAAAAGGACAAGGACGGCTACCTCCAGGTCGGCGTCGAGGCCTACGGCGGCGGCATCTGGCACACCTGGTTCGATCGCGACCTGACGCTGGCTGGCCGCGTCATTGTCGAGGAGGCTTCGGGCAGCTTTGTCGGCAGGCTCGTCCACGTCAAGCGGCCGCTGCTGCGGATCCCGACGCTGGCGATCCATCTGAACCGGACCGTCAACGATGGCTTCAAATTCAACCTCGAGGAGCAGACGGTGCCCGTGCTCGGCCTGGCGGTGCAGGACGCCCTGAATGCACCCTCGTCTTCCTCTTTGTCGTCGTCGTCGGCCGTCGGCGCGCCGCAGATGAAGGACAAGCACCCCTCTGTCCTCCTCGAGCTGCTTGCGCAGGAGCTCGGTGTCAAGCCGGAGCATATCCAGGACTTTGAGCTGAGCCTTGCCGACACGCAGCCGGCCGCTGTGGGCGGCATCGCAAACGAGTTTATCCATGCGCCCCGCCTCGACAACCAGATGACGTGCTTCTGCGCCACGACGGCTATCATCAATGCCCACGCCTCGTCGGCCGCCCTGGCCCAGTCGAGCTCCATCCGCGCCATGGCCCTCTTTGACAACGAGGAGGTGGGCTCCGTCAGCACCCACGGCGCCGAGTCCAACATGGTCCCCTCGCTCATCCGTCGCCTTGCCACGCTGCACCTCCAGTCCTCTTCGTCTTCGTCGTCGAGCGATGCCGCCGCTGGGGAAAAGCAGTCGTCGTACGACCGCAGCCTCGCGCGCTCCTTCCTCATCTCGTCCGACATGGCCCACGCCGTGCACCCCAACTACGCCAAGATGCACGACGACGAGCACCGGCCAGCACTCAACGGCGGGCCCGTCATCAAGACCAACGTCAAGCAGCGCTACGCCTCGACGGGGCCCACGACATTTTTGCTGCGCAGGATCGCGGCCAAATGCAATGTGCCGCTGCAGGAGTTTGTGGTGCGCAACGACATGCCGTGTGGAAGCACCATTGGGCCAATGATGTCCAAGATTGGCCTCCGCACTGTCGACATTGGTGAGTTTCGCCCGCCTTCTCTTCATCGTATTGTTGATTGACGCTGAAGCGGAACGGCCTCGGACAAACAGGAAATCCGCAGCTGAGCATGCACAGCATCCGCGAGACATGCGGAAGCAGGGACGTCGAGCTCAAGATCAAGCTGGTGAGTAGGAGTTCATTCACTGTGAGGAGTGACGACCGCAGCTGACGGAGGGTGGTCCGTCTGGCACAGTTTGAGACCTTCTATGACCACTTTGAAGGCGTCGACGCGGAGCTCACAGTCGACTAGAAAGAGACACGAACAGTTGTCTGAAGATAATGCAATGAATTGAACAATTGTTGAGGGGGGAGTCCATAGAAGGGAGAGAAGTACAGTGCCTTTCTTCAACGCCTCGTACCGCCGCCTGCAGCGTTGCCCTGCAGCATGGGGCTGGCGGCGGCAAAGAAGCGCCTGACATCGTCCAACGAAAATTCGAGGCTGAATCCCTGGGTTGCGTAGCAGTCGCGCAGGATCCGGCCCAGTCGCTCCGTCTCGGCCACGAAGCCCTCCTCGCACGCCCTCCAGACCTTCTCTAGCACTTCGCCACCACCCCCGCCGCCACTGCCGCCGCCACCGCTGACGCCATCGTGCCCGAGCAGCTCTTCGAGCTCGCCCAGGAGCTCCTCGGCCTCCTCATCGACGCCGTCCTCGTCGACATCAGCACCCACACCGCCGCCCTCGTCGTCGTGCGCCTGCATCTGGGCCGCGCGCCACTCGCCAAAGTCGGCCTCGTCGGCGGCGTCTGCGTCGTTTTCAAAGTGCTTGGCGACGCGCTTGGCCAGCACCTCGATGCTCTTGCGCACGTCCTTGAGGCCGTACTCCTTGATGAGCCGCTTGGCGGCCGACTTGCTGTAGGCGCTGTGCAGGCTCACTTCGCCTGGCGGCGTGCTCCGCAGCAGGCCGTCGATGCCGTCTCCAAAGTCCTGTAGTGCGGAAGTTAGCAAGGGAACAGTCAGGGTGTTTCATAAAAAGCACGGCCAAGCGCTCACCATCATCTTGCTTAATGGTCGGCGCAGGGCAGAGTGGACATAGGCCAGCGTCGAGTCTTCGAGGATGTGGTGGGCGCGTCGAACGCAGGGGACAAGGGCGCGCCGGGTGCTCTTCCTCGTGCGCCTCCGCAGCAGGCGGCCGACCTCTGTGACGTAGAAGTGCATGTTCTCAATCAGGATGACGTGGTGGTTCAGCAGGCCCTTGTCCTCGTCCTCGCCAGACATCATGGCCGTCGACGACGACGTGGCCGAGGCGGCCATGGCCTGGAGCGCATCAAACATGGTGCTGCTCAGCTGCTCGTAGTAGCCATCGACGGCGCGGCGGATGTTGAGCTTGCGCATCTCTTCGCTCGACCCAGCGCACACGGCCAGCAGCTGCGACTCGACGCGGTCGACAAAGACGGGAAAGACGCGGATAAAGTACGTGACGCCCCGTCGCTTCTTGACGCTCAGCTTCGTCTGCTCGACGGCGCGAATCTGGTCGCCGATGAAGCGGTCGAGGACAGAGGCCAGACGCATGTGCAGCTTCTGCAGGGCGCGGAGCAGATAGTCGTTGGAGAGCGTCTCGGACAGGACAATGGCGCGATCGAGCGCTGCCAGAATACCGAATATTTGCCTGACCACGCCCTTATAGTTAGCTTTGTTGTATCTCAAAGAAGAAGCAGAAGAGAAGAAACACTCACCCCCTGTCGCGACCGAGAACGGCATCGGCGAAACCCTGCCATTCGGGGCCGAGGAAGCCAAAGATGAGCTCGAGGGCGCCCTTCATGTCTCTGAAAGGCGCACCGCCGCCCATCCCACCCGCCTGCTGGTACTGATCCGACAACGAGAAGATCGCCGCGGCTCTGCGCCTAAAGAATGGCTCGAGGTCCATGTAGTCGGCAAAGGTGACGGCATTGTCGTTGATATGGAGCAGGTCCGAGACGAACGCCTGCTCCCTGCTGACGATGGGCAGAATCTGGAACAGGATCCTCGAAAAGGACTCGCTGCCAGACGAGGCTGCGCCCGCCTTTCGCGACCGCTGCTGCAGCTGGTTGCGGGTCCTGCCACCGCCGATTCGCCGAATGGTGTTGCTCCTGAGCGCAGTCACGCCCGCCCCTGCGCCTGGACCGCCACCGCCCGCACCCATGGCGGCCTGGCCTGAGGCAGAGAAGCTGCTCGCCTCGACGTTGTCCACCTCGCCCTCGTCCGTCGCTCGCTGCGCAGCCTGCTTTGACGCGCTAAATACCCTCGTCATCTCACCCTTGTACCGCTCGCTAGCACTGGCAAAGTAGGCCGCCGAAATCCTCGAGAAGATGGCAGGGCTGACCTCCTTGACATAGAGGATCAATCCACAGTAGCGCCCCAGTAGATCCTCGACGACGGCGTGGTCCATCATGCCATTGTTGGCGCGCCGCTTGGGATCCGAGAGGATCATGTCCGTCTGGCGGTTGAATGCGTCGGTGAGGAAGTCAAGGAGCCGCTTGGCGAAGCGGTCGGCCACCTCGGTGTATTCGGACAGTCTCTCGGTGGCGGCCGCCATGCCTCCCTGCTGCTGGTCGCCCGCGCCCGCCGCGCCCCGCATCTCGTCCTCGGTGCGCTTGGCCTGGAGCATGGCCTTGTACAGCGCAGCACCAGCCATCTCGGCCTCGGCAATGCCCTCGTCCGAGTCCAGGCGCACATGGAGGAGCGCCTCGACGGCCGCCTGGTCGACGTGAACGGTGCTGAGGAGCTTCTCGACCTCGGCATACAGCGCACGCTGGTTGCTCGTCTGCACCTGCAGGCCCCTGTTCTGGCCCTCGATGTGGGAGATGTCGTCTGCGCGCGAGTTGAGCTGCACCTTGAAGCCGGCAATCATACTGTCGATGGCGTCGAGCTGGTTGAGGGCCTCCTCCATGTGGCCCACGACGAGATTGACGCGGTCGTCGGACTCGATGATGGCGTGGATGTTGGCTGCGTCGAGGGCGGCCAGCTCGTCGAGGAGGCGGGCCTCAATGACGTCGGCTGTGCCCTTGGCACCACCACCGATGCGCTTTCCCTGCACGCGCGCGCCGGTAGACCACTCAAAGCCCTCCAGCATCTCCTCGACGTTGAGCAGCGTCGCGTCCTCGTCGTCCTCGTCGTCGAGCTGCCCGACCTCAGAGCTGGTGGTGATGTCGCCGACGTTGGTGGCGCTCTTGGCCGGCGGCCTCTTTGCCGTCGCCTTGAGGTTGGCCAGGACGTCGTCTGGCTCAGCCGTCTGCGCTGCCTCGTCCCTCGCCCGCGCCGTCTCCTCGTCCTCCTCATCCTCCTCACCCTCGGCCACGCCGCGCAGGCCTGTGCCAGCCAGGAGCATCTTCTCGTACGCAGCTCCACCCCTGACGGGCTCGATGGAGCTGAGCCGGGCCCTGGCGTCGCCGCCCTGGCTGCTGACCGAGAGCGACGAGGAAGCCGAGGGCCGGGATCTGGGCGGTCTCGTCCGAGGCTTGGCCACTGTTGTGGACGCCTTTGTCGCTCTGCTTTCTTCCTCCTCCTCCTTCTCTTCCTTCTTCTCCTCCTTTATCATCTTGTCCTCTAGCAGCATCTCCTTTTCCTCTGCTGGCGACTGCACGACGGGCAGCTCGGCGTCGCTGGACACTGCCGGGCTGGCCAGTGGTGGGATGGCGAGGCTGCCGTTGACCGAGGGCGACGAGGACATCGCGGACGGGTCACTCTCCTTGCGCGACGGTGGTCGTGGCCGGAGGGGTGCGGTGCTGGGTGCGGTGCCGTTGGAGTAGACGGACCTCGCCGAGGGTGGTGGGAGCGGCGACGGCGTGGCATTGCTGTTGTTGGCCCGGGGGTCGTAGAAGGCATCCTGGGGCGCATGCCCCCCCGCCTGCCTCGAGCTCGACCGTGACCGCGTGGGCGATGTCTGGCTCGGCTGCGCCGGGTCGGAAGTGCCCAGCATCGCGGTGTTGATCGAGGGAATCACCGTCGCAGCCGAAGACGACGACGAGGAGGACGAGGAGCTGACGGGCGCCAGCGGCTGGAGACCCTGGTCCAGGCCCACGCAGCGGGGCAGGCTGTCGTCGCCCGTGTACTTGCGGTAGACTCGGACCATCTTGGTGAGGAAGCGCGACTGGTCCCGCGCACTCTCCGTCTGCCAGCTGATGGACCTGGCGAGGGTGATGGTGAAATGCTGGGGCTCGTCGACGATGACCTCGCGAAGCAGGTTCAGGTCCCAGTCCTTGCCGATGCTGTAGCTCCCATTGCCGTTGCGCTTGGCCTTGTTGATCGTCACCCGGCCCGTGTCGCGCTGGACGGCGAGGATGAGGTAGCGGGCCTTGCGCTCGCCCCCCTCGACGGTCTCCCAGATCTTGAGGTGCTCCATGTACGAGTTGGACGGCTGACGGGACCGCAGCGCCGCATTGAATGCGTCTTTGTCACCTCCCCCTCCTCCTCCTGACCCTGAGCTGCCCCCACCCGAGGACGCCGAAGGCCCCGCGGCGGCGGCTCGAGTGGCCATGGTCCTTGCTGCTGTCGGTGGTGTTGGTTCGTCCGTCTTCCGTCGAGCACTAGCCCTGGTACTACTACTACTACTACTACTTTCACCACTACTACTAACAACTCACTACTGCGCTACTACTACTCTACTACTACTGCCTGCTTGCTTTCCCTTTATCCGTTTCAAATAGCCCCGCTACTACACGTGTATTTTGTGGAGATTGGACGGGGCGAAGAGACCGGGACTAGGAAACTAGGAATTGTTAGGACTTATTTCCGATTTGAGCACTTGACCGTCGCTCGCAGTGCATTGCATCTGCTGCTGTTGGAGTCACAACCACTACGACTTCGACTATCGCCAGCGAGGGTCGACTGTTGTGAGAAAAAGCAGCGGACACAGCGGCAGCAGCAGCAGCAGCAGCAGCAGCAGCATGGCGCCGCCGCTCCGGGCCCGACCGGCGCCCATCGACCGCTTCACGGATGCATCCGCGTCTGCCATCACCTCGGGCTTCTCGGCCGCCATGGCACTGGGCCCACAGCCAAAGGCGGGGCCCAGCGAATTCTCTGCCGCCTCGTCGACCGAGGGCGTCGAATGGCTCCGGGACCTGCAGAGCGTCTCGGGCTTTGGAGGCACGGGCACGCCGGCCGACGATGACGACGACGACGACGACGACGAGAGCGAGGGCGAGGGGTCCAATGCTGCTGCTGCTGCTGCTGCTGCGGGGTCCAAGAGGAAGGGCGCCAAGAGGAGGACACTAGGTGGTGGTGGCAGCGGCAACAACAAGAAGAAAAGTAGCAGCAGCGGCGGTGGTGGTGGCGGTGGCGAGGAGGAGGACCAGGCGGCGGCGCGAAAGGCGCAGAACCGCATTGCGCAGCGCGAGTTCCGCCAGCGCAAGCAGCAGTACATCCGAGCGCTCGAGGCGCGTGTCGAGCTGCTGTCCAGCGACCACGACACCCAGGTCGACCGGCTACGCTATGCGCTGCGAGGTCTTTTAGCTGAGAACAACCAGCTGCGGGCATTTGTCAACAACCTTGCGTCGTTCATTGGTCAGGCTGGCCTGGGCGGGCCGCTGCAGCGCGCAGGCATGTCGCGGGAGGAGCTCCAGTCGATCATCTTTGGCTCGAGCGAAAAGAGTGGGTTTCTTTCTGCATTGACAAAGGTCTAACGCGCCTGCTGATCATATGGATGCACTACACAGCCATGACGGAGTCGTGGCAGAACTGGCCGGGTGCAAAGGAGTGCGAGGCGCTGCGCAACATTCGCATGGAGTCGAACCTGCCCCCCGAGGGCCTGCCCGAGAGCCTTCCGCCCAATGCGGCCACGACGGCAGCCAACAAGGCCCGCGCAGCAGAGTCTGCCGCCGCCGCCTCCTCCGCTGCTGCTGCCAAGGATGACGACAGTGGCAGCCCCGGGAGCAACAAGAGGAAGTCGAGCATCGACGAAGGGCCAAAGAAGCGCGGCCGGAAACCAAAACAGGCACAGGCACTCTCTTCCTCGTCGCCCTCGACGACGGACCAGACGCGGTCGCTGCCGTCGGCCTCGTCGCCAGCGGAGCAGAATCAAGGCGAGCAGCCACAGCGACAACAGCAGCAACAGCAGCAGCATTTACAGCAGCAGCAACTGCTCCAGCAACAGCAACAGATGGTCGCATTCATGCAGCAGCAGCAGCAACAGGCCCCGCCCGAGCAGCCCTACATGCAGGTGCTTGCCCAGCAGCTCGTGCGCGATCCCCAGGTATTCTCGCAGTACTTTGCAGCAGGCCCAGACTCGCTCAACCTCACCAATGCCAATGGCGCCCTCGCCTCGGCCTCTCCGTCACTCGATGGCCCCGCAGGCCAGGACTCGAGCGCGCTGCTGGCCAGCCTGTTTGGCGTGCAGCCCATGATGCCCTTTTCCAATGGCTCACCACCTTTTACCACGACGCCGGCCAAGACGACGACTCGGCAGGGCGAGCCCGACGAGGTGCGCAGGCTCCGCGCACTGGGACTGCGCGTCCTGGCCTCGCGAAAGGAGAAGCGCAAGGAGCGTGGCGAGCCAAACGAGGAGGCCGCAGCAAAGGCAGACGAGTCTGCGCTCGACCGACAGCAGCAGATTGTCATGCAGCTGGCCTACCACATGGCCAACTACCGCCGGCAGCCGTCGTACGAGCTGCCGTCGATGCTGAAGCCGTCGGAGATCCAGCAGACGCGGCCCCACGACCCTTTACTGGACATTATGCCCTTTGTTGGGCTACGGCAGAACTGCATCGCACACCAGGATCGCCTTGACATTGACGAGATGATCACTGTGCTGCTCGACAATGTGCAGGTGCACGAGGGCGACGCCATGGATCTCGCCGCATGGGAGATTGAGCCCGGCTTTCTGTTTGCCTATCCGTGCGTAGCGATTGGCTCTCCTTGTGCTTCAGCAGCCTCTCACTGACTTTGACAAACAGCTCCCTGATTGACAGCCAGACGCTCGAGAGCTGCAACCGGTGGCGGCGATCGCGCGGTCAGCGGGACCTCACATTTGAGTGCCTGACGATGGGCCGCCCTTCTGATGCATGAGTTGGCGAAACCTGGGCCAGTCAAATGCCCCCTTTCGATGCTTCTTATCTCTACTTGTCACGCCCATGTACTACTGTCTCGATGTGATATCATTCATCATGTGTCATTGCCGCGCCAGATTGCCAGAGGGGCGCAGCCGAACAGGCTCTGTGCACGTTGCTTCGGCACAGTGTGTCCACCAGCGCCACTGTGCCACCTGTTACCTTACGTAGGGGCGCTGGCGCGACACAGTGCTATCAATTACGTAGGAAGGGTCTAGAACGAGGCCATGCAGCAGCGCGGGCAGTGCACACACGTCAGCCGCCCTCAGCAGTATGCGAGCAGAGCGCTGGACGACGCCCAAGCGCATGAAACCTTCGACATCACGATGCCTTTCTCTCCTCTCCTCTCGCCTCGTCCAATTAAAAAAAATGTGGACCTCAATTTATATTGCGAAAAAGAAAAAAAAAAAAAACCGACGCCCACCGCCGCTCGATTGTAATGGAAAGTTAGAGTGGTGACGAAACTGTCTGAATTTGGGGCTGAAACAGAAAGCGACATGGGCGCCCGACGAGCGGGATCTTATATTGGAAAAAAACAAATCCAACTTCCAAGCGCGTTTCGTGTGTGTGTGACCTCGAGGTGCGACTGACCGCATGGTTGTGGCTGGGCCATCCCCCCCTTTGTTCCACAAATTCGGCAGACAGGCAGGCAGGAACAGCATGGTGTACATATAGCAGCCGCATCTCGAGATCTCTCCTTGCAACCATCTCCTACTTCCCCCCTTTCTCTCTCACCAGTGCGCTCGACGCGACGAGAGAAACGGAGATTTTAGAGCGGAGCAGCGGTGCTAACAACCTCAGAGCCCAGCTTCTTGGAATATTTTTTTTTCGACACCAGCAAAAGCAGAAAGCCAGCGCCGGGCGCTCCACATACAGCACACACACACCCTCAACCTCGCAAGGCAAGCAAGCAGATAGCAGCCGCCCAGCCCGCCCAGCTACATAAAAAAAGGGGACATCAGCGTCCAAAGTCAGGTTGGGTCAGATCTCGAGAAATTCGTACCCAACACGTCCGTCCGTCCATTGCTCCATATCCATTGCTGCTGCCACCAATCTCACTTCACACTGCACTGCACACACATACACTCTTTTCCCACCGACGAGGGGACGCAGCAGGCAGGCAGCGACAGGTCGACTCTTACTGTTTCGACGCGCCGTAGATCTATCTCGGACGTACGCCGCCCCCTTTTGAAGGACGAAGCATCACTGTGACGTGCGACGTCATTTGGCTGGACCAGCTTTCCTCCTTGGTCAGCGTGACGGGCTGCTCTCCCATCGACGCCAATCGACAGGCACTCAGTAAGCCCACGCATCAGTCGACAGTAGCTAGTGCATCAGGTCCCGGTTTGCAGACCGGACGCTACTACGCCCGACGCGAAGAGGAGAGAGGAGCAGAGAAAAAAAGGAACAGCAGACGAGAGAAACACTAAAAGCGTAGAGACTCGCACGACGTGCATTGCATCTCGTTAGCGCCGCCCGCCGGCTAATATTCCCTTTAAAGGCCATCGGAGGCAGCCCTTTGTCGTCCTTTCTGGCTCTTCTTCTTCCCTCTTCTCCTTTCTCTCTGTTCCGTTTCAGGCCCGGTGCTTTTCTTCTCTCCTTTCTTTCTTTTCCTTATCGTTCATCGGATTCGCAGGGGAGCTGGTCTCTCTCTCTAGTCCGTCGAGTTTGTGTAGTTTGGTTTGAGTCGGGTGAGTTGTGGCCCGGCGCATACCGGTGGAGGTGTCGGGAAGTGACGCTGACGAGGAAAGTGATCACCAGGGAGATGATGTCGGTCGAGGAGCAGGTGCAGGACGAGGAGCTGAAGCAGTCGCCCACGCTCTCGAATTCGTCGTCGTCGTCGTTTTCGTCCGAGGAGGGCTATCTGAGCAGCGCGAGCAGCGACGACCTGGTCGAGAACGAGAGCGGCGACGAGACGTCCGTCGAGGGCAGCAGCAGCGATGGCTCCGACGAGGAAGAGGGCGAGGAGATTGTCTTGAGGCCCTATCGGACACGGCCGGCCAAGAGCAGCCCGCTATGCGACTCGGCGTCGCTCTCGCAGCTCCAGGCGCTCTTGCCCATGCCCAAGATTGCCGTGTCGTCGCCGCCTCCGCAGCAGAGGAGCCCGTCGGCGACGTCGGCCATGTCAATGAGGCAGGAGGCTGTCCTGCGCTCGTTTCGACAGAGGCGGCAGTCGGAGCTCGAGGAGACTGTGCCGCTGCCGCGCATCGAGATCGAGCAGGTCGGCTTGGATGAGGACTCCGAGTCTGACTGCGCCGTCGAGGACGAGGACGAAGATGGCGAGGAGGGTCGGAGCAGAGCGAGGGCATCGCGACGGATGCTCTCTGCACTGGGACGTGGCAGGCCCGGCATGAGGCGCCAGCAATCGCTCGCAGACCGGCGAGGAGGGGGCCACGCCCGCGTGCCCTCCCTCGACCAAATCTCGACGCGGGTGGCTGCACTCCAGACCGAGACCGAGACGCCGTCGCCCGCCTCGTACGTGAGCAGGGGCACCATGGCGCTGCAGAGCCCCACACCCGGCACGCCTGGCTCCGCGTTCTCGATGTCGCCGACACCGACGCCGACGCACGCGCGCAGCTTCAGCTGCCCGCACTCGTCGTCGGCGGCCGCCACCTTTGGCAAGGTCAAGGTCTTTGTCACGCCACCGACACCGAGGCCCCAGCTGCCATCGAGCCCCAGCACGCCGTCGTCGATGTCCTTCAAGAGCTCCGAGCCGAACGAAGGCCACGGCCTGCTGCTCACGCCCCCACCCGTCGAGATGGCGCCCGGCCGCAACAAGCAGCTGCAGGAGAGCCAGGAGCAGCAGCAACAGCATATGTGGACAACGATGGTCAGCCAGTTCTGGACCAACGCTGCCATCTTGGGAAACGCCTCGGTGGCAGCGGCCGCGGCGGCCGCGCAGATAAATGCGACAACACCGTGGCCGCAGCAACAGCAGGTATTGATGACGCCCCCGACGGAACTACACATTCCGCGACGGCAGCCATCGAAGCGCAAGACAGCGGGGCCACCAGGCAAGAAGGACGAGGGGGACAAGGCGGCGGTGTCGGGTGCCGCAGAGAGCAGCAGCTGGTGGAGACGGCCCGATGCGCCCCAGCCACGGCAGCCATCAACGTCGTTTAGGCCCATCACGTCTGCGGTCAACGCAAAGGAGACGAGGACGAGTTCGTACCCGCAAAAGCCCAAAGAGGACACGGCAAAGGAGGTGAAAAAGTACGTGCCGCCGGCCAAGAGGGGCAGCTTCGGCTCGGCCACGACGTCGTCACCGTCACCGGCGGGCTTCAATGGCCTCGGCAAGCGAGCGAGCCTGCCTGCGAAGCCGGCGGTCCCGATGCCCGCACCGACCGACCGTGCGCGGGTGGCACAGACGATGCTGACTCGTCTTGGCCAGCGCCAAGGACAGACAGCGGGAGCTTGATCCCTCTGCGAGCCGATTATAATATTCATTCCTTTCGTTACCTCTGCGGTCACACTGTCGATCCGATCATACAAGTTTGTGCTTTTCTCTCGACATCGCCCAATTACTTTTTCTGGCCATCGTGTAATCGACCACCACCATCATCATCATCATCACTCCATAGCTCTCATTCAAGTGCATTAATCTCAATCCATTCATTCATCTATTGCATGCAGACAGAAGATGGTCCAAGGTAAGATAGACGGTGCTCATGCTGCTCCCTCAGCTGCTGGGCCCTTTTTGCTCAGCGAGCGGCTCCTCGTCGGCGTCGCAGCGCCCGGCGGCGTCGAGGCCGGCTTGCGCGTCTGCTCGTCGGCCTCGTCGGCCTTTGCCGCCGCCTCGCTCTCGAGAATCATGGCTTCTCTCGGGTGCGGCGGCGCGTAGCTCTTCATCTGCACCTCAATCTGCTCGTCCAGCAGCGCCTTGCCGCCCGCAGCAGCCGCGATGAAGCCCAAGAACGGCGGGCTGGGGTTCAGCGGCCGCGACGCAAACTCCGGGTGGGCCTGCATGCCGACGTAGTATGGGTGGTTGATGAGCTCGGCAATCTGCATGCGCTCGCCCGACTCGGACTTGCCCACGAAGCGGAGCTGGTCGGTGGCGCTCCGCTTGCGCACAATGTCCTGGACCGCCTTGTCGTCGACCGACGACTCGCTCCGGTTCAGGTTCGGTGACGTGGGCAGCGAGCGCATCCTCGAGGAAGATGACGACGGCGGCGTGCTTGGTCGCTGCAGCAAATGCTGCTGCGACGAGGGTTCCTGGTCCACCTGGACGACCGGCGTCGAAGGGTTGCCCCGCTCGAGGCGCTCAATGTACTCTGGGTTGATCTCGTAGCGGTGGCGGTGGCGCTCCCACACCGTCGCAGCGCCGCCGTACAGCTTTCTGATCCGCGACCACCTCTCCGTCGACGGGGAAAAGAGCGACGGACGGAGACCCAAGCGCATCGTACCGCCCAGGTGCGTCTTGCTGATCTCGGGCATGTAGATCACCACGGGGTCCTTGCAGTCTGGGTCCAGCTCCGAGGAGCCGGCCTCGGACAGCCCGCAGACGTTCCTTGCAAACTCGACGACGGCAACCTGGAAGCCGAGGCAGATGCCCAGGAACGGCACGCGGTGCTCCCTGGCCCACTTGGCAGCGCTGATCATGCCCTCTGTCCCGCGCAGGCCAAATCCACCCGGGATGAGGATGCCCGTCGCCGAGCAGACCGAGTGCCAAGCCTCGTGGTATCGCACCGGGTTGTCCTTCTCCATCGCAGGCTCCAGGTCGCCCGCCTCGACCCACTTGAGGACGAGCTTGCGGTGGACGCGGAGGGCAGCGTGCTCGAGCGACTTGATGACAGACATGTAGCTGTCCTGCAGCGACGTGTACTTGCCCACGAGGACGATCTCGACCTTGTCGATGAGCCGCTCGTGGCCGACGGTCAGATCTCTCCACCGCGTCCGGAGCTGGCTGCCCTTCTTCTTCATCGGCTCGGCAATGCCTCCGTTGACGTCGAGGTGGAGGCGCTTCTCAAAGAAGCGCACCATGCCCTGCTGCTCAAGGAGGATGGGAACGTGGTAGGTGGAGCCAACGTCGTGCACGCCCATGACCTGTTCTGGCCCGACGTGGCAGAACATCGACAGCTTGTTGATGACCCCTCGCTCCAGCGGCTCCACACACCGCGCTGCAATCATGTCAGGGACCAGGCCAAGGCCACGGAGGTCGCGAATAGCGGCCTGCGTCGGCTTCGTCTTCTGCTCGCCACCCACGACGGGGACCAGGCTGACGTGAATCAGCGCAAAGTTCTCCTGCCCGACGCGGAACTGGAACTGGCGCAGGGCCTCGACGAAGGGCGCCGACTCAATGTCGCCGACCGTGCCACCCAGCTCGACGATGCACACGTCGGGCGTCTCGCCGGTGTCGTCGACGGGCCGCGCCGCGACGCGCTCGATCCAGTCCTGGATCGCCGTCGTGAGGTGAGGCACGATCTGCACCGTCTTGCCCAGGTAGTCTCCGCGCCTCTGTCAGAGCATGTCAGCCCTGCCCTTGTCCCCTATGTATGTAAAAGTGTTTTCCTACACACCTCTCGGTCAATGACGTCGCGGTATACCTTGCCCGTGGTGATGTTGTTCTCCCTGCTGAGCGTCACGTCGAGGTAGCGCTCGTAGTTGCCCAGATCCAGGTCGACCTCGCCGCCATCGTTGAGGACATAGACCTCGCCATGCTCCGTGGGCGCCATGGTGCCCGCATCGATGTTCATGTACGGGTCAATCTTGATCGCCGTCACCTTGAGCCCGAGCGTCTTGAGGAGGAGGCCAGTCGACGAGGCTTGATGCAAGACGACAGCAAGGTCAGCTGGCGGCACTCTTTTTGCCAACATCGCTCTTCTCTTGCCACCACTGGCTCACCAATGACGCCCTTGCCGATGCCCGAAATGACACCACCGCTGACGACGATGTACTTCATCTTTGCTTGCCTGCCTCTCTCTGTCCTCGCGAGTGATCACTTTAGAAGACGAGGAGGAGAGGGAGGGGAAGAACAGAAAAAATTGACGCGCTCTGACTGCTGCAGTCCAAGGAAAAAAAAATAGAGAGAGAACGAGGAAAAATTGAGCCACGGTCCAAATTTGGCGCCTTCCGCGACGCGTTTCTTTCTGAATAAGGCCTGTCTCCACCAACACTAGCTAGCTAGGCGCAGCAGCTGCGCATACAGGGTAGACATATAGACGATGCCGCGCGTGTCGTCTACGAGGCGATCAGCCGCTTCTGGCTCGATCAATACGAGTCGAGGCAACCGGTCTCAGGCGCCTGTCGCTTCGTCATCGCGGCGCCGCATAGATGAAGATGAGGAGGAGGGAGAGGCAGCCGAGGCTGGCAACGAGACGGAGGAGCCACAAAGCAACGCTCAGCAAGGCGAAGAGGACGACGAAGGAGCCAACCCAGCCGAACGGATACGGACAGCGCTGGAAGCATGGGAGACCCGGCACCACCCCTTTGCGGGCCGCGAGAGCGCCGTGGTGACGCAGACGCTCCTCCAGGACGCCTCGTCCGTGCAGGACGGCATCGCCACGGTGCTCGCCATCCTCTCGGACTGTGCCGAGCGGCGCGCCGAGCTCGACTTTGTCGACGATGAGGCAGGCATGCGCCACGACGACATTCTCCAGTCGCTCGACGAGGACACGCGCGAGCTCCTCGATCTGCGCAGCCGCTACAACCTCCGCCAGTCGGTCCTGAAGGAGATGCACAGCAACGTCATTCAGGGCGAGGAGTATGTGAGTTGCCTGACGCACCAACAACTCACATTTACGAAACAGCTGACTGGATGCCAACGTAGACACAAGCATCAAAGGATCTCGTCGAGCAGAGCAAGGTTCTCCTCGACATCTACGCTGCCAAGACGCCACGCCAGCGCTATAGAGCCGAGGAGGACTACGAGTCGTTCCGAACAAAGATCTGGCAGGCCATCTCCGTCGACGCGATGCCGCCCCTCACCGACTTCATCCCGGCCGTGCCCGGCGACGAAGCGGGTGCCGGTGGTGCTGGCGATGGCGACGACGACGACGAGTCCGACCTCGAGATCCGCGGTGCCATTCGCTCGTTCAAGTGCCCGCTCAGCCTCAGAATCATGGAGGATCCCGTCAGGAGGTGAGTGTTGCTTTCTCTCTCGATAAGCCACAACGTAAGAGTAATCACACGCTGACTCTCGACTTGTCCACGAACAGCACCGTGTGCGCACACGCATACGAGCGCAAGGCCATCCACGACTTTCTCGCCTCCAACACGGGCGGACGGACGACGCACGTCGTCTGTCCCGCGAGCTCGTGCAGCGCCAAGATTTCCATGCGGACGCTCGCCGAGGACCCGGAGCTGCGGCGGCAGGCAAAGGCCTTTGCGCGCCGGCAAGAGGCCCGGACGCAGAAGCGCAAAGATACCCAGGCCCCACCGGCCATGCTCGACTAGGCGCTTTCCTTGACACCTGTACCCTCACTCATTCACCAATAATAGGGTCCACTCACCTCCCCCACCGAGAGGTTGTATTACAACGTGTGACGAAAAGATGGTTCAAGACTTGTGAAAAGACGATTGTGTATTGATCGAGAGAGACAACAGGGGAGAATGTAGAGATACTTTCAGGAGGAAAGTGGCGAGGGGCTAAAAAAGACTCGAGTGACGAAGAAGGTGTTACGGACATAATTGAGCGATTTGAGAGACGGTGAGGAGGACGGAGAGAGCGTATGAGCGGGTCAGCCGAGGATGGAGAGTGTCCCGTTGATGAAGGAAAAGGAGACGGGATCTAAGTAGCAGACCTGCTGGGTGGATGGCCGGAAGAGGAGGAAGAGGCCAAAAGAGAGGAGAGTGACGAGGAAGCGGAAGAGGAAGAGGAGAGGGAGAGGAAGGAGGAAGGGTATATGCGACCTTTTTGCTTCGTTTCTTTCTTTCTCTTTCCTCATGCCCAGATCATCAGCCTGCTGTCCCAGCTTCCCGTGCAGAGCGCCATGCCGTCGTTGCTGACGCCCAAGCAGCTGACCCGATTCTCGTGTGCGGCGAGCACGCCGGCCCGCTCGACTCTGAGTGTGTCCCAGACGTTGACGTTGTAGTCGTCGTAGCCCGCAAAGAGGACGCGGCCCGAGGAGCTGAAGCCGACCGAGGTGATGCCGCAGAGGATGTTGTCGTGGGTGTACTGGCACAGCTCCCGGTCGGCACGCAGGTCAAAGAGCCTGCACGAGGCGTCGTCGGAGCCCGTGGCAAAGGCGTCGCCATTGGGGAAGAACTGGACCGCGTTGATGTCGCTCTCGTGACCGGAAAAGGACTGGACGGACTTGCCTGTCCGGATGTCCCACAGCTTGGCCACGGCATCGCAGGCACCCGAGACAAAGATGCTGGGATGCGGCGAGAGGGAGATGCTCATGACGTCGCCCGTGTGGTCGTTGAACTCCTGGACGCGGACGCCGGCGTCAATGTCCCAGAGGAGGCACGTCATGTCGCCGCTCGATGTCAGGATCTGGCGGTCATTGAGGAAGCGGCAGCAGCTGAGGTAGCCCGTGTGCGCACTCAGCTCCCGAGCCACCTTGACGGAGCCCTCTCTCGAGTTGAGGTTGTAGATGGAGCAGATGTTGTCGAGACCACCGCAGGCGACGAGGTTGCCCGAAGGCGCATACGCGCACGTCATGACCCACGAGGACCGCAACGGGATGGCGTGGAGCTTGTTGGCCGTGTAGGCATCCCAGATGATCAGCTTACCGTCCTGCGAGGCCGAGACAAGATGCCGCTTGTCCATGGCCCAGTGCATGGCGTAGATCTTGGCCAAGTGGCCCTTGAGCGTTCGTCGGACCTTGATCGACAATCTCGGCAGCGGCTCCAGCTCCCCTGCGGCCATTGCTTTCACTGCGGACTGTCTCAGTCCACCTTTCCACAGACCCGGTGTCGTCGTCACACTCACAGCTGGTATCTGCCATCTTGTCCCTCCTGCTCTTGATCTGGTCCTTGAGCCCATCTGCCTCTCTCCTCGCCGCCGCAATCTTTTCCTGCAAGTCCGTCCCCGACATTGTGCTGAAACACCACAACCACCAAAGATCAGGTCAGTCTCTCCGTACGTTTGCGCTCCTGTCCTCTGTCCTGGACTCACCTTGACGCGCCGACTTCGTCTGGCAAGTGCGCGAGATCTAGGAATGTGGGTGGAAAGTTTGTCCCGGACGGCGACCGGAAATCAGCAGAGGAGGGCGGCGAACGGTCTCTGCCTCTTGTCGCACAGCACGAGTCGTGGCCCCTTTCCTAAGCTACTGAGGAGGCCGCCAATGGATCCTTCAAGAGCCGTGCGAGCTCTGATGAGCGACGACGGGGAGATGAGAGAGGCGGGGCAACGAACGACGAGCCGAGGGGGGCTTTGCCTGGGCAGGAGTAGAACGAATAGCGTAATTCCCTCTTCGCTGTGTGTGGTGTCGTAGAGGAGGGGAAAAATAATTCCAAAGGCGAGCGCGGGCGGGTCTCCAATGTGGTTCACGGATCAGAGTCGGAAAGAAGGGGCCGACGACGAATGAGAAAGGGAGAGGGAAAAGGAGGAGATTTAAAGAAGGAGGAGGGGACGAGAGCGCGCGGCGGCTCGTGCCTCAATTTGCTGCTGCTGCTGCTGCTGCTGCTACCGCCGTCTATTCCTCGTCGCTCACAGTGCAGATCGTCGGAGGACGACGGTGTGAGGAGTGATGGAGAGAAGAAGAAGAAGAGGCGGAGAAGAAAGGGCTGATGCTGCTTGATGGGCGCGGGCGGTGTAATCGAGCAAGAGGGCGGGGGGTAGAAGAAGGGCCAGTCGACATACAGCAGCAGGGGCAGACAGTAAGTTAACAGGCTAGGCTAGGGCAGGGAATCAATCAATTCTCAAATGCGCTTGCGTTCTGGCTTGGACCAGGGCACGAACTACTGAACCTGCTAGCCTGGCGCGACATTTAGCTCAAATACTACTATCGGGAGAAAGCAGCCTTTCTTTTTCTTTTAACCAATACAAATCCTATCTGCGTGTTGCCAACAAAGGGGATAAAGACAATGATAGAAAACAGAAAAATAACAGCTGCCTCTTTTGGGGGAGAGCGGTGAGGCTTCTTCTATCGGAGCCAGCGGCGCCCGCATGGCAAAGCCACCACGAATATACGGCGCGTGTCCAGAGCACGACCAACTACCTCTCTAATCTCTATTGCGTTCTCTTCATCTTGCTGCCTGCTTTTCGTTGTCAAAAGCAAGCAGATATGTGATAATAGACTGACGCAGCACACACGTAAGGGACAGCGCCGAGGGCGCAAGGCCCGAAGTCAAGACGACGATCGGCGAGAAGACACGGCATCCCGACAACGTGGATTCAGAGCTTATCCGACCAGACGCGATCCGGGCAGGACAGGGCAGGAAAGAGGTCAGAAGACAAAAGAGGCAACGACAGCGATGCAGCATGAGCCATGGAATGAAAGTAGAGAAAAGAAGTGATCTGAATACATGAAGCCGCCCGTAGAAGCACGGCGCTCCCTCGGTTGATGTTGATGTTGCCTCTCCCCCCCTCCACTGAGTGTGCGTGTGTGTGTGTAAATGTGATGTGATTATATGCGTGACTGTGGAAGAATCATCGGTTGCTCTTGGCCACACGCTCGAGCTCGTCCTTCTTCTTGATGGCGTACGAGTTGCTCGAGCCCTTGGCGGCGTTGACCAGCTCGTCAGCGAGGCACTCAGCAATCGACTTGACGTTCCGGAAGGACGACTCGCGAGCACCAGTGGTGATGAGCGTGATGGCCTGGTTGACACGGCGAAGCGGCGAGACATCGACGGCCTGGCGACGGACAGTACCCTGCGATCCGATACGGGTCGAGTCCTCGCGGGGGCCCGTGTTGACGATGGCGTCAACGAGGACCTGGACCGGGTTCAGGTCCGTGAGCAGGTGGATGATCTCAAAAGCGTGGGCGACGATGCGGACAGCCATGAGCTTCTTGCCGTTGTTGCGGCCGTGGAACATGAGGCTGTTGCAGACGGGTCAGCAGCTGCTCTGTAACATGATGTTTCTTCTCGCATCTTTCGCAGTTCCTCGACTAGCCCTCCTTCCCCATTTCCCTGGCTCCGTGGTCCACATTCCAGCAGAACGCTTTCCACAAGTCCTATTGCCACCTCGTCGCCCCCCGCCACCCAATTCCCATCCTCGACATCCTCCTGTGGAAGCTCACCTGTTAACGAGGCGCTCAACGATGGGCATCTGAGCCTTCTTGAACGACTTGTTGGCGTAACGGCCAGCCGTGTGGGGCGTGTAGACAGCGTTGCGGAGCGAGATGTAGTCTGCGTCACAGTCAGTAGGAGGACAAAAGACAAGTCTCTAGAGACGAGAGGTAGAACGCACCAGTGAGGGAGATGTCCTTGACCTCGACCTCGCTCGCGTCCCACTTTCCAAAGAGCTTGACGCTGCCCACGTTGGGCGACGCGACGGCGGCGACGCTGGCCGGAACACCAAGACGAGCAGACATGTTGTGCGGGTGTAGGTGTTGGGGGGTTGAAGGAAAGGGCTTTGCTTCGGATGACGACGACGACGAAGAATCTCCAACTCGCTCAAAGTCGCAGCCAAAGGACACCGAGCCCTGGGCGCGCGAGCTGCGGCCAAAAAACTGTCAAGTCGCGTGGCAAACTTTTTCGGCCGAGCTGGACTTCGAGAATTATATTTTTGCCCTGTCTGCGAGAGAGACTAGCGCTTGGAAGTAGCTGGGCGAAACAAGCCTTGTCGAGACAGCGACATCCGGCGTGCAAGCTGGGGGGCCTCCCACTCTTTGTTCCCTGGTCCCTGGACAATGGCTCTACTTTTGTGGCCAGCTCTACTTTTGCGGAGAGGCCTGCTGAGACTGGCATTGGCGATACGGCTGGCGATGAGACGAAGTACACTTCTCTCACCTTTGAGAATTTTGAGAATTGAGAAGGGACGTAGACAAAGACCAGGGCTGTCGTTCACCCAGCGGCAGGCTCCTGCTTGCCTGGCGGGCTCATCCTCTGTCGACCTTCCATTCTCCCGTGGCGCTTTTGAGAGACTTGTCTCGCGAGACGCAGGCCCCCTCGGCGCAAATGTGTTTGCATCGTGGAATTCTGTCTATTGTATAGATCGATCTTCTCGACTCGTCCAAGGTGCTCAAGCTCCTGCCAATTCTTCCAGCTCCTCAAGATTGAATCCGTAGGCCTCTCTTTTGAGAAATGGCGGAGAAAGCCGTCACCGCCATGACCAGAGCAGCAAGGTCTGGAAAGCCACCGGCTAATTCATGCTTCCATCAAAGAGGTCCGTGCCCCATCTGAACCCTGGCGGCGCTAATTTCCTATGCCTAGCTCTGTGCAGAGAGGTCCGTGTGCAGGAAGGTACTCCCCTGGCCCGCCTTCACAACCTTCACCTTCACGACAGCGAGCAGGAGGGCAGCCATCGAACGAAGGTGAAGAGGTAGGCTGACATCAGGATGGGCGACGAGAAGAAGAGCGTCGCCATCGTGGGCGGTGAGTCAGTGCCACTCGCCGCAAGTGCCCCGGAGCTGAGACAGGCGCACACTCTACACATACGCAGCGGGCATCTTTGGCCTGTCCTTGGCCGTGGCGCTGTGCGAGAGAGGTATGTGGTCTGCCTTAGGACTCTCCTTCAATGCTTCGACTCTCGCTGAAAGTAGGGCGTGGTGAAGGGCACACTGTTACGGTCTTTGATCGGAACCAGTACGACGACAACGGGTACTCGCCCGACGAGGACGGCGTCCAGGCTGCCTCAGTGGACCACAACAAGATTGTGAGCGAGTAACCTTCTAGATGTGGCGACTTGAAAGCTGACAAGTGCTGTGCTGGGCAGCTCCGAGCATCGTACGGCAGCAAGCTACACTACCAGCGCCTCGCCATGGAGAGCCGGCAGGCGTGGCTAGACACGGACAAGGCGAGCGAGGACGGGCGCCTCCTCTTTGATCCCTGCGGCATGCTCCGCGTCCAGCCATCGTCGGAGCTAAGTGCCCTCGAGCGCGAGACACTGGCCAACATGGAGCGCGACGGGCTGCGCGACACTCAATTCGTCAAGAGCAAGCCCGACGACCGCAAACGAGCACAAGAGCAAGGATGGGAGGCCAAGCTGCTCGAGTTTGCGATTCCCGATCGCGCTGATGGAGCCACTTTCGAGGCTGTTCTGGACTCCCTGGCGGGCTTTGTCAAGTGCAGCAAGGCGTGCGCTCACTTCCACCAGCTCAGTCAGTCCAAGGGAGTCCAGTTCGTCTTTGGCCCGGAAGAGGGTGCCTTTGACAGCCTCGTGCTCGACGACAGAAAAAGAGCGAAGGGACTCAGAACGAAAGATGGCCAGGTGCACCCAGCAGATGTCGTCGTCGTGGCTGCTGGGTCATATTCGACCCAAGTCCTGCCCGAGCTGGGCTACCACCTCGAGTCGTCCGCGGGCAGCCTGGCGACGTTCAAGATTGACAAGAAGGACAAGACAATGTGGAAAAAATACTCACCAGAGAGGTTTCCTGTCATTACATGGAAGAGCACCCCGCGTGATCCTGCTGGAAAGGACACGGGAAGCGTCTATGTGCTACCGAGGACGGACGAGGGGCTGGTCAAGATTGGCTACCGTGGCATCAAGTTCACCAACTTCCAACCGACACCAAGGGAGGCGCCATTCAGCCAGGACGGCAAGTGGTCAGTGCCCCTGCCACCCGCAGAGAGCGTCTGCCTGCCCCAGTCGGCCGACGAGGCCATTCGCCAATTCGTCGATGTCTTCTTGCCAGACTTCAAGGGCTTGCCATACCATTCAACCAGGCTCTGCTGGTACACCGACTCGCTAGACAATTCCTTTGTGGTCGACTACGTGCCCACGTTTGCCGACCGTTCGGTGTTTGTATGCACAGGAGGCAGCGGCCACGGCGCCAAGTTCCTCCCCGTCCTCGGCCAGCACGCTGCTGACATTCTCGAGAACGGCGACGCAAGCAGCTCCTTCATGCGGCCCCACTGGCGCTGGCGGCCCGATGCAAAGCGCTCAAACGGGCTCGAAGAAGGTCCGGACGGGCCTCGTGAGATCTCAAAACATGATAGAATGTGCAAATGAATCTGAATCAATGCTAAGTAGGGAGGCAGCTACATGAAACAGCGCGAGGGAAAGACATGCACCGCCCAAATGCCATTTGCTTTCACGGGGTGCGCCCCTCTGCCGCTGTTTTATTGCTTCACACGCCCTTGAAGGCACTGGCAACAGCACTGACATCGCTGGGGTGCTGCGCAAGAGCGAGCTGGAGAAGGATCTTGGCCTTTGGCGGGTTGAGCGTGCTGGCGGGGATCGACGCTGTGCCGTTGCCAAAATTGAGCCCAGCGCCGACGGTGCCCGCAGCGGTGCGAGTGGACGTGACGACGGGCACGCCGCGCGCCATGAGGCCCACCATCTCTGGCAGCCATGTGCGGTCGGCCTCACCGTCGCCTTCGCCTGCAATGACGATACCTTTGGCGCCGTTGTGTTCGACGGTGAGGCGCAGCAGCATAGGGTCCATGTCGAGGTAGCTATAGAGGATGTCGACTTTCGGTAAGATGTGAAGCGCTGAGATGTTGAAAAAGCGCCGGCCGGTGGGTCTGGACGGTGTAAAGTAGTAGAGCGGTTCGCCACCGTCGACAAAGGTGCCCAGGTAGCCCTGTTCGATGGCCTTAAACGTGTCCAGCGTCCGGCTGTTGGTTTTGGTCGTGTAGTAGGCGCTGCCGATGCGGTCATTGAGCACCACGAGCGCGCCTCGCGAGCGAGAAGAGGGGTGGACGGTAGCACGAATGGCTTGCAGCAAATTCATGGGCCCATCGGCAGAGAGGGCTGTCGTGGGACGCATAGCCCCGACGATGCTTTGAAAACTTAGTCAGCTTCAATGATGAGAAGAGCCAAATAAAAGCGACAACGCACACAACGGGCTTGGGACTGTCGACTGTCAGGTCGAGAAAGTAGGCCACCTCCTCGAGGGTGTCGGTGCCCACCGTCACGACGGCACCTGCATATTTGTCGCTCGCCAGGCTCGCAGATATATTCTTGGACAGCTCTAGGACGAGCGAAGTGTTGAGTCGGTTAGAGCCCAGGTTGGTGAATTGGACCGCATCGACGTGGCTTACGTTGGCAATCTCTGGCACAGCGTCAAGCAGCTGCTGCGCCGTGACTTGGCCCGCAGAGTACTTCGTCGTCTCGGACGAGCCGCCATTGCTCTTGCCTGCAATAGTGCCACCCGTGGCGTAGACGACGACGCGTGGCAGCTCGTCAGCAGCCGTGGCTGTCACAAGAGTAAGCAGACCCAAGCAGAGGGCCACAAGCAGCTTGGCCATGATGATGGTAATGTTTATGTACTAGCAGCAGTAGTGACACTCGTCTGCTTTCTTCTTTCACTCCACTGGCTGGCAACCTTTCCGGTCACTCTTCGCAATTCATCTCACTCTCTTAGCGCAATCTGCTTAATGATCGATTGCTTCTCTGCTATAGTGAGGCGCTTTCACGGCCGAGCATTGCTGGCCGGCGGACAAAAGGAGCCTCTTGAGTAGACCTAGCCAGAAGAACCACTCCCTCCATCCCCCCTTCGCCCGTCACAAAGGATCTGGACGATGTCACTGCTGCCCAAGCCTCGATTGCGCGCTTGGCTGTCGGCAAAGGCGGCGCGCAACTTTAGACTAGCCTAAGCGCGCGGGACAACGCGCGGATCCAACATAGCCTAAACTTATCTGTGCTTCTCTGCTATCTCGATGCCCTCCCTTCTGACACGATAGCCTTATTCAACGGTCGTCTTTGTCGCTTCTCCCCCTCTGGTGGCGCAAGGGCGCACAGGCAAGGATGGCAGGCCGAGTCGCAAGGGGCCTTCACTGGCTGAGGGTGTTCGCGTGGGGCGAGCCGCCGGCGGACAAGGCCGAGCGGCGGCTGCTCTTCAAGATTGACTGGTGCGTCTCGCGTTGCATCTTCATAGGTTGGCAGACATAGGCTGAGCTGAGCTGCATAAAACAGGTTCGTCTTGTCGTTCACCTGCCTCGTCTATTGGAGCAACTACCTCAACCGAACAAACTTCAGCAATGCCTACGTCTCGGGCATGAAGGACGATGTCGGCTTCAAAGGCAACCAGTACAGCGTGGTCAACACCGTCTTCACCGTCGGCTACATCGTCGGGCAGGTGCCCAACAACTTGATGCTGCAGGTGTGCCCCGCATACATCTGGCTGCCCCTCATGTCCCTCGTCTGGGCTGCCCTCTCGATGGTGACGGCCGCTGCGACGAAGCCGGGCCACGTCATGGCCATCCGCTTCTTCCAGGCCATTGCTGAGTCTTCCACGTTCTCGGGCACCCACTACCTGCTCGGCTCGTGGTACAAGGATGAGGAGCTGGGCAAGCGCTCGGGCATCTTTGCCTCATCGGCGCAGCTCGGCAGCCTCTTTTCGGGCGTGCTCCAGGGCGCCATCTTCAAGAACCTGCAGGGCTACCGGGGGCTCGCCTCGTGGCAGTGGCTCTTTCTCCTCGACGGCTTCATCGCCGTGCCCATTGCTGTGTACGGCTTCCTCTGTTTTCCCGGCACGCCCACCAAGGGCCGCCGCAACGGCGCGTGGTTCCTGACCGAGGCTGAGCGCAAGCTCGCCGTCGCGCGATTGCCGCCCCGGCCGCATACACAGCTCGGCTGGGACCTCGTCAGGCGTGTTCTGGGGCGATGGCACTGGTATGCCTTTTCGGCCCTCTTTGCCATCTCAAGCATGCTCGAGAGCGTCGGCAGTAACGGCCTCATGCAACTCTGGCTCGCGGCTGAGAATTACCCGCCGCAGGACAGAAACTACTACCCGCTGGGCGCAACGGCGGTCGCCATTGTCGCCACCATCCTCGCTGCCAATGCGAGTGACATGACGGGCAAGCGCTGGTCAGTATCCTTTCTCTGTTGTCCTTTATTCACTTTATGCTCAACGAAACGTGCTCCCCTCCGGACCAGGCCTGTCAATCTCGTTATGGCTGGCACGCTCATCTTTACGTCCATCGTGCTTCTCATCTGGAATGTGCCATACGGCCTCAAGTTCTTTGCATGGACCATCTCTGGCGTCGGATACGCCGGCCAAGCCGCCGTGAGTCTCGACTGCTATCACTTCATTCTCATGCAGTCATATGGAAGAAAGCTGACATCTCGCACCACAGAATTTTGCCTGGTGCAACACCGTGACGCGCAACGACGACCAGGAGCGCGCCGTCGTCATTGCCTCGATGAACCTCTGGTCCAACGTCGTGCAGGCCTGGTGGTCCATCACCTTCTTTGCGGCCGACTTGGCGCCCAGATTCCACCGCGGGTGGATCGCGACCATCGTCGCCGCCGTCGTCACGGTGCTCGTGGCGCTCGTCACACGACACCTCGACTACCGAGAAAGGCGGCAAAGCCCATTGGCATTCGCACCAGCATCCACGACGGGGCCGCCGAGGCCAGAAGACACAGAAGAGCGGGCGTCATTAGAAGAGAAGCGGCCCGCTCCGCCATCACCAAACGAGGCGTGACCCTTCCCCCACCTCATGGAGCTGCTGCCTCTCTCTGCGTGCTCTTGCTGCTGCTGCGCGGCCGTTCCCCGGGCCGGGGGCTCCGGGTTCAGCGCTGACATCATTCACGTGAGCACTGACTTTCGGCCTTACGGTATTTGTGAAATGGCAATTCTTGTATCTTAACCGGCCTCGCGCCGAGGGCTCGCTGCTTGCTGCCCGCTCGGCCATAGCGCGAATACAAAAATTGGCTGTCATCAAAAGGAAAGGAAAATGAAATGAAAGAGGAGAAAAAAAAAAGAAAAAAAAAACCCACCCCCAAACCCAAACCCGCAAGTGGGCAGGCAGCAGAAAAGCCCGAGGGGAGGGTTAGGCCGGCACGTTTTACTCCAGGGTGAGATGGGCTATGCAGAACGTTGCTCCTCGTCACATCATCCACCTCGCGAATCTCCTCATCGCTACTCCTTCGTCGCCATCGCCCTTTTTCCCTGTTTCACTTTCGTCACTCGCCCGACACCAAATAGAGGCGGAATACAAGGGGAGAGGAACACGGAGACTGGCCGGTCGTGTGGACGTTTGAAATCAAGAATTTTTTAAGCATAGAGGAAAGAGGGCCGGGAGGGCGTCGTCGGTCGTGACTCGTGGCTAGGGCGGGCGCAGCAGATCCCATAGCGAAGAAGAGCGAGAAGGAAGAAAAAAACAGAGCTAGTCGCAAGCCGGGCAAATCAATCCTTTGACAAGGGAGGAGGACGCCCGAATTTCTACCTGCTCTCTTCACACACACACACACGCACACATTCTTCTCTGCATCCATCAACCTTTTGCGAGGGGACGAGAATAAGGGGGGCGAGGGACGATTAGGATACAACCATGTCATCCTTTGACGACCCAAGTTCGTTCCTCTTTGGACTCAACCAATTTCCAACGCCGCCGCAGGACAGCAACCACCAGAGTGGGTCTTCGTCTCACAACCACCACACCAACCCGAGCACCAACGGTCCCGGCACTGCCGCCACGACGGCTGCCTCGACCCCGGCCAATCTCCGACTGGATCCCTTTGCGGGCGCAACGGGCGCCGAGCACGGAGATCCCAGCGACGTCCTCGACGGTGCCGGCTTTGCCGACCAGCTGGCCCTCTGGACCAACGCAAACTTTAGCTTCGACGGCCCCACGGGCCACGCCCTGCTCGGCGACGAAGACAAGGAAAAGGAGGAGGCAGCTGCCAAGAAGGACGAGGAGGAAAAGCGGGCCGGCAAGCGGCCGAGGAACAACAACAACCACAACGACGACGAGTTTCTCGGCGCGGCGGGCAACGGCAAAGCCCGGCAGCGGGACCCCTCGTCGCCGCTCGACGCAAACGAGCCTACGCATCAGCGCCACAAGGAGCAGGCCGCCCTGCAGCAGCAGCAGCACTACTTTGCCCCACCCACCTCTCGCGCAGACGAGGGCCGCCGCCCTGGCTACGCCAACAACGCCGCCATGCCCTCGGCAGGCGGTGCACCTCCGTCCTCGGACCGCGGCACGGCTGCCGACCGGGGCAACGACCAGCAGCATCTGCACCAGCAGCAGCCGCTGCCGCAGGGTATGCCTGCATTCAGCCACCAGCCATTCGCTCCTGGCGCTGCTTTCTCTGGCCAGCAGCAAGCTCCCCAGCTCGATCTGACGTCCATCCTCGCCCTCCAGCAGCTCCTCTCCTCCAACCCACTGGCGCTGGCTGGTCTTAGTGGCTTGAGCCCGGGCCTCAACCTCAACAGCATTCAGGGTATTCTCCAGGCCCAGCAAGCCCTGCCCCAGCAGCAAGAGCAGCAGCAGCAGCAGCAGCCATTCGCAGCGGGCCAGTCTCCCCAGTTCTGGCCCTCGTTCAACCCGCAGCTGACTTCGCCCACGTTCAGCACCGCATTGAACTCGCTTCCCGGCTCTGCTGCTCCCGGTCATCACGGTCATGGCCACGACGATGACGACGAGGTCAACGAGCGCGAGTTGGCCAACAGCAAGGCCCAGTCGGCCAACCGCAAGAAGCCATCGCTGGGCAAGGCGGCCGCGCGCGACAACCACGACCGTCACGATTCGCCCTCGTCGAGCGACGGGGACAAGCGCAACTCGATGAGCGACTCGTCGTCCTCCAAGACCAAGAGCGAGCGCGCAGCTATCCTTGCAGAGAAGGCCGCCCTCCGCGACGAGATTCCCCCGCTCCAGCTCATCGACACGGGCAATCCTGAGGCCGACGCGGAGGCGAACCGCGTCGCAATCGAGGAGGACAAGCGCCGGAGAAACACGGCCGCCTCGGCGCGCTTTCGGGTCAAGAAGAAGCAGCGCGAGGCTGCCCTCGAGGCCCACACCAAGGAGCTCACCGACAAGGTCGACAGCCTGCAGCGGGAGATGGAGAAGCTCCGAAACGAAAACACGTGGCTCAAGGGCCTCATCCAGGTCCGACCTGCCAATGCTGATGCGAGCGGCTCCGCCTCGTCGCCCCAGTCGCCCTCTGCTGGCTCCAATGTGCAGCAGCAGCAGCAGGCCATCAATGCGCTCCACCAGATGCAGGTCCAGATCCAGGCCGCCGCTGCCGCCGCCGCGGCCCACCAGCAGCAGCAGCAGAGCCCTCACAACAAGACACATCTCAGCCCCATCCTCAGCCGCCAGAGAGATACTGGTGTCCGCCCCCGCGGCGTGGGCACCAACGCCGAGGCGTCTTCCTCGTCTGCTGCTGCGCACGAAGCCGGCTCAAAGAGGGACCGCGAGGACTGAGAGCTTTCTGCTTATCCTCTATCTGGACAAGATCTCGAAAGAGAGAGGTGGAACAGACCGAAATATGGCTGTAGAAAAATATCCGAAGGACATATGAAACGACCCTTACTTTTCTTCTACTGTCTTCATATCCAATCTTCCCTCTCCTTATCTTCTTTCCCTTCCTCCTCCCCTCGACCCGGCTTAGATGCTCTTCTGCTCTCCTTTTCTTTTTATCCTCCTCCTTCTCTGTTGATTCTGTACGAAAAGCTTTTCTCTTTGGTTCTCGAAGCGAGGAAATGATACGGAAATTGTGCTTGTTATCGCTCTCATTATCTACACTGCATGCTCTAACAGACTGTTGCTACCGGCCGCCGTAGCCATTGGGGACCCTACGCTGCTTGCTCGTCGACGACGTCGTCTTCTTTCCCTCGCGCTTGTCCTTTCTCTTCATCGCCCGCAGCTCCTTCTTCTGGCGGGGATCGACCATGCGGTAGCGGCCCTTGGTGCCCTTTGGCCGGCCCTTGAGCCCGCGGTTCTTGCCCTTGGCCACGACGACCTGGACCTCGCGCTTCTTGGGTGCCTTGCCCGCGCGCCGGAGCAGCCGATCAATGTCCTTGGCCTTTTCCCGCTCCGAGATGTCGACATTCTCGCTGACGCCCTCTGCCTTCTTGCGCGCCTTTTCCAGCCGCTGCGCCGCCTTGTACTTCTTCCGCGCCTTGGCCTCGGCCACCTTCTTGATCGGTCGTGCATCCAAGGCGCGCATCTTGGCGCGCAGCGCTGCGACGGCCTCCTTTGTGATGGGTACATTGGCCTTGTAGAACTGGCTCTCGTCGTCGAGGAACCATTTGGGCAGACCCTCCTTATCGTAGGAAAAGTTCGACTTGGTGAAACCCATGTCGATCAGGTCCTCCTTGGTCTTTTCGCGGTTCACCAGCGACGATGCCAGCGTGATGGCCTCGGCCGTCGTGAGGCCCTTCTCCTGGATCTGGCGCTGCTTGGCCACGTCTTCGTCGTCGTCCTCGAAGCGCCAGGGTGCGCCGTCATCGTCCGAGTTGTCCGAGGCTTCGGCGGAGATCGTCGTTGAGACATCGCTTTCCTCCTCTTCTTCCTCGTCATCATCATCATCATCGTCGTCGTCTTCATCTTCCTCATCCTCCTCCTCCTCGTCACTGTCTTCATCGTCGTCATCATCGTTTGCCTCAAGCCCCTCGAGACCCTTGAAGAGCGGGTTGTCGAACCAAATGGCTGCTTCCCTGCTCTGCCGCGCCTGCTTGTCATCCTTGCTCTCGAGATCGTTGACAAGGTTCTCGTCTTGCTCGACTTCTTCCTCCTCGTCCTCATCCAGCTCCCTCTGTGCCTTTCTCTTGGTCCCTCTGACCAGACCCCGCTCGGCAGCCTCGGCACGCTCATCCTCCTCGTCCTCTTCATCGTCCGTATCGTATGTCTCTTCTGCCTCCTTTCTCTTCTGCACGATGTCATATCCACCCTCGCTCTCGCTGCCTTCACTCTCGCTCATATCGTCGCCCTTCTTCTCAAAGCCGTACCATTCGTCCCTGTTCTCGTCCTTTCTTCTCGCCTCCTTGATGCGGAACTTGGCATCCTCTTCGGCCTTGCGCTGCCGGTACTCCTCGTACATGCCGTCCATCTCGCCCTCGAGCTCCCGCAATCTGCGCTCCTTCTCGTCCTCGCCATCGTCATCTTCCTCCCCCTCGCCTGCCTTCTTACTCTCATCATCGCTGTCCTCGTACTCTGGCTCTTCGCCTCGCGCGACCTCGCCCTTGGCACCCCCGTGCTTCAGGTCGAAGAAGTCGTCGCCGCCGTGCAACGCCTCATCCTCAATCTCCATGCCAATATCCATGGGCGTCGTCATCGACAGCTGCATCTTCTGCACCTTTCTCGCCGTTGCCTCATTCTTCCTCCTCCGCTCCTTTCTCGCCCGCCGGTCCTTCTCCTCCTTGAGGCGCGCCAGCTCCGAGTCGATCATCTCGTCCTCGTCCATCTCCTGCACCTCGGCCACCTCCTCTCCATCGCGGTCGTCGGACGGATGCTGGTCCTTGGCAGACAGCTCCAGGCCCATTTCCTCACGCAGCGTCTTTCGCCACTTGATCAGGTTCCGGAAGTCCTTCTTTCCCAGTACCTTGAGATCGGCGCAGCACGCCTTGAGGTTCTCATCCGTCAGCTCGTGCTCGAGGAACCGTTTGTCCTCCTGATCACGGAAGCGGATCTCGTTGAATGTGCCCAGCATCTCGACGGGGTTGTCGCCCTCGATGAAGTCCTTGGCGCTGATGGCCTTGTACAGCAGCATCTCGCCCTCGGCGTAACCCTCGCGCTTCCTCCGCTTCTTTTCGGGCTCAAAGACGTTGGCGACGGCATTGGCGGCATACACGGGCTTCTGCGTCTTGTCGTCAGTCGACTTGTTCGCGGCTGTCGGATCGAGATCCTTGAAGACATAGCGGGGGTCCAAAAACTTGGGATCGATGCGCTTGGGCGCCTTGAACTCCTGGCAGACGACGAAGATTTCTGCAGAGACGTTTCGCGACGATGGCGGCTTGGTCGCCTCGACTCTCCGGAAGAGTTGATTGAAGACCCAGATGAGATTGTTGTAGTCTTTACTTCGGAACACCTTTGTCACAAAATTTCCGCCAGGTGCAAGGAACTCGACGGCGAGCTTGAGCGATTGCAGTACGAGCTCGGACTGCGCGTAGGCGTCCTGCACCCACGCGGTACCGACGTTGGGCGCACCGTCGTGCAGAACTACGTCAGCCTTCCAGTCCTTGAGCTCCGTGCGCAGCTGGTCACGGCACTTGTATGAGTTGATATCCTCAGCGAAGGTGATGCAACGCGGGATAGGCTTGATTGGCACGAGATCGACACCTGAATAGCCATCCAGTCAGCACTGCCCTGCTCGCTTACATTGAGCTTCGACTCACCGACAATCAGACTCCCCGGAGGCATCTGTTTGCTCGCCACCTGGAGCCAACCACCAGGCGCAGCACAGAGATCGATGCAGCATCGGGACTTTTCGAGGAACGCATACTTCTTGTTGAGCTGGACCAGCTTGAATGCAGCACGGGATCGAAAGCCCTGCTGCTTGGCCAAGTGGTAGAACTTGTCCAGACGACCCTTGGCCGTTTTCTGTGCAGCAATCGTCTCAGTGACTGTCTCGATGCTCCAAGCTGCATTACCACACTCACCTTCTCCTGCTTCTTACCCATGACTCCAACAGCGACAAGGGCAAGGGTATCTCGGTGAAGAGCAGACTTAGAGCTGGGCCCTCTTCCAAAATTTCAGCTCGAGCAAAATTGGCTTACGTAATTTTCATGGAGATCCTACGGCGGGCTATAGTGAGAAAGGGAGAGGAAAAAAAAGAAAAGAAAGGGCAAATTGGCAGAGGGAGGCCTGGCGGTACTGCTGCTGCTGCGTCTTTTGGTCGCGTTTCTTCTTCCTCCGACACGACACCAAACACGATGCCAGAACCTACAAACGGGGCCAACGGGGTCCATATCGATGATGAAGACATTGACTTTTCCGACATTGAGGCAAAGTGAGTGTGCCCCTCCTCTCATCTTCTTCTCTTCGTTTCTCCAGAACTCAAAGCTGACCGGCGAGTGAAGATACGCCGTCCGATTTGACGAGGGCCTCGACGACGTCATCGTCGTCGACAACGTCCCGATCATTGGGCAGGACAGACAACAAAGACTGTTTGAGACGATCGTCAAGCGGTTCAAGAGCCACGCCGGCATCGACGTAGATGTCGCGGGCATGCACATTCCCTATGGCGAGGATGGCCAGAGCAAGGGGTGAGCATCCTTTCGCGTCAGTATCTGATCCTGCCGCTGACTCTGAACCCGAATCTGTAGGTATATGTTCATTGAACTCGCGTCGCCCGAGGACGCAAACCTGGCACTCCGGTTGATGGACGGCTACCCTTTCGACAAACGGCATCGATTCCAAGTCAACCGTTTCACTGATGTCGAGAAGCTGGCCAACCTCAACGACGAATACGTGGAGCCCGAGGAGGAGCCCTACGCCGACAAGGAGCACCTCCGGTCTTGGCTCATGGACAACGCAGGACGAGACCAGATTGTCATGTGCCGGGGCGACGATGTCCAGGTGGCATGGCACAACCGGTCGTCGGCCCCTGAGGTCGTGCACAACCGAGAGCGGTGGACCGAGTCGTACGTCCAGTGGTCCCCACTCGGCACGTACCTGGCCACGCTCCACCGTCAGGGTGTTCAGCTCTGGGGCGGGCCATCCCTTGACCGATTCATGCGCTTCTCCCACCCAAATGTCCGCCTCGTCGACTTCTCGCCCAGCGAGAAGTACCTCGTCACCTGGTCGCCAGAGCCCATCGTCGTGCCCGACAATGCACCGCTGGGCCCCCACTTCTTCAGCCCGGATGACGAAGGCAACCGCGTGGCCGTGTGGGAGGTGCGGACGGGTCACCTGCTGCGAACATTCCCTGTGGTGCAGGACGAGGCCGGTGCCGTCAAGGGCTTCAGCTGGCCCATGCTCAAGTGGAGCGGTGACGACCAGTACGTGGCTCGTGTGCAGGTTGGCCAGCAGATCAGCGTGTACGAGCTGCCGTCGATGGGCCTGCTCGACAAGAAGAGCATCAAGATTGAGGGCGTGGCCGACTTTGAGTGGTGCCCGCTCGGCGACAAGGACCGTGATGCGATCGAGGCCTGGGGCGATGGCAGCAACCCACCAAAGGGTGCAAAGAAGCCCCGGGACAATCTTTTGTGCTTCTGGGTGCCCGAAGTGATCAACCAGCCGGCGCGTGCTTCGGTCATGTCGATCCCTTCGCGCGACATTGTCCGCTCCAAGAACCTCTTCAACGTCTCGGACTGCAAGCTGCACTGGCACCCCCAGGGCGACTATCTCTGTGTCAAGGTCGACCGGCACACCAAGACAAAGAAGTCGCTGTTCTGCAACTTTGAGCTCTTCCGCATGAGGGAAAAGGACTACCCTGTTGAGGTCGTCGAGCTCAAAGACCCGGTCACGGCCTTTGCGTGGGAGCCGACAGGCAACCACTTTATCGTCATTTCCTCCAACGATGCCAACCTCGGCACCCAGGCACCGGGTATCACGATCAAGACGCAGCTCAACTTCTTCCACCTGGACCCAAAGAAGGGCGACTTTAGGCTCATGAAGATGCTCGACAACAAGACGTGCAACACCATCTACTGGTCCCCGCGCGGCAGGCACGTCGTCGTCGCCACGCTCGGCTCGAGCCAGAAGTTTGACCTGGAGTGGTACGACGTTGACTTCAACCACGAGATTCGCCAGGGCGGCATCAGCGAGGACCCGGCTGAGGATGTCAAGCTGATTGGCTCGGCCGAGCACTACGGCATCACGGACCTCGAGTGGGACCCCTCTGGACGGTATGTGGCGACGAGCGCGAGCATGTGGCGACACCAGCTCGAGAATGGGTACGCGGTGTGGGACTTTAGGGGCCAGGAGCTCCAGAAGCAGGTCCTCGACCGCTTCAAGCAGCTCCTCTGGCGGCCCCGCCCGAGGTCGCTGCTGACCAAGGAGGAGCAGAAGCGCGTCAGGCGCAACCTCCGCGAGCTCGGACGGCAGTTCGAGGACGAGGACCTGGCCGAGGAGAGCAACCTGGCGCTCAAGAACCGCGAAATTTACCAGCGCGCCCTCGAGGAGTGGCGCGCCTGGCGCTCGCATGTCAAGGCCGAGCTCGAGGAGACGCGGCAGGATCTCGGCCTCGACCGGGCGCAGGCCGAGGAGCACCTCGCGCTGCCAAGCACCATTGAGCAGGAGGCCACAGAGACAATCGAGGAGTGGCAAGAGACGATTCTCGAAGAGACCGAGGAGGTCATTGTCTGATCTCTTTTCTTTTTTCCACATGCTCATGTCATCCCTACCTCCTCCTCCCATCATCATCCCCCCAAAAAAGCTACGATTGAGAGTATTGCAATCACAATCTATGTGGACTGTCTATTGTGTTCAGCCTGCGCTTCGGGCCCATTGGACCAGCGAAGTGCCTAGTGTGTCGCGCCGCTCGACGTCGTCGTTGACGCTGTTGACAATGTCGGTGGGAAAGATGGCGAGACGCACATAGACGAACTCGCTCCGTGGCAGCGGCGCTCGCTTGGCAGTCGTACGACCAGACGAGCTGATGGTATGTTCCGGCAAGAATAGCTCGAGACTGATGAGATTACGGAATGCCTATTGGTGAGAATTTCGTCAGCTGCTGGGTCAGGAATATGAGCGTTTGAGTGTGAAGACGCACCATCATTGCCCTTGTGCGATCTGCAAAGCCGCTCGAGACGCCGCCCGTCGTGGCCCAGTTCTTTCTGCGCGTCTGGAGCCCCTCGGGCGAGGCCGCTGCAGCAGCCTGTCCCGGCGTCGCCGAGGCAAGCAAGCCTTGTCGGTCGCGGTCGAGGCGCGCGACAAAGGACTTGAGCTGCCAGAGTAGCATCTCGAAGTTGAACGTCGTCTCACGGCCCTTGATCTGGAGGTGGCGCGCAGAGACGAGCAGGGCAAACTCGAGCGAGGTCAGGCTGCGCAGGACGATGCGGTCGGGCGCTGGAGGCGGGTCGAACGACGTCGAGAGGAGGCTGACGAGGGACAGGCTCGAAGGCGAGAGCTTGGCTATCTTTGGGAGCTAGAGGGAGTTGGTGTCAGCTCTGAGCAAAGACGGAAGAGGACCAGCAGAAAGCTGCTCACAGCGGAGTTGTAGACATCACGGATCGAAGTGAGTTCCACGAGCTCGTCGAGCCCCTCCCAGTCATCCAGCTCTGCATCCTTGACACTGTCCACCTCCTTCGTCCAGGCCTCATTGAACTTCTTGGCCTCCTCTCCTGCGTCTTCCAACGTGCCTGCTCTGAGTGCCTGTTCGACTGCCTTGGCAGCGAGGTCCATTCGCGGCATGAAGTTGACGACCCTGCCGCTGAATCGGCTTCGCACCCGCTTCTCGAGGAGGTCGGTCACGCCTAACCTCGACGTCGAGCCCACGACCGCCAGCCCCGGCGCATATGATCCAGCTTGGACGGCATCGAGCAGGACATAGAGCAATGCCTGACGGGGCCGCGTCGTGTAGAGCTCAAAGGATGAGAGGACGATGACGAGGGGCCGAGCATCGGTCCCGGCGTCGTTTGCCCCATTGGAAAGGAGTGAGAGAATCGTGGATGTCGTGTTTGCAAGAGATGACTAAGGTTTCCATCAGCCCCCCTCTTTACGTCGGCAAGCAGAGGCAAGACTCACCAAGACAGCCCCGGCCATCGCTTCCTTCTCCTCGTCTTCCTTTCCGTCCTCGCCCTCGTCCCCTCTCCCTGGCTCCTCGTCTTCTGGTCCCTCTTCTGCCTCTCGCTGTGCATTCTCAGCAGCCTCCTCGTCGTCATCCTTGACCAGCCCTAGTGCCGCTTCCTCCTCCTGAGTCTTTGGCAACCTCAAGGCACCCAGCCTGATCAGCTGCCGCGCAAGCTCCCTCATCGACAGGCGGTCCGTGTACTGCAGTGCGGCATCGAGCCGGACGACGTGTGGCTCCTTCTTTGCGTCCAGTCCTCTCAGCGCACTCTCAAGTACCTACCACCATCATTTCGTCAGCTTGTGCATTCCTGGCTGAGCGAAAAAGGGTACTCACCAGGCTCTTGCCGCTCCCCCGCGCGCCGACAAGGAGAACGCTATTCCCCTCGCCCGCATTGACAGTCCCATCCAATGCGCTCCTGACACTCGCGAACTGCTCCTTCAGCCCTATACACTCCCGGCCGTCTCGGTGGGCCGTCGGGGGGAGCCCACCCGCAAGCACTCTGAGCACCTCGCGCTTCGCCCGCGGTAAATACATCCCCAGCGTCGAAGGGGCCAACACCGACAGCGCCGACACGTCTTGCGCAGCTTCTGAGTTCGCCAGCTCAGGCCGCGGCCGCTTCGTCGGCGTCGATCGCCCCGCCACTGGCGAGGACCGTCTCCCTCGCTTTGGCGGCATGTCAGCGAGTCCACTGTACTGTACGATCGACGAGACGAAGGAAGAAAGAGCAACACTTTTGGACATTTTCTCTCGCACTGGCGCGATGGCTGGGCGGACAATCTACACGCGTGCAGCGCGCGCGTTCTAGTTGCGCTCCATTACTGACAATTGACCTCACTGCATTATTTGACGGTACGAATGCTGGCCAATCTTGGTCTTCCTTTTTGCTTCACTTTCGCAGACCTTAACTTACTCTCAGTATAGCTGGAGGGCTCGAGCATGTTCCCAGCGGACGCAAGGCCCCTGCCGCCTTGAGCCCCATTCCCGGGTCTATGATAGAGGGTTGGCTAGGCCTTGGCAACGCATGGGCCTACAGCTCTATGCTCCTTGCGACATGCAGCTCGGGGAGGTTGTGCTTCCTGTGGAAAGTGCTACCCAAAAGCAACCGTGGGCACATGCAAGGCAAGGTCCTCGTCATAGACCACGTCATACACCGAGGGACCAAGCGCGCAGGTCACATGAAATCAGAGAAAAGAGATGCGAAGTAATATAGTGAAGAAGCGGGGAAATATCCGTCATAATCGGAGCAGGGTCAACAGTCTTAGATTCCATTTGAAAGTGGAAGGGCGGCCTGTGCTATCTACAGGGCTGTGATGACAAGACAATGGGTGCCGGTCTCGAACTCGACATTGAGGTTTGGGCAAAGGGTATCCTGATAGATGATTGATGGAAATATCAAGTCGTCGGTACTGCTTGCTTGGTTGTTATTTGATTCGCCTGCCGGTAGCCGAAGGTTAGAGACCAGGCTCATTTGTATAACTATTGAGAGGAGATCTCCATGGAGATGTCGTCATCCTCCGGCTTGAGCCCACTGAGCTGGCAAGGCTCCTTTGCCGCATCGCAGAATTGATGCGCCGTAGGCGTTGGAGTCGGCGTTGATTCGTTGTAGGTGCAGTCGTATGTCTTGATGTTGGCTTGGACGATGTCGTGCATCTGCAGACTTTCAAGATCGAAGTTGAATAGATCCCTGCTTGGTGTCTGCGGCGAAGCCACCGATGAGGGCGAGGAAGACGACGTTGACGGCGTTGGAACGTCCAGCTTCACGAACCACTCGTCGCCGGCACCCTCGAGCATTTTGCTTGCATCAAATGTCCATTTTCCGTTCACGCTAGCCCGCCTGAGCTCGTTTGGGACGCTGATGGTCGCTTGATTAAGGAGCGTGGCCATCAGAAGCGGGCTAGTAGGTGACAATCTCGACGAGGAAGCCGACGACTGCTGGGAGGTTTCGCTCGTACCCATCGCGGGTTCTGATTCAGCGTCATCGGGAGAGAGTCCACCTGGCTGAGCTATTGTGAATGAGGGCCCTGCTGCTCCACTAAGTCGTTCTTTGAGGTAGCCCAGATCCAGCTGCAAGTCGGCAAAGCCGAGCTGAACATTACCTCGGCTGTCGAACAGCATCGGCATCTCGACCTCTGACAGGACTGGCGAGTCGATCAAGCTGGTACCCTTCCCCTTGTCCTTCTCTTCGCCCTTCTTTTGTTCTGATACATCGTCTTCTGTTGTCCGATCGTCGTACGTAGAGCTGAAGTTGGTGTCCCAGCTGACGTTGCGCAAGCGCTCGGCAGCCTCTTGGCTCCAAGAGTACAGGCTGTCATTGGACGAGGCTGTCATCGACGACGACGAAGACGAGCTGCCGGAGTGATGCCGAGGCGGCGATAAAGACAAGTCGGTCGAGATGGAGAGTCTCCGGCGCTGTCGCGGGTCGTCCGAAGGCATCCTGACGCCTACTTCATCGTCGTACAGGCCCGCCTTTCGCTTTCGGCCCACCAGCGGAGGTGACGTTGCGACTGGGCTAGAGGGAAGCAGAGGCGTAGCCCGCAGGCTGATGTCCTCCGCCTGAGCCTCAGTCTTGACCTTCGTCGTTCTTCGTGGCCGATTTCTCCTATTTTGAAACTTTACGAGGTTCATCGTCAGCGCTGCTCATTTACACGCCCGCATGAAAACCAAAAATCCCTTTGTCCTTGAACGCGTTTTTTTCCCTTTGTCCTCGCACATTGAAGTACAAGAGGAAAGACTCACCCAAATGGTCACTGATCTCGGTGGCACGCCGCTGGCTTCAGATAAACGATCCCTTTCGGCCTGTGTGATCTTGTCGGTGCGTGCGTAGACTGCTTCGAACATCTTGGTTGCCAGTGGCGGAAGCCCTCTTGAGACATTCAAGCCATCCTCGGACGACGACGACGACGACTCGCCCTCGCTTTGTGCTGATGCTTCGGCATCGGCGTGGAAGCGAGCGATGGCGGTGTCAACTTCCACCAGTATTGCTCTCTGTAAATTTGCGACATTGTTGAGATACACTCTCGTCAGAGCGACCTCTATATTTGCTGCGCTGCTCTGCTCATGTTGTTTTGGCAGAGCCTGAAGCAATTTAGCGGTTTTCTCAACGTATTCGGCTCGAAACTGCTGCAAGCCTCTGTAGTATAGATTGTGAAGTCTCTCACTAGCATCCGAGCTGATGCTACGTTGAGCAAGCCGGCTTCTGAACGACCTGACGTCGCAGTGAGGCAGATCGAAGGTGGCGCCGCTATTCGAGGAAGTAGAGGGCTGTGGTTGGAAGGAGGTGGGGAGGTCATCGAAGATACTAGCTGCCCTAACGACCTCTTCGAGAAAGTTGCACAGAGAAAAGGGCATGATGTACAGGTCGACTGCGAAGACTGAGGCCGAGTAGGTTATAAAGAATAAGAAAAAGCTCGGGCAAGTCGAAAATATTCGCGAGAGGGGCGCCTTCCTTTGTTCTCGCTTTCCACGTGCTGTGTCGGGCCCTCATCATCCTTCCCATTGTCTCCAATCCTGCCTTTGATGTGCTTTATGCCACACACCATGATGCCATTCCGCCTCCAGACAGCCAAAGATCTCATCTCATTCTTCCTTGAAGCTGAGGAGAGCTTTCTCGAAAGCCTCAATGACATAGATTCGCTTCGGGAGTTCGACCTCAGATACCGTGCAGCATGCGAAGCGGCCAAAAGTCTTGCTGCTAATGAGAGACTTAGCGAAGAGGTCGCAACTATCATTGGCGAAACCACTTCTCGTATCAAATTGGTGGCCGAGACGTTCCACAAACTCGAAAGCAATGTCCTGGATCTCGACAAAAGTTGCTCCAACAGGACAAAACAAATTCTGCGCTCCAATACCGAAGGAAGCGATAAACGAAAGGAGACGCCGTTAAAGTCAGACGAAACAAGCGAGGGCAGCCTCTCTGAGCTCCTCAATGCCAAGGTACTTCGCCGCTGGATGCTCGACAATATCGCCTTTCCCTATCCAACTCGCGAAGAAAAGGAGGAACTCGCCCGTCACACCAATCTTCAGCTTGGCCCCCCTTTGTCCATGTCACTCGGCGAGTCCACCAACATCGGCCTTTCGGGCACGCCCATCACCTCTGATCAATGCGCGCTATGGTTCACAAATGGCCGTCGTCGATCTCGGTGGCAAGAATTCAACCGGACGTACGGTCTGAACCTTCGAGGGCGAATGGAACATATCGTCGAGGTCATTCGGGAGCACAACGAGGTGCATAGCAATGCCGACGATCACTCGACGCCGTGTCCTGCGCTCGAAGACATTCTCAAGAAAGATGCTAAGGGTGGCGTCGTCAACAAGTCGAAGGGCGACATTGCCAAGATGTCGAGCGAGTGCCGCAAGCTGTTTGCTCATGTCATCGCTTGGGTCAGCCAGAGCACAAAGGAGCGCGTCGGACCGTGGGTGGAAGACGTGATCAAGAAGGTCGTTGCTGAGGAGAAGCAGAGGAAGAAGCAACGGCGAGCGGGGCGAAGAAGGCTTCGTGAGGAGCAGAAGAAGGTACAAGAGCAAAAGCCGGCCGAGCTGGGGCGTGGAGCTCGACGTCTTAGGCGTTCATCCAGATCTGTCGCTCCGTACTCGACAGCAGCGAGAAGGCGACCAGTCAAGACAACCGGAAAGCCATCAACAGTAAGGCAGAATGTCACCGAAAACAAGGTGGACGCTCCCATTCGTACTTCCTCACCGAGCCTGCTCTACACGAATTCCAATGTGGTCACACCGCAGTCTCGCAAGTTTTCCGGCATATCTCACGCCTCATCGGACTGGAGCGGCGCTTCGTTCGATAGCATGCCCTCGCTCATTTCGGACTGCAGCTCCTCTTTCTCGTCGAGCTTTGACAGCAGCGTCCCATCACCGACTTTCAGTCGCAGCAATATTCGCCCCACAGCCCCGCTCCCTCGTTCTTCAGCAACTTCGGCTTCGCCAACCCCCACTCGACAGCAGCACTCGCTGACGGCAGGTGGTCAGTCTCCCACATTGTCCATTCGATCCAGAGGGTCGTCAACCGACAACGACTACGAGATGATGGGCGAAGGGGAGCAGCAGCATTTTCCTGCTTCCTTCACGACGTCGAACGGGCACATGCACGGTCGCCAGATGACGTTCAGCACACTTGGATCCAGCCCTTTGCCTCTTGCTGCTCCACGCTCTCGGCAAGGGCAGAGCGAATGGCACGGAAACGGACGGTCGGACTTCGCGCCTTCCACCGCAGCCGCGAGAAGCCATTCCAATTCTTTCTCGTCGTCGTCAACCTCCTCCTCTACGACTGGCTAGTCATCTCCACTTCCTTTAAAGATGTTTTAAATCGACCTCTCATATCTCTTTTTCTACGTCTGCTCCCTTGACTTCATATAGCTTGCAGTCTTGTCTTGCCTCCAGATAATGCAGCGCCAACGATCCATGAGGCTGGTGGCCCTTTGGGTCCTTGTGGATCGTTACTTTCCTTTTCACCAATACATTTTATGATATATCTCGCGCCTCTCTTGAATTTGGTCTATCCTCTGCGTCCTTTCCACCAAGTACTCTACGTCGGTGTCAGTGACATGTGGGTGAATGCAGCATGCCGACCTTAATTTACCGCCTTGCGCCAATGTCGCGCGAATTAGAGCGCTTACGCCCACGTAGCTTCATGTTCCTTGCCTCCTCCCTACTTCACACATGCCAAGTGCCAACGCAAAAGGTGCAGTGACCATTTGTATGCTCGTACAATACATTCATGGCAGTAGCCAGTAAAGAAAAGAAACGGTCTACACAATCTCTTCCTGCGACACCATTTCTCTCAGGCCCCCTCCCTCCTCCCGTTTGTCCAGCGCATACTTGAGGAAAATCAGCAGCCTCCGCATGCCCTGCCTTTCCTCTTTTGTCCGGGTCCGATCGAGCACGACGGTGTCGAGCAGATGGTTGAAGCGGTCCCGTGCGGCAAGCGGGTCCAAGAGGAATGGACACTTTGAAATGTAGTGGTACGGTGAATTCTCGCAGATGAAGCATTTCTCGTCCCGCTTATGCGCAGCTGAGTTCGACGTCGAAGGAGGCCGAGTATTGGTGCTGGCGCTATTTTGGCCATTTGAATTAGCAACAGAAGGGCCCGCCAGTCTCACGGCCGCCGTAGTCGTGCCAGTAGCCTGCGGTTGCACAGGCGCAGATTCTGTGACGACAGCGACAGGTCCCCTGGACTCAGGCGCAGACTGCCTGACGGGTGTAGGTCTCGGTCTCGGCACAGCGACTGCGCTTGCCGACGTCGAAGCCACCGCCGAAGTAGAGGGACCAGGAGCGGGCGTCTCTCGAATGTTTCCGTCCGGAAGCAGACCCGCCGCCGCAAGAGCCCTCTCCTGCGCCGACATCTCTGCCCGCTTGTTTGTAGCTTGTTCTGTGGACTTAGCGCCTTTGCCACTTCCCGGCGGCCTGCCCGGCTTCCTCCTCTTGTAGGCATTCTCATCAATCTGAACTCGATATCTGCCTGACGAGTCCCCTGCACTCGTGCCGTCCGAGCTCCTCGCATTTGGCTTCGTGACACCCTTCTCATTCGCATTGATGATCTGCGTCGCCGTCTTCCGCACTTCATTTCGCACCGTGAAGTCGGTGAATGAGACCTTGACGTTCCCCCTCGCAAACGGACTCGTGCTGGTTCCAGCAATCGCTCTTAATCTGTCTGCCATGCTGACCTTGGGAATTTGAAGCGAGAGGAGGGCTCTCTGCTTGGAAAACTCATTTTCGACCCGCCAAAAGATGCGCTGAAGTGCCTGATGCTGCACCGCAGCGCCGGGAATGCGTACAGCGGCCGCAGCCAGCATATCGAGATCTGGAACGGCCATCTGCCGGACATGTTCGCAGAATTGCTCAGCTTCTTGGTGAGACAGTTGCCGCCCTGAGTCGGTGGTCATGAGGAGCACGCGAAGCTCGTTGAGGTGCTGTCGGTGGTGCGATGGCGCCTCGAGGTCCTGCGCATAGTGGCCCGCGACCCGTTTCCAGGCCGCAAGAGCTCTTCGTGCTGCATTGAAGAGGTGTGACGCGACGACTTGCTTGTTCAGAAGCCTGGCACCCTCGTCCGGAAGATCAATAACTTGTGCGGGCAGATGACGAGACTCGACGAGCATGAAAGCGTGCGGGAAGAGGTTCATGGGGTAGTTGAGAGCCTTGTGGAAGAAGACGCAGTGAGCGTTCGTCAGTTGGGGTCGCTCGGCGGGGGCGGTAGGCTCTGGAACCGGTCCAGTTGCATCCAAGACATCCCGAAGGATGGAGTGGGGCAACCGGGTCAGGACAGCAAATGCCTCGTCTGTCTCTTCTGTTCTCTGCGATTTCTTTTTTTTGATGGGCGTTTCAGGCGGGCGAGGATACTTGATCCGCTTGAATTTGCCCTCCGCGAGCGCATTGCGGTCATTGACGACCTGTCCCTCAAGATCGTCTGGGGATTCCGAGCGACGGAGCTGCTCCTCATCAAACGAGGCATCTTCGCTCTCGCTCCCGCCTCCTTGCTGCCGACCCTTCTTCTTGCGTTTCCTCGTGACTGTAATGTCATCATCTCTGTCGGGGCCCATGGACGCCTGAAAGTATTTGACGGGCCTGCGTACTCTCTTGCCGCGCCCTGTTTGGCCCTCCAGGGTAATTTCGCTCGTCGAATGCTCGTTCTGCTTAGCACTATTTGCCAGAAGCTCCTCCCAGAAGTCGGCATCGCCAATGTCGAGGCGTTCCTCGGCCGCCATTTGCTGTTCGGCGTTGTCGTCCTCCGTCATCGCCGGCTGCTCAAACACCGCAGGCAAGGCCAACGCGCCCAACGGGTCCGATCTCTCTTCGTCCTCTCCGTCAACCTCCTCGGTCTCGGCGCGGTTGATGAGCGCCTCGACCTCTTCATCATTGTACTTGATATCCCGCTCGTTCTCTTCGGTGCCGTCTTGATCGAAGAGCGCCTTCGCACCGTACCTGAGGATATCTTCCAATTCCTCGGCCCTTGACGATGATTCGTTGTCGAGATTTTGCACGATGAGGTGGTCCAATACCAGCTTCTTGCGAGCCATTTCAATGATGCGCTGCTCTGCCGTCATCTTTGCGAGCAGTCGAAAGACGAGCACGCGCTTCGTCTGGCCAATCCGGTGAGCACGCGAGATGGCCTGCATGTCGACGTGCGGATTAAAGTCGGGATCGAGCATGATGACAGTGTCCGCGGCAGCCAGGTTGATGCCGACACCGCCAGCGCGAGTCGAGAGAAGGTAGAGGAAGATGTCAGATCCAGGGGCGTTAAAGGCGTCGATTCCCCTCTGCCGTTGCCTCTGGCCGACTTGGCCATCGAGACGGAGATAGCTATAGCCCTCTCCCTGGACAAATGCCTCGACCAGCTCGAGATGGATCACGAATTGCGAAAAGATCAAGACGCGATGCCCGCGCGCCTTGAGCTTCGGAAGCATCTGCCGAAGCAACGTCATCTTGGCACTAGCCAAGATCAATCGCTCATGCTCTTGCACCTCTTGAACGCCATCATCGAGGTCGAACTCCCCGAGATCAGGCGCGACAAGGTAGGGGTGCTGAATGCACTTGCGCAGCTGCATGAGAATATTGTTCAGACTTGTCACGGCCTTCTTCCGGCGAGCCTTGCTTCCTTTGCTCGCGATGAGGGCTTGTATGTCCTTTACGTTGCTCTCGATGAGGCTTTTGTAGATGCGCTTCTGCACCGGCTTGAGCGAAACGGGAACGAAGATCTCAATCTTGGGCGGCAGATTGGCCACCTGCTGCTTGAGCCGACGGAGAAAGAAGGGCTTGAGCTTGGGCTGCAGTTCGTCGACGAGCTCGGGCGTGAGGATCTCGTATTTGCGGCGGAGCTTTCCAATAGCATCCCACTCGTCGCCAGGTTTGAGGAACTTGAGCAGGTGGAACAGTTCGCCGATGTTGTTGTTGAGGGGCGTGCCTGTCATGATCAGGCGATAGACCGTGTCCAGGCTGGCGAGCTTCTGGTACAGCAGACCACCATCGCCCGCCTTCAAGCTCTGCCCCTCGTCGACAATGAGCGCCTCCCACGTGGGCACACGGTCGAGCACATCGAGTGACAATCGAGCCGTCGAATCCGAAGTAATGACGACATGGGCCTTGAGAGGCTGGCGGCCCTCTTGCTCCTTTGAATGAAACAGCTCATACTGCTCGACGACGGCACGCGAGTCCTTGCCGCCCCAGAATGGCACGACCCGTAGCGATGGCAGCCATTTCTCGAGCTCGCGGACCCAATTGGGCAGCGTCGAATTGGGTACGACGATGAGGACAGGGCCACGGTTAAATTCGTGATGGAGGGATCCGATAAAGCTGATAATCTGGATAGTCTTGCCCAGTCCCATCTCATCAGCTAGGATCTTTGGCTGGTCCGTCATCCAGCCATAGCGGAGCCAGTTCAAGCCTTCGAGCTGGAAGTCGAGCAGCTCGCCACCAGCGACGTACGTTGGCTGCTCGTATAATTCCTGGTATTTAATCCTTTTTGATCTCGGCTCAAAATCAGGCAGATCGACCTGACGACCCTGGAGGAAGGTGCGGAATGAAACCAAGAAGTCGGGATCATCGCCGTCCGGTACATTCTCCCAAGTGCTCTTCTGATAGTCGACGTCCTGCCACTTGATCAGGCATTTAGCCACCCAATCGATCCTCTCCTCAGCGTCGTCTGGAGACAAGAGATCCTCATCGACATCGTCTATGTGGACAAGGTTGGTGTTGGACTTGAGCTCGTCGGCAATCTGCTGCTGATGAGTGTGGTAAATCCTCCGCTTCTGTGGCCGTGGCGCCGAATCTGATAGACCTTCGACAGAGGAGGCGCGGAAGAAGACGTCAAGAATCCTCTCCGGCGTCTTCCAGGATGAAGGGATACGTTCCTGAGCATCGGGCGCGGGAGCAGGGGGTCCAGCCTCGACTTCACCCATGTCGTCCGTGACGAAGTTGATGCGCTTCCGGGGTGGTCCTGTCAAGGCGCTCTGACTCGACGAGGAGTGGCCGCCTTCGAGCTCCACGCCACTGCCGTACCTGAGAAAGCGTGAAAGGAGCGAGGCGCTCACAATCTTGAGCCACCGGTGTGGCACCCACTGCGTCTCGCGGTAGGACTGATGTTTGAATTTGACGAGGTACTCGCGAGGAAGATCGTTGGAGGCCGTATAGATGGGGGTGGGCTGGCCGGGCACCGTCGCTGGCTCCGGGGCGACGTTTGGTGTCTCACAAGGCCGCCATGCAATGATTTGCTCGACGTCACTCCAGCTTTCGCAGTCCAAGCACTTCCATTCGTTCGTCTGACGAGCCACAGCGGCTTCGTTGAGCGTATCGTCGCCCTCAACTTGCTGAAGGCACTCATAGTGGCAGGCGCGCAAGCAGCGCTTGCACCGGAACAGCAGGCCCACCTGGTTCTGCGGATTCGCGTCGCGATCGGAGTTGCAGATGATGCAGCGCCAGCCCCAAGGATGGAAGCAGTTGTCGCACTCGATAGTGGTGAGCATCTCGGTAGCTTCGAAACCTTCTACTTGTTGATACTCTTCCTCCTTGTTTAACGCTCGACAACGTGCCTGTTCCTCAATATTGATATTTGCGAGAATGCGTCTCTGTCGCGAGGGCGCAAGGCAGGCCCAGTGCAGACTGGCAGAGCAGGAGGAGCACTCAAGCCAGCCGCCAGCATCCTCCATTTCCAGGATCTTCTCCTCGTTCTTTTCGAAAGGTGACAAATCGTCAGCATAGCGTCGACGGGAACGGCGATCGCGCTGTGAAAGTGCTTCTCTTCGGCGAAGGAGCTTGCGCAGGATGAGGTGTGAAGGTTTGCGTCCGCAAGCGCAGCTATTGCAAAAGTCAGGATGGCTACGGGTCGGTATGCGTCAAGCAGCTACTCACGAATCCCAGTGCTTGTCCTTTGGCTCGACAGCATCGGCACGCTCGTCATCGGAAGTGAGCTCTTCTCCTCCCGAAAGGATGCTGGATCCACGAAGCCTTCTTCGCCGTCGTCCTCCCTGCTCCCCTCCCGAATGAGGCACAGTATCCTCTGATTTCTCTCCGTCCTCTTGGTCGCTCTCAAATCCATATTTGGCGCTAGTTCGGTGTGTTCGTCGGGCAAGGAACTCGCTGATTCTTTCTTTAGGGACGTCAGGAATGCCGAGCATTGGCACAAATTTGTCGCGATCATCCTTGTCGAGCGCGGACAGGTCCATGAATAGATGCGGCAGCTTTCGGGGCCTGCCGATCGAATTTGCACCGTCAGTGGCTTTGGCTTTGCGCCCGATCGCTCGCTTTCGTGGACGTCGTGGTCCTTCATCCGATTCGCTCGTAGGAGACACATCTTCTGATGTATCTGACTCCGAGCTTGTAGCTAAGCGATGATGGGGGGTCCTTTTCCGCGGCGGGCCTGGGCCTCGACCTGATCTGGTTTTCGCTGGTGACCCTCTGCACTTGTTTCTGCCACTTCTGGTCTTGAGAGCGGACGAGGCAGCCTTGCCACTCCGTCGCATGGACCTGGTCAGCCTTGGTGGTGTCAAGCTTGTCTCCTCAGTCTCGTCATCTTCGCTTCCGCCGTCGCCGTCTGAAATGACAAAGTCTCGAAGCGCTCCTCTGTCTCTGCTCCATGTCCCACTAGATCGTTCACTCGTCGATGGACTTGACTCCTCCTCAAAGTCACTGTCCTCCTCATCGTCGGCGAGAAAACGCAGCGCAGGTGCTACCTTGAGCTTGCCCTTTGCCTGGCGCGCAGCCGTTCTCCCGCTTCTATTCCGGATCTCATCCTCCTCCCTTCTGGTCTTGCGTCGAGCTCTTTTCCGTTTCATCCGTTGATCATCTGTCGAAGCGCTCTCAACGTCGCTCGAGGCTATCGCATTGCGTCGCTTTCCTCCTCTCTTCCTCTTCTTCGGCCCCTCATCGCTCGCGGTCGTCAGATCTATGACGAGCTTCACAGGCGCCTGCCTTCCTGCCTTATGACTCGACTTTGCCTTGCCATTGCTCCTCGACATTGTCTTTGATTTGGAGTCTGACTGGTGCTGACGACGAGAGCGCGTTGGCCGGCTCGAGGATGGAGTCGGCGTCGCCTGCGCCCACCTTCGACGCGCAGCAGCAGCGGCCGCGTCCTCCTCGTCGTCTTCTAGCTCGTCTTCCTCCTCATCGCTTTGTACGACTGGCTTGGAGCTTTCGCTTCCGACCTCCTTGTCTGAGTCGTCCGAGTCAATCGTGAGCGCCCTCGAGCTACTGCTCGGCCCTGCTCCATCAGCGCGTCGTCTTGACGAAGCATCAGCCCTTGTCGCCCTCGCAGAAGCCCGCGTGCTCCTCGCACCATCCACTCTCGAGGCGCTCAGTCGTGCCAACCTCGCATCCGCCCGAAGAGCCGGCATGGCCCAGGCGCGTCCCTGTAGTGAAGCGCAGCAAAGCTGGTCAAGTCGAGAAGAGAGATCAGGCAGACGACAGGATGTGGACTTTGAGTTGTAACTTGCGCCAAAATTCAAAATCCGTTCGAAGCTGGTCCGAGCGAGACAACTTTCTGGGCGCTACTTACGAAGCAGAGAAAGTCAAAACATTGAGGGGGAGGGAGGGTGCGCGCACGCACGCATGCACGCACGGTGGACGGCTCTTCTCCTTTTCCTTTGACGAGGGAAGACCCGTGACGAAGGGGTCAAAGTGATGAAAGGACCCTGGCTGAGTCGCCTCGTTGTACAAAGGCTCGCTGGCGTTTCTGCTCCGTCCCTGCCACCAGTCAATGTCCGCCACGCCAGCAACAGAGGGCGAGTCCGTGGACGACCTCATCGACAAAATTGCGATATGGCCGGACCATGAAGATGAGCTCTGTGATATCTTTGCCAAGCTGCTGGACAGGAGAACAAGAACAAGAGGAATTGAACGTCGCTTTGAAGAGCAAGTGAGGCGAATTGAAGAGAGCTCTGCACCTAATGAGAGGATACTCTGTTTCGTTGTCGAGACCGTAGGAAAGGATCCGTATCTACTTGTTCAGCGAGCAGTGCTTAGCATGCAGGAGGATCAGAGTCACTCGTCCGCTAACAATGTATTAGAGGGCAACTCAGTCAAGCAAGTCAGGTTTGAGGAGAGGCCACCGTCGCAACCTCGCGCCATGAGAGAGGGCACCCGGCAAGGCAGAAAGCAGTCTCCTGTCGTACAGAAGCCAGAGCATTCGTCGAGAAAGGAAGAAGGAAACCATTCAAAGGGAAGAACACGAGCCCAGCACCGCGGTGGTAAGCGTGCTAAGAGGAAGATACAGGGAGTCTTGCAACTCGCTGCCAACGAGGAGCCAAAGATCCCCACGGAGCCACGGGCAGATCGTGAGCGGAAGGCGTCTTTACAAGAAAAGAAAGCCCACCAAGGATCGAAGAGAGTGCCCAGAGAGCGCAGGGTGAGTGTCTTCGCGCTCACATCACGTCTGTGACTGATAGCTCGTCGTACAGCACCATCGCGCAAACCTGCCTCCTAGGATGAGGCAGGTTGCCGTCTAGAGGTCTCCTTATATATTATGATGAAGCATACGCCAATTCTGTATATACTGCTAGGACTTGTTTGCCAATACAAACCAAACCGTCTTGCATGCGTTTGCCCGTTTCATCGTTTCGCCACAGGAGTGGACGTTACTGATGATGGAGGGTCACCGTCAACTTGGGTTGGGCGAAACACGTGGTTATCAAATTCGCGTGTTTGTGGATGCGCGCTACGATTCCTTCGATATTGTCTCTGCGCTGGGGCCTGCGCCGATCCTCTCGCAACAACACCTCTCTTTTTCGACGACAACCCTCCCCAAAGCGCCTAGACAACAAATTATGAGGGAGCTTGTGACATTTGCCGTCGGTCAAGCCGGCAACCAGATCGGCTCTGCGTTCTGGTCTGGCGTGCTGAGCGAGCACGGCCTTAACAACGAGGGCCAGTACGTGGGCAACAACCCGAACCAGCTCGAGAAGATTGGCGTCTTCTTTGAGCCCAGTGGCCAGGAGGGCAAGTACGTGCCCCGCTCCGTCCAGGTCGACCTCGAGCCGGGCACGCTGGACCATGTCCGAAGCGGCCCGCTGGGCCAGCTCTTCCGGCCGGACAACTTTGTCGCTGGCGAGTCTGGCGCCGGCAACAACTTCTCCAAGGGCTACTACACCGAGGGCGCCGAGCTCATGGACAGCGTCATGGATGTCGCGCGCAAGGAGGCCGAGAAGGCGGACATGCTCCAAGGCTTCCAGCTCGTGCACTCGCTTGGTGGTGGCACGGGATCGGGCCTGGGTACGAATCTACTGACAAAGCTGAGGGAGTGAGTCGCTTCTGATGCAGTGGTGTTGATCTTTTGCATTGCTAAATCTTTGATCACAGAGAGTTCCCCGACCGAATGCTCGCCACCTGGTCCGTTCTCCCTTCGCCCAAGGTGAGTATCTTCTTCCCTGACCTTGCCGACTGCGCATGCTGACCCTCCCTCCAGGTCTCGGACACCGTTGTGGAGCCGTACAACGCTACGCTGAGTTTCCACCAGCTCGTTGAGAATGCCGACCTGTCCTTCTGTCTCGACAACGAAGCGCTCTGTGAGTCTCGTCCTCTTCTGTCTCTCCAATTTGAAACCAAAGCTAACTTCAAGTCCAGACGACATCTGCCAACGCACGCTGAGGACAAAGGACCCATCGTACAAGGACCTCAACTCAATCATCAGCTACGCCATGAGCGGCTGCTCGACGACGCTGCGCTTCCCCGGTCAGCTCAACTCGGATCTTAGGAAGCTCGGTGTCAACATGGTGCCTTTCCCCCGTCTCCACTTCTTCACCGCCGGCTTCACCCCCCTCGTTTCGCCAGGCAGCAAGGCCTACCAGCACCTCACCGTGTCTGAGCTCGTCCAGCAGGGCTTCGACCCCAAGAACCTCATGGCTGCCATTGACCCGCGCCTGGGCAAGTACCTCACCGTCTCTGCCATCTTCCGCGGCAAGCTCTCGTCGAGGGACGTGGAGCAGGAGATGTCGACGATCCAGAACAAGGTGGGTGGTCCTTCTGGACATGCGCATACACAGCAATTCAGCTCATCATATCTCTCTTATTTCCACAGCAATCGCAAAGCTTCGTCCAGTGGGTGCCGAACTGCATCTCGACGTCTCTGTGTGACGTGCCGCCGCCTGGGATGCGCATGTCGGCCACCTTCATTGCCAACACGACTAGCATCAAGGACCTTTTCAAGCGCACCCACGACCAATTCTCGCTCATGTTCCGGAGGAAGGCCTTCCTGCACTGGTACACGGGCGAGGGAATGGACGAGATGGAGTTCACCGAGGCCGAGAGCAACCTCATCGATCTCATCACCGAGTACGAGCAGTACGAGGCGGCTGGTCTTGATGTGAGTCGCGCTAGCCACTTTCAGCTTCAAGCTGCTGTTTTAATTGTCAACTTCCCCTTCTACAGGACGACGAGGAGATCTTGGAGGAGGAGTACATTGAGGAGAGCCAATTTGCAGACGAAGGCGTGCAGGAGGAGGTGCCCGCCGAAGAGGAGTACTGACCCGAGCCCGTTTGAACCGTAAGAAGAAAACAAAAGGAACAAAGAATACCTCTTCCCCCTACCACTTCCCCTCCTCGATGTAATCTAAAGACGACTCTGCTCCCGCTCGTGCAAATGGCTCCCATGGATCTGCGTGGTAGAGTGATTAATCGCATCCCGTTTGGCCTCCCGCTCACGGCGATTGAAACCGTGATTGATGGCGAAAAGAACCACATGCTGGACGCTGCACCGAAGAGAGGGGCTAGCGACGCGGACACAGGCCCAGTGCCTGTGCATGTCTCAAAAAGGCGCGCTATCGAACGGTTTCTTTTTTTTGAAAGAAAAGAGACAATGGCCAGCCGTACGTTTACTTACCGCTGCTAAGGTGGCTTTTCTATCGCCCCCTCGCTCTCGCTCTTGTTTTGGACTTTTTTTTTTTTTTCCTCACCGTCTACGTTAGACTAACAGCGGCAGCAGCACGAGAAGGGACCGACGGGGCAAAAGGACACGAGACACGGACGGCAAACCTCGTTGGACGACTAAGTGGACACGAGCACGACTCAAGTGACGACGACAGCGACAGAAACGCTCCCCAAGACGCCGTGCGATGGAGGTGGTGCGAACAGCCTGAAAACCCGGGATTCTCGCGCTCACTTCCTTCCAATTCATCACCCTCCCTCCCTCGTCTTTTTCTCTCTCTCGTCTTTGAACCTATTTTTGGAAGCCATCGACTGGGGATCTCCTTTTGTCCTTTTCGAACGCCTCCCTCCGTCATCTCATTGGTGCGCCCTTTCGTCTTCGTCTGCTCGCGCGTGCGCCTCTCGGAGTATCGGTCCTTCTGACAAGGTGAGTTGGGCAGCAGTGCCCTCGCGCTCCCGTCGGCGGCGGTCGGTGCTCCAAATGAGCTTGTCTCCAAGGGCTGTATGTTGCACGCGCGTCTAGCCGCCCTCGCATGGCTTCTTCGCTGTGCATGACGTCCCCCCTTCTTATACTCTGGAGTTACGGGCTCAGGCAACCGGAACGGCCCTGCCTTCCCTCCCCCTCCTCATGCTTCCGGCGGAGAGATAGACGGAGGCGAAAGTCGCGGGGCCTGGAATGTGCCGGACGACAGCGGTTGATACTGTTGCTGAGAGGAAGCATAACACGCGTGCTGACATCTTTCCTCCTTGTTCTTGGCATTTCCTCCCCTTTCTTCTTCTCGTCAGGCGATAATACCGCGATGGCCATCTTTGGAAAGAAAAAGGAAAAGGGCGGCGCTGGGGGCGCAGGTACGGGGGCGGGATCGCAGAGCCAGGATGGCTCGGCCGCTTCGCCGCCCATGGATGGAGGCAGGAGCCCGACCAACGGCGGCACGGGCAGCAGGGATGGACACGGCATGGGGCCAGGCATGGGCCCGGGACCGGTCCCCGCGGGCAGCATTGGGCACAACCACAAGGGCTCCATCTCGGGCGCCATGGGTGCCGCCGGGATAGGAAGCGGCTTTGGCCTCAACGGCAATGGCCCTCCATCGCAGCAGCAGCAACAGCAACAGCAGCAGCAGGGATCGATGGCGATGAGGCAGGCCAACGGCGCGGGCCCTCCCGGTCATCCGGGCGCGGCTTCGGGCTTTAGATTCGGAGGGCCTCCCTCTGGGTCACGCCAGGACTTGGCTTCGTCGGGCATCCCCCAGCCGGGCAGCATCATGCGAAGCCCTCCCCAGGCCGGCAATAATGGCACCATGGATGGCCCAGGTGGGCCTCCGTATGCGCCAGGCGCTGGGCCAGGAGGAGCTGCTGGAGCCGGAGCAGCAGGCGCAGGCGCAGGTGGACCTCCCGGTGGTGTCTCTGGTCTTCCTCCTTCGTCTGCCTCGGGCCCCCCACCGCTGCAACAAGGCGGACAGACACGGAGCCAGCCAGTCGTCTACCCATGGAGCCAGCGCTCTCTCACTATGAACCCGCCTCGCTTCCTCGACGAGAGCCGACAGGTGCCTCCAGGCGCAGTGAGCCCCTCGCCATTCCCCCGATACGGGCACGCCGCCAACTCGATTGCAAGCCCTGCAGGCGAGGTCTACCTTTTTGGTGGTCTGGTGCGGGAAAGCGTCAAGAACGACCTCTACATCGTCCATGTTGACCGTGTCTCGCAGCAGCCTACGACGACGCAGCAGGGCGCCATGACGCTCGGTGGGGTAAATGCGACGCTGGTCCAGACTACCGGCGAGATCCCCCCGCCCAGGGTCGGCCATGCTACGATTCTCGTCTCCAATGTCCTCATCCTCTGGGGTGGCGACACCAAGGTCAGAGCAGACGACAAACAGGACGAGGGTCTGTACCTCCTCAACCTCAGCACGCGCGAGTGGACCCGGGTCAAGCACGCCTCCGAAGACCCCAGTGCGGGCCCAGTTGGTCGGTATGGCCACACCGTCTCCATTGTCGGCTCGCGCTTCTACGTCTTTGGTGGCCAGGTCGATGGCACATTCATGAACGACCTCTGGACCTTTGACCTCAACAGCCTCAAGGGCACGCCCACCTGGCAGGTCCTCAAGCCCACGGGCGAGCTGCCTCCTCGCCGGACAGGCCATGCGAGCGTGACGTGCAAGGACAAGATCTACATCTTTGGCGGCACCGACGGCCAGTACCACTACAACGACACCTGGTGCTACGACATTGCGACAAACGCCTGGAAGGAGCTCTCGTGCATCGGCTATATTCCCGTGCCGCGAGAGGGCCATGCCACGTGCCTGGTCGACGACGTCATGTACATCTTTGGTGGTCGCGGCGTCGACGGCAAGGATCTGGGCGACCTGGCCAGCTTCAAGATCTCGAATCAGCGATGGTACATGTTTGCCAACATGGGCCCGTCACCGAGCGGGCGGTCAGGACATGCGCTGGCCACCTTTCAGAGCAAGGTCGTCGTGCTGGGCGGAGAGTCATTCACGGGAGCTAAGCCAGATGACCCCTCGATTGTCTATGTCCTCGACACGGCCAAGATCAAGTACCCGCCCGACAATGGCTCCAAGACGGGTACCACGTCGCGCAAGTCGACGGCGCCTGGCTCTGTCGATGGCTCGCGGTCCATGTCGCCCAACAGCACTGCTGGCCCTTCTGGCCCCGAGCGGTCCGTGTCGCCCACGCAGCGAGGGCCCATCCCGCCGAGGCAGGGACAGAACGAGGGCAGCCTCGTCGGTATTCTTGCCAATCAGCAACAGCAGCAGCAGCAGTCTCCTCCCTCCCAGATCATGCAGCAGCAGCAGCAGCAGCAGCAACAGCCTCTCTCCCAATATACGCAGCAGGGCCAGCCGTCGCAGCAGCGATCGCCACAGGAGTACCCTCAGCGGGCCATCTCGCCCACGCAGCAGGCGATCCGAGAGCAGCGGTCTGCCAATCCCCTGCAGAGCGGTGCTGGAACGCCGCTGGGACAGTATCCACAGAGCCCTGCGGCGGCTGGGGCAGCAGCAGCAGCGCATGTACAGCAGTTCCAGCAGCAGCAGGCCGCCGTGGCCGCAGCTCAGCGGCAGCAGGGAGGCGGAGGAGCAGGCTCGCCCAGTGCCGTCAACGCCGGCAGTACCACGGCAACCAACTACAGTGCGCCTCGGACACAGAGGTCGTTGGAGAATCTACGCAACCAGGCGGCGTCGCCCTTGGGAAGCGGCGCGCCCATGCCTCGAAGCCTGGCCAATGGGTCGATGGAGCAGGAGCGAGTGACCGGGTCTCCGGCGCCCCAGGATGCCTTCCACTACGGCCAGGCTCCCGCGCAGAATGGCTTCGTCAGCAAGGCTGCCACCTCTGCTTCCCCGACCACGGGCGTGTCCGCTGCCGAGGTCGAGGGCCTCAAGAAGCGAGAGGCGTGGATGAAGGCGGCCTTGAGCCTGGCCGTCAAGCGAGGCTTTGTCGCGCCTGACCAGCTCGAGATGCCTGACGGGACGAGTGCGTCAGCCAGGACGACGCCGGACCTGGGTCTTGACGACATCGACACGGGTCTCGAGGGCAGCGAAAAGGACAAGGTCGTCCGGGCCATCGTCACGCTCAAGACGCAGCTGTCGTATGCGAAAGCTTCCATTGCGCAGCAGGCGCAGAGCGAGGCGGACCGCATCGCCGAGTCGGACCGTGCTCGGTCGGCTGCACTGCAGGAGGCGGCCTTCTACAGGGCTAAATTGCACGCCATTGAGACGCACAACCCGTCAGAAGTCTCGAGGCTGGACCGGGAGCGGCAGACGCAGTTTGAGAAGCAGCTGTCGGATGCGCTGCGAGAAGTGTCGGAGCAGGAGCGGCAGATCAACCGGCTGCGCGAGGAGCTCAACCTGGAGCAGCAGCTGCGCAGCTCTGCCGAGGAGCGCCTCTCGGAGACGGCCAAGCGCGCCATGGCGGCCGAGGGTGCCCAGATGAAGGCCCACGACGAGCTGGCGGCGCTGCAGAAGCGCACCTACAACCACGAGAGCCTGCTGCGGGACCACAAGGAGCGTGTGGCTTCCCTCACGTCGCTCGTCGCCAGACACCAGGCTGACCACGAGAGCGCACGGTCGCAGCTCGACGAGGCCAACGGCAGCGTCGGTCGCCACGTCATGGCGCTCACCGAGCTCCAGGCGGCTCTCGCCGCGGCCACGGCGCGCGCCTCGGAGCACGAGCGCATGCACTTCCAGCACCGCGACCTGGCTCAGCAGCACGAGTCCACGGTCCACCGGCTGCGCAACGAGCTGCAGGCCAAGACGGCCGAGTCGGACAACCACAGCGCGCGTGCCGCCGAGCTAGAGAACATCGCTGCCGTGCACCGCGAAGAGGCCACGACGCACCGAACCGCAGCGAGCAACAGCCTGGCCTCGCTCCTGGCCATGCACCAGGACCTCAAGGCGCGCCGCGACACGGCTGACGGCTCCGTGCCCACGCACATCAACGACAAGATGCGCGCCCTCACCGAGGAGACGGAGCAGCTCCGCCAGCTCCACTCGACGTCCAAGACGGCCGCCGACTCGGCCACGTCGTCGCTGCAGGAGATGCGCGAGCGCAACATCAGCCTCGAGAAGCAGCACTCGGGCCTCCAGTCGGAGCTGAGCGCGATGCGGAGCCAGCTCGCCATTGCGCTCCAGGAGGTTGCAAGGCTCAAGGACCAACACAGCAGCAAGGAGCTCGAGCTCCGCGATCGATCGCGCGCCGTCGAGGCGGCCCAGGTCAAGACGAGCCTGCTGAGGCAGGTCATGGTCGAGCGTGGGCTCGCCGTGCCGGGCGACGAGGAGCTGAGCGCAAAGAGCGGGTACGCCGAGAAGCGCATCAAGGAGCTCGAGGAGGAAGTCGATGCCAGCTCGCGGGAGCTCCAAGAGACGGAGCACCGGCTCCGCGATGCCTCGAGCCGCGTCGAGGAGCTGCAGCGCGAGGTCGAGCACTCCAACGCGGCGGGCCAGCGCGCGGCCGCCGGTGGCGCCGACGCCAGTGCGCTGGCGGCGTCCGAGAAGCGCGCCCAGCTGGCCGAGCGAGAAGTCGTCGAGACGACCAACACGTTCAAGGAGCGCCTGGCCCAGCTGGAGAACGACTACCAGACGGCGGTCCAGTTCGTCAAGGGCTCCGAAAAGATGCTGCGGCGCATGAAGGACGAGCTGACAAAGTACAAGTCGGAGAATGCGCAGCTGCAGTCCGAGGTTGCTGCGCTCAAGTCGGGCCAGTCGGTCCCCGTCGACGGCGAGGCGGCAAAGGACATCGAGGCGCTCCGCACCCGCCTCGTCCAGCTCACGCACCAGAACGAGGAGGTGTCGGTGGAGAACAGGGAGCTGGAGAGGCGCCTTGCTGCTGTCATTTCCGAGCAGAAGGACCACCACGACCGCTCGCGCGGTCTGCAGGACAGCCACATCGACTCGACGCGTCGTGCAAACGAGCTCGAGGCCGAGGTGTCGAGGCTCGATGGGAGCCTGCAGGGTGTCCGACGCGAGCTGCAGGAGACGCTCGCGCTCAACCAGCACCTCAGCTCCGAGCTGGCCCTCGCCTCCAAGGGTGGCAATGGCGCCGGCGCCGGTGCCAATGGGACGGCGCTCGCAAAGGATCTCGATGCGGCGCAGGTCCACGTCGAGCAGCTCAAGGCGGAAAACACCAGCCTGGCGCAGCGGCTACAAGACACCGAGGACAAGTTCCAGCTCCTGCTCGGCCGCATGGAGACGGGCAACCCTGGGTCAGATGGCCTGAACACGGCGGCACACGAGGGCGAGACGCGGGACAGCCAAGCCTTCAGCATCACCTCTGAACTCGACAAGTGGGAGCGGGACCGTGACCAAGCCGCCGCCGCTCAGCCCTAGACGACGACGATGTGCACGCATGCATACATTCTCATCTTTCTTTCTTTCTCTTTTTTTACTTCTTTGTCTTCAGATGATCATTACATACTCCCTTTTTGTTGTTTGTTTTTCCTCTCCCTGATGAGCGGTCTTTTTTGTGGCATTCTTGCGTACCATCCGTCTATTCTTATAAGAATGAGAGCCAAGGAGAATTACTAAATCGGTGCGATGTTGGCTTGCGAAGTGGTGAAGTGGCCCCTTGAGCAGCGCGACGTGGCTCCCAAAGCAATTCGACGTGCTCCCAAAGCTGAGCGACGTGGCTCCAAAAGCAGTAGCTCACTTCCCTTTGCGGGGACGCTGCTGCGGCGAGGGCCGGGACTGGCAGAAACGGCCGGGACTGTCGGGCGAACCTATGATCGATCGTTTTATTTTTCTGCCAGCTGGCTCGCTCTCGCTGGACCCCCGTCCACGCTGGCTAATATAATGCCGAAGGGCCATCTGCGCGTGCTTGAGGCGAGGCGAGGGTAGGATGGAGCGGAAAATAAATTGGCGCGTCTGATTAACAATTTCGATCAAGAACCCTTTGCATTTCCTTAAACACCATTGAGCTGGGAAAAGGGCTGACATTGAATTCAAAACTATGAAATCAAATCAAATCAAATCAATCAAGAGAAAAAAATAAGTCATGTGCGTTGGCAGAAAAAAGTCAAAAAAGATTCGGACGCCCGCGAAGGACCGCCCACCCGCTCAGTAGTAGTAGTGAGACGCGTTGGCAAGAGTGAGTGAGAGGCAGGGAGGATTTTGGATTGCATTGGATTCGGATGGAGGGAGTAGTTAGTTCCCTCGCGCGCCTTCCCCCCAGAGTGGAAAAAAAGCATGAGCTTACGCTTTGGACAGATCGAAGTTGCTGGTGTGACGAGTCGGCCCGGGCCCCCCTTCACCACACGCACTCCCTGCGCGACCTCCATTTCCTGTCCCTCCCCTTCCCACCACACACACCTTCCCCTCCCCCTTTCCGCTGAGAGCGAGCGTTCCTTGCGGGACGACTGGTGCCTACTCCACCTCCCTGCGAAGATCCCATCTGCGGTTCCAGATCGCAGGCGCTTTTAAAGATAGACGCCGGGCCTGGCATCCCGTCCAGACCGGCCACGCAGCGATAAGAGGGCCCCCCAAACGTGCTTACTTCCACTGCGCGCCCGACGGCCTCCTTCCCTCCCTCTCGTGACTTGGCCCAGCTGTCAGTCTTCCGAAGCAGGAACACGCCTTCAACGCGGGGATCCAGGGCCCAGCCACCAGGTGCGAAGCAGCAAGAAGAAGAAGAAAAAATAAAAAAGGGCAAATAAGGGCAAAAACAAAATAATCCAGAGGGGGGTTGGTCCAAAGCGCGCAAGATCATCGCAGCTCACTGTCCTCTTGCTTCGTCCATCCTCTTCGCACCCCGCCCCCGGCACATCGATCCCCCCCTCCCTCCCTCCCTGAAGGCGAGCATTGTTGCCCTCTGGAAGAAGAGAGGAGAACGGAGAAAAAGATGGCGGATAGGAATGGCGGCTATCATCGTGGGGGAGAGGGGGTGCGGTACCATGCTGCCGCGCCGGTGTACGACGACGACAACGACTACGACGACCCTCGCGCAGCTCCGATCCGGCGACATGAGCAGTACGACCGCGGCTCGCCCCCACCAGTCGTCTACGCCTCGCGAGGTGCCTACTACGACCGGGCACCCGAGGACGACATGGTGGAGGAAGACCGTCTGGGGCACCCTCCCGCCTCGACATCGTACCGCAGCGAGCAGCACCACCTCTCGCGCCACCACCCGCAGCTGTACCGGCATCCTTCCTCTCACCCACACCAGGCGCTGCCCCGCCATGCCCCACACACCATAAGCGGCCCAGCTCCGGCCTTGCCGACGGTCGTCCGGAGCAGCATGTATGCGCCTGCCCCGACACGCGCGCCTGCGCACTACGACCGGCAGCCTTCGCCTGTGTACAGCGACGATGAACGGCTCGCCTCTGGCTCTAGATATGCCCGCGGTCCCCACACAGTCTATCCTTCCGTTGCACATGCGCACCATGCCCATTCTCACGCTCACGCTCCTTCTCATGCCCACCCTCACGCGCGTGCACATCCACACGCTCACGCACGCGCACACGACAGGGACGCCTACCAGCTTGAAGAAGAGGCACTGGCATACAGGGAGCAGCAAGAAGAGGCCGCCTACCGAGAGCAGCAGCTCCAGCAACAGCATCACGAGGTGAGTTTCTGTCTCTCTCATCGCACTTTGGGTAGGCAAGAGCGAGGGAAAAGGCGAGGGAGGGTCTCTCTGGCCTCTCCCGGCGTGGCAATTTTCTGTTTTCTCTCTGGTTTCGCTCTTTTCGCTCGCGCGCTTTTAGAAAAAAAGAGGTCATGCTCCTTCGTCAGCGCGGTGCGTCGACAGAGGGCCAGAGGAGAGAAGGCGACGCCCTCTCCTTCTTCTCCTTGGATCCTCCGCCAGCGCAGCACATTTGGAAAATAATCGCCTCGGCTGGGGGCGGGCGTCTCAGCCTCTCTCTCCTCGCCTCCTCCCTCCTTTCCCTTTCCCTCTCCCCAACGATAGATTGATAGAACAGAGCTGACTGATATGGAACCGACACAGTGGTCTCGGCACCATGTCCAGCCCTCGTATCGCCAAGAGCCCTTTTCGCCCGAGGTCGCGCGCCAGCCCCTGCCACCCACTGTCCCTTCGTCCTCGAGGGGCGTCGCGCCACCGCACACGCCCATGGACGAAGACGACGTAAACATGACGCCTTCGTCGAAGCCATCGATGAGCATCTCGTCGCTGCTCGATTCCGGCGCTGCACCTGCCGATGCTTCGCCAAGGAGATATCCAGCACCGGCATACCACCGCCAGCAGCAGCAGCAGCAGCAGCAGCAACACGCTCGGTCATACGAGGACGAAGAGGCAGACTACGAGTACGAGCGCAGGGTCGCAGCCCATCATGCTGCCCAGCAGAGGGAGAGGGACCGCGAATATCGGCAGCACCAGCTGCACCAGGCGCACCACTCTCCACCGCAGCAGCCTCCCTCCCATCGACCTCCGCCTACAGGGTCCTATCGGGCGCGATACTATTCTGACTCGCCTTCGCCGCCGCCGCCGCCAGGACGACAGGCGCCAGCGACCATCGTGCCACCCAGCAGGCTCCAGCGCGAGGTGAGTGGCGAGATAAGTATTTGCATGAAATCTTCATTTGCTGAAGTAAAGAGTCCTTTTCTGCAGTACGACGAGGAACGATTCGCGTCGTCGAGGCCGCCCATCAAGCAACAGTCATACGATGATGACGATGTCACCGACGATCTTCTGCGCTCTGCGGGCCAGGAGGTCGAGCCCGTCGTCAGGAATGGCAACATTCTGAGACCACCAGCCAGCAATATGCCGCCGCCGCCCTCGACGAATGGAGCAGCCGCCGCCGCTGCTGCTGCTGCGAACAGGACCAAGCCGCCGAGTTCCTCGCCCGCGGCCCCTCCTTCGGGCAAGCTCAAGCTGCGATCGCAGCCGTTGCCCAAGCCAAAGAAGCGCTTCAGCCAGGATGGCTGGGACAGCGATCTGTCGGCCGACGAGAACAAGCCGATGTGGACGGCCGAATTGGACGTCTACGCTGCCGAGTTGCAGGAGAGGGCCGCGTGCATCGAGCAGGCCTACGAAGTCGGCCTCATGGATCTTGAGCGGGATGTCGGCAAGCGTCTGAGCCGCGGCTACTACGGGCGCTATGTGCCCGTCATTGAGCGCGCCAAGGCCAGGGAAGAGGCCGACCGGAAGCGCAAAGAGGCGCTGCAGCGGTCGAGGCGCGACCACGCACGCCGGCAGCGAGACAAGGAGATCGAGATGGAGCTCCTGGGTACCGTCGACGACAGCGAGCGGGAGACGCAGAAGCCTTCGTCGCTCTCGTCGGCGCTCCTTGCCAGGATCAACAAGGCAAAGAAGGCCAAGATTGCGGCGGGCGGCGATGACGACGACCTCGATGCGGAGCTGCTCAGCCTTGCTGAGGGCGGCGGCGCTGGGTCGTCGGACGAGGACGATGGCGAGCCCAAGCGGCGCAGACTCGACGGTTCCTTCTTCGACGAGGACGGGCTCGAGGACTCGCGGGCTTCGTCGCCTGTCTCCGTCCTCGACGATAGCAACATCGTTTATGCCACGGCCGAGGGCGGACACATCAGCATCGATGCACGCCGAGAGCAGCAGCTGGCCGAGGCGCACCGCCGCATCTGGACGAGCATCGCCCGCAAGGACGTGCCTCGCGTCTACAGGACCGTCATGGCCGGCTACACCAACAAGACGATGTACTGGCGCCGCGTGTCGGGCGTCGTCCAGCGCGAGGCCAAGCGCGGCATGGCGCGCAACAACAAGTCGACCAAGGACGTGCAGCTGCGTGCGCGAAAAGTCATGCGCGAGATGCTCGTCTTTTGGCGCAGGAACGAAAAGGAAGAGCGAGAGCTGCGGAAGCGCGCAGAGAAAGAGGCCATGGACAAGGCAAAGAAGGAGGAAGAGATGCGCGAGGCCAAGCGACAGGCCCGGAAGCTCAACTTCTTGATCACGCAGACGGAGCTGTACAGTCACTTTGTTGGCAACAAGCTCAAGACGAACGAGGCTGAGGAGTCCGAGGAGACGTCGGGCTCGGCCAAGCTCATTGACCCCAAGCCGGCGGACGATGCGCCTGCGACGCAGCCGGATGTCAGTGGCGTCGCCGCCGAGGTGACCGAGGCAGAGGCTCGACTGGCCGACCTCAAGGATCTCGACTTTGACGACGAGGACGAGTCGAACATGCGAGCGCATGCCAGAAAGAACGCCGAGGAGGCCGTGGCAGCAGCCAAGGCCAAGGCTGCTGCGTTTGATGCTCGAGCTGCCGAGGAGAGGGAGAAGCAGAGGCAGGAGCAGGAGGGTGAAGGCGAAGAGGGTGGTCCTCGTCGCGAGATTGGCAAGGCATTCGACTCGGACGACATGAACTTCCTCAACCCGACGTCGATGGGTGCCATGGACGTCAAGCAGCCCAAGATGCTCACCTGTCAGCTCAAGGAGTACCAGCTCAAGGGTCTCAACTGGTTGGCGAACCTGTACGAACAGGGCATCAACGGCATTCTTGCCGACGAAATGGGTCTCGGAAAGACGGTGCAGAGCATCTCGCTCATGGCCTACCTCGCCGAGGTGCACGATATCTGGGGTCCCTTTCTCGTCATTGCGCCCGCGTCGACGCTGCACAACTGGCAGCAGGAGATCACCAAGTTCGTCCCCTCGCTCAAGGCTCTCCCCTACTGGGGCAATGTCAAGGACCGGACGGTGCTGCGCAAGTTCTGGAACAGGAAGCAGGTCTCCTACCATCGTGATGCTCCCTTCCACGTCCTCATCACCAGCTACCAGCTCGTCGTCTCGGACGAAAAGTACTTTCAGCGCGTCAAGTGGCAGTACATGGTCCTCGACGAGGCGCAAGCCATCAAGTCGTCGTCGTCGAATCGGTGGAAAACGCTGCTCGGCTTCGACTGCCGAAACAGACTGCTGCTCACCGGTACGCCCGTGCAGAACTCGATGCAAGAGCTCTGGGCGCTGCTGCACTTTATCATGCCGAGCCTGTTTGACTCGCACGACGAGTTCAGCGAGTGGTTTAGCAAGGACATTGAGAGCCATGCGGAGAACAAGGGCACGCTCAACGAGCATCAGCTCAGAAGGTTGCACATGATTCTGAAGCCATTCATGCTGAGAAGAATCAAGAAGAACGTGCAGAATGAGCTGGGCGACAAGGTGAGTTGGTTTTACATGTGCTATGTGGCGATGAGATACTGACTGCTGGGATCTCCACAGATCGAGATTGACGTCTTCTGCGACATGAGCACGAGGCAGCGCGCATTGTACCGCGGTCTTCGGTCGCACGTCTCCGTGGCCGAGCTCATGGACAAGGCATCGAACGTCAACGACGAGGCTGGACTCAAGAGCCTGATGAACCTCGTCATGCAGTTCCGGAAAGTCTGCAACCACCCAGAGCTGTTCGAGCGGGCCGATGTCGAGGCGCCGCTGGCCTTTGCCCGGTTCGCCCAGTCGGGCAGTCTGGCAAGGGAGGGCGATTTCCTCCAGTGCCCCGACTCGACGCAAAGCCTTATCCAGTACGAGGTGCCCCGATTGCTTGTGCGCGATGGCGGCCTCCTCGACGTCCCCGGCGAGGGCAATGTCAGGAAGGGCTTTGACACGCACTACCTCGGCAACCTCATGAATGTCTGGAAGACTGCCAATGTCAGCGAAGCTGTCGAGAAGCCCAACTCGGCATTTGCCGTCTTGAAGCTCATGGGCATGGAGCCGGCCGACATCGAGGGCGCCATGCTCGCCAAAGATACGACGCAGGTCATGCAGAACATCGAGAAGATCCACGAGCTGCGCGAGGCCGATCACTTGGCGGCAGACAGCGAATTTGCGGCGTCGGTGAAGAAGCCGATGGGGCTCGTCTCTAAGCCGGTCCCTCGGGCTTCGGCACCGTCACTCACGCCCCTCGACGGCATCGCAGAGGAATATCGACGAGATTCACCGCTGGCCAAGCCAAAGGCTAGGTCGCTGGTCGTGCCCGTCGTGGCGCCCCCAATCGAGATGGTCGCAAGCGATGGTAACTTCACGCAGACTCAGGAGCGGAGAAAGAGGAGCGACGATGTCTCGCAGATGCTCTATGGTCTTGCGCCCTCGGAGCTTGAGTCAGACGAAGCGCTGTGGAAGGCTCAGCTTCGCTTGCCCGGTCTGCCGGCGAGAGGATTGCTGAGGGAGTCGTCCGATGATCAGCTACCGTCGTCGGGCATGCAGGTGCCGCAGATGAACAAGCTCATCATTGACTCATCGAAACTCGCGCGCCTCGATGAGCTGCTCCGGGAGCTCAAGGCTGGCGGGCATCGTGTGCTCATCTACTTCCAGATGACGCGCATGATCGACCTGATGGAGGAGTACCTCATCTACCGGCAATACAAGTACCTCCGCCTCGACGGTGCTTCGAAGATCTCGGATCGGAGAGACATGGTGACGGACTGGCAGACACGCCCCGAGCTGTTTGTCTTCCTCCTCTCGACGCGTGCCGGTGGTTTGGGCATCAACCTCACGGCGGCCGATACTGTCATCTTCTATGACCATGACTGGAATCCGTCCAACGATAGTCAGGCCATGGATCGAGCACATCGATTGGGCCAGACGAAGCAAGTCACGGTGTACCGACTGATCACGAAGGGCACCATCGATGAGCGCATTGTTAAGCTCGCACGAAACAAGAAGGAAGTGCAGGACATCGTCGTTGGCAACAAGGCCTACAGCGACGCTGGCATGGCGAAGCCGCAGGAGATTGTCAGCCTGCTTCTGGACGACGACGAGCTGGCTGAGAGCCTTGTGCGCAAGAAGCAGCTCGAGGAGAGCCAGCTGGCGAGGGACAAGGCCGAGGTCGCGAGGAACAGCCACGCAAAGCGGAGGCAGAGGCTGGCACAGCAAGCTCTGGCATCTGGTTCGAGCACGCCTGGTGGGGCACGGACGCCGCAGATTGGCTGGGGCCTCGATGATGACGAGGACGACTTCTTTGGCGCGAAGCCGCCCGCCGTCGAGGAGGATGTCTCGACGCCGCCTGTGTCGGCGTCCAAGAGCAAGAAGCCGGCAGGCGGCACAGCCAAGCGGCCGCGAAAGAGCAAGGCCGCCGCAGATGGAGAGGCGAAACCGCCACGCAAGAGCGGCGGAAGCAAGCGGAGCCACGCCAAAAAGACGGCCGACGAGCTCGGCGGGATAGAGGCGGGCGATGCGCTCATGGATGAAGACTAGACTTTTCTTTTCCCCCCTTTGCTCACCTATTCTTGTACACACACAATCACACAACACAACACCAATTGTCATCCCTTTCTCGCTGATCAGTGAACTTTCTATCCCTTGTGTGCAAAGCCTCTCGTCTATGATACAGTCTTGTCGTCTGGAGGAGACGACTCATCCTCGCTCATTGCCTCGTTTATCTCCCGCTCGTAGGATCCCATGCTCCTCTTGCGACTGTCCCTTCTCATCATGGGGCTTTCCTTGTAGTGCTGCCTCCGACCCGTTGCTGACGGCGCAGCAGCAGGACTAACATTCGAATAAGTAGGCCGCTTCTCAATGGCAGCGTGCGTCGGAGCGACGGCGTCGGGTCCAATCGCCGCCGCGCTCGATCCGCTCACTGCCTGCCCATCCCGCTTCTTCCCCCCGGGGCCCTTCTTCAAGCTCACGTTCCGCTTCTCGACATCTGCCGCCGCGACGCGCTCTCGCAGACCTTTACCCTCGTCGGCACGCGGGAAGATGTCGCCCCAGCTCGCTTTGCGTGCCTCGTGGTAGGCCTGCTTGCCAGTCGACTTGGAGATGGTGAAGCGCTGGATGGAGCCGTTGGGGCTGCAGGCGTCGAGCGTGACGTGTCCGCCCTTTTTGAGCGGCGTGCGGATGAGGCGAGGCCAGCTGTAGGAGTCCAACGAAGTGGCCAGGCCTTGCAGAGCGTAGTTCGTCCCGGCAGGCACGGCGAGCATCTCTGCAGAGGGTGCTTGGTGGAGCTGACGAGCCTGAGAGAGGAGCGCCGAAGTGAGCGCAACTTCTTCGTCTCCCTGTTGAGCTTCCCCTTCGTCGGCAGCAGAATCCTCATGTGGGGCCTCGGCCAGATCGGCGCTTCCCTGCATCACTTCCTGCGCCATACGCATTGCCTCGTCCATTTCCGCTGCCGAACCTTCGCCGCCCGCACGTTCGAGCTCTCTCGCAAGAGCCTGAGGCAGGAGCTTAAAGAGCTCTGCTCTGGCCTCCTCATCATCCTCGATTGCATTCAGTGAAGCTCCCGCTGGCTCGACTTCAGCCTCGGGCGTCGGAAGGAGCGTGGTTGAAGGACCTCTAAGCTCCTCAACGCGGCCTTCCCTCGCGCGCACCGCCTCGTCTCTCAACAGCTCCTCGGGGATCTCGTGGGTTTGTGCCGTACTCTCGATCGACGGCCTTGGCCCACGCCTCACCACCACGAAGCTATGCCGGCTTGTCATTTCGTTCCGTGGCCCTCCTCGCGTCTTTCTTGAAAAGGATGGTAGGTGAGCCCGCTGGGGAAAAGTGCATGTCCCCAAGCCCAACGCCGCGCCATGGAACAGGGGCGACAGCGAAGAAGTCTTTGTCTGAAGGTGCTGAGGCGTCGGGTCGAGGAGATGGTAGTCGTGCAGAAGTGGACAGGGTCGGTCATGCGGGCAGGGTGCCACTACGTGGCTCTGGACAAAGCCATCAAGAGGCTGGAGTTCTTGGCTTTCGGAGCCGCCTTCTTCGGGAGTGACCTCTTCGGAGCTACCGCTCTCTTCGTAGAACACATGTCGGCCGATCCGGATCCCTCCTTGCGCCCTTGCGGGATCAGACGAGGGTCCAATGCCGAGGAGCTCCTCGCGTGCGCTTGCGATGGAAGCGAAGCCTCGCTCGTCACCGGGCTCGACAAGGACGAGCACTTCTGCGCGAGGGTGTGTGGACCACAGAGACTGCACGAAGGCCGAGCGCACCGCGTCGGACGAGAGCGACGAAAGTGAATGCGTGCAGAGGACTAGGGTGTCCCTTGCTGACTCGTCGTTTCCTCTTTCCTCCTTCTTCTGAGACTGCTTAGATTTCTGGAGAAAGTCTGCGCCTTGCAGCGAGCTCTTGAACGTCTTTTCTATTGCTCCAATGATGGAGTTCTCGCCATCTACGTCCGCGTCAGAGACGGACGTGTCCTCCAGAATGTCGATAGCGGATCGTAGCAGCGGTATTCTTGCATCGATGCCCGTGTATTCTCTCAGATCTCTGCCAAAGACGTCGGCTGCCGCCCAAAGACCCTCTCCTGCACCACACCCATGCTCGATGACACGGCTTGGCATCCAGTCTTCTCCCAGCCTCGTCTTCACCTGACCGAGCACGTTGCGCAGAGTCGCATATCGGGACGGAGAGACTGTTGTCAGATGTACAAGAGCTGAAGGTCGCTTCTTTGAGCTGTGGGCGTCGACTTGCTCGCGCATGTACTGGTGCCGCAGAGCTTTCTTATTGTCCGTGGCTGCAATACCTGGTCAGCTTGGCCTCCATTAAGCGCTGAGAGAGAAAGTGCTCACAATCGACAAGACCCTGCACGACACGTTTCCAGCGACCTGGCACAGCCATTGGCCTTGCGCTTCCGCCCTGTTGCCCAAATCTTGCCGCAGGGCTCAACCGCTGGTCTCTAGAGCTCAGCAGGTCGTCTTCGTCCTCCTCGTTTTCTTGCGCCTCAAACGGTCTCGACGATGGGCCCGCCCCAAATGCAAATGGAAGAGGCGTCGCCTTGGGCTGCGTCAGCGAGACCTTCGCAGACGTCAACGCGGCCGAGGCCAATGCCGCTGCCCTCTTCGTCTGCATCCTCCTTCACCTTGATGACCAAGAGAGAGCAGCTGCTGTTGCTTGACTTGCCTCTCCCGCCCGCAATTCTTCCTGACCTGAACTTTTATTTCCTGTTCTGATTTTTTTTGGAGCAAATGAGAACACGTGAATTACTCCTCCACCAAAGCGTTCCTATCCAACCACACACCATGTCCACTGCGACTCCGACGGGCGGCGGCGGCAGCGCAGGCCAGGGCGCGAGCGCACAGGCGCTGTCGAGGGGCGGAGTCACACCTGCGGGCTCGGCCGCTGCACTGTCGTTTCTGGGATCACGATGGAGCGCCGTCGAGGCTGCTGCCAACGACGCAAAGGTTCCGGTGGGGGGTGAGTCGTCTTTCCTCACTGTTGCAACTTCCCTTTCATATCAAAAAGCTAACATAGAGTTTATAGAACGACCAGAGATCCATAGAGAGCCCGCAGCGAGCAAGGCTGGACCCACCACGGGCGGCTCGCAGCCGGCAAAACAGGGCGGGATTGGAGGTGCAAAGACGCCCGCCTGGGGCGGTGCGGGCACGAAACGTGCTCAGCAGTCATGATATCACTCATTCATAGATGTCTATCCTATAGCTGACAGTAAATGCAGCTGCTGAGGATTCCCACAATTACTTTTGTCAATGAGCATTAGTTCAAGCAACCTATCTGGCTTTTCTGATCTTGACATCGGCCTTTGTTGCGACCGGGCGGGGAAGGTTTCAGTGGGTGGCGAACCACGTGGCGCGAAAGCGAGTCTTATCCAATCACTACATTAGTCTGGACGGAAAAGTCCTGGTTTAGGCTCTTCGAAACCGCCCCATCTCGAACCCGGCTTCTAGACTCGCTTCCTCACGAACTCCGGTACTGTGAGGCCAAAATCAGTGAGTCGCAGTAGCTAATCGTGTCGAGGACTGTGCCTCACACCTTTCGAAGCAGCCCATGGCGACCGCCTCAACATCGAAACAGGCTATGCAGTCTCCCACAACGAAATCGTATGATGTCGCCATCGTCGGCGCGGGCATCGTTGGTGCTGCCCTGGCCTACTCCCTCGGTCGATCAGGTCGGCGGGTGGTCCTTCTCGAGCGCGACCTCTCTGAGCCGGACCGCATCGTTGGCGAGCTTCTTCAACCTGGTGGCATCCGTGCTCTGGGTCTCCTCGACCTCCTCGACTGCCTGCACGACATCGACGCGGTACCGGTTCAAGGATATCACGTCTTCTATGGCGAGAGGTCTGTTCCGATTCCGTATCCAGAGGAGAAGAACTTCGATGACGGAATCAAGGGCATAGACAGTGGGAGCGGAAAGGTGGAAGGGAGGAGCTTCCATCACGGGAGATTCGTCCAGAGGCTTAGGAAGAGGGCGATGGAGCAACCAAATGTTTCGACGATTGAGGCGACTGTCAAGGAGCTTCTCGAGGAAGATGGAGGGAAGGTCGTTGGCGTCGCTGCCTCCAGGAAAGATGCAAACGGGGAGGATGAGGAGGTCAAGATTAAGGCGAGCCTAACAATCGTTGTCGATGGCTGCTTTTCTAAGTTCAGGCGAACACACGGCTCAACGATTCAGCCCATCGTTCGCTCCAACTTTGTCGCCCTGGAACTGGAGCACGCACCGCTCCCCTCACCACAGCACGGCCACGTCGTTCTGGGTCCATCAGGACCCACGCTCTTATACCAGATCTCGACGGTCCACACACGCATCCTCATTGACGTGGGTGGCGAGAAGCTGCCGTCAGCCTCGAAAGGCCACCTGCAATCCCACATCCGCGACAATGTTCTTCCCCACCTTCCTAAGCCGGTCCAGCCATGCCTCCTCGCTGAACTCGACAAGGGCCAGCGCCTCCGGAGCATGCCCAACAGCTTCCTTCCCCCAAGCATGCAAGGCCAGAATGCGCATCGCAGTGGCGTCATCCTTGTGGGCGATGCCATGAACATGCGCCATCCCCTGACGGGCGGTGGCATGTCTGTTGGTCTGTGGGATGTTGTCTATCTCACCAACGAGCTCGGCGGCACGTCTTCCTGGCGACCATCACAGTCGTGCTCGACGCGAAACGAAAGGGATCTTCAGGACTGGGCTTCGCTCAAGCCGGCACTGCGCTCATGGCACTGGCTCCGCAAGTCACGCTCGTCGGCCATCAACATCCTCGCTCAAGCGCTCTACAGCCTCTTTGGCGCGTCTGACGAGAATCTCGAGGTGCTGCGACAGGGCTGCTTTGCCTACTTCGAGCAAGGCGGCGAATGCGTCGGTGGACCTGTCCGACTCCTGTCCGGTCTGACACCCGACCCAATGCTGCTCGTCTACCACTTCTTCAGCGTTGCCATCCTCAGCATCGTCCTGCTATTCCGGGAGGGCACTGAGAAGGCGAGAAAAGAGGGTCGCAGCATGCTGCTGACGTACCCGCGATTGATGGTGCGGAGCGTCCTCGTCTTTTGGACCGCCTGCGTTGTTCTCTTCCCTGTCGTCTTCTCCGAGCTCCGATCAAATGTGCCGACATTCAAACAGGCGGCCAACGCTGCCGTCGACGGAGCGTCTGCTCCCTCCAAGAAGGGCCAAAGCCATACTACTCTCGCCTTTGCCCTCTTTGCGGCCCTCGCAGCCGCTTACCTCTATTCAACTTCCACTGCACTCACGGCTGGAGCTGGGAGCGCTGCAGGGCTGGGTCCCAACTCGTCTTCATCGGCAGGCTTTCACTTTTCGCCTATCAAGCTGCTCTTTTCCGAGGCAAAAGTCTAGATGGTAGAGAGCTTCCGTCTTCATTCCAGCCAGTCCCTAGTAATACCGATGCACACGCATCTCATGTCGATTAATGTCTTAACGTGACTGTTTTATCCCAACCAAGAACTTGGCTTTGACATAGCTAAGTCTAGAAGGTGCTTCGTGAATGAGTGGTGTGCGCGAGATCCTCTTGGAGACCAGGCATCTGTCGTGATTTAACCAAGAGATGATTTTGCTGTGCTTTGTGCGGAGGTTTCCATGTCATGCGGCTCGTCTATTTGTTTTTGCATCATCCTGCGATGGAGAGCGAGGCCATCTGCAAAGGCGCAAACAGCCGACGATGGAAGTCGTCTTCGACGATGATGCGCTGATCTCTCGTAAAGTCTACGTCGGGGTGTACCGTGACGGAGCCCGCTCCTGGCCGATGGGCCCTCTTCTGCCACTGGAGAATCTCGGCATCGTGACGCTTGACTTGGTGCAGCGCCTCTTCGCGCGAGTGAAAGCGCGCCACATGGAACGAGAGAGACAAGTCGGTGTCTGCGACGACAAAGTCCCTGCCATTGGACTGTAGGAGATAGTCCTGAAGCTGGACGAGGGCTGCGTACGTCTCGTTGCAGCACAGCTCCCACCGCTTGTGCGTGACAAAGGTGATGGAGACGTCAAAGGTCGTAATTTTGCGTCGCTGCATCCTTGCGTCTCCGCTAGAGATGCATCGCCAGATATCGGGCAAGAGCTGTATGCCTGCATCGCTCGCGATACCATCGCTGGTGACAAAGAGGCTGACCCGCTCGAGCTGGGGCAGATAGGCCGGTGCGATGGTGCAGCGACGGAGGCTAGGTTGATAGAGCGTGACTGACCGTAGCGCGACTGGTGAAAAGGTAACATCACCAATGTGTCGCGTGGTTCCGGTGGCTACATCGCCGTTGCCCTGATCATATTCGGGTCCTACGCTTGGGTTGATTCGATGGGGCCCGTCGTCATGCGTAGGCAGCGTATCCTGGGGCTCATTGTCGCTCGGCATGACCAGCTCGTTGATCCATTTCTGACCCAGCCCATAGTTCACGACCGTCAGCTCTTGCACCGTGGACAACAGGGTACCCGTGGTGAGGTAGAACGTCTTGTCACGGCCATTTGGATTGAGAAATTTGCCATCGGCGTGGACGATGCTAGGACGATTGAATTGCGCCTTGAGCAGATCAAGGACCCTGTACGAGGTGTGATCGACCTCGTGAAAGGTGACTGAGCTCACCGTTGCAGGCGGCAGGGGCCGAATGCGTCGCGACGTGCAGAATGCGAGAGCCTTCCGTGGACTGCGAAAGACAAGGTGCCGATAGACGAAGGGGAGAAGCAAAGAGTTGCTCGACTTGCAAATCTGAAGCGCCGTGACGGCGCTCTTGCTTCCTTGGCTTGCGAGCTGGACCAAGATTTTCTCGACAATCTCGATGGGCAACACCGGAAAAGCTGCCTGCTTAAGCTTCACACGGGGTTCGCCCGCGGGATCAAACAGGTTTTTCCATGCCTCTGTGAAAATTGAGTCGATTCGCAGTCGCGGAGCATCGTTGATGTCGTCACCCTCTTTCTTGCTCATGCCGCCCTCGCCGTCGTTCTCGGCCCACCCGCACGAGGCGGTAGGAGCACTGTCCTCGACTCCGATGGCGTCTTCCCAGCCTTCGACGTCCCACTCCTCTTCGCCCCAACCAACTATCCCTTCGGGCAAGTCTTCCTCGTCGCTCAAGGCCGCATTTGAATAGCTCAGCTTGCCGTCAAAGTGCACCCGGGGCATTTGCTTGCTAAAAACAAATTGCCCCTTTGCTGGATCGACTTTAGCCAGCTCTGCTCGATTCAAGCGCTTGCATCGAGCTTCGTGAGGCTTCATAGGCCCGCTATGGTGATCGCAATACATGTCGGTGGTTGATGTTAGAGGCCTTGATGGCAAAGACTGCGTGGTCTTGAATGATCCCCTTGCCGGGGCTCCCATCATCGTCGGTGCTGAGCCCTTGGGCCTGAAATGGTGTCGATTTCGATCCGGCCTTCCTTCTAAAATCACTTTCGTACTCTGCCAGACATCCCCCGCAGGCTCTCTCTCGTCCGTCTGCTTGTAGGGAGGGACATTTGTGAGGCCGCGGGGGCTGTATGCCGGGGGCGGAGAGAGCGGCCCACCGTGTCCGTGCGCCCTACCATAACGGTGGCTTTCTTTGTTCTTTCTCTCTGAGTGGGGACCGTCCGCCATAAAGGTGCTTGAGAATGTATTTGCGCATCCATGTCGTTGGATCTGACTCGGTGAAGCCACAAACGCCGACTTTGGCTGGCCTGCGTAATGTGCAAAGGATTGCTGACGCTGAGACAGAGGTCCGGACCCGAGTCGGATCGGAGGGTGCGCGTGTGATGGGCCCTGAGAGTATGTGATTGCCTTCTGCAGATCTCTAGATCCACTGTGTATACCATCACGGGCGCCCTTATGGTGCGCCTTTTGCGGAATTGCGTGATGACCTTGTCTGACCGCGGGCGTCGTAGAGGGAAAACCTCCTGCCCGTGAAGACGGCGCATGGCGTCGAGATGGTTGCAGGCCGTGATGATCGTCACTGAAGAAGAGCTCGAGCGGCAAGACCTCTTTGCGCTCGCTGCGCTGTTTGCTCTTTCCCTTGGTGGCCATAGACCCCTTGAGTCCGTCCATCTCGACAGCTAAGGTGGCTCGGCACTGCAGCACTCTTGGAGTCGTGTGCTGGCAAGAAGTTGAGAACAAAGGGAAGTGATTAAATGCCAAATGGCAAGACCCTACCGAAGAGCGCTGCCCGCACGGCCTAAACAAAGGGCCTGAGCGCAGCGGCGGCAGCAATTGGCGCGCGCGCGGGGCTCAGCTTCGAGTCTGTTGTTCTCGATTTCACTACAGCACTTGTAATATCGATGCCACCGAGCTGCCATCACCTCCGAGCGCCTCTTCAGTGCGCCTCGGTAAGCCTTCGGACTTGACAAGTGGCGCGAGGGGGAGAGCGGGGCGGGCGCAGCACATGATTATGTGCCATTTGAGGAGACAGGTCGCCCGCTTCAATCTTGCGATCTCGAGCGTCCAAGGCAACCAAGTCCGTCAGAAATAAAAGTGCATCATAAGTGCACAAGGGCGGCGGTCTCTTTGACCCGCTGACGCGCTAAAGGAAACAAAGCGCACGACGCGTGCTTGATGAAGGCACCTGCCAAAATCTCATCTCGTCCTTCTTCATCGACGACGACGACAACGACGGCGGCCGCGGTGCTTGACCGGTCTCCAGTGAAGCATGCCCTCTTCTTCGGCATCATCCTCAAGAGGGGCAGGACCATCGAGGCATCGCGATGCGCCGTACTCGACACAAGGAAGCTCGCGAGCCAATGGCGGCGCGGCGAGGAACGGGGCCCTAGCTCGCGCGCGTGCCGGTGAGGAGACCGACAGCGGCAGCGATACCGTCCCTTCCAAGCAGACGGCGGAGCAGAAGAGATTGTTGCGGCGCAGATATCGAGCTCTCATCGCAAGGGCTGAAGGTGAGTGTATGGGAAGCTGCACTTTAGCTCGGCGGATTGACTGATGACACGCATGTATACACAGACATCAAGGGAAACATCACCGACCACAAGCCGGGAGATCTGGCGACGCTGCTCAACAATGGCGCGAGCCTCTACAAGAATGTCACCGGTCCCACTGAGGCCGTTCTTGACTCCAGGCTCCTCCTTGATGCGTCAGAGGCGGGAGCGAGGATGGCGCAGAACATTAAAATTGACAATTCGTTCGATGTGGAAGAGTACCTTGACCGCGTCGCTCAGTTCATGGGTGGGCAGACGAGGCCAGTGGGCGCTCGTGATGATGAGCCAGGCGACTTGGATGAGCATCCAGAGCTAGATGCTGGGACCTGGGACTGGGAGAAGCTGGGGAGAGTGGCTGCTAGTCATTCGCGAAGAGCGCCTGTCCTAGGCTTTCTGTGAGTCTTTTCCCTCGTCTTTGTCTCTATTGAAGGCTCATGTCTGACTATTATACCGAACAGTCTTGGCCCTCTTGAGATACAAGCAAAGGAGCGAGCACCAATCCAGCGCAAGCCCAGAGAAGTTGTCGGACCTGCCGTGGCGCCCCAAGAGGTGGGTTGTTGCGACCCTACTTGAAGATGGCTAGTACACTGACTTGTAAGGTGGGAAATAGCTCAAGGAGGACGACATCATCCAGTCCGAGAATGAAACGACGAAGCTGGTTGTCGAGGTGGCCAAAATTCTTGAGGCGCAGGATGGGTGCAAGGCGAATCTGTTTAAGTTCGTCATTGACCCAACGAGCTTTGGCAATACCGTCGAGAACCTCTTCTACGTTAGCTTCCTTGTACGCGATGCCAGGGTGTCGCTCGAAGACGACGAGGACGGAGAGCCGATCCTCAGTGAGTACGGCTGGCGTGTCCTGGTCTGAGGCCAGGTGACTGATGCGATTCGATTTACAGCGGCCGTCTCGCCGCCCGAGGAAGAACAGTACCGGTCCGGACTCAAGAAGCGGCAGCTCGTCTTCCCCTTTGACAAAGAGACCTGGAGTGTAAGTGTCTCATCACTCACTTCGCTACTACCCCGCCTGCTTTGCTGACGTGGTCACTTTCTCTCTACAAAGTCACTCATCAAATTGTACGACATCAAAGAAGCCATGATCCCGCCTCGCCAGGCGCCTGCGACGCACCGTGCCCCTAGAAATGGTTGGTATGGATAGATATCTGAGGCGTTCTCCCATCCTCCTGTACCTTAATGTGCTTTTAATACCCTGAGGTCCTACTCGACAAGCTGTCTATAATGACGAGACGATGACGAGAAGTTGCAGGCCGGCCAGCCAAACCCTCTTTTAGACTAGTAAGGTTTTCCCGGTGGAGGATATCAGCAGTTCTCGTTTATCTGGGTTAGCCTTAACATCGGCTTCCTCTGTAGCCCATCACACGATGCAGCGCCAGACGATTGACTTTTGCGATGTGGCAAAGGCCAAGCAGGCGGCTCGGGAAGCGCTCATCCCAGCGGAGTGGCGGCTCGAGCCGGAACAGCTCCATCGGCTGAGCCACGCCCCGATCGAGGCCTTCGAAGCAAGCGGCGGCCTGCTCACGCCGCGCGAGCTGCTCATCACCTCGTCCAGCGCCCAGGTCCTCCTCTCGCACCTCCATGCCACAGCTCAAGAAGAGCGATGGACAGCCGTCGAAGTGACGCGGGCGTTTTGCAAGCGCGCCAGCCTGGCGCACCAGCTCACAAACTGCCTCACCGAGATCTTCTTTGACGATGCGCTGCGCCGCGCGGCCGAGCTCGACGCATACATGGCGCAGCACGGGCAGCCGGCGGGACCTCTTGCGGGCCTGCCCATCTCGCTCAAGGACTGCTTCAATGTCGGCGGCTACGACTCGACGCTGGGCTTCGTGGCGTGGGCCAACGACGCGCAGCCGGCCGACTCGGCCCTGGTTGGTATCCTCCGGCGTGCCGGCGCAGTGTTGTACTGCAAGACGAACGTGCCGACAGCCATGATGATTGCCGAATCCGTCAACAATGTCTGGGGACGCACATTCAGCCCTCACAATGTTACCATGACCAGCGGTGGCAGCTCGGGCGGCGAGTCGGCGCTGCTGGCGATGCGCGGCAGCCCATTGGGCGTTGGCACCGACATCGGCGGGTCGATTCGCATCCCCGCGGCCCTCTGTGGCCTGTATGGCCTCAAGCCCAGTTTCGGCAGGTTCCCCACGTTCGGTGCGAGGAGCGGCATGGCGGGGCAAGAGTCGATCAACAGCATCAATGGGCCCATGTCGGCAGACCTCGAGTCGCTAAGCATCTTTGCGCGCGCAGTCGTCGGCGCCGAGCCGTGGAGGATCGATCCAAAGTGCGTCCCGATTCCCTGGAGGAGCGTGACGGACCTGCCCAGCACAGGCCTCGTCTTTGGCGTGCTCTTTGACGATGGCAGGGTGCACCCCACGCCGCCCGTGACGCGAGCGCTGCACGTCGTCATCGATGCACTCAAGGCCCAAGGGCACACCGTCATTGAGTGGGAGAACAAGGAGGAGCTGTCGTTTGCCCACGACTTGACCCAGCAATTTTTCACTGCTGATGGCCGCGAGGGCATCTCTGGCATTATGGAGCACGGCGGAGAGGCCGACAAGTGGATCGAAGGGCTAGGTCCCGTCGTACAGAAGAAGAGCATTCATGAGCTCTGGCAGGTCCAGGCGGTGAGTTGCCGTCTTTACTTTTGCCATGCATCAACATCAATCGCTGACAAGAACCTTGCAGAAACGGACGCAGTGGGCAGCGAAAGTGCTGCAGCGCTGGCAGAGCATCAAGGGCCCAAATGGACGGGCGATGGATGCTCTCCTGTCGCCTGCTACTCCCCACGCAGGCGCAGAGAATGGCAAATTCGGCAAGCACGTCGTGAGTGTCTCTTTTGTGCGACTGCTCTCTCGAAGCTGACTGGTTGTTGCCAGGGCTACACTTCGGCTTGGAACCTTATGGACTACCCGGGTGTGACCTTCCCAGTCGTCAAGGCTGACAAGCATCTCGACAGTGGTCCCCGCCCTGACTCCTTCTACCACCAAGATGACGAGCTCATCTGGCAAAATTACAGCGCTGATAAGGTGCATGGACTGCCCACGTCATTGCAGCTCGTCGGAGAGAGGCTTCAAGAGGAGAAGCTGCTGGCCATTCTGGAGCGCGTCGTCGATGCTCTCCCGGCCTGGAACAACAAGTAGCCAATGGTAGTTGCAATTACCAAGGAAATGAAACACAAATCACTGTACATGCACCGAGCTCTGTGTTCGGCTCGATGTCACTGGCATCAGGACCCGACCTCGTCTATTTTGCCGCTTTGCAAATGCCCCCTTTCCGATTCGGATCACGCTGTTCTCACGGTCGGGCCTCAACCGGCGAGGCTCCTCTGGCCCACCCATGCCAGGGTCCTTGCGCATGCCCGCCCATCTTCTCGGTCCCTTGTACGGTACCGGCCGGGACTTGCTGCCTCCCCTTGGCTTGTTGTCTCCCAGTGCCTTGATAGCGTCCTCATCGATCCTGACCGGCCCATCGATGGCCTCTGTGGCCATGAGCCTAAAGTAGTGCTCTTGTGCCTTTTGCGCAAGCTTCGCCCTCGCCTCTGCTCCGCCAAATTTGACCAACTTGAGCACGTTGAGCCGAGTCAGCTCCCGCAGTCTCTGGTCATGCTCCAGCGGCCTCGTTCCAAACGTCTCAATCTCCTGCCGTACCGTCGCTTCGCCGAGCCTCTTTGTCCTCAGGAAAGTCTCTCTGGCCAGTGTCCTTGCCACCAGCTCCATTTTGAGGTCCCCCTTGGATGAGTCGACGAGCTCAAGCAGTGCCCGTGGCGCATTGTCACCCTGCCGCGCACCGTGCAGGTGCAGCCTCGTATACCCTCCTGGACGCTCGCGGTAGCGCTCCGCCAGCTCTGCCAGCTTAGGCACTGTGGTCTCGCGATCGAAGACGTAGTCGCGCGCACGAATGTGCTGCTGCACTTTGTTGAGAAGTGCCGCCCGCTTTGCCTTTGTGATGATCTTCTCCGCCTCCCGTTGTGCTTCTTTGGCCTTGGCGACCGTCGTGCTGATGCGCTCGTGTTGGATCAGAGAGGTGACGAGGTTGCGCAGCAGCGCACGGCGATGCGAGGCTGTTAACGAGTTGCAGTTAGCTATAGCTCGGGCAAGGCTAGCAGCACATCTGACTCACATGTCCTCGACAGCTTCCGGAAAGCCAGCCCCTTCATCCTTTCTGCCTTGTGACGATGTGTGAGAAAGGGTCGAGAAGGACTTGAGAGGTCGAAAAAGTCAGTCCCGTGACATTGACAATCTCTTCTTCAAAAAGGGAAACACGTGGAAATTTCAAAGCAAGTCCGGCCCTGCGTTCCATTCTCGCTCATCGCCAAATCTCGAACTTCTTCTTTCCTCCTCTTTCGCCTCCTCGTTGTCATCTCGCATTCGCACGCTCTTGCCGTTTCCCGCAGACACACCAGAGCCCCACCCCGATTGAGACACGATGGCATTGCGCGCTTCCGCCCCTCTTCTCCGCAACGTCCTGGCCCGCTCGGCGCCACGGGCTGCCGTTGCTGCCCCGTCGTTTGCCCGTGCTGCCGCCGCTGCTCCTTCCGTCTCGGCTAGTGCGCGATGGGCACCGTCGTTCCAGGTCCGGGGCTACGCCGCCTCGTCGGGCCTCTCGAACCAAGAGATCCAGAACCGCATCGTCGAAGTCCTCAAGTCCTTTGAGAAGGTCGACCCATCCAAGGTCAGTCTGCTCCGCGGTCCCCCTTTCTTGTCTTTGAGGCTTCTGCTCACTGACTTGCACTCCGAATGTTTCAACAGGTCGCTAACTCGTCGAGCTTCATCTCGGACCTCGGGCTGGACAGCCTCGATGCCGTCGAGGTCGTCATGGCCATCGAGGAGGAGTTTTCGATTGAGATCCCAGACGCAGAGGCCGACAACATCACCACGGTCCAGCAGGCCATCGACTATATCGCAAAGACGCCCGAGGGTGAGTGCTAGCGACAGTGATGGGGTCGATGATGCTAGTAATTGACGGCATGGGAAAAAAAATTGCAGCTCATTAAATAATGAACGAATGGTCGAAGGCAACGCTTGGGCAGCAATGAAAATTTGTTGACATGATCAGACTCGGAAGACACGAGCGGTGGAGGCGAGGGCTTATGAGAAGGATCGCTGGGCTGAACCGCCTTTTGGTGAATGGGTCAGGATCTGACGATTGCTTATGGAAGATGAGCGAGATGCCAGGAGTTTTCTTCGTGGCCACCTATTCCATGCTGCTTTCCGGTGCAAATACGCCCGAAAAGACATGTGTCACTGCTGACAAGTAGCGTCTTTGAGACTGCTAAAGATAGGACTTGAGGTGCAAATGAACTTGCCTGTCAACTTCTTCCCGGCGGGAATGTCGGCATTGACAATTACAAGCTTCGAAGGCGGCAAATGAACAACTCTGAGCTCTCGCTTTCGTAGAGGTACGGGCAGGTCTTCACCTTTTCAGAAGAAGACCTTCATCAGAGGAAGGCCTTTGGCAAGATACTCAGTCATTTGAAGAGGCTGGGCTGGCTGTAGCTCTTACTCGGTCCAGGGTCTGTGGTTGTTTTAATGACGCTGAGAGCCCCCCTCCTTATCCGTCTCCTGATAGAACCTATTAAGACAACTTAAACAACCCAGCGAGCCCGTGCGTTATGGAGCTAGTGCTCCATCGAGGGTATGTATGCCTGGTGGACGTACTAGTTCGGTCCTAATGGCTGGCTTCTGAGCACCGTCAGTACTTCACTGGCAAACAAAGGACGTCCGTGCTCTCTAAATAGATAGCTAGCCTCTCCAGGGTATAGAGCAGCCGCGCGCACCCATTGTTTTGTGCGCAGGGGGAAAAAGAGCCAAGCCTTTGTTTTGAATTTTGAATTTTTTGAAATCTTGGTGAGGAGAGAGAGGAAGGAGGAGGCGTACGGACGGGCACTCCCCCACTCGCGTGCCCCTCGGTCCAACCGCTTCAGCCGCTCGGTTCCTCCACGTCGTGCGTCACCTCGATCACACGCCTGGCAGTCACACACTACTGCACACGATACCACCACGCCCCGTCCCGAGACCGACAGCATTCAGCACCGGGCGGCGTTCCTTCATTGTTGATATATATATACGAGCAGCCTAGCATCTCTCAGAGACGGCACACACTCAGCACACTGGATCCAATCGCACGTTTGAAAGCGCAGCAGACGAGGGAAACATAGGGCGTGCGCGAGAGACAGAGAGGAGCGCGCGAGAGAGAAACCGAGGGCTTGACCGATGGGCAACAGCCAGTCGTCGGACGCAGGCGCCAACGTCGGCGATCCCAGTGGCGCTGCTGGGGCTGGCGGCGGCGGCGGCCTGAAGCGGTTCCACACCGGAGCGTCGCAGGACGCAGCGGGACGATCGCCGTCGCCGTCGCTCCGCCGGGCCAGCACGGCGGGGGCAAATGAGCAGCCCCGGTACGGCGGGCGCTCCTCTTCGGGCACCTCGTCACCGCGCGTGACGGAGCGAGAGAGGACATGGTCTCGCTCGGCCGGTAACACACTGAGGAAGGGCGCAACGGGATCGGAGTCGCCTTCGCCATTGGGACCGACAGCGTCGAGGTCGAGGTCGAGATCCGAGAGCATCTCTGCGCTGCTAGGAGGCGCAAAGGAGGGCAAGCGAAGGGAAGCGAGCAGCAAGGTGACAAGGAAGAGGCAGGGAGAATTGCCATTTCAAAGGAAGCGGAGCATTGATATTGGCGACGTCGTCGATCAGGACGCAATGACGCCCATGTCTGGGTGAGTGCAAGGATGACTCTCCCCACTTTTCCTTCTTTTGAGCAGAGGCCTGACAGCGACCACTCCAACAGACCCTCGACGCCCAGTGGGACGCTGCCACAAAGGAGGGCAACGGCGCCGATGATCACACCTTCGACGTTCGAGCAGGATTCCGGCAACTGGTCACCGATGCCCGGGATGCCATCTGTATCTACCGGTGCGACAGGGTTGACGCAGACCCAACAGGGCGGAGACGGCACAGGCAAAGATCCGCTGGGGAGGATGCAGCCGGCTGCACTGCCGTCATACCTCAAGATTCCCACCTTGATCCCCAGCGCCTATGCCTCGCCCAACTCTTCTGCTCCTTCCTCGCCAAGCGCACATGACGATGGGGTCAGGTGGTCCGACGAGGCCGTGGGAAGCGGTGGTCCAAGCGCTGCTCTCAACGCATCAAAGCGGAGCGGCGCAGCAGGTGGTACGGCGGCGGCGGCCATTCTCAACACCGAAGACGTTGTCATCTTGCCTGGGACGGCCAGCAAGGTCAGCTCTCCCAACGAGGTTGTGGCCGAGGAGAGCGGGGAGCCAAAGACGCCTACGTCATCTACGGCCAACATTGCTCCTTCCTCCCCTGAAGCCTTGGCGAAGGCCGATGGGCAAGGGGAAGAAAGGGAGGAGGGTGAGGCAGAGGCAAACGAGGAGAGCAGCGGCAGCGCGGTCGCGCCCAATTCGAGGACATCGACTCCGACGCCCGGCGATTTCGGCGGCGCGAGGGCCATGACTCCCACCGGCCGACGACCTGATGGGCTGACAACGCTGACGTCCGTCTCAACACCCTCAGGAACGGACGGCCAAACGGAAGGCACGGCGAGAAAGACGGGCGCCAAGCTGTTTATGGGCAGCGAGAGCGGGTCAAACACGCCGGCATTCCCACCGCCCAAGGCCCCGTCGAGTGCGACGACAAAGCCCGCTTCAATCCCCTCAATGTCGGCGGCGGACCAGGAGACGGGCCCTACGACGCCGACTCCCGGCAGCAGCCAGCGTCAGGACCCCAACCTGCGGATTGCGATGCCACCGAGCCAGTCGGTGGGCTCGATGCGCGCCGCTGCTTCCTCTGCACACGCGCGAGGCTCGAGCCTGACACCGACAAACAGATACCCGCACGCACCGCCCGTCATGACGCCACGCGACCACCCGATGCTGATGCCCATTGTCGTGACCTGGCGCGGCGGTGGCAAAGAGGTCTTTGTGACGGGCACCTTTGCCAACGAGTGGCGGTCCAAGATCCTGCTCAGACGCTCGCAACACAACAAGAAGGACCACTCGTGTGTGCTGCACTTGCCGCCGGGCACGCATCGACTCAAGTTCATCGTCGATGACCGGTGGAGGGTCAGCCGCGATCTCAGCACGGCCGTTGATGGAGAGGGTAACTTGACCAACTATATCGAAGTGGCCCACCTCGGCCCGGCCCATCCTGGCCCGCTCTCTGCGCCGGGAGAAGACTTGATCGAGGACGAACGGGAGGCGCAGAGGCGACGCAGACAGGGTGCTGCGCCGTTGTCTGATTCGCCCGCGACACCGAAGGTCCCTTCCAATGACCTGGAGCTTCGTCCAGATACTTCACCCACGACGCCATCGGCTGGTGGGGGAGCTTCTACGGCAGCGGCGGGCGGCATGCGGCGGTCCCACGGCCCCACGCTGGACCTGCTCGAGGAGGCGCGCAGGGCAGAGGCGCTGCGAAGAGGCGACCTGCTCGAAGTGTTTGGCGAGGACAAGGAGAGCGCACAGGAGGTTTGGACGCAGGAGATTCCGGAGAGCATCATCAGCGCGCAGGCGCGCGAAGAAGCCATCCGCATCGAGCAAGAAGGCGGTGCGTCGGAGTCTCCGTCGAGACGGAGACGCTCGCGCTCGCATGACGGGGCGGAGCCGGACGACGACGACGGCGACCGGCACCGGGGAGGCGAGGCTGATCTGCCGGCTCCCCCTGCTCTGCCGAGGCAGCTCGAGAAGGTCATTCTCAACAGCGGGCCAGCGGCTGTCTCGAATGCGCAGAGCTCCGTCGATGACAACTCCGTCCTGCCGGCGCCCAACCATGCGGTCCTGCACCATCTCACGGCCTCGGCGATCAAGAGCGGCGTCATCGCGACCGGTTGCACGACGAGGTATCGCAAGAAGGTGAGCTCTAGCCTTTTAAGCCTTGCTCTCCTTCCATCTTTTGCTCTCTTACCCTGATGCTGATTTGCTCTTCTTTTTCTTTCAGTACATCACGACCATTTATTATCGCGCAGCTACCTGATCACCACTCTGTCAACGTCTTATCTGCTTGTTGTTTACGCTCAGCAATATCCCCTTTTGAAATGTTGTATTGTATTGTACACGGCAAGCAAGCAAGCAAGCAAGCAAGCCCTAGTTCAGTGTTGCTACTTCGACGTCGTCGACGTCGACGCCGCTGCAGCGGACGTGGGCCTCTTTGCCCAGATCTGGACGTACGTCTCGCCGAGGAAGAGCAGCTGCCGATCAATCTTTTCCACGAGCAGGTCCTGGATGCTGAACCATTCTTCGTCCCTCGTCGACTGCAACGCCTTTGACGAAGACGAGGGCCGGCCTCCGTCCGAGTATGTGTGCACCTGCGAGCGCCAGACGGAGCCTTCGCGCACCGTGCCGGCAATGGCCTCGTGCGTGATGTTGGAGACGAGATCGTACGTCGCGCTGAGCGGCTTCATTGCCGGGTCATCGATATCTGCGTGCAGCTCCCTGTCAGCTTCACCAAGCATGCAAAATAGGGTTTGTAGGGGTTTGTAGAGAACTCACAATCATCCATGACGAGTCCTTTGACGGGGAAATTGACGATCGTCGGGTTGCGCTCCTCGACAAAATTGTTCTTTGTGAAGCGCCTAAAGTGCAGCACGACAAAGGGAGGAAGCTTGACACACTTGAAGCGCTTGATCTGACCACGGGCCTCTTGGAAGGAGATGCCGTCGTACTTGGCGAGGACCTGGCCGATGGGGACCTGCGGGATGATGTTCTTTTCAATCGAGTCCTGGAACACCGGCGGTGTGGGCAGGTCGATTGTCAGGAGGAAGAAAGGCGATCGGGTCACTTGGACCTCTGCGGAAAGAAGAAGGATCGCAGTCAGCAGAAAGCGAGAGAAAAGTGCCAAGGGGAGAGAGACCCACCTCGATCGATGTTGAACTTGGCATTGCCCAGCTCATCCTCCTGCCCTCCCTCCTTTCTCCCATCGCTGTCGAGCTTGTCCTTTGCCTCCTCGTCCAGGTCATCCAGCTCGATGCCTGATCGGACAAAGACCTTCTGGCTCTCGATGCGAATCTCGCCCTGGAAGCAGTCGGAGATGATGCTCCGCTTCTTTCTGCTGCCACCCATGTCGGTGTGCAATCGATTGAGGAGCCAGCCGAGGAACTCGACGGGATCGCCCTGCTTGGTGATGCTGAAGCGTCCTTTACTGGCATTGACCACCTCCTGCAGAAACTCGTGCGGTGAGACCTGGGCCTTAAAAGCTCGCGGATTCCAGATCTTGCGAACGAGGGCAGCAAAGCGCCGAACGAGCTCTGAAGTGTTTTGGATCGCGGGCGACTGTGCTATTGTTTTGCCCGCTCCATCCGATCCAGGTGGCCCGCCGCGCAGGAAGAAATTGCGCAGGGGCCGGACGTGGGCTAGTGCTTGAATGACGACGTTCATATAGTCATTTGCGCCGATGTTGTTGAGGCCTACACAGCCCGGCAGGTAAGGCTGCGCATGCAGATCCAGCGAGGGGGACAGGTCCGGCGCATCGAGTTGGCGGATCTGCTGGTCGGCGTAGGTAGGCAAGAGGAGGTACTTGATGTCGAAAAGCGATGGATCATTGACCTTGTAGTTGTCCGGCAGCACATAGACATCCGACGACTCGAGGTTCATAAAGACACGATGGCCGTCATTGATGGCGTGGTAGTAGGCAAACGAGTTTGGTCCGCGGCCCTGGTAGTACTTGCCGCAGACGAGGCAAGCATAGATGTTGATGTTGGAAAGCGAGACGCTGCACAGCTTTTCAAAGTCAAAGTCAAGGAGGGACCGGTTGATCTGTCGGATGTGTTTGCTGTCAGCTCTCTACATGCAAGGCCTTTATGCCATACTCACCGTGTCCAGGTAGAGATCTGTGGTACCCTTTTTCTTGCCTTTCTCCTTCTTCTCCGCTGCCTCCTGCTCCTCTCTCGCTATTCTCTCCCAGTAATCTGCACCCCCGATCTCCTCATCGTCTTTCTCCTGGTCTGCTTCAGCCTGCAATCGCTGTTCCTCTGTCGCCTCGGGTGGAGGAGGAGGTGGGGCGAGATCCTCTACCGGCGGTGGCGGCGGCGGAGGCTCTTCTGCGTCTGGCGGTGGAGGCACATCCTCTGTGGGCGGTGGTGGTGGGGGAGGGGCCTCGCCTTCTGGAGGTGGTGGAACCTCGTTGTTCGCCGGGGCCGGTGGTTGAGGCGCAGCCTTCCCGTCTATCCTCGACCTCTTCGCAGCTGGCCCATCCTCCTCTTCTAGCTGCCCTGCCTCTCTCTTCTTCCCATCTGCATCCGCTACACCATTCGTGGCCTTGACCGGTGCTTCCTCTGTGGGAGCAGCTGCAGCTGCGGCGGCCGCTCTCGTCTTTCGAGGCGGCATCGTCGACGGTAGACTAAGACAAGAAGAAAGGAACGACCGCGAACGCGTCTCCTCTTCAGACTAAATTTTTCGTCACAGTGGCAGTAGAATTTGGCGCACGGACGGGACCGACGGCGCTCGGAGGTGGGCGTAAAACATAAGGGGTTCCGTTGTTGATCACGGTGTGGTGGGACAAGAGAAGTCGACAACCTTCATCTGGCTGGCTCGTGCATTGTCCAAGGTCGTGTCTTCCCCCTACTCAGCGGACGTATTTCTCATCCACAGGCGCTCAATTGCTCTCCAGTCTTCAACCTCTCCTGCCTGCTCAGCTAAGATTTCTGTTTCTCCTGTCGACGTCTAGTCTGTGATCACAATGCCCGACATCACAGGGCCCCCAGCAAAGAAGCGAGCCGTCAACATTCCTCCAGTAAGCCCGAATCCAATTGAAGAAGTGAGTGGATTGTCTCGCCTCCAAGTCAATAGTTTTACGCTGAAAGAAGCCTGCCCTCTGTCCAGGACATCAAACCTTTCATCAAGCTAGAGCCCGAAGACATCAAACCCATCATCATCAAAAGGGAAGAAGATTATGTCAGTCCATTCATCAAGCAAGAGAAAGAGTATTTCAAGCCATCCATCGAAAGGGAACAGATGCCACCACCACCATCGCCAGCGCTGACGCCGCCCGTCACGCCACGAAAAGCCCGCGCCTGGTACAAGGGTCGAGCATCGCAGTATCCCTTTCCTTCGCCTAGGCATGCGCGCACTCCGAGCCAGCGCAGCACCTCTTCTGCATCCCGTAGAGGCCGCCATGCGTCGGCCTCGTCCAGCAGAACCACGACATCCGGCACATCATGCCCGCCATCGCCGTTCTCGTCACGCACAATAAGTCGAGCATCCTCCTTGGGGCAGAACCTGACGCCCACTTCGGCAGGTAGGAGGCGCAACAGCATGGGTATAGGTAGCGAACAAGACGGCGAGGGAGAAGACGACGGCTTTGAAATTGTCGGCACAAGGCGAGCCAGCGTCGCCGCGAACCTGTTCCACAACACCCTCACCGATGCCAACGATGGACTCATCTTTGGTGGGCCATCAACACGCCCCTCCGGCCCACTGAAATTGACGTGAGTGTGTTCTTGAACGGCTTTTGGCAATGTATGACGTTGACTGAGGATCGTCGCAGGCTTGAGCTGAGGCTGCAAGGACAAGTCCTCGATTCGTCGCCGCCCATTGCTCTTCAGAACGAGTCCGAGAGGCCCAGAAACGTCCAAGCGAAGCTACATCAATTCCTTCTGGCACTCACCAGGGATGCACGACGAGGGCAATGAGACGATGTGTCCAAGCGATCAGGTGAGATGCAGTGTAGATTGTTCGAGTTACTTCCAGTGTACAATTGACTAAGATTAGAGCAAGTGTCTATTATTTTCAGTTCCCTGTCCTTCTCAGCGAAGCGTTCCTGGGATGGTCAGGTAGCCCTTCTCCAAGAAGGGAGCTAGTAGCTTCGAGACTTCCAGCCATCTCGGCGCCGAAGAAGCGGCAGCGTGAGCTTGCACGTTTATTTTGTCTTCTCCCTTCTCCTCAGCCTCCTCTTCCTTCGTAGCCGTGTCTGGTTCTGGGCCAGCGCTATCCACGACTCCTGTACCATGCCCCTTGACCTTCCTATACTCGATCCTCATCTCCCGTCTCGAAGACCCGTCGTCTCCCTCCCCAATCTTGTAATCCAAGACGAGCTTCTTGACCCAGGCCGAGTCTTTCTTCACTGCCGGATCCAGCAAGTTCCAACTGACCCGTGTCGTGCGTGTGGCATTGACAAGAAGCAGTCGCTTTCCTCGGAGCTCAACCTCGGCCGGCGGCGACGAGCCAGACGTGGCCATCGGCACGGGTGGCGATGTTGGAGAGGAGGAAGAGAGGGAAGAAGCCTCGAGAGAACTGACGATTTCCTCGATCTTGCCCTGCGACTCTGCGCTACCGTCCTGCAGTGCGTCGATGGATGCCAGATGCTCGAGCCTGAAGTCGACGCTGCTCTCGGGCGCGACGACGTCCACCTCCTTCCTGTTGAACCACCTCGCCTTCCATCCTGCGTCACTCTTTCCCACTTCCACGAGCACCCTCAGCTCTTGGGCCTTCTCTCCCTCTGCGCTGCTAGCGTAGACAACCTCGACGAGGTCCTGCACCGTGCAGCTGGCCTCATCGACATTGTCGGGGAACTTGGACTTTCTCTCGAGCTCCCTCGCCTCCTCCTCCTCTTCCCACCTGCTCTGCTCCTCTGCGGCACCCCTCGAGAGGCGCTCAATGGTGAGGCTCCACTCGCGCTGCCGGAGCAGCTCTTGTGCCTTGCGTGACGACGCCGTCTCGATGGGATTGTAGCTGTCTTCGCGTCGCTTGTAGCCCGGTTGCAGCAGGTGCGCCACCGGTGGCACGCACGGCACAAATGCCGGGCTGTCAAGCCGATCGGGGAGCAGCGCCGACGAGGGCGACGAGGGAAGTCGGTCGAGGGCATACTGCAGCGGCCAGGCCTTTGCCAGCGGCGGCCGAAGCAGGCTCTGGATCCGTGTCGGTGGCGACTCTGTGCTGCTGAGCCGGTTCGCGGCGACGTTGTCAAAGAGGAGATGGCCGAAGGATACCGAAAAGGTTTCCTCCTGCCCTTCCTCGCTTCCTGGCTGCTGCGCCCTGAGCTGGTGCAGGACATCATCCCTTGCGCCTTGTTGCTCGTCATCCAGCGACAAGAGCGTCTGTCGATCGCCAGCCATCCTGAGCACCGCGTGCTCCTGCTCAGACATGAGATCGTCGATGCCACCGCCAGCGGCCTGTCCACCGCCACGCTGCCGTGTCAGGCGGAAGAGCGAGGCGCTGATCGACTCGCTCGTCGTGCGCGCAAGCAGGGGTAGTGGCTCTTCGGACCCGACGTGGTGGCTGAATGCGTATTCGGGCATGAACATCTCGAGGGCCGCAGGCACGGGCGGTGCTGCGTACGAGTACAGGTTGCGCTGCTTTGCGAGGAGAAGCTCTCGGTCCATCTGCGCCAAGAGATTCTGCGCAAGGTTGTGGTCGGCTTCGTCGAGCGAGTAGATGACCAAGTCGCCGTCGTCACCTGCGGCCTCGACAAACGTCGAGGAGAGCTGAGAAATGAGACGGAGGTGGCGCGACTCGATCAGGCTTCGACCCGACGTGAGTACTGCAGGTCTCTTTGCGATCGTCGTGGTGAAGGCTTCGATACGCTTCTGGACCTGTTCCAGCCTTTCCTCCTCGCCCACGATTGTCACCTGCACCAGACCATCCTCCAGCAGCCTGCCCGGTCTCAACGTCGCCAGGTTCTCCTGCAGCAGCCTTCGCCCTCGCAGAGCCTTGTCAGCAGCAAAGAAGAAGAGTGCGTGGTGGGGCATCTTCATCTCGAGCTTCGACAGTGGGTTAGCTCTGGCCCTCGATACCGAGGGCTTCACCTCGTACGGATCTTGGAGGCCGAAGCGGTGCATCAGGAGCGCCTTTGTCAGTCTCGCCTTTTTCCCCGAGGCCTTGGAGTTGCTCTTGGCTGGTCGGCCAACAAGGCCCTTTTTCGCCTCTATAAGTGGTGCTGGTCTCGCAGCGAGCTGCGACATGATTTTTCTCGGCACTTGAGCATCCTTTGCCAGCTGCTGGAGCTGCTTAACGGTGAAGCTGGATTGGACGTTCTCGAAGGCCTTGTCCCACTCCTTCTTGCCTGGTCCTCGATCCCATTGCCTCTTCCCTGCTCCTCGACTCCGACCCGTGTCGGTGACTTGGACTGGGTTCAGCTCGTCGAGCGCGTCCAAGTCGGGCGTAGCAGTGTTGTCGTCGTGGTACAGCAAGTTACTGGGCCCCGGTGCTGACGAGGGCCCGACACCCTTGCCATCTTCTTCTTCTCCCTCGGCCCCCCAGGTCGCTAAAAGTCTTCTGCGATCATTCCTCGCAACCGTAATGGCCTCAGTGCGTGCCCGTGGTAGTAGCCCGTACCACGCCGGCGCCCTCCTGAGCATCGCAATCGCCATTCTTCAGAGCCCCCTCGCGCGCGCGCTCTCTCTCTTCGTCACAGGTCGACTTTTCCCTTTGGGTTTTGGTTTGCTTGCGAAGAAAGTCTTTTTCCTGTGGAGAAGAAGCCGCCCTGAAAAAAAAAAAAAAAAAAAAAAAAAAAGAGGACCGTCCGTCGTTGTAAACACGTGAGTCCAAATCCAAAATTTTTGGATCTTCCCTTTCCTTTTTTTTGGCCTCGACATTTGTTCAGAAGAAGAACAGGCAAGCAACGACAATCAGCGCTTTAGGAGGGGATCAGGGTCGCGGAGCGAAAATGGCGTTCGATCCAGTCACGACGAAGCTCATGACGCTTTTGAATGTGTCGACTGCCAGGCCGGACAAGCGCAAGAGGCTGGCTGGCTCGAATACGGCAGGCGTGGCGATCAACAACAACTACCAGGCCGTTACTGCCAGGGCGGCCGACGCGGTCCGGCAGGCCGAGGGGCCCTCAAGCTTCAAGAAGAAAAAAGCAGAGAGGCAAGCTGTGGACTTGGGGGAAACATCAGTGGTGGGAGAGATACAGGGGGACCTCGAAGCTGCACAAGAGTCGGACTCAGAGTCTGAGGAGCAACAAGGTGGGGCAGAGATCGACGCCTTTGACTACCACTTTGCTTCAGAGGGTCCCTCGACTCTGTCCGAGCTTGCCAAAGTCGCCTCGTCTTCCTCATCAGGCTCACTCGACTGGGCGTCGAGCACCAGCAACGTCCAGGGTCTTGGCCCCGTGTCGGTCGAGGAGCTCCAGAGTGTTGCAGCCGTCCGACCAAAGGTGGTTCCCACAAAGCCGCATGCAAAGGTGCTGGAGGCGTACAACGCCACGACAGAGCGAGAGGGGAGGGCGAAGCGAGCGGGCTTTGTCAAGGAATTGGGGAGCTACCGAGATGTCCTGGACACGAGGAGCTCCATTGTCGAGGACAAGGACGAGACGAGGCGGGCCGTTGCGCTCCATTCCATGAGCCACATTGTCAAGAATCGGCGGCGGATCCTGAGAAACAACGAGCGGCTAGCTAAAGCTGCTTCGTCGGGGCAGTCACTGCAGCGAGATGTGCGCGATCAGGGCTTCACCCGACCAAAGGTTCTCATCCTGGCCCCACTCCGAAATTCGGCCCTCGCTTGGATGTCGATCCTCTCGAGCCTGTCGACATGCCCCCAGATCGAGAACAACTCCCGGTTCCGGTCCGAGTATAGCCTTCCAGCCGGCGCAGTCGACAAGCTTACCCAGCCCGGAGCGCAGGAGAAGTACGCAAAGGACCATATTGAGACCTTCAAGGGCAACATTGACGACTCGTTCCGGGTCGGCGCCAAGCTGACCCGCAAGAGCTGGAAGCTGTTCAGCAACTTCTACGAATCCGACGTCATCGTTGCAAGCCCCCTCGGGCTGAGGCTGGCCATCGAGGGCGGAGAAAGGGATAGCGACTTCCTTAGCAGCATCGAGATTCTCATCGTCGATCAGATGGACGTCATGACGATGCAGAACTGGGACCACGTCCAGTTCTGCCTCTCCAAGCTCAATGCGATTCCGAAGAAGGCTCACGATACCGACTTCAGCAGAGTCAAGCAGTGGTATCTCGACGAGCAGGCTCGCTTCTTCAGGCAGACGATCCTCCTTTCTGCCTACGACGCACCAGAGTTCAGACAGGTGTATCGCAGCCTGACGAACCTCGACGGCAAGCTGCGCACCGTTGCGTCTGGCTCAGAAGAGGAGAAGGGTGTCCTGTCCCAAGTCCGCAAGGGCCTCCGACAGTCATTCACCCGATTCGACTGTGCAAACGCCAATCTCGAGCCGGATTTGCGCCTGCAGACGTTCCTTCAGCGTACCCTTCCTTACCTCCAGAAATCGGCGCAGTCATCGAGCCACACGCTCATCTTTGTGCCCTCGTACTTTGACTACATGCGGCTCATCGACGCTCTGCGACGCCGCCGTGAGCAGCCCGCAACCTCGTCGGGCGAGCTCTCGTATACCTCTTTGTCCGAGTACTCGTCTGGCAAAGAGATCTCGAAAGCTCGTGAGGCCTTCTTTTCGGGCAAGAAGAGGCTATTGATCGTCACGGAGCGCTTCCACTTCTACCGACGCTACGTCCTCCGTGGTGCGCGGACAGTCGTCTTCTACGGGCTACCGGACCACAAGCAATTCTGGACGGAGCTGCTCGAATTCCCCTTTGTCAGAGGTCTGGGACGTGACGAGGAGGGAGAGGACGAGGAGCCGGAGACGGACCCGACAGACGTCAATGTGCTCGCCCTCTTTTCGAGGTACGACTTTCTGAGGCTGGAGCGCATTGTCGGTGGCGAGATGGCGAGGAAGATGTGCAGTGCCGAAGAGACAAAGACGACTTGGAGGTTCGCTTGATACAATGCTATAACCTCAACTCATTTTAGCAGCTTCTTGTGATGCTTGAGCATGGGTTCCGTCTGGCAGGATGCGGTAACTGATGGCTCAAGATCATCTTTATTGGAGAAATGGTTTCGAAAAGGGGAAGAGGCCATGGGCCATGGTGAGACATCGAAGGGGGACTTTCTGAGTTGGTCAGAGGATCTGCGGAAGGCGATCTCTTGTTTAGAAGGAATTAAAGGGGCTTTGAAAAGAAAGAAATGTGAGCGTCGAGCGTTCATTGCCTTCGTCCGAGGAGAAAGCGCTCTTGGTGTGCTCTGTCTAGGGTGTGACCGGTTGCCGTGGGTGTAGCGGGCCGGGAGGATGGTGTCTTCTTACTTGTTGTCACTCTTGTCCTCGCGGAGACAAAGGGCGCCAAGGCACTTGAGTTTTGTGACGTGGCTCGACTGCGTGAAAAAGGCCCTTTTCTGGAAAATCTCGGTGCCAGCGGACGTCGGATCAGTTAGAACGTCGCCAATCAGCTCTCGCTTTGCTTGAATCTCCTCAGTCTCTTCGACATGGCGCTTGAAGATTGTCTTTCCATGGTTCGATGTCGTGTCAATGAGACTTGCCAGATTGTCGGCCAAAGTGATTTCATCGCGTGTTGCAGCAGCTTTGAGCTCGGCCAATGCAGACGAAACGATCAGATCCGAAAGGTGCCTCTCGATTAGCTGCTCTAACTCCTCGGCGATGAGTCGATCTATTATGTCGACATGCTCGAGGAAGACGACTTTGCCTCGCTTCGTATTGAAGAGTTCAACGACACCAAGATGCTCATCGTCGCGCTCTTGCGGCTCTTCATCTGACGTCTCGTCTCTGGTGAGCACGAAGAGCTGCTCATTGCTAAGAGATTCCGCTTCCTGCTTTGAAGATATGAGACAAAGTCCACGAGCCGTTCACGACGACTTACGGTGCTCACCTCTCTTTTGCCTTCGTGGATCATAGCGATTCTACTGGAAGTCTTGCTCCAACAGCCCTGCCCCGCCCCTAAGCCGGCGGTGCCCTCCTGCTGACTGGAGCACAGTCCACGCTTGTAGAGCTCACCATCTCGACGCACATACTTTTCGAACGCACGCTTCTCGACTTTGATCCCATCAGTGAGGTAGCTTGTTCCTGGGTGAGGCAGGCCTGGAAAGATATTATTAGGCGGCTGCGATATTTCCCGTGTCCTTAAATCGGGCTTTTTCTTCGGATTCGACGAAGACTGGGGTGTAGAACGTCGTCCGAGTGGCAGCAAGTTGATTGGGTTCGGCTCCACCCGGCTTTTGAGCCGCTCCGTTGAAAAATTAGGCTCCTCGCTCACAGTACCTGCTTGTTCAGGTAGCAACAAGGTCGGATCCGCGCTCGGAAATCCTTGCAATTTTCTATCTGCACGACCGGGCTTGATGCCGGGGGGCAGTCCCATATAGTTCGGAGGTACTTCGGGAAACTTTAACCCTTTAGGGGACTTCTTACGACCAGTTTTGGCATCGCTGTATGCGTAAGATGTCCCGCCAGACTTAGAGGTGCCCGAAGCGGACGAAATTGTTTTGCCGGAAAGGCTGTTGACATTCGAGATGACGCTCGCCGCCACATTACCAGTAGTGTGTATTTCTGCGTGAGCATTGTCTGTAAAGCGAGGATCTGAGCTCTATTGCATTGCAGTGCTTGGCTGGATTGGTAACTCACCGCGCTTGCCAATGGCTTTTGCATCGTTGGAGGTACTGACATCTCCAAAGAGACTTTTTGCGTTCGAGATCGACTCGGCCGCCGAGCCGCCAGCGTGCGCATTGACTTTGCTATTGCTCTGGGCACTGATTCCGCTGGCGTGTCCATCCGAATGACCGATGGCCGTCGAGAAGAAGCCCGGTGGGTACAAAGTCGTCGCATCTGTCGGCTCGTACTTTACAAAGGGAAGGTGACTGTCGCCGTCCGGACAGGTGTAGTAGTCGCAAAAGTCGGACTGCATCTTGAAGCAGAGGAGCGAAGGCGAGAAGCTGTCCGGGTCGGGCGTCTGATCACAGTCACACTTGTACAGGCAGTACTGTGCTGGAGAGGGAACCGTCGTTGGAATCACCGTGGAACCGATGCGTATGTCGACTGGACCGGGATCGGACGTAGGCGTAGTAGGAAGGACGGCGACAGGCACGCAAAAGAAGTCCGAGGGACACTTGAGGCTGCGGTAAAAGTCTGCATCGTAATATCCGGTCGGCGTACCGAGCATACACTTGACGTCTGGATTAGGGGCTGGGCCAAAGTCACTGCCGCTACCAGCACCAGCGCCTCCACCACTGACTGCTGTTGTGTCGTCGAGGTTGCCGACGTTGTCATCATTGTAGGCAGGCGCTGCCACCGAGGCAGAGAACAGGACAAAAGCCAAGGCTAAGGAAGCAGGCCTCACGAACATCTTCTTTTGGCGAGACGGAAGTGAGAAAAGAAGAAACGCAGGCAAAAGGGGGAATATTCGTAGACGGAGCCCCTTTTAGGAGATACGAGGCCAGATGGGGGAGCATAGCGGGCGAGGAAAAGTACGAGGGGGGAGGCGATACAATGGAGAGGTAGAGTGAACCGCCGTGGCCGTGTGTGCTCTGATACTCCGCCATCTTTCGTCCCTGGCGGTTTTCTAATGGTGAAGGTGGGGGGGACCCCACGGCTACAATGACTTCGTCTTAGCTGTTAAATCTGGCAATGATCATGAAGCTACAACCGCTGCAATTGTTCGTAGGAGCTGCGGACAGCTAATATTTCGCGCGCCGGAGCTGCTATCCTGAGATAGCTGGCCCTTTTTTTGGCAGGAACGCTCAGACGCAGCATTGTTGTGTAGGTTGACCGATTCGCTGACCGATAGCTCATTCATCTTATTTCCCTTTTAGTCTAGCACAAGGCTGCTGCTGCCCCGCTACTCCGCTGTGCTGTGTCACAATGGGAAGATTATGATGAAGCGCGGCGCCCTCCTCGCCCTGACTACACTTCAACAAGCGCTGTGCCGCTCGCTGCCTTTGCAAGTCGGTTCATGACTGCCAGGCCCAAGCCCAGATCGTCAGGCATGGCTTCGACAAAGATGAGGTCGCAACCCTCTGCCTCATCGAGTCTTCGCAGGCCATCAAAGAGCCGTTTTGCTGCTGTCGCATGTCGATCGTCGACCGAGCCGAGCGAGAAACGGTGGAGTTGTGGATCTTCGAGTGATCGAGTCAAGGGAGAGTTGTCCATGCTCATCAAGCCTACTCTTGGCCGTCGCTGTCCCCCCAGTCCTTCTCTGTAAACGCGCTCGACGTGTGCAGTCACGGCCTCTTTCAACGGCATCGCCGGTGCATTCTGTGCCATACTTTCGCCCAAGGCCAGCGCTGTCGTGCCTCTGGCTTGCTCTTTGGTCGGCCCCGCTGCTGGATTCACGCCATTTGCCTGGTCTGGCCGGAACGGGACCAAGAGAATGACTTGTGCGTCGGGGCTGTAATGGCGGTACTTCATTCCAGGCGTCGTTGGGTTGGCCTCTTCATGCTTGTCCCGCGCCATGTCTCTTCCATACACACGCACTCTCACTGCCTCGTCTGCACCCATTCCTTCTCCCACTGCCAGAAGTCCTTCCTCCTCTAGCGCCTCCTCCATGGCCTCAACCGAGATGCCTCCTGGCCTCAGGACGCGCAGCTCTCCCTTGGCCGTGACCCCATCAACGACGGTTGACTCGACACCGAGCTCGCACGGCCCTCCATCCAGAATGTAGGGCAGTCTCCCCTGCACCTCGCCACCCACGTCACTTGTCGTTGAGTCAATACGAGTCATGTCCCGATAGACGTGCTCTGCCCGAGTGGGACTCGGTCTACCGCTGGTGTTGGCTGACGGCGCAGCTAGCGGAACCTGGCACGTAGCAATCAGTGCTCTCGCCAGCGGGTGACTCGGCATCCGGACGCCCAGCGTCTTGAGGTTGCAGCGGACGAGCGCCGGTACGCCTCTCCTGGTAGGCCCTGCTGCTTCCTCGGCCTGGACCGGCATGAGGAGCGTCAATGCGCCCGGCCAGAATCTCTTGATGAGCGCCTTGTATACTCTATTCGGCTCGTAGCCAGTGGGCAGAAGCTGATCGAGCATCTCGAGGTCGGACACATGGACGATGAGCGGGTTGTCGGCGGGTCTGCCTTTCGCTGCAAAGATTCTGGACGCGGCGGTCGCGGAGAGGGCATTTGCGCCCAGGCCGTAAACAGTCTCGGTGGGGAATGAGACAATGTGAGAAGCTCTCACTGCTTCAGAAGCCAATTGGAGCGCTTCCCGTGTGACGGCTGATGAGACTTCGACCTTTGCTCGACGTAGCGGCTCCCTTGACGGACCAGCATGCTGCGAGGACGAGGCTTCTGTGAAGGTGATGCTCTCCTCGGGATCCGTCTTGAGTATCCGAGTGGGAAAGGTTCGTCCTGGATACCCCTGCCCGTCGGTCATCCACGATGGTCTGCTCGCTTCCTTTCCTTTGGTCGTCATTGTTGCCAAGAGTCGTCTGCTTGCCAATCGATGCAGTGCTTGCATGTCACCATCCAAACTCTCTTTTCGTTCTTCCCAAATCTCGAGACTTTTTATATTTTTTTCCCTCTTTCTGTTTCCTCGTCTCCCGAAAGCCGAGCAAGGGCCTGAAACGTGGACGCGCTGGTAAGTAATAAGCTCATTGACGAGACGGAGACCTTCTGTTGGACGTGAACGACTAGTCCTACCTGCCTGCCTGCCCGTCTGTCTGTCCACTCGACAGTCAACACAGACGCACCTTGCATGCCGAGCACCCACTACGTCAACCAGGTTGCGCCCCTGAATCGCCACTCGCCACGCACCGCCGTCGAAATGGCGTCGGGCCAAGATGAGAGCTTCACCTTTACCGTGGGCAAGCTCGACGCCGGCATGGCCATCCTGATTGGCGATCGTGCGAGTCTGATCGAGTTCCCCTCGCTGCTCCTGCCTCAAGATGCCACGTCGGGCTCCGTCGTGCGCATCTCGGTCTCTCGCAACCAAAAGGAGGAGGAGCGGAAACGGCGCGAATTCGACGACCTCCAGGAAGACGTCCTCGAGACGTTTGGAACGCGGGCGCCCGTCGCGCCTGCGCTGCGGTTGCGCGCCGTCACGCAGACGTCCATCACGCTGGAGTGGGACAGGCTGGACCTGGCCACGTCCAAGCTTCTGAGTCTCGACATCTACCGCAACTCCGAGCGACTCGCTCCGATCCCCAACCCGCTCAACAACACAAGCACAAAGTTGTCGGGCCTCGAGGTCAACAAGCCCTACCAATTTCACCTCATCCTCAAGACGACGGCGGGCACATTTACGTCCAACGTCGTCCGCACAAAGACGCACGACATGAGCGACACCTCTGGCATCAGCGTCTGCTTTGGCTACGTCGCCGGCGGCGCGGCGCCCTCTGAGCACGACGGCGAGCTCTCGGAGCTCGAGGCGCGGGCGCGCGAGACGCTCGAAGCCATGGGTGCACGCTTCAGCGACCGGATCCAGATTGACACGACACACTTTGTATGCACCCACCCGCGCAACCGGACCGACTCGCCCGGCGAGGCACAGGGCAACGAGCGGACGCGCGAGATGCGCGGCGCCATGTTTAACAAGGCCATGCAGCTCAGCATCCCCGTCGTGCTGCCCCACTGGATCTTTGCATGCGCAGAGCAGAAGCGGTGCGTTTGGACATCTCTGCGGCTGTCATCTCTTTTTAGCTGACTCGTACATTCCCTCTCTCACAACAGCATGGTGCCCATCTCGGCCTTCTATATCGACAAGGAGCCGCCGAATGCAACGGCCGTTCGCGCCTCGCTTTCCAAGGGCAAAGGTGTGTCAGCCAATAACGACGAGGCAGCAGCAGCAGCGGCAGCGGCGGCAGAAAGCAGCGCAAGAGCCCAGCAGTCGCTCCCTCCAACACCAGCGCATGAACAGCCAACGCCGACATCTGCCACGGCGGATATCCCAGCGCCAGCAGCCGCGGAACCAGGACCAGAGGCGAGACATATCGAGGAAGAGTCTGGTGCCGCGGGCGATACAGCCGCCATCGCCACCGAAGAGGAGCCGGACTCGAGCGTCGTAGTAGCGGCGGCGGAAGAGAAGGGAGAGGGGCAAGAGTCTTCGGCAGCTGTGCCGTCGTCGTCGGCAACAGCGCTAAAGGACGACGAGGAGACGATGGACGATGTGAGCCTTGGCGGCGGGGCCAGCGAGGTCAATCTCGCCAGCGGCGCAGGGGTGCCGCCGTCTTTGACGGACGCAGCGTCAGCCGATGCGCCAGCCGACGAAGAGGTCGATCTGTCTTGAGCGAGACGTTTCTCGCATGCTGGAAGAGGTAGCATGACCATGTGTCAAGAATGATGATGATGATGCAACAATGATTTTGTGCCAAGCCAGCTAGATCAAAAAGACATTTGCAAGAGAGAAAGAGACAGAGTAGAGAGAAATCTAAGGAGGGCACAAGGACACTGCTGGATGCTGTTTCCTACAGTGCAGGTGCCTCATCCGGGTGTGTCAATGTGCGCGGAACAACATACAGCGGCTCCTTCTCTGTTGGTTGTTGGACAACGAGAGAGGAAGAGGGATTAGCAACAAGCTCGCAACTGCCACAGGAGCTTGTGCAGAGACGTTCACTCACCGTCTGCGCCATTCCACCACTGCTTGAGGCACGAGTAGCCCTCCCTGTCGAAGCTCTTGCCCGGGTCGCAGCTGCACCGGCCATTGGCGTGGTACTCTGGATTCGTCGGACAGTGATTCCACGGGACGTGGTAGTAGCCAATGTCGTCAAAGTGGTGCAGGCGAGCCTTGTCAAGGAAGAGAATCGCCGCGATGCTGTGCACGGGTGCGTCGCCCCACCGCTCGTAGAAGAACCCGCCGGCCTTGTCGAGGTGGTCAAAGTACTCGCTGTACTCCTTGCCTCGCCAGAATCTGTCAAGATCGATCCATCAGCATGCAAGCGCTTGCCTGCAAAAAGAAGGGGGGAGAAACACACCTCAGGTCGCCAATCTCAAAGTTGCTCCAGAAGTGGCACAGGTTCCAACCGGGATCCATGAAGCGCTCGGGCTCGTCGGTGAGGAAGTGCATGCCGTTCCGCTTGGCCACGTACTCTGGGTTCTTCTTGACAAACTCCTTTGTCGTCTCCCAGAGCGAGGGCACCGTGCCGAGGTATTCGTGCAGCGCCATTGTGAATCCGTATGTCTGTTTGAAGGCATGCTATGTTAAGTGGCTGTCTTTGGTGTAAATAGATGTGCACGGGTGCCTCACCTTGTTGTTCATCTGCATGAACAGGAACGGGTCGTAGTCAATGTCGCAGAAGAGCTTGATCCCTGGCTCGACGCGCCAGTAGTATTCGAGGTCCATCGTAAGCGGGTGGCGGAAGAAGAAGCCGGACTGGAAGCGGCACATGTGACGATACGACTCCGAGTCACCATAGATGATTTTCTGCTTGCCATGTCAGCCTCTCCCTCTGTATCCCTGACAAAGAGACACGCACATCTTCCCTCATCTTCCTCCTCGTCTCCGCCGCCTTGCTCTGGTCGATCCAGTCGGGGTAGCTCCAGTGCTCCTTGGGCACCAGGCCGAAGCGGATCTCGCTCCTCGTCATTTGTCGCACGCCCTTTTTGAATTCGTCCGAGAAGGGCTCGTCTGTCCATGTGTCACCGCTAAGTCAGTCAAAGGCAAGGGCCAGATGCCTAGATGGGCTCCAGTACTCACTGTTGAGGAAGATCCAAGGATAGCCGTACTTTCTATTGAATCGGAACTCGACTGCATGCATGCAGGTGAGCTTTCCCGGTCTTTTCTGTAGAGATGAGTGATGGCGGGGGATCAATGACTTACCCTCCTTCATGCTCTCCATCATGCTCTCCAGCTCCTGGTTCCGGACCAGGACGATGAAGCCGGCCTTTGCGCGGGGTGCCTGGTTGGCCGCCTGTGGCACAAAGGTGGGCGGATAGATGTTCCCGTCCTTGCCCTTGGTGGCCCACTTGGCCAGCTCCTCGGCCGTCGTGGGTTTGCCCGGGTTGTGCGTGTAGAGGTCGGCAAGATCCTGCGACGGCACCAGTCCCGAGGCCGAGCCTGCGCCCGCGCTCGCTCCCCAAGACGAGGGGAGATGCTGCGAGAAGCCGGAGCGGACGCTGTCGTAGCCCGTCGGACTGAGGGTGAGCCATGTCGAGAAGCTGAGGATGACGAGGAAAACGACGGCGAGGCCAATGAGCCGCTGGGGCCGTCGGCCAAGGCCCTCCAGGAACGAAATCCCTGCCATGAAGACCAGCAGCACCAAAAGAACAGGAGAAAGGAAAAGAAGGAAGAGATCCGGCCGAAGCGTCTGGGGATTCTTGATTGATGGAGGCCAAGGAGGAATTGCATTGCATCCTCCCGACGGCAGCTAAAAAAAGTCCAATTTTTTGAACCGAGCAGGCGCGCAAGGGCAGCAGCGCCCTCGCGGCAGGACCGCCACACAGCCCGTGCTTCCGAATATGCATGTTCTCGTCCGTCGATCAGTCAGCATGAAAAAGAATGACTGGGTAGATGGTGTTCGATATTGATATGAAATCAAGCAGGCTGAGTGGTGCGTCACGATGGAGATAGAGAACAGGAGAGATTGGAACGCGCTCAGTAGGCAATATGGACTGTCTTGAGCTCGGTGAAGTCTTCGATGAAGGCCGTGCCGTTCTCGCGGCCGGAGCCACTTTGCTTCCATCCTTTTGCAGTCGCTCAGTCAGCAGAAGAATAAGGAAGAAGGCAGAAGAGGAAAGACTCACCGCCAAAGGGAAGACGGTCGTCGACGATGATGCCCGTGTTGATGCCGACGGTACCGGCTTCCATCTCACGGGACACGCGCAGAGCCTTTGACAGGTTCGTCGTGTAAATTCCACCGTGAAGTCCGAATTCGGTGTCGTTGACGCGCGCAAGAACCTCTTCCTCGGTCTTGAAGGGCATGACACACACGATAGGGCCAAAGATCTCATCGCGCACAACCGAGACGTCGTCGGAGTTGGGGACGAGGATGGTGGGCTGGATGTAGTAGCCCTTGTTCTTGACGGGGTCCGAGGTACCATGGAGGAAGTGGGCCTCGTGCTGGGCGGCGGCAAGGTAGCCCTTGACACGGTCGTACTGCTTCGAATCGACGAGTGGGCCCATCCTTGTGTCGGGCAGCATCGGGTCGCCGGGCACGACTCGAGCAGCATACTGCTTCAGACCGTCGACAAATTGATCGAGGATCGACTCGTGAGCATAGACCCTGGTGTGGGCAGCACAGACCTGGCCGGAGTTCCTCGTGAAAGACATAAAGGCATTTTGGATCGCCTTTGGCAGGTCCGCGTCCTCGAACACGATGGCGGCGCTCTTGCCACCCAGCTCGAGGCAGACCTTCTTGAGGTTGGAGCGGCCAGAGTTTGCAGTGATGACCTTGCCGGTGACGCAGGATCCAGTAAAGGTGATCATGCGCACGTCCATGTGCAGAGAGAGGGCCTCGCCGGCAGGAACGCCGTGACCGTGAATGACGTTGATGATCCCGGGAGGGAAGCCCGCCTCGGCGCTGAGCTGGGCGAGGTACGCGCCGGCCAGGGGTGTCTTCTCAGAGTCCTTGTACACGATCGTGTTGCCGCAGGCGACTGCAGCGCCAACCTGCCGGATATTCTCAAGTCAGCCTGAGGGAGCAAAGTCATCGGCGCAGCTGCTGTGTCCAAGCATTACCTTGACGACAAAGCTGAGAAGACCGCGTTATTGTTCAGCTTATTACGGATCTCGTTGACAGGATGACTCCATCGACTCACGACACGGCAGGGATGTTCCAGGGCGCGATTCCTGCTACGACGCCAAAGGGCTGGCGCCAGCTGCACGAAAAGAGGCTAGGGCAGACCATGGTCAGCTTGCGAGTCGCATGAGGAAATCTCGCTCCGCTGCTCACTTGCTGCCGCTCCCGTCGGGGTTTGGCTTCGGCTCCACCGTCTCACCGGTGATGCGCTCGGCTGTGGCTGCACACCAGTCCAGCTGAATTTATGCATTGGTCACATCAGCACGTTCCCCTTCCGACGATAGACTAGCGCATTTGCCCGTTTTTTTTTTTTTTCACCTTTGCAATGGCGCCCATCGTCAGGGCTTTGGAAGCCATCATGGGAGCGCCAAGGTCAATGCTGTTGAGCTTGGCGATGATGTCGAGGTCCCTCTGCATGAGTTCAGCCAACTTCTTGAGAAGTGCCTTCCTCTCGGCACCCGGCACATCTTTCCAGGCCTTGTGACCGTCAATGCCCTTGTAGAAGGCACGCTTGGCTGCCGCAACGGCCTGATCGACCTCTTCCACACTGGCCTCGGAGCACTGCCGTCATCATCATCAGTATACAAGGTCGATTTCGCTTTGGCAGCGGGCAACTCACGACGGCAATCTGCTCCTCGGTCGCAGGATTGACGACGGGAAAGGTCTTTGCGCTCGGGGGCGCAAACTTGCCAGCGATGAAGTTGGAAAGGTTGAGCTTTATGGGGATCGAGCTGTGCTGGGTCTCCATGGCGGTGAGGACCTTGTATGGTCCAACAGAAGAAGAGCAATTTTAGGAGCAATGAGCAGGAAAGGAACAAATGGGCCCGCCACACGGTTCACGCTATATATTGTCTCGCCACCTCTAATGCGCTGAATGAAAGTCGGCCGCCCGGGCTGAACCCCCCTTCGTAGACGGAGCGGAGGACACCACAACACCAATCATGTTGAAGCACTGCAGAGAAAGCCCCGCCAATGCATTGCGTGTCTCTCCCTACGTTGTCTCCGGAGTTGTTTGAGGCAGTCTGCTAGTCGAGAGCGGGAGGGAAAGCGTCCCCGCGCACGTCCCTTTTTGCTAAATCTACTACTCTAATAATGTGTGCTCGATCTTTTCGCTTCCGAAAGGAACGGACTTCGAGAAAGGCGATGGTGCGCGCCTTACCTGGTCCCCATCTTGCTCTTCATCATCGCATTGCACTCGCAAACGAAGCTGAGAGCCAAACGCGGGATAGACAAGGCGCTTGCAACCCTGCGCGATGCCACGGCAATCGTACGGTGAGCTGTAAAGGCAGCGTTTCGGCCAAATTTCGGTCTAGATCACGTGTAAGTTCTCAGTGTTAGTTGAGAGTACCACGTGGTGACCGAAGCCCAACGGAGAGCGCCCACCGCGATGAGATGGGCTCGGTCGCTCGAAGAATTTTGAAGATAGGGTTTCTGTCTGCTTGCTCTTTTTCCCTCAACCCCTCCTCTCCCCAGTAACGCCCGCACAAACGATGGCGGCCCGTGGTGCTCTCGCTCGCCTTCCTCGCCTGGCAGCTGCCGCCCGCTCGGTGCACTCGTCGGCGGCGGCCTCGTCGTCGTCGGTGCTGCTCCCCAAGGCTGCATCGCCGCGGTCGATTGCCCAGGAGGCTGCTCGTCTCTCGGCTTCGGCCTCGGGTGCCAGTGGCAGCGCCTCGCCTTCCTCTTCTTCGGGACAGGTCCGATATGCGAGCTCGAAGCAGGGAACAGAGATGACGGTCAGGGACGCGCTCAACAGCGCAATGGAGGAGGAGATGCTGAGGGATGACAAGGTCTTCATCCTCGGTGAAGAGGTGGCCAGGTGTGCGTATCATGTTGCTTGCTTTCCTTTTGAGAAGAGAGAGAGAGGAGCTGACCAGAGGATCCAATACAGACAACGGAGCTTACAAGATCACAAAGGGCCTGCTGGACAAGTTCGGAGAGCGCAGGGTCATCGACACGCCCATCACCGAGGCCGGCTTCACTGGTCTGGCTGTGGGCGCCGCACTGAGCGGACTGAGGCCCGTTTGCGAGTTCATGACCTTCAAGTATGTCTTGCTTTGAGCAGAATCAAAGCACAGGAGAGGAGGCTGACACAAGCGTGTAACACACAGCTTCGCCATGCAGTCGATTGACCAAATCATCAACTCGGGCGGCAAGACGTACTACATGTCGGGAGGAAACGTACCCTGCCCCGTCGTCTTTCGTGGCCCCAACGGTGCCGCTGCCGGTGTGGGTGCCCAGCACTCGCAAGACTACTCTGCGTGGTACGGCCAGATTCCCGGGCTAAAGGTCATCAGCCCCTGGAGCGCTGAGGACTGCCGCGGCCTGCTCAAGGCTGCGATCCGGGACCCCAACCCTGTCGTGTTCCTCGAGAACGAGATCCTGTACGGCCAGTCGTTCCCCGTCAGTGCCGAGGCCATGTCGGACGACTTTGTGCTGCCGATTGGCAAGGCCAAGGTCGAGCGAGAGGGCAAGGACATCACCATCGTCTCGCACACCCTCGGCTTGAACCACTCGATGGCCGCCGCCGAGCAGCTCAAGAAGGACGAGGGCGTCGAGGCCGAGGTCATCAACCTCCGCTCGATCCGGCCGCTGGACATCGAGACGATCATCAAGAGCGTCAAGAAGACGAACCGGCTCGTCACCGTCGAGGGCGGCTTCCCGGCCTTTGGCGTCGGCAGCGAGATCTGCGCCCAGATCATGGAGAGCGACGCCTTTGACCACCTCGACGCACCCGTCGAGAGGGTCACGGGCGCCGACGTGCCCACGCCCTACGCCAAGAACCTGTGAGTGGGCCATTTATCTTCTTTCTCACACTACATGCGCTGACATCAAGTGCAGCGAGGACCTCTCCTTCCCCACGCCCGAGGTCGTCGTTAAGGTTTGCAAGCGTGCGTTGTACAGGAGCTGAACGTCAAAAAGTGCAGAAAGGGCCAACGAGGGGATCACCTCTCATGAATAGATTTGTTGACACTTTGTCATGCTTCTTTTGGGTGTGTCTCATTCCATGGCAAGAAACAGAAAGCAGGGCAGATAAGATTACTTGTTGAGGAACTTGGCGTGCCAGGCGACATGCTCGGGGGCATACGTCGAGATGAAGTAGTCTTTGTGACAGTATTCCATCAGCATTTCTTGTCTGTACAAGAGCAAAGCGAGCAAACTCTTCACTCACAGCTGTGGTCGTAGCCGTCCTGCAGCCGGATCTGGACCTGCTTGTCGTCGTAGCCGGCCGACATGGCTGCCTTTGCCAGGTCCTCGGGCAGCAGCTGGCCGTCCTTGTAGAAGTTGTCGCCAGTGCCGCTGTCGATGAGAATGTCGACGTTGCGCGCGCTGGGCCCACCGGCGGCGGTGAGGAGCTCCGTGGCGTCGTGCTTGCTGCCGTCGGTCAGGCCATTGGCAAAGTAGCCCTGGAAGGCTTTTTTACCCCAGGGGCACGCCGTCGGGTGGCAGATGGGCGCAAAGGCCGAGACGGACTTGTAGGTGCCGGCGGGCGAGCCGAGGTAGATTGTCAGTGCGCCGTGCCCGCCCATCGAGTGGCCCGTGATGGATGCATTGGATGTGTCCTGGTATGCTATCGTCAGCTCCTCCTGTCATACACTTTCAAACACGGCTGCTGAGGAGAGAACACGCACAAGGTTCAGGCCCGCCTTGGAGAGCACGTCGGGAATCTCCTTTGTGACGTGCGTCCACATCTGGTAGTGCTTCGCAAACGGCTCCTTGGTCGCATCGATGTAGAAGCCAGCACCCGTGCCAAAGTCGTAAGCCTCGTCCTCGCCCGCTGCACCGGCACCGCGCGGGCTCGTGTCGGGGTAGACGACGGCGATCTGGTGCTCGGCAGCAGCAGCGTGGAAGCCGCCCTTTTGCGCGCCATTGTCCTCGGTACACGTCAGGCCAGCCAGGTAGTAGAGCACGGGCACCTTCTTGCCGCCACCAGCCAGGGCAGACGAGGGCAGGAAGACGTTGAGGTTGGCAGACAGGCCGCCCAGCGCAGACGACGTAAAGGAGTACTTGCGCAGCTCGCCGTCACAGCACTTGTTTGATGATTTTTGCTCGAGGCTCGACATGTTTGCTTGTTCTTCTTCTGCGTTGGTGTCGCTGAAAGTGACGTTTGAGTGTGTACGTGTGGTTGTTGTCAACAAAAGAGGGAAGAAGACCCGTCTCGCTTGCGCCTAAAGCGCCTAATCCCTCCAAAGGTGGAGGTCGTCTATCGCCCTCTCTTGTCGGGCATCCCCCGAAGACAGCACCAAAATATAAAAACGTCACGTCGAGCCCTCCTCAATTAAGCTTCTCAAAAGCACGAGCCCTGAGCACAGGCCTCCCCTCGTCTATTTAGATTAAGTGGTGGAAACACATGAGAGGATGGGAACACAAGGAATGAGAAGGGGATGAAGAGTAGTGGAAAGCTGTATCTACAGAACACCAGCGACAACCCCGCCCGCAGCCATGGAGAGGGTGAAGATGAGGCTCTTGGCCAGGTGCACCATCGCATCGGAGTCCTGGGGCGACGGGAGCAACGACGCACCCAGGCCGACGAGGGCTGGACCGGGGCAGAAGCCCGAGGCGCCCCAGCCGAGGCCAAAGAGCGTCGCCCCAGTCAACAGCTTCCAGTCGATGTCCTTCCTCGTAGGGACGCGCCATCTGGGTGCAGCCTTGTAGAGCAGCGGCCGGTTGCCCTCGTCCGCCGTGGCATTCTTGGACCGCCTGTCCTGCTCGGCCGCTGCATCGATGCGGGGCTTGATGGTGGTAAAGTAGCCAATGGAGCTCGGCACAATACCTCCCAGGGCGACAAAGGCCAGCGAAGGGTCCCACGAGCCCGCCCTTATCCTCGACGGAGACATTGCCAGGAAGCCGAGGACTTTCGAAGGGCGCTGGCAATTCGTCATGCTTTCAGTATATGCAGATACGCGCACTTGTCATCGCAGACTCACCAGCATGCCGGTCAGACCGAGGCCAAAGGCGAAGTGCAGCCCGACAAAGAAGGCAGTCACTTTCGCAGCTTGTTCGTGCATGGCCCGTCTGTCGCTTTCTCGTTCTTCTTCCTCGTCCTCGTCTTCTCCCTTTGACGCTTTTCCGTTCGATCGCTGTGGTCGGACCAGCCAGATCAGTGGAGCTGAACGGAAATACTTCCCTTCTAGCAGAAAGAAACCCACTTGAACTAGAGCAGGCACAATTACCGCGTAGATGAGGGCGGGCAGCTGGAGCAGAACAAGCGAGGAGGCCGTAGGCAGCACAGGGTGTGCCGTGGCCGCCTTCTGAAGTAAGGTGGGCGCAGCATGGAGCGAGAGGTGCGTGGCCACTGCCACACTGAAGAAGGTCGCAGTGGCGACGAGGGAGCGGATCGAGAAGCGGGAAAGGCCGCAGAGAAAGTGGCCCGAGGTGCAGCCGCTTCCGAGCTGTGCTCGCGGTTGTCAGGCATACAGACTGGCAGAAGGACGGGACCACTTGGGGACTGCTGCTCACCTTGGTGCCAACACCGACGAGCGAGCCAGTCACGAATGCCGGAAAGAGGTAGCGGACCGACTCGAGGCTGAAGAGACCGTGACCCTTTGTGATGTGCCAAGAGCTGGGCGCGATGGGGTCGAAGAGGAGCGTGCCCAAGGAGGCCTCGAGGGGAAGCTTGAATGCACCAAAGATGGCCCCGCCCGTGAGGAGACCGACGGTGAAGAGACGCGCCACGATGCGCGACGTCTTTTCGCTCTGGATCTTTTCGTCGTCAGCGGGCGAGATGGCATGCTTCTCGGCCGGTGCGTCTGTTGCAGGAGACGAGACGAGGCTGTGGACCGTGGTGTGAAAGAAGCCACTGATGCCAAGGACGGCGCCGAGGTGGCCCAAGAGACCGTGCACGCTCGACGCCAGCATGAGCCCGCCCACGAGCGAGTGCACGGGCGAGAAGGCCGGCGAGGCCGTCAGTCCCAAGAAGGACGTCGTCGTCCCTGTAGTCATTTGTTAGATTGCCGGGTCCGAAAGAAAGATTCCCAGTGTTTGAGCGAGAAAGAGCTGCCTGCAGGTGGAGACGTGAGCGCCCACGTGAATAATTTGAAAGGTCGCTCGACCAGACCCGGTCCCGTCCCATCATCACACACCTGCAAGGTCCACCAACGCGAACGCACCCCCGCGAGCCCCTCTTGCACCAGCTATCTTCGCTCTTTCCCCTCCAGGCGAGCCATTCAGAGGCATTACGACCTCGTACTTAGCGCATACAACCTACCGGACTCATGGTGAGTGGCGCCGCACTGTTGTGACCTTGCCAGGAGATATGGAGCGAAAGCTGAGCCTGTGGCGATGCCCCTTACTTGCTCACGTCCAGTCGACTCCCTCGAAGCGGCGGCTGATTCGAGACTTCAAGAGGCTCTCGACTGACCCTCCTGGGGGTATCTCTGGTGCGCCATGCGCCGACAACCTCATGATCTGGAATGCCGTCATCTTCGGGCCTGGTGAGCTTGGCTTATTTGTGCCACTTTCTGGCCCCTCGCCCTTATCTTCAGCTCAGGCTCTGACACTTTGCCTCTCCACACTCCAGCCGACACACCGTTTGAGGATGGGACATTTAAGCTGGTCTTGACATTCGACGAGCAGTACCCCAATAAGGCGCCCTCGGTCAAATTTCTCTCTCGCATGTTCCACCCAAACGTCTATGCAAACGGCGAGCTCTGTCTCGACATTCTCCAGAACAGATGGAGTCCCACGTACGATGTCGCAGCCATTCTTACGAGCGTGCAGAGTCTTCTGCATGACCCGAACCCGAACAGGTGGGTGGACCTTTTTGCAGGAGCTTTCGAATGGGAACGAGACGCAGCTGACGAGATTGCGTTTCTTTCTTTTGCTGGGCTAGTCCGGCGAACGCAGAGGCCGCGTCGCTGTACAGGGAGAACATGAAGGAGTATGTCCGGCGAGTCAAGGCCACTGTCGAGGAGTCGTGGCTTGACGATGGCGAAGGGGCCGGCGGTGCAGAGGGGCCAGCAGCGGCGGGCGAAGCACAGCCGCAAGTCACAGCGGCGTCCTCTTCGTGATCCTCTTCGCTGTGCTCCTTCCTTTCCTCGCCGTGACGCCCTCCCTTATTTCTTCTTACTCATGTGTTTTCTTAATCATCTTTTTCTCATCCCCACCTTACCCTGTCTCGCTTACTTCATTCTCAGACGTGACTGCAACATCAGCTTCTTCTCACAGTGCACAGCGCCGGGCCTCTATGAGTGATGAGTGATTGGTGATGCTGCTTCTGCTGCTGTTGCTAGTGTACAGATTGGGTAAACGATCACAGGTCCTTTCCGACGGTGTAGCTGGCCAAGTCCGTGTCTGGCTCGAGCTGCCCGCTCTTCTCGTTTCTCCGCGCGCCAAAGAAGCTGTAGCTGAGCACGACGTCGCGGACGTCGCGCGCATTGGGGTCATCGAGGACGTCTGCATCGATGAAGAAAAAGACAGGCAGGTCGACTTCTTCGTGGGCGAGCAAACGCTGCTCCTCGAAGCAAAAGCACTCGATCTTGGCAAAGTACGGCGCGATCTGGATTTCAAACCACACAAAGAGAAGTCAGCAAAATGGGAGCTTGACGAGGGCGTGATTCCAACCCACCCGGTCAGGCGAGACATTGTAGGTGGCAATGCCTGTGATGTCCTTGTTGCCGTCGTTCTTCGCCTTGTAAAACGCCAGGGCCGTCTCGCCGGGCAGGACGTAGATCTCCTCCTGGCTCGGCTTGAAGCTCCAGGGCAGCGCATCGCTGTGATCAGCGTTGAATGTGACGCGAATGCGCCTCGTCTCGCCGCTCGTAGCCGGGTCGAAGTACGAGGGAAAGAGGCGGGCCGGGTCGAAGCGACCGAGGCCGACCATGGGCGTGCCGCCAAAGCCAGTGGCGGAGCAAAAGGCGCGGTAGAGGGGCACGGCGGCATAGGTGACGCCGATACCGATGATGAGCGTCGAGAGAGAGTACATGAGCAGCGATCGGTTGCGTCGGCTGTACGTCTCGCGCCGCTGCTGGGCCAGACGGGCATGGGCTTCCTTTAGCGAAGGCGGCGCCTGCGACGAAGACGGCGGCGGCGGCGGCGGCGGCGGCGGTCCCTGGCTGGCATATCTTCGGAGCGAAGTCAGAAAGAGACGCTGCTGTTGCTGTTGCCTGAAACATATCGATAGCGGCGGTATCCCGCCCCGATGCCCTAGCAAGAGCCGCGCCATCTCTGTGTGCTGACTACTACTTGTGAATGAGTGAGTGAATGGAATGGTAGTCAGGGCCCTGCTTATTTTTCCTTTCTCCGTTTTCCGGTGCACGTGGAAATTCTTCGTCCACTCACTTTTTACATCTTCCTTTCCTCGTCGAGCGCACAAAGACGGCCAACAACCCATTCTGTCGACGTTCAAATCGGCAACATGACTGGCTCACGGGCAGTGAGCATGGCCTTTCCGAGGCCAACTGCATCAACAAGCATGAGACTACTGCGGCTGCGAGTAGCCCAGGCGTCTCTCCAACAGCCTCGCCTCCTGCAGACATCGGCACCCGCGACTGCCGCCCCCGCTGCATCGACCTCTTCCTCAACAATACCGCCCGAGGCATCATCATCAGCAGCCACATCAGCAGTAGCAGCAACACCTTCCGCACCAGCTCGATGGACACCAACCTCACGGCGTGTAGGCCTCATTGCCAGGAAGCAGGGCATGACAACCTTCTTCTTGCCCACGGGCGAGCGCATCCCCGCGACGGTGCTCCATGTCGCCTCGAACCAGGTCTCTGCGCACATCGGCTTCGGCGAGCGCCCAGCAAACAACGAGTCTGCGCAGTACACGGCCATTCAGGTCGCAGCAGTCGACTCGTTCAGCCCGCGCGCCGTCACAAAGCAGATCATGGGCCATCTCCAAAAGGCCGGCATCAGGATTGCGAAAAAGGTCATTCGAGAGTTTTGCGTCTCCAAAGATGCACTCATCCCCCTTGGTGAGCATCATACTGCATTGCATTCACTGAAGCTTCTCCATCGCTGACGGTCTCGCACTTGAATAGGCACCTACCTCTCGGCGGCCCACTTTGTGCCCGGGCAGAAGATTGACGTGCGCGCAGTGACGCGGGGCAAGGGCTTCCAGGGTGTCATGAAGCGCCACGGCTTCAAGGGTCTCCGCGCCTCGCATGGTGTCTCCGTTTCGCACCGCTCCCACGGCTCGACGGGCCAGAACCAGGACCCGGGCCGAGTGTTTCCGGGCAAGAAGATGGCGGGGCGCATGGGCGGCAACAAGCACTCGACGACGCACAACCTCGAAGTGCTCCGCATCGACACGAAGAGAGACCTCGTCGTCGTCAAGGGCCCTGTTCCGGGTCCTGAGGGCGGCCACGTCGAGCTCTGCGATGCGTCCAAGGACCTCGTCGGCCGCGCTGCCCACGCTTGGAGATCTGGACGACTCCCTGACGGCAAGGGCATGGCCACGGGCAAGGAGGGCAGCGACGAGTACCTACCCGAGGGTATCGTCGACCTGCCCTTCCCGGCAGGCACGCGCGAGCTGGCACGGACGATGCCAGAGATTGTAGAGGTCGGCCCCAAGGCGGCTTAGGCTTAGCATTCATTCATCGAGCCCCGTTTCAATTTCATCTCATATTATTTTTCTTCTTTTCGGCTCTAATTTTGAGAGAGGCAGATAGAGACGCGCTCGGACGAGGGAAGAAGTCTGAAATAACTCCACCATTCATCGTGACTGAGAGCAAGGATGGCCCGGGTGGACACGGCTGCGGCCTCGTCTTCATCGTCGTCGCTGTCACTCAAGCGACCCAGCATGGGCACCCAGCTGGGCTCGCTTCTGTCGCTCTACCAGTCCCTGGCGACGCTCCTGTTCGCACTTCTCGAGCAGCGCGCCTCGACTCGCGCCGGTGGTGGCTCCTCGTCGACGACGATGGGAGGCGCCGCTCTACATGCGCCTTCGCTCGACACGATCCCCACAACGTTCCACGCTGAGCTGGCGCACCTTGATCTCTTTCGCGGAGCGGCGACGGCAGCGAGCCAGAGCACAAGCATCGCCGATCCAGCCAGCGTCGTGCAGGCGATCCGCGCCGTCGATGCGCTCCTGGCGCGCCTGCTCGCGCTCGCGCGGCGCCATGCCACGAACCAAGCACGCATCGAGCGCCTCGTCGAAGAGTGCCGCGCAGCCGATGGTGCACTCTCGGGCCGGATCCGACGACTGGCACGCATCAGGGACCGGTGCGAGCGCCTCGTCGGCGTCGGCCGCGAGGAAGTGGCCGTCATGGAGCGCGCCGAGAAGAGTGAGTCCGAAATTTGAACCGTTCTTTCCGATTCGAATCTGGAAAGGCTGACTGGGCTGAGTGTTTCTGAGCAGAGCCGCTGGACTACAGGGATGTGCTGGCGTATGCGGGACGGCTCTCGCAGACGACGACGGCCCCCGCTGGCTTCACGCTGCCGACGCACGCCGACGACGACGATGACGACGACGACCAGAAAGGAGGGGACGCAGGCGGCGGCGAAGACGGACAACAAGGCGAAGGGAAGAACAAGAAGAAGAAGAAGAAGCCAATCTACGCTACCGAGGACGTCGATGGGGCTCAGCCGCCGCAATTTAGGGGCCAGGACCTCGTGCCGCCCGAGCTGCTGGACAAGCTGCCGTTCCCGAGCGTGAGCGCCATGCGAAAGGGCGTCGTCGAGATGCCGTTTCCGACGTGGGAGGCCTTCAGACAGGCGCAGCTCGAGGAGGAGGCCGGTCCGATGCTGCAGCAGGGTCAGATCGCAGGCGCGGCTCCCCAGCAGCAGCAGCATCATCCACAGGCGCAGACCCAGAGGCAGGTGCAGCCACCGCCGCCGGCTTCGATGCCCGCTCAGCAGCGCAAGCCTCCAGCCGAGGAAGACGACGACGGCTTCGGTCTCGATTTGAGCTGAGCATTTCCGTCTCTCTGTACAATAGCCCAATCTTCAAGCCCGTCTCTTCATCGCAATCGCACGTTCAGTACCATGTCCATTCTCGTATTAATGCATCTCTCAACCTCGAAAACACGTCCTAGCTGGTGGTGTCTCTTCTCTGTGCTCTGCTCCACAAGCATCAAGTTCCTCGACACGGGAAGGGCAGCACAGCACTGAAGATGCTTGAGTCTGAGCCTCTTCCGCGCTTGAGGGCTCACCGGCTAGCCACTGTCCCCCAACAGCGAGCAAAGGAGAGGGTAGCCTCATTTGTTCGGGAGCAAGCTCGCAAGCAGGTATCCTCGTCGGACCTCGCCGCGTCTCGCTCAGAGGTGCCGGCCCCTGCTCTTGTTCATGTGGATCATGGGCTCCCTCTAGCAGCAGCAAGAGACAAGACCCGTTTCGAGAAGAGCAGAGAGGTCAAGGAGAGTCCACTGCGGCACATTGGTGGCTCTGCTCAGCTCGATGACGGTAAAGAGGACTGGGCGAGTCCGATGGAAATCGCAGAACGTGGGTCGGAAGCTTTCGCTGCGCCTCGTCCTGGTGCTCTTTTGTTGGAGAGAGAGAGAGATGTTGGAAGGCTGACGATTGATGTTCATATTCTAAAGGTCTCCAGGGTCGGAAAGAGCGACGGCGAGAGAAAGCAGAGCGGCGAGGCGGAGCAGTCGATGTTCGCGACCGCACGAAATCAAAGGCTGCCAGGCTGCGCGAGGAGGCGAGGCACAAGAGGAGGAACCAAGACGCAAGCAGCAGGGGCATTCCCAGCAATGGGGAAAGTTCAGAGGAAGAAGACGACGATGACGACGATGACGACGATGACGACGATGACGACGATGATGACGATGCCACGAAGATGGAAAGACGGCGGCGCAAAAGGAATAAAACGGCGGGAGCAACCGACAGGATCATGCTGGGGTCGGCGTACGATCTCCTCAACACCATTCCGAAATGCGACGAGCACCGGACTGGACGATTGACTGTGAGTTTGCCTCGCGAAAGTGTGGCAGCTGAGGCAAATGTAGGCTGACCTATTCACGACATCACTCTGGACAGTACCCGGTCAGCAGCGGTCGCATCGGAGCAGGACTGACGAGCAAGGCGAGAACTTCGGAGCAATACCGAACAAGCAAGAGGGTGAAGGGAGTGCCGGACCTGACATTCAGCAGCATGGACTTCTTTCGAGGATTGGCAAAGAGGGAAAAGCAGACTAGGCGGAGAGAAAAGCAAATGGTAACGACCTTTTCCGCGACGAGCAGCACCGCACCGAGGAGGGACATTGAAGAAAAGGACATCAAGAGGACGACAGAAGTGCTGGAAGAAGCCATCACGAGGGCACTGAGAAGATTGGGCGAAGACAAAAATGTTCAACATGAGCCACGGGGGAGCACGATCGAAATGAAGAGGTCTGAGGTTCGTGCCAAGGAGAATAATAGGAAGAAGAAATGCCGACCGTCGACGCAGTTCCTGTCTTCAGACGGCATGAGTTCTACAGTGCCCGATGACGAAATGTCACGCAGAGACACTGCACCAGAAGAGCGTCTGGCACCTACCTCGAGCATCATGGATGAGGAAGAGACCTCTCAGCGATCTGCGTATAGTCAAGCACGCCGCTCTGAGGACAAGCGTCGTGAGAAGCTTGGCCCTGGTAAAGAGATCGAAAAGGAGGTCATCCGTGCTTCGACAAAGAAGAGCGTTGTTGTCGATGTTGGAAGCATGCCATGGAGCGCCGATCGCTTGCAACAGAAACTTGCTTCCGGCCTGGTCCAAGTGCCTTCCACTCGCGACGCTCCATTGACCGACGAACCCCTATCAAGCAAGAGCACTGTCACCGCCGACGCAGTACAATGCACAGAAACACAAGCAGGACCTCGGCCAGGCCGCGAAGACGGTGCCAAAGCCACGCCAATGCTCGCATATGGTCCTCACGGCCCGCAGCAGCCCGCCAATGCATGGAAGGCACGGCATGCCCGAAGCGACAGTCTCGAGGCGTGGGAGCTGAGAGAGATTGCCAACGAGAACGCCAAAAGGATCAGGCTGGACTACGGGCCGCCTGTGCCCGGGCTTGTCGCTTCGCCCTTCTACGTTGCGAGCATGCACTCCGCGAGAAACGTGGACGAGAACATTACGATACACAATGCTGAACTTGGACAGATCGGAGACTTGGAGAGGGAAGGAGAAGAGGAAGAAGTGTCTCAGTACGGCGTCAAGGAAGAAGAAAAGTCACGTTGCTCGACGTGCGGAGGCCCCGACGAGATTCTTGATGTAGGAGAAGCACAGCACCTCATTCGCTACGAAGAAGTGGATGGATCGGAACGTCCCTTCGAAGAGGTTCGACGAAGCGCATATCCCAGTGAACAAATTCAACAGCAGGACTTTGTCCATCCGCAGTACGAGGACGAACGCGAATGTGAGGACGAAATGCAGCACGAGGAACTACCAAGACTGCACTCGATTGCTTCCGCCCCGACGTGGTCCTCCCATGACTACCTTCGGCAGGAGCAAGCCACCGAGGGCGTAGAAGGTCTCTTTCGACCTGCTTGGCTTCACCCTGGCCTATCATCGCTCGCAGCCCGTCACACCAGCTTCGACGTAGACCAGGACCGCCCATCGAGCCACTCACACAGCTTCACTGGCCAGAATGGCCGAGGAAGTGACTCTTTGCTTGTCCCTCAAGATCAGCTCAAAGGGTTCTGGAAGCCATTCCGGGCTTGATGTCTCCTCCATCCACCCTTGCGAAACAACCCTGCCTCCTGATCCTGACGCCCCCTCTTTCCACCATCACCCTCCCCTTGCTGCCCAGCTTGACGCTGGCACTAGGCTTATCTCTAACGAGTAAAGATTCAATCGGATTCGTCTTTGATTTACTAGTTGTAGGTTGTGCCGGTGCGATAGATAGGTAGAGATGGGTGAGAGGTGGTGGATTATTTTTATTCCTCCTTTTTCGTCCTGCTTCCACCTGTCCAAAACCCCAGCGATATGGCGAGAGAATGCTCTCAGCCGAGGACCTGTCCCATTTTTTTTGGTCAGTCAGGATAATCGTCTCAAGTAGCATTGAGGAGCGGCTCACCTTCTGCTCGTATCCCTTTCCTTCGTACTTGTCCGACGAGATACCTGTGTAAATGAAGAGAGTCAGCGAGGAGTGTGGGCGAAGTAGAATGTGAGAGGCGGCACTGACCGGTGATGGGGTTGAGGTTCTCGTCCTTTGCCTTTTGCGTCATCTGGTCCTGGTATTCCTTTGTCATCGACTTGGGGGGCGAGTGGGCTGTAGGGCGAAAAAAGGGTCAGCCGAAATGGCTCCTGGAGAGCAATAAAGAAAGAAACAGAGCAGGAGCCACTCACCAAAGTGCCTCAGGCCGTAGAAGACACCGACGGTGGCGACGAGGATGGCAGCAACGCCAGTGAAGGTGCGAACGCCCTGGCCGGGGCGGGTGATGGCCTTGCGAGGGCCATGAGGGCCAAACGAGACAAAGTAGGCTGTTGCGGTATACTTCACGTCAGACTTTCCCTTTCTCCTCCTCCTTCTTCTTCTCCCCCTCCTCTTGCTCGTCGAGACTCACCAGCCTTCTTCTCGTCGACGCTGAGCTCCTTCCAATCCCGCCTCTGGACCTCCTCGAGCTGCCGGAAGATGCCATACTGCTCCTCCTTTGACAGCTGGGCCCACCTCGCCTCGATGTTGGGCACGACGGTGCTGAGGTCCACGCCCCCCTTGCCCGATGCGTCGGGGATCAGGTTCGACTGGGCGGCGCTGCGGGCCGTGGCGGGGGTCCAGCGCTCCTCCTTGGTCACCATGGTGCGGCATCGCGCGGCCGAGGACAGCGCTCCGCTGACCTGCGACGCCCGGGTCATGGGCCGGGCTGCACTGCGGATGGGCGCCAGCATCGTGTGAATGTTGTGTGTGTCTCCTCTCGGTGCTCGCAGGCTAACAAAAAAGGGGAAATTTGACGCAGGTGGGCAAGAAGGCGTAAAGGAGCGAGAGAGAAGAGGAGAGTCTCAGGGAGGGATCGGTTCGGCCGGTCTCGTTTCGATGGTTGGTGATGGAATAGATATCCTGGGCGTACAACAAATCGCCCTTTTTTTCTTCCTTCTCGTCCAGCCAAGCAAGTGATTTGAAATCGCGCAAACCGGCTGCCTCCGGACGAGGCAATTTTTGTATTGCCTTCTGGACCGGGCACGTGCTTCGAGCTACAGAGCGAATAGCAGTGAGGCATTTTCATTTCTAGCCGCTCACGTCAACGTCAACATCGTTGTCTATCAAAGAGAGTACGAGGAATAACTACATGGGGAACGACGTCCTGCTACGTTGCATTTCAGTCTCTTCGTCTTTGATGACGCCGCTCTCGAGCTGGGACTGGTGCTTGGCATCGAGGTAAGGAAGTACAACGGGCAGATAGAGGTCACCGCCCTTGGAGCGCGCGACCTCGGCAGGCCAGGCCCGCATGGCATGGGCCAATCGGCCCGGCACGCCTGGCTCGTTTGCCATTTGTTCGACGGGTGTGAGATATGTGCTGCCGAAAGCGTGTGAGCGTTTTTAAAGGGCAAGGCGGGTGCAGAAAGAATCTGAGGAACATACCGGATGGTGAACAGGATGGCGCCGCTGCGGGGCATCCGTCGCAACGTCTGCCTCTCAGCCCTCATGACGACGCAGCCCGGATTCTCTGCTGCCTGCGATTCTGGCTTCACCCCCGAGCCTTCCTTGGGTCCCTTTGTGACCTGGTCAAAGGTCGTCTCTGGGCCATTGATGGTCCAATTCCAAGAGAGCTGCGTTGCGTCAAGCACCTCGCGAGGCCCTTCGCCTCCTCTCTGACCCGAGATGGACTCGTGGAGGCCTGCGTCGGGATTCAAAATGTCCGGCACAAGGCTTCCGTCTGCCATCTGTTCAATGGCGCCCTTTTGAGAGTCACGGATGATTTGGAAGAAGAAGTTGTCGATTCTCTCTGGTGGTGTGCATTCTTTCCCAGTCAGAAGGTGAAATGCTTCTCAGTATCATCAGGCTGTGTATACTCACCTACGGGCTTGCCGGGCGTGAGTTTGGAGAAGAAGCGATCGAGGGGGTTCAACACTGCTCTCAGATACTCAGATAAGCTTCACAAACGAGAAAAAGGGCCTGAATCGAGCCACTCACGCTTCTCATCAAAGTGGGGTACTTTGCCCCTGGTGTGGATCTCTCGGAGACAGAGACCGATCTTGTCGTCGAGCCTCCAGAAGCCGGCCGTGCAGATGCTGCCAGCAACGAGCCTGTGAGCCCTCTTTGGCGCCTTTTCAATCCCACAGGGATACCCCCTTCGTTCGTCTTCGGTCAGATCTTCCTCTTTCAAGATCGCCAGGTCGTCCGGCACGAGCTCGCCAGCGACCCGCATTGGATCATCGCCTCCCTCGTAGAGATCGTTCAATGTCCAGGTCTTCTCTGCCAGACCGTAAGACGGCATGGCCTTTCGTCGGACCCTTCTCACGCTCCAGCCGTCGTCCTGTGCCCGTTCGCTTCCTGCGGGCTCTACTTCGAACAGCGATGGGTATCGAGCGGCGAGATAAGCAGCGATAGCGCGGGCCACTTCGAGTGCAGCGAACTTGTTGCCGTCGTCGGGCCTGGGAAGCGTCTGCACGCACCGGGAGCCGTACGTCTCGTGGCGAGCAGCACGGAGGCGGGCATAGGACGGGTACGAGGTGTGCAGCTCGAGCCATTTCAGTGGATCGAGCGGCTTGATTCCCACTAGAGAAAGAAGAGGAAAAGATTGAGCGCTTATCATACCATGAGCATCAATCCACGGCTACTCACTGCTGAGGCGGAAGTCTCCCCATCGAAAGCTAGATTTGACTGGTAAGCATACTGCAATGACGATCTTGCAGACTCCTCCCTGACTTACGGGCGGAACTTCGGCTCCACAGCCTTGCCCACATCGAACGAGGGTTCAGCTTCTGGGGCAGGCCATGGTGTGTATGCCTTCTCCTGCGTCACCGGCTGAGCGATGTGCGTCTTCGACCACGAGAGGTAGCGGCTCGTGAGCGGTGATTGCGAAGCCGCATATAGCAGAGCAGCAGCAATGGCGAGCAAGAAGGCTACATCACTGGCAGTCATGCTTGCCTTTTGTCGAGCAACGGAGGGATGCAGAGAGGAGGACCGGCCAGAAGAAGTTGGCTGTCCTACTACCTAAATATACGTCTTATCTGTCCCCAAGAAAAAAAGAAGCGCGAAGCGCGTCAAGCGCCAGTCCTCTAGCGCTATCCTCCACCAGGCACACAGACGCTCCGAAGTTGAGGCGCTCGGGACCCTTTTTGTCGCTTCGCGCCTTTGGTCTCGACACTGTCCGACGTGGAGATTGCAAGATATCAGGGGCGGACTGATGGGACAGCGCATCATGTCTCCTTGCGCTTGGCGGCGGACGTATTCGCGGAAACATGAAGACGCGGAGAGCTGCGAAGGTGGCACCGACCTAGGAGACTTTGAACTATGGCGGGTTTAATGAACACTGTCAGTTATTGCTCGCCTGTGCGCAGCTATGGCTAGGTCTGAGTTGGAGCTCTGAGATGGTAGGCCAGTCTGTGTGCTCCAGCTTGCCAGGGAGAATGTACTGAATGCCACATTGGGTGTACCTAAAGACGCCCCGAAGTGAGCCAATTTTGTAAGAGGCCGCCGAAAATGCCGCATCTGACTTAGGTAACACCTTCTGATCTCGGCTTACGGTGCCCTCTTTAAAGTGCGACCTGTCTAGCGTTGCCAGCTGAAGAGGGTCCCAGGGCGAGAGCACTTGACGAGCGTCTCCCGCATTAGGTGGCCAATCTGTGCCATTGCGAGTGAGTAACATCTCCGATCGACGAGGTCTGGCCGGGAGAGAGAGGCCGATTGGGGGTGTGAGCTGAGCGATGATCGCGGCACAACTGGACTGGGTGCATCGACACGCCGGTAGGGCTCCACGTCTCAAACGCATAGTGCAGCTAGTGGTGACACGCGCCACTGAACCAGCCGGCGGCTGTGCGACTGTGGGTTAAATTGGGCTGCAGTTTTAGAAACAAGCCACTTTCCGCTGCTCGGCCGCATCTTTCCAAGAAGTGAAGCCGTTCGATTTGCCCTTTCGGAACTCTCGTTTGGGTTGAGCCAGGGCCAGGGCCAGGGCCCAAGCTCGGCATCGTAGCGAAGCAAACACCCTCTGCGAGACCCGACATAGACGATGCAACAAATGGACGACGCTAAGGTCCCTCAAGCCACACTGCCAAGGACCGAAAAATTATCGATATGCAGGGTAACACTAGTAGCTACTGGCGGGCATGGCATGATATATGCACTACGTTGAACTCTGCTGACTGCAACCATTTGCCGTCGTCAGCCTCTGACTGCGGCCAGCGCACTACGGGCCTTGACGAAGAAGTTGTGTCCCTAGGGTTCACACCTTTGCTTTCCTTGGCTTGTGTTTGACCGCAATCCCGACAACACCACGGGAAGAGTTGGATTTTGTATTCGTTCTGGCTTCATTTTTCTCTTCTGCCTTTTACGCCAGAATAATACGGCTTTCTCCGCACCCGACAGCATTTGAAGCTGGCACTGGTCTGGAAGCTCGCCCGGTCCCCGTTCTTCTGCAATCACTTCCTCTCACCTTTTTGAACGAGATCCGGTCCTGATGCTCCACTGCTCTATTACTCTAGGGTTCAATTTGCTAAGAGGTGGTTCGAGCGAAGGGAAAAGAAAAGAATCGATCCACTTAGCTGAAGTGACCAAGGTCGCGCGCGCGCGCGCGCGCGGCGGCGCCCTCTCCCAAAGCAAGCAACAAATCAATCCAGGGTAGAGCAATATTATTAGTGGTGGCAGTAGTAGTGTAGGGTGTAATTATCTCAGAAAGAAAATCCAAACCGAAAGGGGCTGGTGGCCCATACGCACGCAAAAACAATTCCAAAGGGGAAAAATAACCAAACGCGAGCGCATCGACATACAACCAACCCTGCCGAAGACTTGGCAGGCCAGGCGAAAAACTTGAGAACACAACCACGCAAGCCCGCTTGGCCGATTCGCGCCCTCTCCCATCAACGGACGCTCGCTCGCTCGGCTCAATCCTTCGCTAACTCCTCCTCTCTCACACCGTAACCTCACCTCATCAACCTCGCTCTGCGGCTGCCTGCCTGCAACTGCGAGCGAGAGGCTCCCGGTACAGCAGGAGTCCATCCGTCTCCGTGTCGCACGCTCGTCAGGCACCGCTGCACTTCGTGTTAGCGGACATCCTGCCTGCCGCCCGAGCGCATATCCCTCTATTTCATTGAGGTTTACCGAGCGGGGAAACTAGCGGGAGGCTAGGTCATTGACGATACGGCCTTGCAAGCGCACACTCCTTTTCATTCCCTTTGGCTCGTTCGGCAAAGGCAGAGCGCCGCGGCAGCAAAAAGCGAATCAGCCGCCGTCTCTTCTGAATCGCATTTTTCCAGCGCTCTTTCTTTACGACCTGGCACGATCACGACATATCTCTGACACCCTGGTCTGCGAGCCAGACATACAGCTCCAGGATGGCCGACGTTGAAATGAAGCCAAAGGCGGCTGACTCGGGAGAGGCGGGTGTTGAGGCCGCTCACACGACCGATGGGCAGGCGGCGACAAGCGCAGCGCAGACGAATGACAGCTCATTCACCGCTTCATCCTCCTCACCAACAACGAGAGAACAAAGATCGCGAGAGAGAAAGGGTTCGGGAAGCATCCTGCGGCCCAATCGCACACGGGCTCGCAGCACATCGAGCAGCATGCTCGTCCGCCTCACCACCCGGTCCAGCAGCATCTTGGATCCTTCAGGAGGGACGGGAACATCCAGTAATGGTGGAGACGACGACGACACTAGCTCGAAGAAGTCTAAGCAAAAATACAAGAGTGGAGTCAATTGGAACGCACTGAGTCCACAGAACGAACCCTTCATGGGCGAGGACATCAGCCAAGAGCGATCCGACGAGGACGTTGCTGATCCGGAGCTTGAAGAGATGAGAGCTGTGGGAGGCACTGCAGCGGCCAAGAAGTGGGCTAGACAGAGCAGCATCGGTGATCCCATCTTTGCCTCTTACCTACGCGCATCGTCCGAGGCCGCCGCCGCTCAGGCTGCTGCCCAGGCCAAGGCTCAGGCTCAGGCCCATGCCCAAGCTCTCGCTTTCGCTCCAGGTCAAGGCCAATTTGCTGCTGGATCGCCATCGCAGTTCCATAGCCGACGGAACAGCACATTGGTGACGCCTATGCGCTCGAGGGGCGAGCTAACGTCAACTTCTGATGAATCGCAATCACCAGTGAGCGATGACGTCCTGACCCAGGCAGCGCAACAGGTCCTCGGCCAGGCTCGCGAGGCCGCCGTGGCAGATGGTGGTATTCAGGAGCCGGTCGCCGAGACCAATGGCACTGCTGACGTTACCACCCAAGAGGAAGCAACTACCACGGATGCGGACAAAGAGTCGGAAGAGGCTGCAGAAGCAGCCGCAAAGGCGAAGCCGGTCAAGCGCAAGACGATTCTCGGCTTCCCTACGAAGAGCAAGGAGGCCAAGGAGAAGAAGTCGAAAGACAAAAAGAAGGATAAGGAATCCAAGAGCAAGGCGTCGAGTCGCAACGCTTCGACGACGGACCTCAATGCTATGACGACGACGGCAGAAACAACTACCTCGGCTGGCGACGCGCAACCAGAAAAGCGCCAATCGACGACCAATGCGAGCGAGACGGGCACAGTCGGGAGACGAAGGCGATATGCGGACACTCGTCAGCTCGATCTGCTTGCGTCCGAACTGGCTGCTGAGGCCCTTCTGGGACCGCCTTATGCTGATGGCACCGCTCACCTCGGTGGCCACATGACGCCGGAGCCCAGGCGAGCGTCAATGATGAGCGTTATGGCGATGAGCGGCGCCACAGGCATGAGCACGCCGAGCAATGCCAGCCACGCCGATCTGAGCAGCACAAGCCCCCATCTCAATGGTGGCCTGTCGCCTCTGACGACGCTTCCGCCCCCGCAGCCAGCTTTCTACGCCGAAAGTCATCGAAACAGCGGATCTAGCGCTTCTTCGCCCTACAGCGCAAGTCCTCGAAGTGGAAATGGCGAGCTGCCTCGCTTTGAGCCGGTGAGTAGAACTAGCGAACTGGGGCAACAGAAGAGACTAACGCTCCTAATAGCCGCGATCGGCTTTTGCAAAGTCTCAGCAATCACTTTCGATGCCCAACTCACCCTTTGCCACACAGCAAGCCAAGCTCAATGGTCTGCCTTCAGACATGCTCGTCGGCCTTGGCGATGGTCCATTCCCTACGCTGGCCCCACGCTTCTCCGAAACGGGAGGCATGGATCCTTTTGGCATTCCCATCGCAAACGACGGGCCCTATGACGTGAGCACCTCCTACCAGAATCGGACCAATGTCTACCACTCGCCAAATCAGGTTCGAAGCCGAGGAGCCTCGACGAGCAGCACTCCAGCTCATACGGGTTCCTCATCCAATGGCACAACGACACCGAAGAGGAGTGTCTTGCAAATGTCGATGCACAATCCGGAGACGGAGTTGCAAGGCCTCACGAAGCCGCCCAAGAACAAGTCTTCGACATTCGGGAGCCGCGGGCCCAGTCGACAAGTGACGCCGAGCCCTTCGATGAATGCGCTCAAAGATGCGAGCAAGGAGAAGAGAAGCAGCAGGGAGCAGACTTCGCCACCGCCTGCCAATTCGGCATTATTGGCTTCTGCTGCGACAGCAGCGGCGGCTTCGAGAGCCCCACCTTCCGAAGCGGAAAAGGCCAAGGTAGCGCCAGCAGCAGTAGCAGCACAGCCACCACCCCCGCAGCAACAACAATTGCAACAAGGACGACAGCAACAGCCGCAGCAGCAAGCGTCAAATCCTCCCTCGACTCTGCCGAAAGCAGAGACAAAGGATCGTTCGTCCTCGCGCAAGTCGATCTTCGGCATGATGAAATCAAAGGACACAAAGGAGGTGGATTCAAAGAAGGACACATATTCCGTCAATCCGGTGTCACAGCAAAGTCAGTCGCAGCAAAGCCGGTCTCTGTCGACCAGCAGCGATAGCGTTCCCTCGAGGCCAGCCAGCAGCCTCCTTGCAACTGGCCGCTCAAATGCCTCAAAGAGTCAGCAGAGCCTCGTCAAGGTGCCTTCGCCTGCCACTTCTGGTTCCTTCCTCGAGCCCGCTGCCACAACGACCGCATTTGAGCACTCGACAAACGAGCCGAAACAGCAATCGACGACTTCTGCAGCTCCAGTCTCTTCGGAAATTATGGCCGCTGCTTCCGCTCCTGCTAAGGCCTCCGCTCTTCCTCACCAAGGTACGAAGCCCCCGCCTAAAGCTGCTCCCCCACCCGCGCCAGCTCCTGCGATCACAGCAAAGAGCAAAACGGATGCTGCCAGGCCTGTCAAACCTATCAGATCTTCGTCAGAGGAAGTGAGCAAATTGAGCAAGTTCATGGCCAAGCTCGCTGGCCGCAGCGTCTCTTCGTCCACGATGCCGACAGCCGGCAAGGTGAGCAATAAGCCTACTCCAGCACCGCCTCAACCACCTGCCTCTGCTCCAGTACGGACCCGGGCCTACCCTGCAAGGGAACAGACGTCATCTCAGCCCGCGCCGATATATGCGCAGATGACGAGCCGACAAAGCCAATCACAGACACCGTCGCCCCAAGAATCTTCGTCTTATCACAGTGTGTCGCCAGAACAGGCTTCGAAAGCGGACTCAGAAGCGCAGAGCAACGACTCTACCAAGGTACCCAAGAACTTTGCAGAGGTAGGTGTCCTCGCTCGTCGATCTCAACATTGTTTCTAACTTGCTGAGTCGCAACTTCATCCTCTCTTTTCACCGAACTGCGTCCCCTTTCCGTATCTCTTGTGCGAAAATTGTCTTTCGCAATCCTCGATTCTCACCAGAAAGTTTCGGCAACAGCTTCGACAGAAGATGTTCGCCTAGATGCATCGATCGCCTCGGCCTACATCAACAGCGAAATGGCCGCCTCTGGATTCGGTACACGATCTGCATATCAGTCGACTTCACTTCCTCCACACTTTCCCCTGGACTTTAAGAACAACGTCAGCGCCAAGCCAACATTGGCACCTATCAGTGATGTTTCGTACAGCGGCTCGAGCGCTGTCAACACGACTGCAAAGATGCAAAGCGCCGAACCTCCCTTGCGTCCGCTAGAACGACGAAGAGTCAGCTCCGAAGATGCCATGAAAGCTCGGCCCATGACGACGACGAGCAGCAGTGGCGGCGGAAGCGCCAAGAGTAGCGCCAGATCGACAGATGAGAGCAGTGCTAGCGGAAGCAGTAACGAAGGACCCTCGATCCAGACGCCCGAAGCCGAGTTTGGGCTTCATATTGCCTCTTCCTCGAACGGGTCCTCGTCAGAAGCAACTTCCGCCAACAATGTCAATGTCTCAAAGCCGCCGATTGGGTCCGGCAACTTCGAGTTTGCGCCCACGACACAGACGCTCTAAGTCCTCTTTTCATCTTCATCTATTCAACCTTTCTTCTCCTCTTCCCCTTTTTCCCAGTCGCTGGACCGGACACCGCAACCTATACATTCCTCACGTCATACGTCTATTCCTCCTCTCGAGATCACTGCAAGACAAGAACATTTCTCGTACCTCAAAGCACGGACAATATTACTACTATAGCCTCTTCTCTCTCTCTCTTCTTTCAATGACAAAAAAGCTGGACAATGTCTCAATCTCCCTTCCTCGTCTGCCCAACTTCGAGTTTTGAGTGAAACAAAACAAACATGCTTATAATAATAATACGTGTGATAGTGTACAGATTGTCGCTCTTCATCGCTTGAGCTTGAGCTTAAGCTTTGGCATACCCGTGCCCGAGGAGGCTGATGGCGCAGTCGCAGGTGCAGGGGAGGGCGCGGCCTGAGGGGTCGAGGGGGGAGGTGATCCGGCCGGAGTAGCTGCGGGCGGGCTTCCCGCCCCAATTGGCCCACCGACTAGTCCTCCTCCGGCGTAGGGCGTCGCGGGCGTCATGGGACTCTGCGGGACGGAGTAGGCTGACCCATACAGCCCAGAGGAAGCATGCATCATCGGCGGTCGAGGACCTGCTCCATCTTCTGCTGACCCGGCAGCGGCAGAATCGTCTCCTGTCCCATTAGTCGAGCTCTGTGTCGGCACCATCCTCCCACTAGCACTCGAGGCAATGCTGGGCATGTTGTTTGGCGCTTGGTATTTGGGACAGCTCGTGTTGGTGCTCATGTGGCCGACCTCTCCGCACCTTCCACACCTCCGCTTCGTCTCGGTCTTGTTGAGCAGCTTCTTGGCTCCGCCTGGGATCGGGATGCCCTCCGCGGCAGCCTTTGCATTCTTGCGCTGCAGTCGCCTCTCCTGATTCTTCTTCCGCGCCCGAATCTCTTCCTCGAGACGCCTACGGCGCATCGCGTCGAGCGCTGCATCTCCGGTGGGCACCAACGATTCTGTTGTCGTCTTCTCGTCTTCGATCTGCTGGCGTTGGCGCATGTATGCGTGTATCACCGCGGGCTCCCTCACAAGCTCTGAATGCCATCGTCCATTGATCTTGCGACGAATCCGAAGAACCTTGTTTGTGTCGACGCCCATGGCACTGCTCGCTCCATCGTCAACATTTCCTCCAGGCGTGCCTGCTCTGTCCCATCCAGGTGTACCATCTCGCCGTACCGAGCCTGCTCGACTCTGCCCTCGCGCATGCAAGCCACTCTTCATGGGAGTCTGGCTTCGTGCGGCCATATCCGCTTGTTGCGCCGCAATGACATCTTCATGCGTAAGCTGGGGCGGCACAGGATTAGAGAGCGCCTTCCTTTGTGCGTCCCAAATCCTTTGGATCTCCTCCTTGTACACCTGCTGCTGCCTCGCGACGTTGTATTTGTGGCCACTCTTCTGCTCCTCCTGTTCCTGGATTGCAAGACGCTCCTCCTCTGTCTCGCCGGCTCGAACGAAGATGTCCTTCATCGAGACTCTGAGAAAGCTGAAAGCCTCGCCTCGACCTGAGGGATCGCCTTCGCCGTGGAGCTTCAACATGGCCTTGCCCTGTGTCGCATGGAGGAAGTTCTTCGTCGTGATCCAGGGCGCGAGAAGCTGCTCAACGTCCATTTTGGACTCATCGCCATCCTCGTCGCCCTCAGCCGTGCGGGTGTAGCCGGCATCGAGCAGGTGGCGCTGACCCGCTTGCATCGCTTCCGATAAGCACATGTACTCCGGCGGGAGCTTAGCCTGCAGCTCGGACTCAAGCGGTGGAACGTGACCCTGCTTGAGCTTCCAATAGCCCTGGTCCTTGTCGCCCGCGCGACGATTGTATTCCATGAACTCCTTCAGCCGCTGCCTCATCTGCAGCTCGTTCTGATCGGGAAAGTACTTCATAATACGATGGATCTTGATACGCTGTCCGACGCTATTCCTCAGGAGCCGGTAAGTGATGAGCTGCATGCGGTGCTTAAGAGCATTGGTCACCAGTCGTGCGTGTGGACCAGGGACCTGGATCAACGGGTACGTCTGCCCAACGACAAATAGATTCTTGATGTCGCGCAGGTAGTATCGTACCTCGTCCTTTGTCGTGTGCCGTACGAGTAGGAAATCCGTCTGTGAGGGCTTATGTCGGAACAGTGGTGCTCGAATCATACGATTGTAAAGCGTTGGCTGCGTCCTTCCTGGCTCAACGGAACCAAACTTCATGAAAGGCGACTCGTCGGAAACGTCCAGCACCACAGGCTCGCCCAGGTCGGCTTTGGGAATATGCTCATCTTTGGAGTCCTTCTTGCGGTAGTAGTTGACCAGCAGGCTGCCCATGCCAAGGTTCGACAGCACTGGAGGATACTCCTCCGAGTATTCGTACAACACAAACGAGCTTGTGTCCTTGAGAGTGAGGTCTCGAGTCGACTTCAGCATCTCGGCCACGTCCTTTGATCTCGACTTCTTGTCGCCCTCCTCTCGCTTCTTCTTTGACGATCGCACCTTGCTGAACTTGAGCGGAATGTTGGATGGGAATTGCATCGGCGGACGATGAAATGACCGAGCTTCGGCCTTGTTGAGTCGGGTCTTGTAGAAGGGAATCTGGAGGCGAATAGCTGGGTGAGAATGTTGCAGGTCGAGCTGGCCCAGTGTCTGACGAATACTACGTAGGCGATTCTCCTTGTTGACCTCGTAGAACAGATCATTGGAGAGATTGTAAGGGTCCAGACCGGCAGCCACACGTGCTTGACGTTGCGACATAGCAGGGGCATCGGAGCGTACGAGGGAGACGACCTTCTCGGGCTCGTCGCCCTGGGTTTCAAGCATCATTTCCGGGTCGTTCAAATCGAGGACGAGCTTCGTAAAGTCCTTGTACTTTGCTTCCGGGTGCCAAATAATGCTCCTTGTCCAATCGCCGCGGGCGAGCTCGTAGTTGAAAGGTCGGTCAATCATTATTGGAGGCCGTGAGAGGATCATGTTGGTACCATCGTCGGCGTTCCATGCAATCCGATCCTCCCAATCATCGAGATCGACGATATTCATTCCTTCTTGGCCATCAGCCTCATTCACCACTTGCTCTCTGGTCTCCTTCAGTGCCGCTCTCCGTTTCTCTTCCATTCGTTGCGCTTTCACCAGCGTCTTGACAATTGTGACCTTTCCCTTGACGTCCTGCGCAAGCGCCTTGTCATCGACAGTGTCCTCGCGGGTACTGGCAGGGATTGGGATCTCGTCTTCGCGGATCGTGCTGAACTTTGGCCTCTTCTCGACAAGTCTTCTTCGCTTGGGTGCTCGGGGTGTGAACAAGTCGGTGAAGTTGAGAATTTTTCCGGGCTCAAATCCAGGCCAGAGCTGCTTGAGGTCCGGCGGCTCTGGAGTGGGCTCCACAGGCGGAGGCGTCACAGGCCCGTCATCGTCCATTGGCTCCTCCTTGACCTTGAAGACTCTCTGAGGTGGCGGCTGCCCCACATCCTCGTCAACTTCGCCCTCCGCATCCTCATCGCCACCCTCGTCATCAAAGTCATCCACCTCGCCCCTCACTTTGGCCTGGTCCTGCTGCAGCTGTGCGAGACCCATGCGATAGTACCGGTCCCTCTCCTGCTGCTGCTGCTGCTGCTTTATCCCATTCTCCTCCTCAGCCTCCTCGCCAAGATCGCCCAAGTCCATGTCATCGTCCTCGTACCGATCATTGTAGATCTGATCCTCTTGCAGCAAGGGTCCTCCCGACGAACCAGTCTGCTTCCCCGCGACGAGGTTGCCGACGCGCTTGGAGGACGAGCCTTCAATGCCGAGGTCCGTGAGGATATGGCCCAGGGCCAGGTCGCCCAGCTGCGAGACGGCTCCTCCCTCTTCGTCCATCCGGGTCGCGTGCAGCTGGGGCGGCAGGAGTGGATTGCGGAGCCGCTTTATATAGTAGTGACTCTTGCGATGAATTCCTCCAGAAATGGAGGCTGAGCGCGAGCATACAAGGTCACGTGACACGTCCTTGACAACCATGGACGTCTGCCTACCTAGTCATGGAAGGTTCTCTATCACAACCTCGGTGCGTTCTAAATATGACAGGGTAGCTTGATCCCCAAGAAACAGAAGAAAGCCGACGTGGCGAGTGATCTTACAACAGCGCCCGATATCTACGCATGAAAGGGAAGGGTGATTTTGCACGACAAGATATTTACAGGTCCAAGGTACACCCTCCGATGAGAGCTCAGCACTCTCGAACCAATGATACAGATCAGACGTACTGTTGCTTGAGAGTCAGCTTAGTTGACACCGCTTCTTTGCAAGTCTCTACTCACCTTTCCAAAGAGGGGAATTAGTGTCTGAGCAACCGTAAAGCTGAACACGAGCTTGGGTCCGACAACAAGGATCTGTTAAGGGGCGATAAATGCCAATCAGCCGCGAGATTCCGCTGAACAAATAGAAGGCAGAAAACTGACCTTGGGTGTGAGACCCTTGAAGAAGGAGCTGAAGCCTTCGTTCTTGATCATGTCCTTGATGATGGTGACACCGCCCGTGGTGCTCTCAAAGTTGGCATTTTGGATCCTCGTCTTGACGACGTCGAGGGGGGCCGCAACGGTGATGGAGGCGACGGCACCGCCGATGGAGGCAACAAAGTTCTGCGTCCATGTCGCCTTGCCGAAGTCCTCGAGACCAAAGAGGTACTCCTTGGTGAAGGCAGACCCGCCAAAGAGCGCAAAGGAGCCGGGGGCGTTGCGGGCAGCTGTCCAGCCCCAGCCTCGGTAGAGGCTGAAGCCCTCATCAGCGACGATGCGGAGGAAACCGCGGGATCGGAAAGCCTCCGGGTTGGTCTGCCGCTTGATTTTGAGCACGTCGAGAGGCAAGAGAACGATTTCGCCAATTCCCGTCAGGCTGATGGGCATGATCTCAGCTTTCCTCCTTTTTACCTCTTGCTGCTTGAGTCAGAGAGCACTTACCTTCCCGCAGTGGCCGACATGATGCTCTTTCCATTTCGCTCGCCAAAAGTCTTTTGGAACCACGGCTTGTAGTTGTTCGTCAAAAAGTCGTTGAAGTACGGCTGGCCTCCGAATTTGTACACCCGCTGCATAATCTTGTACCCTGCTCGCCCCCGCGGGTCAGCGAACCGTGGTGAAGAGCGGGGCGGTCATAGTGAAACTCACCAGCGGCATACCCAAGACCAGGGAAGAGCGAGACAAATTTCGCACCTGCCCGAGCATTGGCCTTGTCCTTGAAGACGACCTCCATCATCTACGCAAACCACCTGAGATCAGCTTTCACTTCGACAGTAAGGATGGAAGCGCAGCTGCTGACCTTTGCACTCTTGTTCTTGTTGCTCATCAATCGCTTGGCGACTGTGTCGACCGGGTGAAAGACGAGGAGCTCCGCGACACCTGACGTGCCCGAGCCCAAGAGCCGCGCCTGGGCGGACTCGCTGTGCTTGCCTCCAGATCCAACTGGCGGCGACATCCTTTTACTTCGGCAGGGAGGGCTCCTCTATGGCGGCAGCGGCAACGTCAGGAGGCTGTGTGGTAGTGGGAGGGAACTGTAGAGAGGAGGGAGCGATACCGGAACCGACTGGAACTGGACCTTCTTTCAATCGGTGAAACCCAATCGATGCCGTCCGTCCCTCGGCGACGCTTTGACTGAGTAGTGGCTCATTTTTTTTTCACTTTTTTTTTCTCCAACTTAGTCCGTGCTGCGTTCGTGCAGGGACTTTCTTCCTGGACTGTCAACAAAAATCACGGCTAGATTTCCACGTGCGCCTATGATCCTTATTTTTTCTTTTTTCCTTCCTACTCTTGCGTTTTCTCGATCTGTTTCTTCGTCTTCAGTCAGACCGGGAGGGGAATGCCGACCAAGAAGAAGGAGAGCAAGGCCCCTGCGGCAGCTGTGCCGCTCGACAAGGGCAAAGCAAAGGCAAGCGAAATTGACGATATCTTTGGTGGGAAGACGGCACCACTGGCGGACGGGGCTGAGAAGACGAAGAAGAAGAAGAAGCAGCCCGAGCCAGCAGCGGAGAGCAAGGGCAGCGCGGCTGGAGGAAAGGAGAAGGAGGTGCCTGCCAAGAAGAGAAAGGCAGTCGATGAGATTGCAGACCCTTCTGTCTCGATTCTTGCCAAAGAGAAGAAGCAAAAGAAGAAGCAGGGAGTCTCAGAGGAAGAGCGAGATTTCATGGACTCGAGGGGCAAGAAGCGCGCCATGACAGACGACGGTCTTCGAATCTTTACGGAAAAGGAGCTGGGTATCAATGATGAATCCGGAGGTGAGTCTGGATTCTCTAGTCTTTACTCCCCACGGAGAACTAAAGACATCTCGACAGGGACACCGCTTTGCCCCTTCGACTGTGACTGTTGTTTCTGAGCCCCCATCTCATTTGTATTTGTAAATTGGCATACCATCACACCACGGACCGATCGACCAGCCCACATGTATCATGCCGAAGATGTCAGACAAAACAGCCCACTCCTTATCCCGACTCTCGCTCCCATTTCTCCAGAGCATAGTCGTCCATTAGGTGGGCTAAGAACAAGCCTTTTTCTCGCCTGCTTTCGCTATCACTCTCAGGAGGAGAGCTCGACTTTCCTCCAATGAAGAGTCATAGATAGTAGCTCGCACACATCTCTCCCTCCTTGTTCTTCATTTGCAATACAATCTAATATCATCTAAATTGCTCCATGCGCAAAGACCCACATCAGGCCCACGATTGCAACCCGTCGTAGCGGACACCCTCTCCCTTCTCAACGACACCCATCCTGACGACGTCTGTCTCGCCGCTCTTGGCCAGCGCTCGGACGACATCGTCTGCTCCGGCTTGACTGACGACGAGGACCATGCCGATGCCGTTGTTGAAGGTCCGGCACATCTCCTTTGGCTCGACATTGCCCTCGCTCTGCAGCCACTTGAAGAGGCCTGGCCGTGCCCACTTGGACACGTCGATGCGTGCGCCGAGACCGGGCGCGAGCACCCTGGGGATGTTGTCTGTGAAGCCGCCGCCTGTGATGTGCGACAGACCTCTCAAGGCCTTCCACGCCGCTTCGTCAATGTCGCTCTCGAGGCCAAGGAGCGTCGTCAGCGCCTTGACGTAGATCTTTGTCGGCGTCAAGAGAACCTCCGCCAATGTCCCCTTCTCTCCCTCTGTCACCTTCCAGGGGCATGGCCCGTCAAGCTTCGCCCCTGACCGACCGACGACCTTCCTAGCGAGGCTGAACCCATTGGAGTGCAGGCCCGAGCTCCTCAGACCCAAGAGCACGTCGCCCTCCTGCATCTCGTTGAGCTTCGGAAGCAGCCGGGCCCGCTCGACGGCGCCGACGGCGAATCCGGCCAGGTCGTAGTCCTGTCCCTCGTACATGCCTGGCATCTCAGCCGTCTCGCCTCCGATGAGTCCACAGCGTGCCTGCCGACACCCCTCGGCGATGCCACCAACGACGGACGCAGCGACGGGGACGGTGAGCTTGGAGCAGGCGTAGTAATCGAGGAAGTAGAGGGGCGCAGCACCCTGCACGATGAGGTCGTTGACCGACATGGCGACGAGGTCGATGCCCACCGTGTCGTGCTTGTTTGCATCCAGGGCAACGCGCAGCTTGGTCCCGACGCCGTCGGTTCCAGACACGAGGACCGGGTCCCTGAAGTTGACCGCCTTGAGGTCGAATACGCCACCAAAGCCGCCCAGCTTGGCATCGCAGCCCGGCCGTGCGGTGCTCTTTGCGTGGCCCTTGATGGCCTCTACCAGCTCGTTGCCTGCGTCCACGTCCACACCCGCCGACGCGTACGTCAGGCTTTCCTTTTGCGCAGCAGCAGGCTTGAGGGCCCGGTGGGCAATGTCGCGCCGCAGCGTCTTTCCCTCAAACTGAATCGCATCGACACCCTTGTATGCGAGGTCGACGGCCTCTTTGAGCGAGCTTCCGCTGGCTGAGACGGCCAGGACTCTTCCGCCAGCAGTGACGAGATGGCCCTCGCCATCGATCTTTGTGCCTGCGTGGTACACAGTGACGCCCTGGGGCAGCTGGCCCACCTCGATCCTCTTTCCCGTTGCGTACTTGCCTGGGTACCCTCCCGAGGCCAAAACGACGCTGACGGCGTGCTGGCCCTCCTTGACCTTGACCTGGACGCTGTCAAGCCTGTGCTCGGCACAGGCCAGCATGATCTCTGCCAGGTCGGCCCCGCCGCCCTCGACGTCGAGCAGCTCCAGGGCCGCCTCGGTCTCGGGATCGCCAAAGCGGACATTGTACTCGAGCACCTTTGGTCCCTCCGGCGTGACCATGAAGCCCGTGAAGAGCAGTCCGACGAAGGGGAAGCCGTCCTTGCGCATGCCTGCAATGGTTGGTGCAATGACGTCGTTTTCAATTGTCTCTTGCACGCCAGGGGCAGAGCCCTCCGGGGCAGGGGTGTATGCACCCATGCCGCCCGTGTTGGGGCCCGTGTCGCCTTCGCCGATGCGCTTGTGGTCCTGGCACGACGGCAGCGAAAAGTGGTTGAAGCCATCCGAGAACGTGAGGATGGACAGCTCGGGCCCGGTCAGTCTCTCCTCGACGAGCAACGTCGAGCCTGTGTTTCCCGTATGAGTTGCTTGCTCTCTTCGCAAACTCGCTAGACAGAGAGGCTACCCACCTGCATCACCAAAGCACTTGTCGACGAGGATCTCCTGCACGCCCTTCTTGCACTCCTCGTCGTTCTCGGGCAGCAACACGCCCTTTCCCGCTGCCAGACCGCTGGCCTTGAGGACAATCTTGCTCGCTCCACCGAGCTGCTCGACGAATGCGAGGCACTCCTTGACCTGGCTGGCATCAAAGGATTGAAAGGCAGCCGTAGGGATGTTGTGGCTGTCCATGAACGCCTTTGCAAACTGCTTTGAGCCCTCCATCTGTGCAGCCAGCGGCGAGGGTCCAAAGACGGGGATTCCCACGGCCTTGAATGCCGCCTCAACGCCGTCGACGAGGGGCTGCTCGGGACCGGGCACGCAGAGATCGATGCCGTTCTCGCGTGCCCAGGCCGTGACTTCCTGAAAGTGCGTCGAGGCAGACACCTTGACGTCCAGGTTCGAGCATCGGGCCTTGTCCAGGATGGCCGTGCCGCCATTGCCAGGGGCGCAGTAGACGTGCGCGACGCGTTTGGAGCGGGCGAGGTGCAGCGCGAGCGCGTGTTCTCGGCCGCCGCTGCCCAGCACGAGCACCTTGAGTGGCTTGGGTGCCGGCAGCAGCGCAGACAGATTCGCCTTGTCGCCAGTCATTTGTCTTTCCTTTCTCTGTTTGGCGTCGCGTTGAGGATCTGAAGGCCTGTCTTGTCTGACAGCCCTAGCCCAGACAGGAAGAAAAAGAAAAATTAAAAAACAAATAAGTTGCGAGCGTGCGTCGAGGAAACTGCACGTGGAGGGACCGATCCACTTTCTGCAGCTTCTTGGCTTCCAAAGAGACGGACAGGAAGGAAGCATCGGCAACGACGAGGACGAAGACGACGACATGAGCGACTTCTACGTCCGCTACTAGTGAGTAAATCCACATGCCATCCGCCCTGCTCGAATGCAGTCAGAGCTGACCGCTTGAGCGCACCATAGCACCGGCCATCAGGGCAAGCACGGGCATGAGTTTCTCGAATTCGAGTACTCGCGGGGACGGCTCCGGTATGCCAACAACTCAAACTACCGCAACGACAGCCTGATCCGCAAGGAGAGTGAGTATGCAAGCGATGTTATGGCCCCTAAATCTCCTTGCTGACGAAAGCGCTGCTGCTACAGTGTGGGTCAGCCCCATCCTGATCGAGCAGATCCGGGAAATTGTGAGCGAGAGCGAAATCATGAGGTGTGTACCTCTCCTCTTTAGCCTTTCCAGAGGACTACTCCGTGCTCACCGTGATGTATACACAGGGAAGACGACGCAAAGTGGCCAAAGAAGAACGTCGTTGGTCGGCAAGAGCTCGAGATTCGGTTGGGCAACGAGCATATTTCTTTCGAGGTGCGTACCATGATCTAACCTCTCCTCTCTGGCTGCATTCGCTGACCATTAGGTACATCAACAGACGGCAAAGATCAACTCGCTCGTCGACATCCAAGATAGCGAGGATCCAGAAGGGCTGCGGGTGTTCTACTACCTCATCCAGGACCTCAAGTCGCTCATCTTCAGCCTCATCAACCTGCACTTCAAGGTGAGACGAACCCCGGTGCACTATTAGACACGAACAGCGCTGACAAGAGAGGTACTCTCCCCTGTCTAGGTCAAGCCAATCTAGATCTGCCCCCTTTTTTCCTTTTTTACTCCCTCTTCATTGTACTACTGTCACTGCAACTAAGCATAGCCCTGGCCGCTCCTCTGCTTCTTGCGCTTGTTGCCCTTGAAGTGCTTCTTGCCTGCATTCATGCCAGCCGGCGGCTGCGTCGACGACGAGCCGTCGGCCTTGGTGGCAGCAGCCGTGCCGTCGGGATTGATGCGTCCCCTCAGCGCGTCCGTTGCCGGCCTGGCTCTACCCTTGTATGCAGGCCTTGCCGATGCTCCACTGTCGAAGAAGGCCCGGTCGAGAGCCGAGCTCTTTTTGCCCTGCGGCGCCGGCGCTGGCACGAGGCCATCGCCGTTGAATGACTCGAGGCCAATGTCGTCGAGGTCCTGTCCCTCTTCGATTGTCTGCTCGCCGCTTGGGACGGCAGCAGTGGGAGCAAAGCGTCTGCCGGCCAGTGCTGCGCGCGCCCGTGCCCGCTGCGCCGCATTGAAGTCGTCGGGGTCGGTACCTGGCGGCGGGTGCGCAAAGAGGAGCTTGGCATTGACGTAATCCTTGAGCACATAGCGCGCCGCCCTCGACTCGTCGGGGTTGCCCTGGCCCTGGCGTGCAAAGCCGCGCGCAATCGCATACGCCGTGAGGAGCTCCAGGCCCGTCGGCTCGCCTGACCCGCCCTCTTCGGGGTGCTCGACCTCGATGCGAAAGCCGTAGGTGCCCTCGATGACGTCCTTAGGGATCCGTCGCGCGACGAGCTCGGCCGGTGCTGTGTATTCTCGCATCTGATCGATGGGGAGTACGCCGTCGACGACGAGGTCTGCGCTCGTCGTGGCAAACTGGGGAAAGACGAGACCGGGACAATCGCAGAGCGTCACGCTAGGCGACAGCGCAATCGTCTGGAAGTGCTTCGTGTGTCCCGGCGTGGACGAGACCGAGACCTTCTTCTCGCCCAGCAGCGCGTTGATCGTCGACGACTTGCCCACGTTGGGGTAGCCGACCAGCCCGACGACGAGCTTGGTGGGGACTCCGTGCTCGGGCGTCTCAAAGTCCTGCAGCGGAGGAGCGCGAGCCATGAAGAGCTCCTCGAGCTCGAGGACATTGAGGACCCGGGTGGGGTCGTTTGCTTTCTTGTTGGCCTCGGTGCCGTCGGCGGCATCCTTGAGTGCGCCTGCGCCTGCCGCTGTCTCTGCTGCCGCCTCGACGGTGTTGTCCATGCCTCCCGCGGCCCTCTCTCTCTGCAGCGTCTGCTCAATCACCTTGCGGTTGGCCTCGAGTACATGCTCGGCAGCCTCCTGGCCAACAAGCGGCTTGGCATCGCGCGCGCCGAGGTCGACGGCCTTGGCTTCTCGGCTGAGCTGTCGAACTCCTTCGTCTTCCTCGTCCTCGTCTTCAGCTTCGTCTTCATCTTCATCGTCTTCGTCGCTCTCTCCGTACTCTGCTCGCCTGGCCGCCAGCGCCTCTGCCTCTGCGCGCGCAGCCTGGAGTGCCGCTGCATTGGCTGCACTGAAAAAGGCGTACTCGATGCCGTGCTCTTCAAAGTAGCGAGCCCACTCCTGCCGCTGCCCTTCGTCGAGCAGGTCTGCCTTGTTGATAAGCAGTAGGTTCTTTCTCTTTCCCTTTTTTGACGGCGACGATGACGACGAGGACGTCGAGGGTGCCGTCTCATCCTCATCCTCATCGTCCTCTTCCTCTTCTCCCTCGCTGTCGCCCTCTGGAGCAGGCCCACCCAGGCGGACGGGCATGTTGTCCACGTAGTCTTCCAAATCCTCGCATCTGAATCGCAGCGGGTTTCGGGCATCCACAATCTGCACTACGAGGTGGCTCCGCTCGACGACACGCCACAGCTGTCGCCAAACCTCGAGGTTGCGCTCAAAGGGCGTCAGCACAAAGTTTTGTGCCTCTGTCAGCTCGGCCAGGCCGCGGCGCCAGTCGAGAAAGGCATCGGCCTCGGCGCGCCGCAGCTGGTCCTTTGTCGTCTTGTCATTCCAGGCGGGCCGCCGTGGGACGCGCAGCCGCTTGCGGTTACCCGCCTGCCGCCTCAGCACCTCCTTTTCCTCCTGGCCGCTGAGCAGAAAGGGGTTGTGCCGCCGGGCCTTGCCCTGGCCCAGCGCAGCGTCTGGCGCCTGGACGACCGAGACGTTTCTCCGCTCCGCCGTAAAGTCAGCCTCGGCGAGCTGGGCCGTGCTGAGAAACTCTTCGAGGTCGCCCTGGTGCGTCACACTCTCCAGCCCGGGCCCGCCGGAGCGGGGATTGGCGAGGTCAGTCGTGTGGAACGACGAGTGGGGCCGGCTCGCCGCCTCCTTGTTTCGACGATTGATCAGCGCCCGGCCGAGCCCGACATTCTTTTTGCTCTCGGGAAGCGGCATCGTCCACTTTTCTTTCTTGTCTCGACGTAGTGGAAGAAGCTCTTTTTTTGGTCTTCTTCGTTCAAAATTGATCAGGCAAGAGAGAAAGTCACGAAAATTTTAAGAGGTGGAGAAGACTCCACGTGTTTGTCGACGGGTCCGACGTCGCGCGACGTCGACACCGTGCAATGATGACCTGAGAACGGCAATGTCGAGGACGAAAGCCGACCGAAAGATGTCCGTCGCTTTGATGAGAACTTCATCAAGGGATTTTCCAAAAAGGAGTACAGTACCTCCCCTGACCGACCGGAAAAGGCGCGCGGATTTCATCAACCTTTCTTCAAAATTGAGCACGTCCACATGAAGCCGTCATTTCGCCGAGACTGAGCATTCGCAGAGAGCATCATGAAGATTGATGAGGCCCTTCATGTCCGAGATAGGAATTTTCCTTGCTGTGCAGTCGCGGGATAGCGAGGAGCTAGCAGTACATGCTGACAGACGCGGGCTACTCTCGTAGTCGATAAGACTGTGGGTCTGCGTCGTCGTAGACGAGACGACGAAGCTAGGTATAAAACAGGGTCGCGGAGGTCGAGCAGACACATCTCCCTCATCCCCTCCTAATCCCCTTCCCAGAAGATCAAGCCCTCCCAGCCACTCACCCTCTCCTCCAGCTCTCAGCCCTCCCACGATACACACTGCCCTAGTGAGCTCAAACTTCGAAAAATCTGAAGTAATGATCCCCGAACTGACGCGCGACGACAGCTACACCGTCATGAAGCTTCTCCTCCAGGCACCTTTTCTCGCATTCGTCGGCCTTGTCAGCCTGGCTGGGCTCGTCAGTGCCGCTTTCGACACCTCTGCCTCGTCTGCCGATCTGGCGCGCCACTCTCCCTCGCTTACGGAAAGCCTCGCCAGCCTCCATGCCAACCTCGACCTGGCCCTCAAGCTCGGCTTGGACCTCGGACACGGAGATCTGTGGGGCCTCGGCGACCCCACCAAGCAAGAAACGGACGCACCCAAGGGCTACAAAGGCGAATACACTGATGGCAGCGACTACGGCCATCAGAAGGAGGACGTCTATCGCCGTCATTCCAGCGACGAGGGAAGCCTCCTGGACATCGTAGCCAATCTCAATGCACGCATCGAGGCCGCTCTCAAGCTCAAGGCCAAAGTCGACCTCGACGCTGGTATCGGTGTCGACGTGGGCCGTCGTCACCTCGAGCGTAAGCGCGGCTCTCACAAGAATTAAGACTGCCTAGCCGGTCCGTCTTGCGCTTACTTCAGCGTCCCAGCTCACGGTCACAACAGCCCTCATCAATCCACATCTCTTACACGCTAGACAACCAGTCCAGCCCCCCACATAATTTTCCCAAGTCAATAACAACATGCGTGAACTGATCCCTCGTTCTGCTCTGGTGTGCCCTTGTTCACGGCCCTCTCCTGAGAGGGGTAGCGACGGTGCAGATCCCCAAGCTTCGGCTCTCGGCGTACACAGCCCAAGCCGCCCAGCGGCGTACGATCTGCACGACATATACAGTCGGCAATGCAAGCAAAGATTTAAAACCTAAGCAGCCGGCACAGAGAGGGCCAAAACAATGATATTTGCAGGCTAGCGAAAGCCACAAATGCTCCATTGTTGCACCACGAAGCTCCCCTCGATCGAATCACGACCCCCTTGATGTTTCAACGAGGACCACCGAACGTATTACTACTACTACTACACTACTACACTTCTCCTACCGGAAAGAGGGACCTTGCGAGGGCGAGGCGATATTTTTAGTCGACTTTTTGAACACCGCTGAGCGTTGGTGCCTAGGTTTCTGTTTGTCAAGCGCTATTTTCGGTTTAGCGCTGCCTCCTTGTCGGCAAGGCTACGCTAGTTTGTGCTTGCAGCGCTGCAATTACTGCCAGGGGAAAAAGATCAGAGGAGGCGCCTTGCAAGAAGCTTGACAAAAGGTGCTGACACCTGCCAACCTGCCTGTCAGTCCAGTCGTGTTGCTAGTTCGAAGAGTAGTAGTCAGTAGTAGTAGTAGTAAATATTCGTGATGTGAGGGTGCACCAGAAGTAGGGGTCGATGGGAGACGCAAGCTATATAAGCACCACCATCAACGGTGTCTCTCCATCCTCATCTCAGCAGCTCGGTCTTCCTTGCCCTTCTCCTCTGTATCCTTGGTCTCTGTCCGCCTCGCAGTTGCAGTCTCGTCCATTCATCAACCTCTTCTGGTAAAGAGGCGCCCGGCACATAACATTTGCATCAGTCAGCATCCAGCATCATCCCATCTCCCCATCAGCATACATACTAGAAAGATGACTTCGCTCGTCCCCTCTTCTCTTTCGCTCGGCAGCGCCGCGCCCTCGTTTGCACTCCTCACGACGTTTGCCGCCGTCGTCTTCCACACCTCCCCCTCCGTCTCGGCAAAGTCGTGCAAGGCCAAGTCGGGCTCGCGCAGGCGCTCCCACTCGGACAGTGCAGAGACACCGGACAACGTCCAGAAGCCAGCCTACACGGGCGCCGAGAGCGTCCAGAGCAGCAAGCCAACGTCGTCGCCACCGTCGTCGTCGTCGTCGCAGGGCAAGAAGCCCAAGCAGACCTCCAAGGGAGCAAAGAAGACCAAGTCCAGCAAGTCTGGCAAGTCTGACGAAGACGACAAGGACGACAAGTCTGACAAGTCTGACAAGTCTGACAACAACGACGATGAGGAGAGTGACGAAACCAAGAAGGGAAAGGGCGCCAAGCCGGCAAAGAGCTTTGTCAAGAAGCGCAGGGGTGTGCGCGTCGAGCTCGATGCTCAGCAGGAGCAGCAGCAGGGCCAGAGCAGCGACGAGCAGGGAGACGACGAGAAGCAGAGCGAGGGCAAGCAGAGCAAGCAGGACAAGCAGGACAAGCCCAAGCAGCAGCAGCAGCAGCAGAGCAAGGGAGGCAAGGACACCAAGAAGGGAAACAGCAAGGACACGCAGGCCAAGGGAGGAAAGGACGCAAAGAAGGGAAGCGACAAGGTCAAGCAGGCCAAGGCGCAGGCGGAGCAGCAGCAGAACGAGGCTAGGTTCGTCTATGACGTCGACCCGGCTAACCACCCTCTTCCTTGAGAGGCAATGCTCTGAGCAACGGCTGGTCCGCTGTCTTAATCCACCTTTCCCCTCCATAGCTCTTCTTTGTAGCGTCCCCAGCTAGCTGGACCCTGCTGTTTTCTTCAAATTCGGAGCTGGCTCTCCTTTCTTCTCGGTGTTGAACATCATCCAATGAATGATTCGTCTCTTTTTTTCCTTTGAAAGGTGCAATGGGTAGTGGTACAGAGAACATCGGACAGAGAAGGAATCTATGCCGCACGCAACACGGGCGTCTGGGCCTGCGAGAGGAACTTTGTGAGCTCTGCCAGGGAGGAAGCGAGAGTGAGCCGATAGAGCACAAGCAGAAAGAACGCGCGTCTTCACACTCACGGTCCAGCTGGATGTCCTCGCGGATGACCGTCGCCTTGACCTCATTGTCCGCGTTGATGGGCACATGGACCTTGTCACCCTCGATGCGCCACTCCGGCTGCGTCTTCATGAATGTCGCCAGCTCGTTCCCTTGAATTGACACTGGTCAGCTTGAGCTCAGTGAGACCATGAAACGAGGGGAGACTCACCACTGAGGTCGAGGTAGCTCCCGAGCCGGTCAGTGCTGATTTGCGTGAAGGCACTCTTGACGCTGTGCAGCGCCACTCTCCTGACGGCGTCCTCAAAGCCATTGACATTGGCAGCGTGTTGCCTCACGTCTTGGTACTCTTGCGACTTGTACGCCTCCCAAAAGGCCCGGAAGCGCGCAGAGAGGAGCAACGACGACAGCTGGGCCAGCCGCGCCATCAACGGGTCGGACAAGTGCCCAGCCGAGGGAGCGGCCTGCGCCTTGGCATTCTCCTCGGCGGCCGCAGCTTTCTCCTCTTCGGTAGCCTCTTCGGGAAGCGCGGCAGCAGGCTGGGGGATCACGTCGACGGGCGCCTCGCCAAGAAGGGCGATGCAGAGGTTGAAGTCGGGGAAGGGCGCCGCGGTGAGGGCCTTGAGAAGGACCGAGATGACAATCGAGTAGTCAAAGTCGGCGGGGTTGAACTGGAAGCTGTTATCGGCCAGAAATTGTCAGCCATTGCTCGCCAAGAATCAACGTCAAAAAGAGACAACGACGCAATCAGATAGAGCTAATATAACCAGGAGCCTCACAGAAGGTCGGGGCTTCACTCCCAACCAGCTCGACTCTCCCACCGACCGATATAATCGAGCGATGAGGGTTCCGGATATTCCTTCATCTCGAGAAGAGGGCAGGCAGACGTGGAACGCAGGCACTCACAGCTTCAGAATGGCCAGGTTGGCCAGGCAGTCGTACTCGCCCGTCTCGAGCTGGTGGGAAAGGTACTCGCTCAGTGCCGTCAGATTCTGCGGGTTGTACCGGTCCACGCCCGAGATGATGTGCTCGATCTCGCCTGGCCGCGTGGGAGGCGTCGCCCATTCTGATGCCGTCGTCATGTTGGTCTGAAGCAGGAGTAATTGCGTCAATCCGTTCAGTCTGTTGAAGAGAGGAGCTTCAGGCTTGAAACTTCGAGGAAGGTCGCAGGCAGGAAGAAAATCACGTGACGCAGCTCCGTCGTGACCGACCTGTTGGCTCCTTGGACGCGCGGCTCTGATCACTCCACCCACTGTGTGACATATCGAGAGACGACAAGATGGAGGAGCTCGGGATTCAGATGAAGCGGGAGGAGCCCACATTTGAGGATGCCGTCGCCGAGAAGACGGCTATTCACCAGGAGATGCAACAGGAGGAGGACACGTTTCTGCGGTTCAAGAAGCTCCAGCAACACCTCGAGTTTCTGAGCACGATGGAGGACTACGTGGTGGGTGTGCCCCACTTTCGACCTGGTGTTGTGAAGATAGTCGTGGGCTGACACAGCACGTACTTGCAGAAAGATGAGCAGCGAAACCTGAAGAGGGAACTTGTCCGCGCGCAAGAGGAGGTCAAGCGCATTCAGTCGGTGCCCCTCGTCATTGGCCAATTCCTCGAGCCAATCGACCAACACACAGGCATTGTTGGGTCCACGACGGGGTCTAATTACGTCGTCAGGATCCTCTCGACTATTGACAGGGAGCTTCTGAAGCCCAACAGCTCCGTCGCCCTGCATCGTCACTCCAACAGCCTCGTCGATGTCCTGCCCCCAGAGGCAGACAGCAGCATCTCGATGCTTGGACAGGACGAGAAGCCGACAGAGACATACGGAGACATTGGTGGAATGGACATTCAGAAGCAGGAGATCAGAGAGGCCGTCGAGTTGCCGCTGGTGCAGGGAGATCTTTACAAGCAGATTGGCATCGACCCACCGCGTGGTGTGAGTATTGTGTACACTCTCCTTCTATCATTCGCCCGCTGAGACCAGAAGCACAGGTCCTTCTGTACGGCCCACCGGGAACGGGAAAGACGATGCTGGTCAAGGCTGTGGCCAATGCGACGACGGCTTCTTTCATCCGAGTGGTGGGGTCAGAATTCGTGCAGAAGTATCTCGGCGAGGGTCCGCGAATGGTGAGGGACGTGTTCCGGCTGGCAAGGGAGAACGCGCCGGCAATCATCTTTATCGACGAGATCGACGCCATTGCTACAAAGCGCTTCGACGCACAGACAGGTGCCGACCGAGAAGTGCAGCGAATCCTGCTCGAGCTGCTCAACCAGATGGACGGCTTTGACCAGGGCAGCAATGTCAAGGTCATCATGGCCACCAACCGTGCCGACACGCTGGACCCTGCGCTGCTTCGGCCTGGCCGTCTGGACCGAAAAGTGAGTCGGCTGAGTATATAGATTCTGCAACAGCCCGGCTAACCCGCGAGAGCAATGACAGATCGAATTCCCGCTGCCCTCGCGGCGAGAGAAGCGGTTGATCTTCCAGACGATCACAAGCAAGATGAATTTGTCGCCCGACGTGGACTTGGAAGACTATGTCTCACGGCCGGACAAGCTGAGCAGTGCAGAGATCGCCTCGATTTGCCAGGCTGCTGGCCTCAAGGCCGTGAGGAGCACGAGATATGTCATTATCCCGGCCGACTGTGAGTTTATTTTTTCAGCCTCGTTGCTTTTCTTCTTTTTCGCAAAACTGACTTTTTCTTCTCTTCTCCCAACTTCAGTCGAAGAGTGGGTTGCCCTTTTTACAGTCGCGTTCGACTGCAAAAGCTGTGTACTGACTCTTACTTCTGCACAGCGCCTGGAAGCAGGTCGTCAAGCGGAGCGACGACAGCAAGATGGAGTTCTACCAGTGATCTGGCTGGGACTCGCGTGTATTGTAGCAGTGAGTGCGCGACGAGTCTTCTCTTACTCTTCGCCGTGCTCGATGCTGACGAGTGCCTCGCCAGCATTTTCATCAATTGAGAGAAGTATATCATCGATTTGACTGCTGGAGGCACATGAGAGAAACCCGCCTTATCACTTTACTCAAAAGAGGATGATCAGACCTCTTCATTGAGCTTGTAAAGCGCGGGAAGATTGACGGCCGCTTTACTCACAGCGACGGATCAGTAGATGATGTCGACTGTCCTATAAGTTTCTATGCTCAGTGCCTACATTTGTGCAATCTCCATGTGCTCCTCATCTGCAATGACAGAAGGACTCTTTCTCTCTCGCCTTGTCTTCTTTTTGTCGTGGAATGGAGACGAGTCGAGCATGCGTTGATTAGTAACTGGCCGAATCAAAATGAAGAATCGGAGAGAAGGGGACTTCGAAGATGCGCACTCGCTGAGCGCGAAAATCCGAAAAAGTGGAAAAATAAAGAACTGCGCGCGCCATTCTTCTTTTACTGTCCTGCAACGCACCAACGGGGCGACGAGATAGACGAGGGGCATTATTAGAGGAGATAGGCGAGCGAACGGCGCATCGCATCGTCCTGTCCTTTACGAAAAGAGCGAGCGAGCGAGGCCGCATCCCACGAGCGGCGTAAAGTGGAGGGGAGAGGCGTAGAAGGTCCAGCTCGCGAAAGATGGTGCAGACGTACGAGCAGCGCTCCACCCTCGAGTGAGTATACGTGTGCTCCTTTCCCCCCTGCGCTGAGGTCGCCTTGGCTGAGCTCAGAGGTATTATGCAACAGCATCCCGTATGCGATCTTGTGCCCCGTCTACTTTCTGCGCTACCCCAACCCGCTCGCGTCGCACGTCATCTCTGTCGATGTGCTCTCGCGCGACATTGTGCGGAGGCCGGATACACGGGGAGCAGGGGCAGGGGAGGAGCAGTGGCGACACGTTCTCAAGACGACGCGACTGATTCTGAAGAGGGGCACGCTGCCGAGCTGGGCGCCGCGGGGCATCATCAAGAATGCAGAGAGCTGGGTGCTGGAAGAGACCGAGGTGGACCTGGACCCGCCAGGCCCATCGCCAACAGAGGCAGGGGGCAAGGGCAAAGGACGGGAGTTCAGCGTCTGGACGAGGAACCTGGACCACACGCACGTCATGGCTGTCACGGAGCGCACCACGTACCGGGAGCAAGTGGCCCAAGAACAAGGGTCTGCAGGGACATCGTATAAATCGTGCTTCGACATCACCTCGGACGTCGCGCTGCTCCACAACCGCATCGAGCGCTTCGGGCTTAAACGAGTCGTGACGCACGCCGACACATCAAGAGTGGGCCTGCTCGAAACACAGCAGAGGTTCATCGACGCACAGCTGGGGAGGCTGCCGGCGGGCGCGGCCTCAGCAGCGGCCTCAGCAGCAGCAGCAGCAGGAAGGGTTGCAGAAAAGGGCGGCGACATCGTCAAGGCTGGGCAGCCGTCAAAGAAGCAGCGGCTGGTTGCGGCACTCCGTCCGCCATTCCTCGATGGCGACTTTGTGGGACCCATTGCGCGCATGAAGCTCCGATTCGCAGAGGTCCGGGGCTGGTGGGGCGGGCTCGTCCGCGGCGGCACTGCGAGTGAGGAGGGCAGAAAGGCGAGGAGCACCTCGGCCTATGGCGACGAGGTCGAGCGGGACCTCACGCCAACCGAGAGACTGAGAAAGAGGTTCTTCTTCAACTTGCAGCGGGCGGGGCAAGACGAAGGGAGACGAGACGACGAAGAAGCGTAGCGCAGAGACGACGACTGTTGCACGTTAGCCTAGCATTGCACGCACTGTACCATTACTACTATAAATGCACTCTGTTTCTAATTCCACTCCACGGCGATGGCCATATCAGCCTCGCCTTGCTCCCTTGCTATAACAATACATTGCTCTCTAGAAGCCCAACGACGCCCGCAGCTCGTCCTCCATGCCCCGGAGGTCCTTGTCCGTGGGCACCTCTTTGCCCTCGCTCCTCAGCTTGGCGTTGCGCTCCTCCTCGAGCGACTTGAGCATCTCTGCGTGCTGCCGCCGCTTCTCCACCTCGCCCTCCTCCTCCTTGTCCACCTTCCACGCTTCACCACTCTCCATTGCGCGCCGCTCGTCGTCACTGAGGCCCGCCAGCTCGCGCTCGCAACGCACGCATGCACATGGCCCAAACATGTATTCTCGCCAGAGCAGCAGCCGGCGCCGGGCCAGCGACAGGCTGGGGTCCTGGTACGTGATGAAGAGCTCCTCGCCCGGCGCGATGGCTCGCCGGGCCACGACGGCGACTTTTGTCGCCTGCCGGATGCCTGCGCGCGGGTGGGGCGGGTGCGTGACGCCGACGTTGGGTTCGCAGGCGTGGTTGAGGTGCGAGTGGACGAGGTACATGCCGCCCTGCGCCTCGGTATTGAGGTTCGAGCGGCCGAGGTAGGCGAGAAACGTGTCCCAGGACAGAATCCTCTGCGAGATGTCTGCAGGGAATGACGAACGGATCGGGTAGCGGCCCTTTTGCGGCGTCGCAGGGTGCGGGTCAAGGCCAAGGACGAGAAGACGGTGGCCCTCCTTCATGGCCGAGAGAAAGCTTTCCCGCTCGATGGACCAGCCCGGATTCCGGCATCGCCGCTCGAGTTCCGAGATGGTGGCAAAGGCATCAAAATGGGCCAGTGTCTCCTCCAGACTCGCAGCGTCGGGCTGAGAGGAGGTCTTGGATGATGACGACGACGATGGCGCGGCGAGAGAGGGTGGTGGGTGCGAGGAGTGCGTGAGGAGAATGCGGCAGAGGATGCGCGCGACCATCGAGAGCGAGAGCCAGCGGTGGACCGAGACATACTTGTTGAAGGGCTGTTGAACATATCTCTTGGTGAGTCGGACATGAAAAGTCGAGGACTGTACGGACAACTCACCTTGATTGAAGGGTTCTGGCCGGGACAGAGGAGCGTGTGGTGCAGCGACTGCGCCTTGCTCTGGCATCTGCCACACATCACGGTGATTCAGCAAGAGACGCAATCAGCAAGAACGAAACTCTACTCACAGCCTGCTGCAGAAGCGGGCACTGCAGTCCTTTTGCCCACAGGCCACATTAAGGGAGCTGGACGCGACGGGAAGAAAGCATTGGGTGCAGAGCTCGCCCGAGGCGACCTGATTGTATGCGTGTGCAGGTGGCGCAGCGACAAAGGCCTCTTCTGTAAATAGTGTCTCGCCTTCTTTGAACTCTCTGTCTGCCACGAGTCCCTTTCCCTTGACCTCGTCAAAGTAGACGGCGCGGACGCCAGACGGCATGGGCACATCCTTGTCGAGGCGCGACGATGGGATCGTCGAGTCGCCCTTCTTCGTCGACCCTCCGCTCTTCTTTTTCTTCTTGCTGCTGCTACTGGTCCCGTTCCCATTCGCCGCCGGCTCGGTCTGGGCCTCTGATGACGAGGCATCGCCCCACTTGAGCCCGGCCTGCTTGAGGATCGTCTTGAGGCGCTTCTCGCTCAACGTCCACTCCGGGTTCTCCTTCAGGATCTGCGCACAAAGCTTGCCGATCCCCAGCGACTCGTTCGCACCGAGCGCTGCCTTTGCGGCCTCGGCAACATCGCCCTCGCCCGGGCTCACCTTGCCGTCTGTCATGCCCTCTCGACTGTCGTCCGACTTGCTTCTGCTTCTGCTTCTTCTTCGCAATGAAACACCAAAAAAATCACCAAAAAGTTCAGGACGGGCTTGAATTCCCACGTGGTGACATATGTCCGTGCGCGGCCGGCTTTCACGAAAGGCCGGGCCCCGCGGTAGACCTGTCGTCGTCAGCTTGTCTAATCGCATCTGCATCAGTCGTGCTCGCGCGACGCTGCCTCGGCCTGCTCGCCACCACTACCCTTCCCTCCGCTAATTGATCCCGCACTTCCTTCCTTACTATTCGCTTTCTACGACTTCTTCCTCTAATAATATCAAGACTGGGCAGAGCATAGACAATGACGGACACCATCGTCGTGCCGGATCGGCTGCCGGTGCTGCCACTGCCGTACCCGCTCGTGCTCCACCCCTCGCTCCTGCTCTCGATTCCCCTCAGCTACGCCCACTCGCTCAGCCTGCTCAAGGCCGCACTGCAGCTCACGCACTCCGACCGCAGTAGTAGCGGCAGCAACAGTGGGGCTGGCAACGGCGGCAAGACGGTCGATGCGCACAAGCCCATCATCGTTGCATGCGTCCCCACACTCCGCGCCCCTTCGTCGCCATCGCCCAACCAGGGAGCACGCGACGTGGCACGACGGAAGCACATCACCGTGCACAACGAGAGCGAGGGTGACGACAACGACAGGGACGGGGCCAAGGTGCGCAAGGAGGAGGAGGACCTCCGGGTCCGGATCAACGACCTGTTCGACTGGGGCTGCGCCGCCCGCCTCGTCCGGCTCACTCGCCATCCGGCCAGCCAGACGTGCACCCTCGTCGTGACGGGCCTTACGCGAGTGCGCGTCGATCGCTGGCTCAGCGTGCGTGCGCCGCTCACCAGCACGGCGCTCGACTCGGCGCGCAACTTGACGGTGCCCGATGTGCCCGTGCCCCTGGCTGCCGTGACGCCGTTTGCTGATGGTGCTGTCCGGCACAATGCCGATGATGTGGCCCAGCTGCGACGTGCTGCCCAGGACGTCATCGAGGCGCTTGCCCTGTCGTCTCCATCCACATCTGCTGCGGCTGTGAACAAGACTCAACAGCAGCCGCCGCCTGCCGCGGACCCGACGGCATCGACGCTGGCACTGCCGCTGCTGCCTGCTGCGCTTCTCAAGCGCCTGCGCACCTTTGTCGCCGATGCCAGCGATGGCCAGGCAGGCCTCCTCGCCGATGTCCTCGTCGGCACCCTGGGTGGTTCGTGCGAGTGGGGCGACCGTGTCGCTGTGCTCGGCGACTGGGACGCCAAGGAGCGGGTGCGCAACGCGGCAAAGGTGCTGTCCAACGGTGCAGCGCGCGTGCGACAGGCGCGCGAGCTGCTCACGAGCCTCTCGGCGCCCCTCAACAACGCCAGCAAAGAGTCGCTCGCTCGCAACCAGCTCGAGGCCCTGCTTGCCCAGCTGGCTGCGCTGAACCCCAACATCTCGGCGCGCATCTCGACGGGCAACACGTCCTTTTCGATTGGCACGGCCAAAGGCAGCGGCGGCAACAATGACGGTGGCAACGGCAACAATGTCAATGGCATCATCACCATCCGCAGTCCCAACAACGTCCGCAACGACGATGCGTCCAACAACCCCAACGGCCCCCGTCCCCTGAGCGCACCTCGGCGGAATGGCAACAACCCCTTTGCGCCGCCGGGCTCGCGAGTTGGCGGTGGTGCTGGTGGTGGTGCCGGCAACAACGAGCAGGACGAGGAGCAAGACGAGGTGGCGGAGCTGTCGAGGAAGCTCCAGGCGGCCCAGCTGTCGGACGAGGCGCGCAAGGTGTGCGACCGCGAGCTCAAGCGGCTCCAGCGCATCCCGGCCCAGAGCGTCGAGCGCGGCGTCGTCATCACCTACCTCGAGACGATGGCCGAGCTTCCCTGGGACAAGACGAGCGCAGACCTCGACGAGCTGGCAGCAGAGACGAGAGCAGTAGCGACGACAACAAAGGATGTTGCCGTCGTCGAGAACGACGATGAGGAGGGCATCGTTGGTCGCGCCAGGCGCATCCTCGACGAGGACCACTACGGCCTGGACAAGATCAAGAAGCGGCTCGTCGAGTACCTTGCCGTGCTCGAGCTCAAGACGGAGCAGGCCAAGGAGCGCCTCGAGCACGAGGAACGCCAGGCGAAGGAGGCTGCCGGCCAGGCCAAGCGCAGCGCCGCGTCAGCCAACCAGCGGGGCAAAGTCGAAGCAGCCAAGAAGCAGCAGCAGCAGCAGATCGACCTCGAGGGTGACTCGGCCAGTGATGACAGCCAGATTGGCCATCTCGAAGAGCGGGGCCAGGACGAGGAGTCGGACAGCAACAAGCGCAAAGCGGCCGAGGAGCGGCGCAAGGGAAAGAAGCGCGCCGCCGTCGCAGACAAGGGACCCATCCTCCTCCTCGTCGGCCCTCCAGGCACGGGAAAGACGTCGATTGCCCGCTCCCTCGCCTCGGCCCTTCGGCGTCCATTCACCCGGCTGTCCCTAGGTGGTGTGCGCGACGAGAGCGAGATCCGGGGCCACCGACGGACCTACGTCGGCGCCATGCCCGGCAGCATCGCCTCGTCGCTCCGCAAGGTCGGCGTCAGCGACCCCGTCATGCTCCTCGATGAGGTCGACAAGCTGGGCAGCGGCAACGGCCTCCACGGCGACCCCATGGCCGCCATGCTCGAGGTGCTGGATCCTGAGCAGAACTTCCAGTTCATGGACCACTACGTCAACTGCCCCATTGACCTCAGCCGCGTGCTCTTTATTGCCACGGCCAACACCCTCGAGACGATCAGCCCGCCGCTGCTCGACCGCACAGAGGTCATCCACGTCTCGGGCTACACCCACGACGAAAAGGTGGCCATTGCCAAGCAGTACCTGCTGCCCAAGCAGGCCAAGGCACAGGGCCTCAGGCCGAACGTCGACATCAAGGTCGACGACGACGTGCTGCTCAAGATTGCCATGTCGTACACGCGCGAGGCCGGTGTCCGCTCCCTCGAGCGCGAGATTGGCGCCGTCGCGCGCGGCAAGGCCGTCCAATTCTCTGAGGCGCGCAAGGGCCAGCTCAAGGACAAGAAGACGGGCAGCAAGATCGAGTACGACCCCAATGTCCGGCTCGAGCACCTCGAGGACCTCCTGGGCGTTGAGACGTTTGATCCCGAGGTCGCCGAGCGCGAGGCCAGACCGGGCGTCGCGACGGGCCTCGCCTACCAGGGAAGCGGTTCCGGTGGTATTCTGCACATCGAAAGCCTGCTCTTGCCACCGGGCAACAGCTCCCTCAAGCTGACGGGCAAACTCGGCGACGTGATCCGCGAATCGGCCGAGCTGTCGCTCTCGTGGGTCAAGGCCCACTCGTTCCAGCTCGGCATCGTGTCGGAGCGCTCGAGCGAGTTCCCCAAGCACGACATTCACCTGCACCTACCGGGTGGTGCCATCCCTAAGGACGGACCCTCGGCGGGCATGGCCATGACGCTCGCGCTCGTGAGCCTTTTCACGCGCATCCCCATCGACACCAAACTCGCCATGACGGGCGAAATGACGCTGCGGGGCCAAGTCACGCCCGTGGGCGGCATCAAGGAAAAGTGTCTGGGCGCCCACCGCGCCGGCATCCGGCGCCTGATCCTGCCGCTCCGCAACCGCAAGGATGTCGAGGCGGATTTACCCAAGCAGATCCGCGACGAGCTCAACATCTCGTACGTCCGCACCATCTGGCAGGCCATTGAGATTGCATTTGGACAGCGCGCGCTGCTTGAGAGCGCGCTCAAGGGCGGCACGGGCAACCTCGAGGGCATCGAGGAGGGCAGACGGATGATGGAGCTCGAGGAGGCTAGACTGTGATTTTTGTTTGTAGTAGAGATGTGCAGGTTGTGTATGTTGTGTTTTCTTTCTTTTCTGCATTGGTAAATGGATCCATCGCCCTTGATCAGACAAGAAGCAAGCGCCCATCATCGTAGAGGCACGGTATTATTCGGATCTTGTGAATCTGCGAGGTGCCTCTGGACCGGGTGCTGGGGAGACGGAGAAGGCAGCAAGCGTACTGAACTCAGCTTTCTGGTGGATTTACCATTCGCACCGAGTGACGATGAGCGGAGAGTCTGATGCGGGGAAAGTGGGATGGTCAACGATGAGATCAAATGCGGGGATGAGAGCGGCGCTTATCGCTCAGGCGCTGCTGTGTTCAGGACCATCAGATATTAAAGCGAGTGAGTGCGCCAATCTTGATCTCTTCCGGAACAAATCGGCAATAACGAGCAGGGGAGAGACAGTCTGGGTCATAAGGCGACCAACGTACACCATATAAATGGGCCTCTTTATGTGTGCCTTCTTGTCTCTCTTCCCACCAGCACACAATCTTGAGCTTTGTCCGTCGCTGCCTATTTTACTCTTCAGATGCGCTTCAGCCTCGTATTCCTGCTCTGCTCTCTGGGCTTGGTCATGTTGACCATGGCAAGCCCAACGGTCTCTCCAGTGCGTTCCAGACAAGGCGGAAGCAGTCGCCAGCTCCAGCGACAGATGGACACAAACGCGGACACGATCAAAGGGCTCGAGGTACAGAGAGCATCGTTGGTCAAAGAGCTCGCCATCTGCGGGGACAAGCTGAGAAATAACCCAGAAGACGCCGATGCCAAGGCCGCTTATGAAGACCTAGAGACACAGATCGCAAAGCATGATGCGCTCATCGCACGCACAAGGGGAGAAATCAACAGGTCCAAAGACAGAATCTTTTAGCCGCACGCAGGGGACAAGGAACTCTCTCCAGGGCCGTCAAGGGGAAGCACAGTCGAGGGCTTCGAGGAGGACGGGAAGATGATGGAGCTCGAGTATTCTAGGCTGTAATTGTTTTTGTCTGTCCCTGTTTGGAATTGGAGATATAGGCTGTCTTTGCTGTGTTGTCTTTTCTTGCGCTGAGAAGATAAAGTTTTGGACGACGTGCGTTCTCTCGTTACCTTTGGATCGATCGATGATGAAACGGAGACTTCAGCAAGAGGACTTAAGCTTCAGTTGCAGTCTCAGGACGAGTGGAGATGAGCGGGAGAACTTCGGCGTTGGACTTGCCTTTTGTGGGGCAACGCGCTGATGTTACGACGACGCCTACCACCCTTTCATTTCTGTGCTGAGTGGTGCAAGGATGCACCCCACATTTAAAAGGGGTCTCTTCTTCCTTTTCGATCCTTTCTCTCCTCTCCAACTTCATCAGCGTAGACCCTGGCAGCCATTCGTGACTGAATTCTCTCCCCCTCAAGATGCGCTTCAGCCTTCTCTTCTCGCTCTGCTGTCTAGCATTTGTCCTGTCGATCAGGGCAAGTCCGATGAACCCTTCGCCATCAGCCAATCCTACGAAGTCAAGCCGTCGCCAGGGTGAACGCATCTCCCACTATAAAGGCTTTCTCAAGAAGGATCAGGAGGAAGAGAAGACGACAGAAATAAACCTCGAATCTGCAATGAAAGAGCTGAAGCTGAATCCAGATAACGAGGAAGCCAAGACCATTGTCGAATCCAGCAAGGGACACATGGGGCGCCTCCAAGGACGAAAAGAAAAGACCAAGGAGAAGCTGGATGACCAAAAGCGAAAGATCTGTTAGCAGTGTAAAGGCATCTGGCAGGCAAGACGGAGTCAAGGAGCCCAGGAGGTTTGATCCGTTGCTCGTCCGTTTCGTATATGTCTGTCTCCTGTGTTCTTACTATGGCTTCCAGGCTTTACATTTTTTCGAGTTTCTGGCACTCTGTCTAAAGGCATCCCTGTCACTTGCCCCGAGGCGGTGCTCTAATAAAATTGCGCAAAAGCGTTCTCACCTCTGAGCGAGCAGAGGGCAGGTTTGTCTGATTAAAGAGTAATATGTTGTGAAGGATGCAGCGTCCCTCGGCACGGAAAGATGCGAGGCACTAGTGGGGGTCAGGGCGCTGAGAGCACACGTCGATGATAAGTGCTTGAGACGTGCTCTTTTCTCGGGAAACCCTCCCTCCCCCTTTCCGGTTAACGTTCCTCTGGAAGTACTATGGGCGGAGAATGCCGATGTATGAAGTTCTTTTTGCACCGTGTCTTCTCGTAGGTAGCTAATGATGCAAACACTCTCGACTGGCACATGCTATGTATCTGTACTGTAGCTCTTTGACCGCTTTCTCGTGGTCAAGGTACAGGACATCGTCGTCTGAGCCCTTGTCTGTTTAGCAGATGAAGATACCTCGCTCTTAATCTGATGTCATTTGCCCTATCGGATGTGCTCGGGGACGGGTCGATATCGCCCCGCAAGACTAAAGAGAGAAAAGTAGAGCTGCAGTCCGAGGAAGGGGACATGCTGAGACTGAAGAAAGACATGCAAATTTGACGAAATAGAAGCAGAGGAGACGTATAAATTAAGAGGGTCAAAGAAGGAGAAGGTAATTGTTGCTCTACCATCTTCAAGACTCTCAAGATCGCCATCCGATATGCGCTTCACCTATTTTCTCGTCCTGCTACTGGCTCTTTCACTTGCCTGATCACTGTCCATGGCCGGAAATGCCTTCTCACAGTGCATGGTCGGAGAACGTAGGAAGCAACGCATCCACGAGCTTTCGTGGGAACTTTGTAAAGAGTTGGCTCAACTTTGCGCTCGGTATTTTCAAAAGCAAGCTAAGGTGGCTGAAGCGCAAAAAGACGTCGACTTATGGGCTCAAAGGTCGAGAGATGCAGCTAACAACCTTGACATCCGGTCAAAGCATACTGCGTCCCAGCATCCTCTTCAGGATAGACAGCAAGAACTGACGGCCCTAACAACACTCCGTGATCAAATTTCGACAGAGTTTGATGTAGAAGGGCAAGTCGTACTGGACTACTATTTGAGCATGCTCGACCAGCACAGACGTCATTCCGAGCCGAACTGAGCTACACGCTAGACAACCGCGACCAGGACAGCCGTCATAACCCTCTCACACCTCATGCTTCATAGAGTTCCATCTGTGTCAAGATTCCCTCACGCAAATGAAGCCGAGCCCTAGATTTGACACGTCAAGCTTGCGGTGTGTCTCGGACTCTTGAAAGCTGGCACTTTCACAAAGAGGCGATCGCCTGAGTGAGTAGCAGGAGCTTTTTCTGCGCTAAGAAGAGTGAAGTGAGAAGATATAGCGAAGTGACTTTTCTTCAGCCCGGACAAAACAGCTTTACCGAGTCAACCGAGTCATAGCATGACGTTAAAGGAAGGAGGGAGATTCGTGGCTATTGAGGTGCGTGTCCGGGGGCTGAGGCTCCACGGCTGTAATAAGAATGACGTGATTTCCGGGGCGTCGAAGCGCGTTTGAGGCCTTTTAGACCTCACTGCGCCCCTGGTCCTTATTATCCTGACAAACATCACGATTCCACCACACTTCCCATCATCGATTCTCGTTTCAGAAAGCAGCACACCCTGCCATCTCTAGGGCAGTCTGGAGGCAGGTCAAATTTTGCTGCTTTACTGTCTTTACACCGGCTCGCTCCTTTTCGAGGAAGAAACAGCGCCTGGCAGCAGCTCGGCGGCGCCCGTTCGCCCATTCAGTATGCTCGGTGACGAGTAGAACAGCCACGGAAAGGCTGAGAAGGAGGCGTGGGGCTTGATATACAGAAGAAAGGCGAGGGCTGAAACTGAAGAGGAATGTGTAAGACCGTACACAAAAGAGGTAGGTAGAAGTGCATAAAAAGAAAGCCAGAAAAGGACAGCGTCGTTTCCTTCACAACGTTCTCAGTCTACCTCTTACCCAAAAGACTACCAACTTCAAGATCTCCAAATTGCTACCTGCCGATATGCGCTTCAGTTTGGTTTTCGTCCTGCTACTGCTAGCCTTTTCCACCGCCTCTCCACTTCTCACGAAAGATTTACGCTGGAGGCCACAGCCGCGTATCAACGACGAAATAGCGATGCTCCCTGAAGGGCTTGAGAGACTCCTTCAAAAAAAGGAGCATCTTGTGAAACAAGTCTCCAAAGCACAACTGAGTTCCATGAGGACGCGATATCCTGACCCTAATCGAAAGCCTGCCAACAAACTTATGGAATACATTTACGGCAAACAGCGTCAGAGATTTGAAAAGTCGGTTTGGAACATTCAGCCTAAAACGCAAGCCTTGAAGAAAGTTCGGGAAGATATCCAAGCTGTTAAAAAGAAGCTCAGCCAAGCATCAGGAGAGGAGCCCATTAGCCGTCCAGAACCAGGACTCCACCTTTTCTCCCCTGCCGCTGCTCACACGCCTTCTTCGAGGTCAATGAAGAAGGCCTCTCATGCCAAGGAGAACGATAGTTAGCTGCGAGACATTTATTTTCTCTTGATAAACTCTCTGTCACCAACACCTCAAAAAATTACACGATTGCTCCTTGCCAGATGTATCTCAGTGCTCCAAATATTCGTCGTTTGCAAAGTGGGAACTTCTCAAGTTCAGCACCTTTGCTCATAAAGTGCGGTGCTCTCCTTCTTCAGCTGAGTATAGTTGCTAAGCAAGCTTTCTATGTGAAGTGAGTACTCATCAGGATTATCTCGAACTTTATGAGCAATGTCGTCACATCGTGGGCTTTGACAACGCTTGCCTCTTTATGAGGCGATTACACGTAACCAGAGGCCATTCAAGACTTGGTATACTGTAAAGAGAGTGAACTTGTTCCTGCAAGAATTGTCTCGGGGCAAGAATTGTCTTGGTGGCGTATGTCGTTAGGCCGAGTGTCTCTCGTTGCCTTCCTCGTCTGCAACGTGACCATGGCTGTCTTTACTACCGTCACTGTGTCCATGAATCCAGAATTCCGCAAGGGTTCAGACATGCCAGGGGTGTCAAGCGTTGAAGAGCCTCCAAGGAGCCTCGAAGAAATACGGAAGTCCCTATTGGATCGTAGAGACGAAGTCAAAGCATTGCTGGAAACTGTTGTACGCAAGACTCGCGACGCAGAGACGAAGTATAAAGGGGCGCCTAACATTGACAACTGGTACGAGATAAGGAAAGGGGAGTTCCAACGATTTGATTACAGGTGGAAGCTGAGAGAAATCAAGGAAAGATTCGCTGAAATCGCACAACAGATTGAGAGTAGTCTCCGGGAGGAACATGAGAAGGCACTCAATGACCTCGGGGATAAATTCGCTACCAAACTACAGATCGAGAATAGTCAGCGAAAGGAGTATGAGAAAGCGCTCAATGACATCGAAGACAGGATTGCTAGTATCAAGATCACTTCACAGAACGATAACCGAGATGAAGCTGAAGGGAGCTGTAAAAAGAGGAGACAAGATTATTAAAGCTCGGCTCGGCTTTCCCTTTTCACCCTGCCACCATGTTAGTTCAACGCATCTTTATCCTCTAAAAGCTTTTCCGCGCGAATGAAAGTGATCTTGGAGCGTAAGACGAAAATTTGTGTGTCAGACCTAGTAGTATCATTACTAATGCTAATGCTCTCGAGACCGCTCAAGCTGCACTCGAAGAGATTTGACGCCTTATGAGGCGCTTTTATAGAAGGCTGTAGCAAAAAAAGTGAGTTTCATAAGCGTCTGTTTGTGCTGGAGAACGTTGACCAGAGCGCACTCGCCTTTGCGAGAATTATATAGATGGCGCACGCTGGTAGCCAAAGTATCTCTCGTCGCCTCCTTGTTCTGCAACGTGAGCATCTTTCAAGTGTGGCTCCTTTTGGCTGCCGGTCGTGCTCGGTGAGGAGTTGTCTCAATTGCCCCGCACGGCCGAAAGCACCGAGCAAGGCCGGGAACAAGAGAGAGAAATCAAAAGGGGGAAAATGGGATTGATAGGTTCTCTCTTCACTACCAACTTGCAAGACGATCTGGGTGTCTCCAGCCGACATGCGAGTCGTTCAGCTCTTCATACTGCTCCTTGCTCTTGCTGTCTTCGCTCTCGTCACTGTATCCATGGATGCGCATATCCACAAAGATATAGACGGGCCAGGAGAATCAAGCTTCGGAGAGCCTCCAAGAAGCCTCGAGGAAGAACTGAAGTCCCTACTTGACGAGGAAGCCGAAGTCAAAGCATTTTGGGAAGATGCTGTAGAAAGGGTTCGTCTGACGACGACATTATACAAAAATGCTTCTCCCGTTGAGAACAAGTACACGATAAAGCACGAAGAGGATGTTCGAAAGAGATATGAGAAGGAGATGAAAAGGCTCGCGATCAGGATCGCTGAAATAGGAGAAGACATCGAGAAAAAGCAAAAGCAGCACGAGAATGTACTCGATGACCTCGAGAAAGGATTTACTGACAAACTAAACATCAAGGATATTCGGCAAAGGAAACCTGAAAGAGCACTTGATAACATCGAGGAGAGATTCGAAAGAATCAATCTAAAGATCGAAGATCAAGGCAAAGCTGGCATAAGCCGTAAAAGGAAGAGAAAAGATCACTAAAATCCTGCTTGCCTCCCCTCTTTTGCCACAATTTCATGTCAAATCAAGGATATCTCCTCTCGTTGTCTGTCAACAAAATCGAAGCTCTCTCAGACGAATGAAAATAATCTTGAAGCGTACGATGGGACTCAGATCTTACTTTGACCTAGCGACGTTCCTGGACACGCTCGAGGCTACTCTCGCTGCGCTTGCTGAAATGGTTGCCTTATGAGAAGCTTCCAGGCACGATAAATTTGCGCCGAAACGCGAAGGAATTTAAGCGACCTATAGCATCGTCGTTAATGACCAACTGTACAGTACTGACTCTTGCAAGAGTTGTCTCGGTGGCGTATATCGATAGCCAGAGTGTCTCCCATTGTCTCCGCCTCCTGTAAAAGAGGATTGTGCGATCTCAGACTCTTTGGCCCGCCGGCTGCTCTCGGTGACGAGTTTCCTCAATTTTCCCGCACGCCCATAGACACCGAGCCGTGAAGTGAGCGACTTACAAAAGGTGGCGAAAAGTGGGGACTTGAACTTCTCTGCACCACCAACCATCAAGACCATCCGCTCTCAAATTGACATGCGAATTGTTCATCTCTTCGTCCTGCTGCTTGTTCTCTTCGCCACCATCGCTCTGTCCATGGATGGAGGTAGCAGCAGAGATCCAGACAATCCAGATAGGTCAAAAGTTCAAAATCCGAAACGAAGCCTCGAGCAAAAGCTCAAATACCTGCTCGCCCGCAAGAATAAAGTGGCAGCGAAATTATACGACGCAACACGTAACCTTGATGGCCTCGAGAACAGGTTCGACAAAGCACCTGACATCCTCAGAGACGAGCTGGCTCCCGAGCTGTATAGTGCTAAAGAATGGCATGGGCACTACAGTGAGGAGTTCACAAAGCTCGAGAATCGCATCGCCGAAGTCGAGAAGTCGATCGAGGATGGAACTGAAGCTGGACCAAGCGGTGAAAAACCCTAGACAAGCTTGTCGAAAATTCTACTTCCCTTCTCTTCCGTCACACTACCGTGTCAGCTCAAACAGGTCTCGATTCTTCTTTACAAAAGCAAAGCTCCCTCAGGCGAATCAAGATATTCTTTAAGCTTACGATTCGGTGTGTTGACCTCCGTGACGTCCATGAATCCCTGGAAGCCCTCAAGGCCACTCACCTGCGTTTGACGAGACCTGTCACCTTCTGAGGCGCTTTCATGGAAGGTATAGTAGCAAATAAGGCGAAGTTGTCCAAGCGACTTCAAACGCTGGAATAATATGACTAGAGCGCACATGTCCTGGCAAGGACAGTCTATGTGGCGCTTACCGTTAGCCAGCGTATCTCTCGCCGCCTCCCTCTTCTGCAACGTGAAGGATGAGGATTATGCAGAATTGGACTCTTTTGCCCGCCGGCAGCGCTCGGTGTTGAGTTTTCTCAATTGCCCCGCACGCCCAAATGCACCGAGCAAGGCCGGGAATGAGAGAAAAATAAAAGGGATTAAAAGGGGGAAGTAGCGCTCCTCTCTGCACTACAAACTTGCAAGACGTCCTTGGTGTCTCCAAGCGACATGCGATTCGTTCATCTCTTCGTCCTGCTGCTTGCGGTCTTCACTACTATCGCTCTGTCCATGAATGAAGGTACCACCAAGGATGCAGACAGTCCAGGAGCATCAAACACTGGAGAAGCACCGAGAAGCCTCGAGGAAAGACGGAAATTTCTCCTTGACCGTAAAGCCAGAGTCCAAGAACGGTGGGCAAAGGCTGCATATGATGCTAAGGCAGCAAAGAAACATATAAAGCGTGTACCTAGCTTCAAATACAAGGACAGTACCAAGATGGAGAGAGAACAGAAAAGGCGAACGGACTACGAGATGGAAATGAAAGCGATTGAAAAAGATCTCGCTGACTTGAAACTCGACTTCGAAGGTAGTCCGCGAAAGGAACATGAAGAAGCCCTCGATGACATCGAGGATAGATTCGACAAAATCGATCTGCAGATCGAAGATCAAGGCGAAGCTAGTTCGAGCGGTAAAGGCAAGGAACAAGATCGTTGAAGCTCTGCTTGCCTCCCCTCCTTCGCCACACTATCATGCCAGTTCTAGAACATCTCCACTCCTTGTCCACCAACAAAAATGAAGCTCTCTCAGACGAAAGAAAACAAGCTTGAAGCGTACGATAAATTCGCATCTATGTTCGACCTGCAACGATTCTCAATGCCCTCGAGACAGTTCAATCTGCACTCGACGACATCGCTCTCCGTCCGCCGCCTCACCCAGCGCAGGAGTTGAATCGCAAAGGGTTGAGGATACGCAGACCGATTCATTACGTTGAAAATACTATGACAAGAGTGATGTGTGTTGAAACAGATGACAGATGGGAGAGAGAGAACAGAGGATGGATGTGCTGCGATGTTGAGATGGAGTGGCCAGCGAGTTAAGCGCCGGCAGCTTTCAGCAGCCGGCCCTGTGGAAGGGCCGTCAGAGGGAGAGGGTATCTCGGATGAGAAAAGAGAGAGAGGAGCAAGTGTTCGGAACGAGAGAGAGGACCGTTGAGGCTCCCTCTCGAAGGGCGAAGCGTGCAGTTGATGCCCGCAAAATGAAAAGGAAAGGAGAGGGGATCATGCGAATCCGTTCACCTTTGGCGCGCTTGATGCTGCCGCCGCCGCCTCTGCCAAGAAGGGCTCAAAGATGCCTTCGCGATCTTTGAAGTCATTGTGGACGACGTTGACAAGGACGTACGAGGAAAAGATGTCTTCGAGCGTCTTGCGTGCGGTCGAATTGGGCTCGTAGACGCGGGCCCAGTGTCGCCCAATCTCATACGCCTCGTCCTTCCATGCCAGGAATGAGATCGACTCGACAATGGTCGGCTGAACGATTTCGCAGTGGGGGAAGCAGCCCCATGTGACTGCGTTGGGAGCCTCGCTTGTAGTGTTGGTGCGCATATCGCCCTTGGCGTTGACGGCGTGGTAAGTCATCTTGGGATTGGACTCGATGCGTGCAATGAGGCCCTCTAGCTGTGAAGGAGCGACAAAGAACTCCAGGTAGGCCTAGTGGAGAAGGACAGTTAGCTAACAAATAATTAACTTTTGACGAAGAGAACGCACCTTCTGATAGACATAGCCATGTTTGGGACCCCAGCCGTGCACTGGGTCATCGCTCGGCGCTCCATCGACGGCCGGCTGGCTGTTGATGGTAAGGAAGCCGTGGCCGTTCAGCTGCTGGAGCTTGTCGTCAATGACGAACGTCTCCTTGGCCACGGGCGTCTCACTCCACGGCAAGGCCTTGACCTCGCCGCGGCAGAACTTCTTGAAGAGTTCCTTGACGTCGTGCAACGAGCTCGGCTCTCCCCAGAGCTCCAATGCCTCCTCGTTCGAATATCGAAGCTTGACACCGTATGCGTCAACGTCGCCATAGGCAGGACTCCTGGCGTCTCCCCACCGGCCATTGGGGAACTCGTCCCAGGTCTCTGTGCGATCGACGTAGCTCTTGGCTCGGTTTGCCCAGAAGATGGGCCGAATGCCCTCGTCTCGCCGCTTCGGCGTCAGGCTCAGCGTCCAAGGCAGATGCTTGACCTGCTGCACCGACGGCTCCAGCTCGAGGTACTCGAGCAGCATCCTTGAGCCCCTCTCGAGGTTCATGGTGTAGATGTGCAGCCCGCTGATGCCCAGTCCGCGGTTGCGGTCGACAATCTTGCGGCACATGTCGCCCACCAGCTTGGTCCCAACCTCTCGCACCTTTTGGTCATCGTCCTTGACCGGGTCTAGCGCATCGTGAAAGTATTGTGGGACAATGGTGCGGAATCGAGCAGTGGCACGCTGGAAACCGCCGTAGGTCTGGATCGGCATGACGCCCGGAACGATGGGGCAGGTGATGCCAGCGGCCCGGACGTCTTTGACCCATCGCTCGAAGATCCCAAAGTCGTAGAACATCTGCGTAAAGATGAAGTCTGCTCCAGCATCAATCTTGGCCTTGAGCCTCTCCATCTCGAGCTCCCGACCGTCCTTTGATTCGGGGTGTCCCTCGGGAAAGCCAGCGACGGCAATGGCAAAGTAGTCTCCGTAACCCTTGCGAATGTATTCGACGAGCTCCTTGGCGTAGGTGAATCCCGCAGCGCTGGTGTACCTTTTTGTCAGCTGTCGATTTAGGTAGGAGCGCGAGGCTGCGGGAATAGACTCACTGTGGCTCCCATTCCGAGCTTCCTGCGGGTGGATCGCCTCGAAGCGCAAGGATGTTGCGGCAGCCAAACTCCTTGGCCTCTCTCAAAGCTGTATCGACCTTGTCTCTGGGCATATTTGTGCAGGTGAGATGCATGCACGTCTCGAGGCCCACGTAGGAGTGCACCGTCTTGACCAGCTGTGCAGTGAGGTCCGATGTCCGCCCGCCGGCATTCCAGGTGATGTCGACAAACTCGGGACCGAGCTGCGACATGCGCTCGATTCGATCATAGAGATTCGTGAGACCCTGCGCGGTGCGAGGAGGGAAGAATTCAAAGCTCCACCATATCCTGCCCTCTGCTTCAGCCTTTGCAATCTTGGTCGTGATCTTCCAGTCGGTGTGGCGCTCGGTCTGCCCCGGGGGCGTCGAAGGCTGAGGCGCCGAGGACGGCAGCGACGAAGACATGGTCGGCTCTGGCCTGTGGCAGGGAGCTGACGCTGTCGCGACGAGTCCGTTCTTCTTTTTCTCTGGACCCACCCAAGGCAGAATTGGAAGGAGAAGTAAAGAAGAAATAGCAGGCGTAGAGGAGAAAGTTGGGCACAGAGTAATAGGAAGGCTCTCACTTGAGAAGATCTGTCCGGCTTTGCGAAGACACGTGGCCTTGTAAATGCAAGCTGAAAAAGCTGGGTGCGCACGGACTCACTTTGCGCATCTGCTTTGAACGAGACGAGGGGCACTCGCACGATCAGGAACGAGAGGAAGACACAAACATCTGCGGATGACGGCCATGCGATGAAACAGCCGCTAGGACAACGGCTACTTTCCTATCGCTGCTGTAGCGCCGTCTTCCCGCATACATCGTGGAACAGGTATTCAAGGGATTACGAAGTGGTACGGACTGGGGTGATGTCGTCGCCGTGGGAGGCGGGCCAGGCGGCTGACCAACGTCGGTCGCTGACCGGCTACAACATCAGAGACAGGGCACGCCGTGCGCTTGCTTCTGGCGCTGATGTGCTCTCCACAGCGATGGCTTCCAATCAGTCTCAGGATGAGAATGCGAGTCGTGCAGAGCCACGGCGACGGCTGCCACGGCTTTCTACGGCCACCAATGCTTCCTCGCTCGATGTAGGTTCCTCGTCATCGTCGTCACCCATCTCCGCCTCTTCAAGGATGTCGGTCTCGAGCGCAAATCTAGCGAGGGCGATCAAGAACCGATCCACCTCGCTCTCTTCGCTGTCTGAGTATTTGGGATCGACGAACCTTTCGAGCGAGACGAGCGGCAGCAGCACGGCCAGCAGTGTACGGAGCTCGGATAGCAATAGCACTCGAGGTGCGCAGGAGAAAGGCCCAGGTGGGGAAAGGACGTACAAGCGAAGAATAGTGCCGCAGAGGAGATCGACAGCGACGCTCCTGCATGACATTCGAGCCAAAACACGGTCGTATACGACTGCCCACCTCGGTCCTGCTGGCAGGATGCACGAGCACAACCTCTACCCACTACCCCCTCCCGGTCATGTTAGACCGGTCCTTCTGCCGACGTACGCAGTGAAGGAAAAGGAAGCCATTAGCATCCGTATCGACGGCTTTGTCGAGGTGTGGCCCACCTCGACGGGCACGACGCAGCGCGTCTTCAATCAGATGGTTCGGCAGGTGAGTTGTTACACAGCTGTCTCTTCTCTCATTTAGGATCTCTGACTCAGTCTCACATTATTCACTCTTCAGCTTGCTGGTCTTCCGAAGCTGCCTCGTCAACAGCCGACACCTCCGAGGCTGGGCAATCTCCCGCCATGGACACCTGCGACTCCTTCGTCCCAGAGCGCCCCTGTCTCGCCCTTGAATGCCAACACCGACGACGCCACCTTCTTTCCAGATGTGCCCAGTGGCATCGAGGGGGGAAAGGCGTGGGAGGACGAGGAAGGGACGGCAGAGACGCTGACGAGGCGAGCATTGGAGGTGGCAAATGTGGACAAGACGGTAGACAAGGTATTGCAGGGCGTGGGTGCGCTGCCTGTCGACGATGATCGATTGCCGGAGAGTTGGAGGCATCATCACAAGGCACAGCAAGAAGCCGAAGCGGCGGCAGAAAACCCGAAACAACAACAGCAGCAGCAGATGAGACAAAGACTGCAAAAGCAAGAGGAACAGGAGCAAGTCGGCCTCCTCGGCGGATCTCAATTCTGGGCTGGCAGGTCGCTCGAGGAGATCAAGGGGCTGTGGGAGGTGCTGGAGCATCGGCTCAAGTCCTTCTGGACCTATCGGCAACCGTGGACGGAGGTCTTGATCGAAGTGGTGCCCGTCTTTGACGATGCTTCCGACAAGGAGGCCCCGCAGTGGACTATCGACGACCACCGGCACGAGCCGAGGGAGGGCGACGAAGCAGTGGAGCCGCTGATGGCGGCCACGAGGCTGCACAGTGACGCCCACGGCCTCTTTTCGTCGTACATCACCATCCCATTCGACAAGCTGGACCACTACATGGCTGCGTGCCAGTTCGACACGAATCGATCGGCGAGCAGCCTCGTCGGCTTCAAGGTGCGTGGGACCCTCTCGAGTGGGAGCGGCGCCGAAGAGGAGAGCAAGGTCAAGTCGCCCTGGCAGACGATCACGCTGGGCCGGGACGAGCCGACGTCGGTGCGCGTCATCTGCGACATTGACGACACCTCCAAGCACACCGAGGTCCTTGCTGGCTCGCGCGCGGTGATGCGAAACGTTTTTGCGAGGCCGTTTGACGAGGTGGCCATCCCCGGCGTCTCGACGTGGTTCGAGCAGATGTCGTCGTCGTGGAAGGAAGCGCATGCCGCCATGGAGCGCGAGGGTGCCACAGGCGGGGTGGATGGGTGGCATTTCATCACCAATGCGCCCGCCGAGATGCATGGCATCATCAAGGCCTACCTCAGCGTGTCGTCGCTCCCGCCTGGCCACCTGGCGCTGAAGCACTACCCGTCCAAGTCGGGCTCACTGCCGCTGCTCCAGGCCTACCTCCAGCCGGCGGGCACGCGCAAGCGCCAGAACCTCGAGCGCGTCCTCGACGACTTCCCACAGTCGGCCTTTGTCCTCGTGGGCGACAGCGGCGAGATGGACCTCGAGGTGTATGCGCAGCTGGCCGGACAGCGGCCCGCTCAGATCCGTGGCATTTGGATTAGAGACGTGGGCAACCTTGCGCCTGTTGTACAGCAACCCCAGCAGCAGGGGCCGCAACAGCAGGGGCAAGCGACGGCGATGCAGACTGGCAGCGCCGGGCTAGCGAGGCCGCCAAGGGCCGCCCTGGCGCCGTCATCGACGGCTTCGGCCTCTTCGTATCCGCCCCAGGCCCCACCTGCTCGACAGCAGCCGCAGCCGCATCAACAGCAGCAGCGCGAACCGAGCCAGGCAGCATACAACGAAGCGATTGCTCGGCTCGCAAGATCAGGAATCAGCCTGCCGCGCAGCACGACGCTGCGCATCTGGAAGACGGGCGAGGACGAGGCGGCGAGGGAGGCGTTGACGCTTGTGCGCGAGCTCCGGCGGGGCGTGCGGCCCGTCGATCGATAGACTACCTTACACATGCACGGCCAAAGAAAGGGCCGATGAACCATTTGGTGACAGCACGCTTCATCTCGTCAACTTATTGCTCTTTGTTCAATTTGCACTCCATTAGCAACCATAAGGCTAGAGAATGAAGTGACGGACCTGGCTAAATGCCGATGCCATTCTTGCGAAAGGGCAGTAATGAGCAAGTGCGCATATACAGAGGGTGCTGGACAGATGCACAGGAAGAAGCTTTGGTGGATTCCTTTTAGTTTTCAGTTTTCAGTCGAGGTCCATGGCTGTCTTCTTTGTCTTTTTGACAGGCCGCTTCCGCTTCTTGGCGGCTGCCGCTGCTGCAGACGAGGTGCCGCTGTAAAGGAGAGTGAGCCGCACTGCTTGCGACGAGAAGAAGGAGCGCGACTCACTGCTGGTCCGACTTGGGCGCGCCTTCGCTGAGCCTCATGGCCAAGGGCAGCCCGCCGATGCGCTTCGCCAGTGGGTTCTCTGCCTTTGCCTTTGCACCGCCCTTGGACGAGGATGCAGCAGCAGCAGCCTTGGCCTGTCTCTTTTGCAGCGCTTGCAGCTCCTGCGCCGTCATGAGGCGCGACTGCAAGCTCGGCGCCGTGCCCGCGGGCGCCTTTCTGGGCCCGCTCTTGCCGACGGCCGTCCCGACTCGCGCACCCTGCTGAGCGGCCGCGAGGCGCCTTGCATTGGATGACGGGGCGCCATGGCCGTTTCGGCTGCCGTTGCCGGCAAAGAGCTCCTTGCCAAAGAGCTCCTTGCCCGTGTTGAGCGAGGGCTGCTGCTGCTGCTGCTGGGCGCGCGGGCCCCTTGGCGGCTGCTGTGCAAAGAGGTCTGGTTTCCGCTGGGCAGCCGGCGCTGGGACAGCAGCAGCAGCGGTAGTAGCAGCAGCTGGATTGGTCCTGGGCCGATCAAAGTCGATGGCGCCCTCTGCCCGCGGACGCAGGGAAACGGAGAGGAGACGTCCGTCGGCGAGGGCCTTGTCGAGCTTGTGGATTGCCTCGTCGGCGGCAGCACGCTTCGTAAAGGCCACCTCGTATGCGACCGAGGGGTGATTCTCGGAAGGAGCTGGTCGCGGCTGTGCAGCAGGCTGGTCTTAGCTCTTGTGCGCGTGGCTGCAGGATGGAGACTTACGACAATATCTTCGATCTCGCCAAATGCACGGAATGTTTCCTGTACATCCTACAATCAATACGATTGGAGAGACCAGATGAGGATTTCCAGAGACTCACAGCAATGTCGTCTGCAGATGTGCCCTTGAGCAGGTTGGAGACGACGACCCAGGTGGGCCCGCTCCTGCCGAGGATGCTGATCTGATTGGGCGGCCACTGCTTGGCCGCGTCCTGGCGTGCTCTCGCTGTAGGTAGGCGCTGTGTGAGGCGCACGGCCTTGCAAGTGATAGGGCCAGGATTACTCACCTTCATCTCCCTTCCAGGCGTCGCGTGAGGCCATGCCCGACGACTCGGGCCGCTATTGCGACGAAGACGAACAAAGGGAAAAGGGTGAATAAGGATGCTCCGCTATGCACGCCCACTCGCACACTCACGGCATACGGCGCCGCCCGTGCGCCCGATGCGATACGGGGCTGCTGCCTCCTCCCGCCGCGTCCGCCGCCGCCGCCGCCGCCGCCAATTGCTGCTCCTGATCCGCTGCTGCCTCGCGATGCCATTGGTGCGTGTGCTGGGCAAGAAGTGGCTGAATCTCGCGACGATGGAAAAGAGCGCGCGCGCGCCCGCTAACCTGCTGCAGTCTTTTGAAAATCGACTTCGCGTGACGGGAAAAAAGAGAGCTCTAATTCAGGGAATAGGCAGGGAAAGCTCCACACTACCCTGGCTGGTCGCCGACGACGAGTGACAAGAGAACGCGATGATGGCGGGAGCAAGAACGGGAGCGAGGACACCTTGAAGATGGCGACGGCTCTCGAAGGCTTTTCATCGCTGGCCGAAGAGCTTGCGCAGGCGACTTCGGATCTCATCGAGCTGGGCGGCAACCGGGGCCAGAACGGCGCAGCCGCTGCTTCCTCTTCTTCTGCAGGAGTAGCAGAAAGCGCCAAGCGGCGGGATCTGCGACCGGACAGGCTCGACCTCGGCCACGCCATTGCAGTTTCTCCATCTGCGCGCTTGACGCCCGTCTTTGACGACGATGGCGATACAGCAAAGAAGGCCGAGGGAAAGAAGAGCAGCAGACTGGCCTCCTCGAGCCAAATCGTCTTGGAGCAGGAGCTGGGCGGCGACGACGATGGGGACGACGCGCTGCCCTCGGCTGGTCTTAGCCAAGTGATTGCCTCTGTCAAGTCTTCAGCTCAACACCACCATGAGCACCGTTCCCACATTCAGGTCAGCACGCTGCCCGCCAGTGCAGACTTTGATCGGCGGTACTCGCCGTTCCTCGAGAGCCACAAGGCCATGATGAAGCGTAGAGTGATAGATGGCGATTCGACAGCAACAAATGCACACAATACGGAGTCAACAGCGAGCCTGAGCAGCAGCGACAATATCAGTGCACGCCTCGCCGAGGATGCTGGCAGTGGCAGCAGGGAATCGGCCAGCTACGACTTGAGTGCCCATGGCCTCAAGCGCGGCGACGCAGGGCCGCCCAGCTTCTTCCTCGAATCCTTTCCAGACTCGAACCAGGACCTGCGCCTTTCATCTGCGCAGCGGGAAGAAGAGACGGAGGAGGCATCCGAGACAGAAAATGCTTCATTGCCAGCGGCGGACGCCTCTCCTCCGACCGCATCTGCCAAGGCCTTGCCGCGCCCAAAGGCCCTGTTTGCGCTCGCGAGTCGTCCCTCGGAACGCAGCATTGTCTCAGCACAGCAGTCCGACGACCCAGCGGTAACAGTGAAGCTGTATGGCAATCGTCGGCGGCAGCGCGAGGCGGAAGGGCTCCCGGCAGACTCGCTTCCCGTCGAAGCCAAAGCGGCAGCACCAGCCCTGACGCGCGCCGCCGCCCTCTTCTCCACGCCGCTGGTACCCTCGCTGGAGGAGGAGACCATCTCCGGTCGCAATCTCAGCGGCACGACGGCTTCGAGCCAGGTGGACCTGGCCACGAGTGCGCTGCTCTCCTCGTCGCTGGACAGCGACGGCGAACACGAACAGGAAGGGGAAGGAGAAAGCATCGCGGAGAGGGCCTCCCTTTCGAGTCTCCCGGCCACCTCACTGAAGACATCCTCAAGCCAGGGAGGCGCCTCGTCAGGCTCGCCCAGTGGTACCCGCCGAAGAAGTCGGTCCCGGTCGAGCTTCTCGGCCTCGTCCCAGCTCGCAATCGACGAGGAGGCCTCGCCGTCTGCCCCACTTCGGCCGTTTGCGAGGGACGTCAAGCTGGGCGGCTTCAGCGTCGTCGGCGACAGGGCCCGCGGCTACGTCTGCTACGAGGTCAGAATCATCACGACCACAGTGCGTATTCCCCCTCCTCTTCCTTCTCTGTCCATGTCCCTGTCCAGCTGACTGATTTAACCAGGGCACGACAATGAGCATCCTCCGGCGCTTCTCGGACTTTGTCCGGCTGCGCCAAGCCCTCATGGCAGAGTGCACCGGCAGCGAACGAGACCGGAGCGGCAGCAGCAGCCGCGCTTCTCCTTCCTCTTCGAAATCAAAGAGGGTGCCCCCCGCGCTGCCGCCGAAGCGGACAGGCCTGCTGCACAAGTACGCCAGCGACCACCTCGAGAAGCGCCGGCGCGCGCTGCAGCAGTGGCTCATCGTCGTCATGCTCGACAGCAGGTGGGGCGCCTCGCGCGCCCTCCGCCAGTGGGTCGTCTCGGATTGAACGACGTTTCCCCGCGCGCGCTGCTTTCCTACTGTCTGTACTTTTACATGCTCTTGCTGGGCCCCTTTTTTTCTCCTTTTGCTCAAGGATGATGGATGGACATTTTTGTGCATTTGTTTCGAGACTGAGACTCGTGGAGCTCTGTAGATTAAGCGAGACACAGAGAGAGAAAGAGAGAGTGGGGAGAGTGAGTGTTCGTAGTGAGCGTATTTGCGTATCATGAGACAGTGAGACGGATGGTAGGTGTGTATGCGCAGAGAGAGAAAAGAAAAGAGTCGAGGCAAAGAGAGAAAGAGAGAGACAGAAGGAGAAAGGAAGAAGAGATGGGTGTGGGAGATGAGTGTGGGTATCCTTGTGAGAGACATGGAGGCATTGTCGTCGTCGTCGTCGTCGTCGTCGGCGGCGGCAGCATCTAGATGAGGCTGAGCTCGAGTGTCCAGACTCTTCTCGCCCATACGCGCACGCGCCTGCCCTTGCCGCTGGTGAGCAGGTCGACCTCTGCCTGGGTCATGCCGCCTCCCGAGGCGGTGGCCATGGCCTCTGCATCTGCCGCCGCCGTCGGTGGTGCGGCCTCGGCTGCGCCTGCGCCTGCGCTCGCATCGAGGGGAAGCACGACATCGACGCCGTCCCACCAGCACTTGCGCGCGGGCTTCCGCCAAAAGAGGAGGAGCTTCTGCGCCGTGCTCAGCTGCTGCTGGTCCACCTGCAGCTCGGGCTCGTGATCGTCGGACGAGACAGACGAGGAGCCCGTGGCGGCCGAGGACCGTGCGGCGTCGTCGGGCGAGAGGGCGATGCCCGTCTTGAGGAGGACGAGGGCGATGCTGGTGATGCAGCACCGGCTCGGCTCGACGGCACGGAAGCCCCAGGTGTCGTCGCGGTCAAAGCCGCTCATGCAGAGCATGTCGATGAGATGCTGCTCGGCCATGTTGTTCTCCTTGTTGACGTTGCGCTGCAGGGCGGTGAAGATCTGCTTGCGCTCGAGGAGCGCCTGGCCGCACGCCTGCTTGAGCCGCAGGAGCGCCGGTGTGGCGCCACCCTTTTCGTCGGTCGTCTCTGCTTTTTTAGGCGGGATGCTAAAGTACTCGAGCTCCTCGCGCAGCACAATGATGGCCTGCTTGGAGAGGAGGAGCGAGGGGCCGGAGGGCCCCCCGAAGCCGCCCCCGTCGTTGTACTCGTTGCCGACCAGCTGCTGGTTGGCGGGCGCGGCCGCGGCGAGCGCACGCCGCGATGGCTGGCCCGACACGCCGTAGAAGTCGTCCTGGGCCTGCTTGAAAAAGTCGAGCACGTAGGAGAGGCACGATGGGTCGAACTGGGATCGGTCACACAGTCAGCTCATGTTGTTCTCTGACTGGGATATACGACGCTGCCAACTCACATCGACCATGTAGACCTCCTCCTCTTCTTCATCCTCCTCGTCGCCCTCTGCCCCGAGCCCATCCTCGCCCTCGCCGCCGAGATGGCCGTTCTTTCCGAGCGCAGGCTGCCGGCTGAGGACGAGGCCGTTGGGAAAGAGACAGAGGAGCACGCTCTCGGGCAGATTCATGAGCACCTCGCGCTCAATCGTGAAGCGCCGGCCGCGCAGGTCCAGACGCAGCCGCGTCAGCAGCGACGAGTTGTCGCCTTCGTCCATTGCTGTCCCGGTTCTCGCTCCTGGTGTCAGTGTCAATTTATAGCGAGCGATGGGTAGGTGTTCGTCGCCGTTGTCGAGCGAGCGAGCGGCCAGGGCGGAAAGGCCTTTTTAGAAAAAGTAAATCGCGCGCGTGCAAAGGACCAGCAGCCCCGCTAGCCTGGCTTTCTTTTGACTATCCCTCGATCTTGTACTGTGCCCACGACTACACACAGGGAGACAGGACAAACACCCAGGACCGGAGAAAATCTAAGACGGCCGAAAAAAAAAACATACGCACACAGAGAGAGAGTGTGTGTGCAACCAAAAAAAGAAAAGTGAAGGCACGAAGAAGAACACAACATGAGCGAAGAAAAGGAACTGGCCAAGGGGCTCGAGGAGCAGTGCAGCGTCGCGCCGCAGCAGTCCAGCTCGGAGTCGAGCGCAGCAGTGCCCGCTGAGGGCAGCAGTCAGAAGCAAAATGGGCGGCGCAAAGAGGGCGGCGGCGGCGGCGGTGGCAAGGGAGCGGGCGACGAAGGGAAAAAGGACAAGAAGCCGCATGCGCGAGATCCCCGGAGCCAGAGCCCAGAGGTGCAGCTGAGCCGCGCGCTGGCCTACATCTGCCGCCACGGGGCCGAAAAGGAGGGGCTGACGGTGCGGCCCGATGGCTACCTGCCGCTCGAGGCCGTGCTAGCCAGGCCGAGGGTCAGGAACATCAAGATGCGGCCCGAGGAAAAGAACAAAAAGAGCCCGCCGGGCCAAGAGGACGTGCTGGCCGTCGTCGAGTCCAACGACAAGAAGCGCTTCGAGGTCACGCAGGAGCAGGAGGGTGCGACCTGGCTGATCAGAGCAGTGCAGGGCCATTCGATCAAGGAGGTGAGTCTAGATTCACGGCTCATCATGCGACTAAGTCTGATTGAAATCGGCCTTTTCCCAGGTCACGACACTGGACCATGTCGACTTGACTCTCGACAACTTGGATCTCTTGACTGCCACTCCCGGCGACAAGGGAGCAGCCATCGAGGTCCTGCACGGCACCACGCGCGATGCCTGGGCGCAGATCCAGTCGTCGGGCGGCCTCAAGAAGATGAAGCGCAACCACATCCACCTCGCAAAGGGCCGGCCAGGCTCCGACGGCGTCATCAGCGGTGAGTAGTGGACTCGTCACCCCATTCTATCTAGCTGACTGGAAGAGAGACCGCCTCGCTCAGGGATGCGGGCCTCGTCACCCATCATCATCCACATCGACGTCGTCGGCGCCCTCAAGGCCGGGTATGCCTTTTCGATTGCCAGCAACGGCGCAGTCCTCTCGCCCGGCAAGGGACCCGACGGTCTCCTGCCGCTCGACTTCTTCTCAAAAGTCGAAGAGACAAAGACGGGCAATGTGATATGGCAGGGGCAGGGCCAGGGGCAGGGCTGAAATGTATGAATATTCACGTCACGATTCGCCCGTGGAAGATGTCTGTGATTGTCAGAGGTATCGTGTGGGAAAAGAAGTGCATCCTGTGATGCGCAGTCTAGCCGAGTGTGATGCTGGATACACCGCCCGTTCCGCCGGGCTCACTGAGAGGAGCGTCAGTGGCTCAAAATGAAGGCAGTGACTAGACGCAACTCACCGCACGCGCCTAGTGGGCCTAAAGGTGTTCGTCGTCTCGTCGGCACTGAACGCAGGGGCGGCTGCCGGAGCCGGCTGGCTCGGAGCTGGGTCTTGAGGAAAGGTAGTGGGAGCAGGAGCAGGGGCAGGGGCAGGGACGAGGCCTCTTCGCCGGGCACTCTCCTTTGCCGCCTCGTCGGTGTTGTCGTCGCCGCCGCCAAAGATGGCGCCGATCTGGGCGGAGCCGCCGCCGACGGGCTCGCGCACGCGACGCGTGGGCCGGAAGACGTCTCCGTCGGGCGTCAGCACCTGCTGCTGCTGTGTCGGTGCTGGCTCCACGGCAGGAGCAGGGGCAGCGACCGGAGCAGGGGCAGCAGCTGCGGCTGCCACGGGAGCTGCAGCAGGCGCAGGAGCAGCACCGACCGAAGCGGGATCCTTGTCAAAGCGGCCCACGGTCGCGTACTTGGGCACTCTGCTCAGCTCGGTAAAGTTGGGTCCCACATCGATGCCGTGCGTCTTGAGAAAGTCGACGAGGCCGGCCTTTGTGAAGACGACGTGGGCTCCCTGCGGCATACACCCTGCCCGACGCCGCTTGTCAGCTCAGCATGTCATGGAAAAGCTTGCGCGAGGCACACTCACCGAGGTGGTAGGCCCAGTCCTTTGGGTTGCTCTGTGGCGAAAAGTTGGCGTCGGGTGTGAAGCTCGCCATGATCGTCGTCCTGTTGGTTAGTGTTGTAACGAGCCAACCAACACTAAAGTAGCCTAGCTACCCCCTCGCCAAGTTGGCGCGCGTAGTCTAATCAGACCACGTGTGGAGCGAAAGGGCGCTCAGTCCCACGAACCCCATTTGCAGGTCGGTCTCCACGCCTTTCGACTTCGACTTCGACTGCTTGCACCTCGACTTATAAGACAATGTCGCTGCCGTACGCCATCGACGCCGAGCAGCCCCTCACAGCGTCGGAGCTCGACGTGCTGCGTGGGCAGTACGAGCGCGAGCTGAACCAGGGCCACGCGAGCACCCAGACCAAGTTCAACTATGCCTGGGGCCTCGTCAAGAGCAAGCGGCGCGAGGACATGGCGCTGGGCGTCGATCTCCTCACTGGTGTGTGTCCTTGCTCTTTCCCTTTGGCTTGGCAGTGAGAGAGAGCAGAAGAGTGTGTGTTCTGACGCTTGCTGTATGCGCATGATTGCAGAAATCTACCGGAGCGATCCGCCGAGGAGGCGCGAGTGCCTGTACTACCTCTCGCTGGGCCACTACAAGATGGGCAACTTCGAAGAGGCCAAGCGCTTCAATGGTGAGCCGGCCTGCTTTTCTTCACTTCTCTTCCAAGGCAGCTTACACAAAAAGCGACCAGCTCTGCTGATGGAACGGGAGCCGCACAACCAGCAGGCGCAGAGCCTCAATGCGCTCATCGAAAAGGGTGTGGCGCGGGAGGGCTACATCGGCATGGCCCTCATGGGTGGCGCAGCCGCCGTTGGAGGCGTCCTCATTGCTGGACTTTTGAGAAGGGGAGGCAGGCGGTAGACGAGGTCATCCCTGCCGCGCTCGCTTGCGCGTACACTGCATCGTCCCCGAGAGAGAGAAGAGAGAAGAGAAAAACATGTAGTATTACAGTAGTGGGTTGTGGCGCACAAGCAACGCGGCATAGCTGGGCCCTCTCTAATGCACCGAATTGCTGTTTGAGTGGACTCTGGTCAGCGAGGAAAGGCTAGGCTAGGCTGGAGGGCTGTTGCAGAGACGCACCGGATGAGGATGCGGACGTTGTTGAGCATGATGAGGATCTGGTCATAGTACGGCGTCCACTCGTTCTTGGCCGCCGCTGGACCAGACTCGAGGGCGTCTCGGAGCAGCTGCGTGGCGTCTCTGAACTCGAGCTCGAGCTCGTTGGATGGTTGCTTGGGCTGGCATGCCCAATTCAGTCAAGTCAGCTGTGAGAGTCGGGCCTCAGCCAAGCTCAAAACACTCACGTTGTCAGGCATGTGGACCTGCGTCAGATCGATGCAGAGACGCTGGTGCGTGTAATGCAGCCGGTTCTTCTCCCTGTGTCGATCTGGCTCTCCAACGGGCAGCTCGCCTTTTTCGGCAGTGATGTGAGCATTACGCTTTTCAAAACGGCCTGAAAACAATGGACCGACTCACTCATAGGCTGTTCGACATTGATGCTAATCCGATAGTCGAGGTCATGATTCGGACAGATGACATTGAGATCGGCGATGCGTCGCTTGATGACGATGCCACCTTCCTTGACCTGCATGGTGCCCGCATCCCTCGTCACACGCACGCTCGCGCCGCCCTCCTGCCTGTAGAAGTAGTCGATTTCGTTTTGGCGCTCGTACTTGATCCCCCGCTTCCGGTCCTCGACGGCCCGGTTGAGAAAGTTGTTGATGGATCGGTGCTGGCTCTGCTCGTCGCCACCATTTTCAGTACATTCTGCCACCATCGATCACGGACAAGGAGCGAACCCACCTCTGACATTGTGCTCTCGAACCTCCAGCCAGGCTGCATCTGCACAATCGTCTCGCTCATCACGGGCAGCTGCACCCTCGAGCCATCGCGCTCAACAATGCGCCCGACTTTTGCCTCGATCTACACGCCTCTCGCTCGTCAGCTAACGTGGTCCCGACAGCGTCGCGACGGGAGTGGCATCTACCTACCTCGAGGTTCTCGCGATCGCGACCGAGCTCAGCAATCCATTCGCCAACCTTGACAGAGATCTCGTCGAGCGGATCCCAGCCCACGATGGACCGGTCTAGCGGCGGCTGTGGCCACGACATGCTCTCCAGACAGATCAGAAGGACCCAGTCTCTTCCCTGTGTCGGGCTCAGGAAAGGAAGGAAGGCAGGAGCGAGATGATCGGGCGCGCGCACAGACGCAAATTTAGCCTTTCGCGGCGTGCCAACTTTTGTCACGATTTTTCAGTCACGAGAGCCGCTCCCTCCAACACATCTCTTGCGCCCTTTCTAAGAAAGAAAAAGTGACGCCCACTCTTTCTCAATGAGGAGAAAGCAGTTGCCGGATAGTTCCACAGCTGCTTGCTAGCTCTCCTCCATAGCCCTAGGTGAGGGAGCAATGACCATATCACGTGACGAAAGCTAGAGGAGGGTTTTGGGAGACATTTTTTTGGTTGCAATCTTCGCGACTTCCAAGGCTTGCATTTCCTCACCTAGTAGGCCCAAGCTCAAGCTCAGCTCCCTAGCGAACAAGACGACCACGTTTGTCCGCTTTGTGTTCGCCTCCAGGAGGCCCCATACGCTTGCTAGACGGCTAGTCGCACGTTCGTCGTTTGAGTCGAGTCGACGGGCGAACATCTCACTGTGGGCCAGGATCCGAGTCATCTGCAAGGGAGGCGCAATGGCGGACTCGAACGTGCTTGGGAAGCGGCAGGAGAAGGAAGGCGAGGAGAAAGTCGCGGCGCCTGCTGCCGATACAACGGCGGTAAAAGAAGAGGGAGGGCAGGCCAAAAAGGCCAGAATCGAAGAGACGAGCAGCCCAGAGAAGAACAAGGGTGGCCGCCCCAATTCGCACAAGGGCGGGAACAAGTCCGGCGGTGGCGGCCGAGACAGACGGGACAGGCGAGGCGGCGGTGATGGTCAGAGGGAAGACGCGGCCGAGGATGGCGAGGACGGTGGCAGATTACCGAAACGCAAGGTGTCTGTCTACTTTGGCTACTGTGGTATTGGCTACTCTGGCTTGCAGATCAACCCGGGCGTCAAGACAATCGAGGGCGACATCTTCGAGGCCTTCTGCAAGGCCGGTGCTGTCAGCAAGGACAATGCCGTGAACCCCAACAAAGTCGGGCTGCAGCGAGCAGCACGGACAGACCGAGGCGTGCATGCTGCGGGCAACCTCCTCACGCTCAAGCTCATCCTCGAGCCTACTGGCGTGGAGGCCGGTGGTCTCGTCAGCCGCGTCAACGATCTCCTGCCGCCGTTTATCCGCATCTGGGGCCTGACGAGGGTGCAGAACAGCTTCAATGCCCGGACTAGCTGCGACTCGCGCCAGTACGAGTACCTGCTGCCGACGTACGTCTTCCTCCCACCCAAGCCGGGCAGCGCCATGTGGCAGACGATGAGCAAGTCGGCGTCGTCCTCGGCCCAGTCCGACGAGCAGAATGCGCTGCTGAGCTCGCTGCTCGACCACCCCTTTTGGCAGCAGCAAGGGTCTGACAAGACGTTTGCCGAGGACACGGCGGCGAAAAAGGCGTGGCGAATGCCTCAAGAGCAGCTCGAGCGCGTGCGAAAGATCTTTGCCCACTACCTCGGCTCGCACAACTTCCACAATTTCACCGTTGGCAAGCCGTTCCGGGATCGGAGCGCACAGCGACACATGCTCAAGCTCACCATCTCGGATCCAAAGATTATCAACGAGACCGAATGGGTCTCGATCAAGTTCCACGGGCAGTCCTTCATGCTTCATCAGATTGTGAGATGATGTGCTCCGTAGTCTTTACTCTTTCCTTCTTGCTGACTCGCGGACGACAGCGCAAGATGATCGGTCTGCTCATCCTCATCGGCCGCACAGCCGCTCCTGACACGCTCGTTCCCGAGACATACGGCCCCGCACGGATCCACGTGCCCAAGGCGCCTGGCCTGGGCCTGCTGCTCGAACAGCCCATCTTTGAGATGTACAACAAGCGGCTATTGGACAATTTAAAGCGGCAAAATGACCAGTCATCGGAGGCTGGCCCCGGCGATGGGCTGGTCAAGAAGGACGATGTCGTGTTCGCCCGCTTTGCCGACGAGATGGAAAAGTTCAAGGAGCAGTGGATCTACCAGCGAATCTACAAGGAGGAGGAGGAGAAGCATGAGTGGGTAGTGTGTCCAGCGCGAGAATCTTCGGCGTGCTGATGATCAGGATTATTGTCCAACAGATACAGCAAGTTCCTGCAGTACCTCGACGTCTTCGTCGGGCCGGACTTTGAATACCTCAACCCAAGGGGCATCATTACGCAGTCGTCCATCATCAAAGTGGGCGAGCAGCACCGGATGCATGACGAGGCTGCTAAGAAGAAGCAGGACAAGGAGAAGAAAGAGGAAGAGGCAGCAGCGGCGCAAGAGGAGAGCGATGACGACGACGAGGCCCTGCTCAAGGGCAATCAGGCCGAGCTCGAGGGCTGATGCCCAGGAATACATATACATACTCATGGACAATAGGGACAGAGTGAGAGAGAGAGACGTGATATTTTCGATGCGGTAGTATACATGCGAGACTAGTACGGGTACCTGAACGACCGAAGCTCCTTGTCGGTGTGGTCGGCGAGCTCGGCGAGCTTGGGGTCGTCTGCGCCCTCACCCCGCGCGTCCCTCGCCCGGTTCCAGAGCAGGTGGACGAGGCCGATTGCGCTGAGGCAGCAGGCCGAGATGACAAACATGACGAGCATTGTGATTTTGCCCGTCGTGAATTCGGGCGCCTCTCGCTGCAGCGCCGTCTGAGGCCCAATAATATTACCCGCGCAGTAGCCGAGCTGCAGGACGACGTTGAAGACAATCTTTTTGGTTGTGCCGGCCACGGCGCTGCTGAGCCAACTGTACAGCAGCGGGCTCGCGACGGGGAAAAAGAAGATGAGGTTGTACCCGGCCAGCTTGGTGATCTTGTCATTGACGCCAATGAGCATCGCCCCGCCGACGATGGCGACGATGAAGGAAAAGACGCCCGGGATGACGCGGGTGCCCGAGTACCGCGTCACAATTACGCCGAGAATGATGGCCACAATCTCCGCCAGGCCCGTCGACATGCCGACGAGTGCGGCCTTTTTGTTGTCGAAGCCGAGGCCCTTGATGATGACGGAGCTAAAGTTGGAGCTGACGCCGTTGGAGACGTTGGAAGACGCCACGGCAAAGAAGAAGAGATAGAGGCGGACGTCGAGGAGAGCCTCGTAGAGCTGCGCTCGCTTAAACGTCCGGTCGTGGAGACCCGTCTTGTTTTCGCGGATCCGCTCCAGCGCGACGATGCGCTGCCGTGGAGTCAACAGACGAGTCGTCTCTGGCTTCTCGGGCATGACTAGGAAGACGACGATGCCATAGCAAAAGGTGATGATGCCCAGGATGACGTAGAGCTGCTGCCAGACCTTGAGACTGCTGGGCCGCTGGGTTTGCACACCGTACGAGATGGCGCCGCCGAGAATCTGCGCCGTGCCGTTTTGCATAAACCAGATACTGGTGCGAGCGACTTGCTCCTTGGAGCGGTAGAAACGGCCGGTGATGAGGATAAAGGCAGGCGTCAGGGCCGCCTCAAAGATGCCGAGAAAGAGGCGGCAGGCGACAAGGCCGGCGTAGTTGAAGCAGGTGGCGTGCAGCGCGAGGGTCGTGCCCCACAAGATGATGCAGACGCCGACGTAGCGAGTCAAGGGCAACTTCTGCATGAAAAAACCATGCACGGGCGATGCAGCCAGGTAGCCGATGTAGACTTTGATACGGCAAGTGAGTGGCTTATTTGACTAGAAGTCACTGATAACGAGACTCACAGATGCTGCCGAGCCAGCTGTACTGCTGGCCATGAAGGCCGAGATCTTTTTGGATACCAAGCAGGTTGGCATAGTTAAGAGAGCCTAAAAATTCCGTCTATCAGCTACGTCACCTTGACCAGCTCTGACGTAACCGACTCACTCTTGTCGAGGTACTGGAGCAGGACCGAGAGGCACATCATGGGCATCATCACCATGTCGATCTTCCTCAGGGTCGCCCGTCGTTCTTCCCTTGTCGCTGGCTCGGCATGGTCCGGGTCGAGGTGCAGCGCGTCGAGCTTCCGCTTTGCTTCGTCGTCGACTTCGCCACCATCGTCGTGTCCCGTCTTCTCGGCCAGGGCGGAGGAGCCCTTGGAAGAGACGGCCTCGATGTCGTCGCCGTTTGGTCGAGCCAAGTCGAGCGACGTGTTTGTCACGGTCGGCTTCTCCTCAACAGACTTCATCGTCAGGGAGATTGATGGGAAGGCTGATGCAGGAGAAGAAGAGAGTGAAGAGGAACAGGTACGCCCCCCCTCACCCTCAAAGCTTATAAGAGGCCTTGCCCCCACTCTTGCGAAGCTAGCATCGCGAAGAAATTAGCGCAGACTAATTGAGGGCAGGCAGGCAGGCAAAACCAGCCAGGGCAGAGAGATAAAGTAGTAGTAAAATTTAGCGCGCCTCTGCTCAAACTCCTCGATTATTGGACGCCGCCAGCGCCGGGGGGGCTCTCCTGCTGCTGCTAAAAAATTCGTTGAGTGGTATAGATAAGGCGGAAGAACTTTAGGGCCGTCCATTTCGGCAGTCTCTCCTATCTCTCGGTCTGTCTCGGGTCATCAGGAACAAAAGCGCGCAAGGAGAACGCTTGGTAGAGGTGATGGCGAGTCCTGAACATTCTTCCCCTCGGCGAATTTTAGAACCCAGGCGAGATCGATGAGGGGGAGATCAGGTTTGTGTGACAGCCGTCGGGGGCCACTTTTCGACTGGCATCAACAACCGGTCTCAGGACGCAAGGACCGATCGCAGTGTGAAAGAGATTGCACAAGAGAGATGATTCGGCAGGATGTCGGTCAGTCGGCGCTGGCCTGCTAGCCAAAGCCATCGAAAGCCCTCTTCTTCGTCGGGGCGGAGCTGTGTGGCGCCCAGAGACACAACATATCTTGCACAGGGGCCGCACAGCTCTGCCGCAACGAACATCAGACAAGGCAGGAGACGGACAAGGTGACAGTGAATGCTTGCGAATCTATCCATGCAGTGTAACAACATACAAGAGAGCAGAGACGAAGGAGTAAAGATGACCAGGGCCCGAGCAGAATCAGGGTACTTTTTAGATGAAATATGTGGCTTGAGAATGATCAGGCGTGTGTGTGCTCGGGGCGGTTCTCGTACTGAAGGCCTTGCCCATCGTCGCGATCGTACCTGCGGTTGATCCTTCCACCAACGAGCTCGTCGCTGACACAGTTCTGTCCGTCGCCCAGCTTGTGGTCGGTCAGGAACAGGGTGCCAATGATGGGGACGGCCGCGAGACAGATGCCTGCAATGAGAACCACGTGCATGTACTCATTCCACGCCGCGATGAAGGCGTTTCGTTCAGGCGAGCCGACGGCCCAGGTGACTGTCGTAGGCGAAGCAAAGGCGCTGGTAATCTCGGCAGCGCTCACGCCGACGGCGCCCAGCTTCTCGTTGAGTTGGGTAAGAAGCACCTTGTTCTGGATCGCGCCCACGATGGCCGAGCCGACCGAGCCGCCGAGCTCGGTCATGAGAAGGACAAAGGCCGTGACCATGGCCACGTGCTGGTGGCGCACCGAAACCTGGGCAGCCAGCTGGATGAGGAGGCCCTGGATGCCGCCGCCCATTCCCTGAATGATCTGGGGGATCACAACCTGGGCCGTCGTCGAGGTGGCGTCACGGTAGCGGATCATGAGGCCGAGACCGAGCATGCGAATGCAAGTGCCGGCGAGGAGAAGGTACTTGTACCGCTTGAGGCCCAGGATGATAAAGCCCGCAGCGATGCCAAAGATGGTGAGACTGAGCGACTGCGTGTTGGAAAAGTAGGTGGCGTCTTTGACGGTCCAGTCTGGGTGCGTGACTTGAACCCAGTAGTAGGCGGGAGTCCAGGAGATGTAGAACGAGGCAAAGTCAAAGAATCCGATGGCGAGAGCGGGGATAGCGACATCCTTGTTGAGGACAAAGTGACGGCGGAAAATGGGCTTTGGCGAGAGGAAGTACTGCTGGAATGGCAGGGCAACGATGCATGCACCGCCGACGGCAAACATGACATCGATGTGCGGCGACTCGTAGCCCTTTGCGGCGACAGACTCGAGACTCAGAGGCAGCAATATCAGGAGGAAGCCGGCGCAGAGAAGAAGGAGGCCGAGGGCATCGATGTCGACGAGGAAGGCCTTGAGTCCCTGGAGAGGCGACATCGACAGGTAAGGGTGGCGAGGAGCCAGGGCCTCCTTCTTTGCCTTTCGCTGCGTCAGGGCGAGGGAGAGGATGATGGGCGCAGCAGCGACTGGGAAGACGATGGCAAAGCTGCCTGGACCCCAGCGCCAGAGATTGCTCAGGGAGTTGGAGGCGAGGTCCTGGGTGATGAGAGGTGCGACGCCAAAATTGATGATGTAAGGCAGCGTGATGAGGCTGACTGCAACACCGCGCCACTTTGTCGTCGTAATGTCGGCAAGGACAATCTGCTGCATGATCTGGGTGCCCGTGTTGCCAAAGGCGTAGAAGACCGTGCCGGCGATGAGGGCGCCAAAGTTCTGGCACGAGGCGATGATGATGAAGCCGATGATGTACATAAAGAGCGAGATTGCGTAGCCCTCGGCGCGGCCAAAGACGTCTGCCAGCTTGGCGACGGGGAACTTGCCGACGGCGATGATAACACCCTGCGTCGTCGAGACGGCAATGTAGAGCGGGTACTTGTTCATATGCGTGGCCGCAGCCTGCAGATATGCGTACCTGTTTGTCATCCACCATCGACGATCAGCGCTCGTCACTAGCTCTATTAGTAGGAACGACTTGCTCACATGGTGTTGTTGTCAAGACCAGTGACGTAGGCAACGAGGGCGATGCCCAGGAATGCCACCCAGATCTTCCAGCCAGCGACGGAGCGGGCTGCCTCGGCGGCGAGGACTCCGACCTGGGGAGCATCACCCTTTGCGACGAGCGACTCATCGCTCGACTCGACCGACGCACGCTCCTCGTGCTTTTCCGACATACTGCGAGAGGCGAGAGAGAGGTGAGGAGATGGGGATGAGGGGGGGATGGTGAAGTGGTGGGAAGGCCGGGTTAGATGCTATCGTACTTATACTGGTGAATGTCGTGATTTTTTTTTTTTTTCCTCCTCTTTCCCCTCTTTTGCGAAACGCCACAATTGATTCACTTTGTTCCTAGGTGTCGCCGCCGCAAAGAGAAGCAGGACACGCACTGTATGGTCGTGCAGATTGGTGCGAGATGCCTGAGAGGCTAGACGGTTGTTGCAGTACGAATCCTCGCCGAAAGTCGGGCCCGTAAATGTCACAAGTGCAGACCTCGCAGTCTTTTTCGGCACAGCGCGCAGAGACTGATGAGGAGTCGCCGTATATCCCGGTCTCGAAGCGCACTCGAGGAGCGAGGAGCGAGGCGACCGGCAGCGACAGTGATAGAGGAGAGGAAGGGGATTCGGCAGCAAACTTGATCAGATCAGATAAACGCTCCCCTGCATCACGGCTGCATCCTTCCAGCGGCTTTTTTTTGCACATCAAAATTTAGCCTTTTATTCTCTCTCTCCCACTAGCTCCAAGGGGGGAAGATTGAAGAAAAAAAAAAGGCACCGACAAGTTGTGAAGCAAAAAACGACCGAGGCCGAAGAGGACCACGCGAAGGAAGACAACGGGTAAAGCGGTCACAGCAATGACAAACGACATTTATTGACAGCCTGGACCAGCGATCCAAGCCATTGGACCGATCTGATTGCATCGCTTGTTTGCCAAGAGTGGCGCATCCATGCTCCGACGTTCCATGGCAGAAGGGATGGGCCTCGGAAGACGTCGACATTTTAGTTTGTCATTGCTTGCGCACCGGTGACAGAGGCCGGTTGAAGCCACCTTTTCGCTGCATGTACTGGCGCCAGGTTCGCTCCTTCTTCACATATGCAGCTCCCTCTTGGTTGTTGTTGACCTTGGAGCCCTTGATTCATTCGCCCGGGAAATGTCAGTTTGCTGTCTAGCACATCGTCTCAGCATTCTACCGCTCTTCTCACCTTTGTCGAGCCGAAGCCACCAAAACCCATAGCAGCCATCATAGCTTCTTCGTCCTCGTCTCCTTCTCCGCCTTCCCCTTGCCCTTGCCCACTTTCAACGTCGTCCGCACGGGTATCGTCTCTTTGCTTGCTTCTTCCTCTCGGCTCTTCATCATCCGTGCGTCCCGAGTGCCTGTCTCCCCTTGTGTCTGCGCCTCGTCTCGCGGGCGATTCGCTCCTGTCGCGGTGCCTTCTCCTCTGTCCGTCTCCGTCGTCTCTTCGATACCTGTCTTCCCTGTCCCAGTCACTGCGCTCTTGTCGAGGTGGCGGCTGCCCATCGTAGTCTCTGCGAGAGGGAGGATGCCGATCTCCACGGTAGTCTGTTTGCAATGCCAGCTGCTCAGAAATGCGCATCCGAAAGGTGAAAGTACTAGTCCCGACACTCACCTCGATCTCTGCGATCCCTGCCACCCCCGCCCCTTCTGTCATCTCTCTCGCCCCCATATGGCTCACGCCTGTACGAGGAGTGGCTGCTGCTGCCCCCTCCGTCGTACCTCAGGTCGCCTGCCCCGCCCTCGCGCCCCGCAGGCCTGTCCCAGTCGCGAGAGCCATATCCGCCTCTTCCTCCCTCATACCCATCCCTGTCGTATCCTCGTCGCGCCCTGCTGTCTCCATCCCGTGGCGGTGGGGGCGCTGGCCTTCTCGACATTGTACCAGCAGTAGTGTCTTTTGAAGTAGTCGCAGGCTGAGGCACAAGCAATCGCAGGATGAAATGTGCCTTCTTCACTCAGCCTTGCATCTGAACTAAGAAAAGTCGCGCCTCATAAAAGAATGAAAGGCCACGCGACTCGGTGACTCTTTCTCCACCTTCTTCTGCGCCGGCTAGGAAGAACGAGAAACATTACGACTCGAGAGCGGAAAGCAGAAAGAAGAGGGAGAGGTCAGGGTAACAATGACGAGCATGGACGATGGCGGCACGGCGTCCTTGCCTCGCCGCCGCGCTGCTGCACCCTCGTACAGCACCTCGCTGCTCGCGGGCGCGCTGAGCGGGCTGACGGTGGATCTGCTCTTCTATCCCATCGACACGCTCAAGACACGCATGCAGTCGCGCCAGGGCTTCCTCGCCGCCGGTGGCTTCACGGGCATCTACCGCGGCATCGGAAGCGTCGCCGTGGGCAGTGCGCCGGGCGCGGCGGCTTTCTTTGTCGTGTACGAGCGCATGAAGCCGGTGTTGACGGACCTCACCGGCCAGCCCGACGGGTCCGCCCTCGTGCACATGACGGCCGCAAGCACAGCCGAGGTGGTGAGTCTTGTCTATCGGTGCGACATAGCAGCTCTTTTGAGCTGAAAGTTTGCATATGTGACAAACAAACAGGCAGCATGCATGATCAGGGTCCCGACAGAGGTCATCAAGTCGCGCCAGCAGACGTCGGCATATGGCACAAAGACGTCGTCAGCCCAGGCCTTTCGCGCAGTGATGCGAGAGGCGGGCCCGCGGGGCTACTATAGAGGCTTCGCCGGCACTGTAGGGCGAGAGGTGCGTCTCGGCACAGTCCACGTCTTGATGCTGGCTTGTGAAGAAGGACCGGTGCTCACTCAACCTTACTCTCCCTCGGACAGATCCCGTTCACCTGCATTCAGTTCCCCCTCTATGAGCACCTAAAGCTGCGAATGGCACGGTCGCCCTTCTTCTCCGGCCGGGAGGGCGCTGCTTCGGAGAAAGGGCACTCGCGGTCAATACCGACCTGGCAGGCCGGGCTAGCAGGCAGCATCGCTGGTGCGATTGCAGCGGGACTCACGACGCCGCTGGACGTCGTCAAGACACGCATCATGCTCGAGCGGGTCAGTGTTTCTTTTTCGAAAGTGAGAAGGCGGAGCTGACAAAGATTGACTGACGACACAGCGCGCACACAATGTCGCGCCAGCCGAACCCCTCTCCAGTCCAACGGGCGTCAACACCAAAATCATCCCCACCTTGACGCACATCTTTCGAAACGAGGGTCCAGCGGCCCTCTTTTCTGGCTTTGTGCCCCGCACCCTCTGGATCGGCCTGGGCGGCGCCGTCTTCCTGGGCACCTTTGAGGCTGGTGTCAAGCTGCTCGAGGCTGCGTGAATTATACACTGTGCTATAGACAAATCTCAAATCGCAATCCCCAGCGACTCTGTCTCTACTTGGTGTGGTGAATGCGGAGCTTGCCGGGGACGTGGTCGTAGTTTGCAGCTGTACGATGGAAAGGAGGTCATTGGAAGTGAGTCTGATTTGCTCATCTTCGGAAAGCAACACGAAAGCTAGGGCACCCACCGTAGCTCTTGGGAGGGATCCGGGCCTTGTGGGGCTCCTGGACAAAGTAAGGCCAGTTTTGCTTCTCGCAAAAGTGAATGGCATCGTCCTTTGTGCGGAACTTGAGGTAAGTGCCCTGCATGTAGTCGGCCCTATAAGACACACGCAGTATCCGTCAGCAGCCGAAGAACAAAGTCAGAAGGGAAGAGGAAAAAAACTCACGAGCTGGCCCAGCCCATCAGCGGGTTCTCCCAGCGACCACTGCCCTGGAGAATGTCAAAGTCGACGCGCCAGTAGGCGGTGCCGGCCTTTCCGGACGAGTTGGCTGTCTTGGCCGGCTTGAAGATGCGCACCTGTCGCTGGTGCAGCTCCGCTGTCGTCGTCGACGTCGAATTGAGGTGTCAGCAGAGTTCAATCATATGGGAGGGAAAGGGCACAAAGGTACACACGGGGAGCATCGTTGACGACGTCCGCCAGGACGGCAGTGTGCTGCCTCTCCTGCTGCTCCTTGATAATGTCGCGCTGCTCGGACGAGGACACAGCCGCGGGCGTCTGCACGTCCCTGGCCACCCGCGTCGTGCTGAGCGACCGGACGGCGGCGGGCGCACGCAGGAGAGGCGTGGCCAGACGAGACGCCGAGTATCGAAGGAGCGACATGGTGTTGCGGTGTGGCTTCCCTTTGAGAGACCGAAAGCTGGAGGAAATCGCAAATGACTGATTGGGCGCGCGTTTTTCGGCCGAATTTCAAACCTGGATCTTGAGCGCGCCGCGATGGCGAGGGCAATGGCGACGGCGATGGCGAGGGCAAGAAGAATCACACCAGGAGCAGGAAGCCAGAAGAGAAGGTCAGGAAATCAATGTATCTCAGTGGACAGTGCTGAAAAGGCTTTGCTCCATGTACAGAAGTTCTTCGGGAGAACGGTGTGTGGCAGAAGCGACGCAAATAAGGCATGAGGATGAGTTGAAGATCGGTCACTTCCGTGGCATATGGGAGGACTTTAGGCACAAAAGAGCCCGTGAGACCGTTTCTTGCTCTCCTCCAATGAGTGCAAGTTGCAGCCAGATGAAGCTCTCTGTGAGGGAGCAATCCGTGATGGAGTTGTCGGTCAAAGGGAAGGTTTGTCGCGTGGCAAATCTATAAGCCTCGGCTTCGGCCTAGTGACAGGGCCGAAGTCATTTTCAACTGGCTGCCTGACTAACAACGCGGTCAACAGGACCCCGGAAATTAAATAGAGGCCACCACCACCGCCGCTGCTTCCCTCGTCTGCATTGCCACTACTACTTTCGCTTTCTCACCCGTCAAAGCCAACCATGTCGCTCTTTGCTCGTCGTGCCGGACTGGGCCTCGCCCGTCGTAGTGCAGCCTCCACCCTGACGGCGCCGAAGCGGGCGTTTGCGTCCGAGGCGGCGGCCGCCCTGAGCGGACCCAGCTTCAAGCTCAACGAGGACCAGGAGGCATACCAGGGTGCGTTGTTCTAAAGGAAGAACACTTGATGTCATGTGTATTGACGACTCCCCAATAGAGCTCGCCCGGAGATTCACAGCAGAGAACATCATCCCCAAGGCCAAGCACCACGATGAGACGATGGAGTACCCCTGGGAGATCATCAAGGCTGCTCACGCTGCTGGCCTGGTCAACACTCACATTCCGCAAGAGTACGGTGGTGCAGGCCTGAGCCTTCTTGAGGGCGCGTTGGTCTCCGAGGAGCTCGCGTTCGGCTGCTCGGGCATCCAGACGGCCATTGAGGCCAACGGCCTCGCTGAGGCGCCCCTCCTCGTTGCCGCTAGCCACGAGCTCAAGCAGAAGTACTTGGGCCGAATGACTGAGGAGCCTCTTGTGGCCAGCTACTGCGTCACTGAGCCAGGCGCAGGCTCTGATGTCGCCAATATCACAACGCGCGCCGAGAAGAAGGGCGATAAGTACATTCTCAACGGTACCAAGATGTGGATCACAAACGGCGGCCACGCCAACTGGTGAGTTGCGCACACTCCCTCCTTCTCTCGCTGTTTTCATGCGCATACTGATGACATGGCAAATAGGTACTTTGTGCTGGCCAAGACTGACCCAACGCAAAAGGCCAACAAGTCCATGACTGGCTTTGTCGTCGATGGCGACAGCGCAGGCATCGTCAAGGGCAAAAAGGAGATCAACATGGGCCAGCGGTGCAGCGACACGCGCATGATCACCTTTGAAAACGTCGAGGTGCCTGCGGAGAACGTGCTCGGAAAGGAGGGCGATGGCTTCAAGATTGCCATGGGCGCCTTTGACATTACCCGACCCCTGATTGCTGCCTCGGCCACCGGCGTCGCCTCGCGGGCGCTGACAGAGGCGGCCAAGTACGCCCACGAGCGAAAGACGATGGGCCGCCCCATTATCCAGCACCAGGCCATCGCGTTCATGCTCGCCGACATGGCCATCCGTGTCGAGGCTGCCCGCGCCCTCACCTGGCGCGCCGCTGGGATCAAGGACCAGGGCGAGCGCAACTCATACGCGGCCTCGGTCGCAAAGGCCTTCGCTTCTAAGTTGGTGTCCCTCCAGCTCTGCTTTGTTACTGTTCTCCATCGACTGACTCGCTTTTTCCCCTTCCCCTCCACAGCGCTGCAGTGCGGAACGCAGACGACGCCGTGCAGGTCCTGGGTGGCATCGGCTTCAACACCGAGGCGCCCGTCGAGAAGCTCTACCGTGACTCAAAGAGTGCGTCTGATTTCCTCTCTTCTTTTTTGAACTCAGGACACCAAGCTGACCCTCTGCACCAGTCCTGGAGATCTACGAAGGCCCCACGCAGATCCAGAAGCTCATTATCTCGAGGTTCGTCGAGGACCGTTTCAAGCCATAATGTCGAGTGTTCTGCTCTCCCCTCCACCAAAATTCCAGTACCTCTCTTATACTCTAGATGCAATTTTTGCCAAGCCATGATGGAAACCTACTTTTACACAAAGCCAGTCAGGCTGTCGAGAGGGAGAGAGAAAGAGAGTCGTTGATCTCTACTCGAGCTCGACCTGTCCACCGGCGGCCTCGACGGCCTTTTGCAGCTTCTCGGCATCCTCCTTGGTGAGGCCCTCCTTGAGCGTCTGGGGAGCGCTCTCGACAAACTTCTTGGCCTCGACGAGGTTCATTGTGCTGTTCAGCGCCTTGACCTCCTTGATGACCTTTGCCTTTGCCGACGCATCCTTGAGGCCCTTGAGCACGACGGTGAAAATCGTCTTTTCCTTGGGCTTCTCCTCCTCGGCTGGCGCTGCGCCCGAGGCAGCTGCGGCGGGGGCAGCGGGCCCGGCAGATGCGACGGGCATGGCAATATCTTGGATATTGAGCCGAGTCTGTTTTTTGTGTCCTCACTTGTCAGCAAAGGAGATTCTAAAGGAGGGAAAGGAGATGAGTAGAAAAGGGAACGGACCTTGAGTTGGCTGACGAGCTCGGCAGCTTCCAGAAGCGTCAGACGCTCAATCTGGTCCACGATTCCGCTCAGCTTCGGGTCCGCCGACGCTGCTGCTGATGCTGCTGATGAGCCTGCCGCTGCAGCACCAGCGGTAGCTGGCGGAGGAGGCGCTGGGGCTGAGTTTGGCGACGTTGCGGCCGAGGGCGCGCCGCCCTGTCGGAGGGAAGACGTCGTAGAGAGGCTCCGCGATGGGGTCCCCCGAGACGCGCTGCCGAGTGACCGGGCGAGCGTTCGCATGCTTCGCAGCGACATGGCGCTCATGCTGTAGGAATGGAGAGAGGGGCAAGAGTGACGATGAGCACCACCGCAGATGAGAAGATGAGGAAGGGAAACCTGAAAAAGCAAAACCACGTGGATCGTGAGAGTCGTGTGTTCACGTGCGCCAAGTGGACCCTGTGCTTCCGAATGGGCGCTCGAGCCCTCTCGCAAGGACCGGCGCGACTCTAGCGTGTGGAATGCTTCCAAGGCCATGGCAAGGAGGGCATCGTCGCCGGTCGCGGGCGACAGTATCTCACGAAGCAGCGTAAAGAGGGAAAGGGAGCTGCAGAAGCGTAAGCTCTCTTCGGGACATGGAGACCCGCATGCACGCAGACGAATTAGCATCAATGACGACGAAAGGGAGCACGAGGACGTCTTTCACCTTAGGCAGCTTCTCTCGACGCGAGGCACAAATGGTGATGCTGCGCCGATCACTCTTCAGGCATACGAGGAGGCGCTCGTCAATGATGAGGACATGGCAAAGAGGATGGCTATGCCCGCATCTGAGTCTTCCTCGTCTGGACCTGGCTTCCTCATTCCCTGGCGAGGCAAGGATGCCGAGGGAAGAGACGTAGAGATTTGGACGGACAGGTGTGTTTGCTCCAGGCGAAAACAATCTAGCTCCATGCTGATGCTGACGTACAAACGTCAAGGTACGATGCATTGCACCTCCTAAGCTGTCAGCCGCCAGATTCCATCTCGACTGCGTCTTCGCCCAAGGCGAGTCACAAAGAAGACGCACCCCTGCCGTCTCAGCGGCCCACTTCACCTGGATGGTCGGACCTAGACTCAGACAGCGAAGATATGTACTTCCTCACAGCAAAGCAGGTCAAGGCACACTATACCGAAAAGCACCGACGGCGGCTCGCCAGTCTCCGTGAGCAACGAATCTCGGCCCTCGAAGAACAAGAACGAGCACAGGAAAGGCCATGCAGGGCTATGCAAGAATCTGGAGAAGATCAAGAAGAAGAGGCAGTCAGCCAGGCTCAGATGGACCTCATGAAGCGGACAGCGAGAGCGATGCGGGCCGCGGGCAACCCAAAGGTCCTCGAGATGAAGATCCTGGCTAACCATGGCTCCGATGGTCGCTTTGCCTTTTTGTCGAGCAAGGCCAAGGGAAGGGCAAGAGAGGTTTGGCAAAAGCTCTTGAACGGCGTGGAGGATGTCGAGGAGCGGGAGGAGGGAAAAGGGTCGACGAGGATGGGGATGGGTCAGCTCGCAGGCTATGAAAGCGAAAGCGACGATGGCGACGACAACGATGACGAAGGGGAGGAAATTCACAGGCAACAGTCACCAAAAGCCTTAGGGGACAAAGAAGCAGAGGCCAGAAAAAGAGAGGCGCGATTGCAGAGGGCGCGAGAATGGAGCAAGAGACGACGCGAGGAGGAGAATGCGAGAGGAGAAGACGTAATGGAAGGTGGCTAGGAGTGGGACTTCGCGGCGACGGTATCGCGCCCATGGTGCAATCATTGTTTTGGCAACAAACACAGAAAAGCGTGAGAGAGAAAGAGTGTCGCCCTTCCTTCAGTGAGGAGAACGGCGCACTTTCGGTCGCCATCGGCTTTCAATTGGCTGAGCGTACGCGCCGCGCGAATGACGAGGCGAAAGGCCACACCTCAGCTTTGAAGAGACAACACGACGCACAGCATTCGCTCCGGAGGGCGTTGGCGCTTTACGCGCACTGACGCACGCATCATGCCATAAAAGGTCGACAACAGCATCCTCTTTTCTGCCACGGACCACCATTTCCTCCCCTCGAAAATTCGGCTCAAAGATGTGGTTCGCTCGTCTTCTGTTCATGTTCTTTCTCGTTGCCTATTCCGTCAATGCCATGGAAGAAGGAGGATCGTCTCCGTCGACACAGCGGAATCCCATAGAGGAAAGCCTTTCGCGCGGCATGGCAAAGCTTGGGGTCAGCTCTAACGTAGGTGTAAATACTCGCCTGACGAATCAGATGGCAAAGCTCCATCTCAGCCCAGCAGGGGAAGCTATGCCGTCCGCCTCGAGATCAGACCAAGCGTCAGCTTTACGAAAGAAGAAAATGAGAAAAGAAACATTGGAAAGCTCGAAACCGGTCAAATTCAAGAGGACCACAGCACGTAGAACGGCTCACGCTTTTCGGGACCTGCAAGACAAGCAGAGGGCCTCGCAGCTGGTCAACTTCGAACCAACCAGAAGCTTTTACGAACTTTTGAGAGCTAAAGAGGTTGACCGGATTCAAGTTATGCGTGCAGACTTGAGACAGGTAGAGCGTGAAAAATTGGAGGCCTCATCCGAAATGAAACAACTGGAAGAAGAGATAGAGTCTGCGATGCAATCTAAAAACCCAGATCTGAAGGCCATCAACAGCGCAATAAGTCAGGCGAAAGACCTGAAAGAATTCCTTCTGCAGGTCGAAAAGCTCGAATCTTGGGGCGAAGGGCAATTAACACGCCTCTCGAAGAAAGACAGGCGACTCGCATCAATGACAGTGCCGAAGCAAGAGGAAGGGCGCGATGGGCCAAATGTTTCGTAGGAGCAGCCACCAGACGGGGTCAAAAGGCGCATTGCACCAAAGAGGAACTGAAAGTATGGCGCTTCCGACGTCTGCAACAAATTCGGCTGACACGGCTGTTGGGATCATTGCGATGCCTATTACTATCCCCCGACACACGCTCTTCTGTATTTCTCTATATCAATCGAATCACTGCTTTCTTTCGTCATGTGTTCGATCGAGGATGCGGTCGGCTTCTTCGTCACCGCAGCAGAAAGGCTTAGACCCTTACCGTGTGAAGCTCAGGACCACAGTCTGATCTTGCGGTCTCGTCTCTGGTCGAAGTAAGCTGGTGCTCAAGTGCTCCGTTATAAATCGCTTTTTTGGCCGGGTAAGTGTGATTACCGAGGGAGCGCTCCGGGTCAGAGCGAGTATCGGTTCTCTTTCGGTTGCGTAACCTCGGCCGTGAGGGGCTGTTGTGCTGAAACAATCACGCAATGCGGGGCGAAATGGGCCTTTCGGGCGTCAGTGACACAGCAAAGCACAAGGCGCTTGTTCCGGGGGTGGCGCTCGCATTGGGAGTTGTGCTACAAAAGGTCGATGGCAACGTTCCTTCTCTCTTCTTCACACAAAACACAACCTGCGCCTCAGATGCTCCACTCAAAGATGCGATTCGCTCGCTGTCTGTTCATCCTCGTCGTCATCGGCGCCATATCTTCCGTCGTCATGGCCATGGACATCGCGCGAACCCCTTCTGTCAATTTAGAGAGCCCACTCACAAAGGAAATTAGGAAAGAGCTGTTTCGTCTCGAATCTCAGGTCAGCCAGCATGAGAAAGTCATAGACGATGGCCTGACGCACCAGATGGCAAGGCTCCAACTCAATCCCGAAAGAGGCGCCGTGCCTCCTGTCCAGAATCCAGACCAAGCGTCAACTTCACACATGGAAATAGATGGGAAAGATAAACAAGACACCGCGGAAACGGCCGACTTCAACCAGCGTCAAAAAGCCGTAGTGGCCTGGCTTGAAGAATTACTGTCCCTAGTGGACGAATATCAGAGGAAGCTCGCAAGCGAAGAGGTGAGAACCCAAAACGAGGTCATGGAAGCAGACCGAGACTACCGGAACCAACATCCCTTGGACCGATCTCCCTGGGTCCGACCCCCTTCGGAACACCCTCCCTGGGTCCGACCCCCTTCGGAACACCCTCCCTGGGTCCGACCCCC